AGAATCATGCTAGCTGAGGATGAAAAATCTTGCCTTCTTCGAGACCCAGACATATTTGCAGTTGATAACTTCGCGGAACCGGAGCAGCGCCTGGGTTCTCTCTTTCTTCGTCGGTGTGCGGAGGAGATTCAAGGTTTTGGCAGAAATCGCGCTCGTGGTCGATGAGCTTGTTGTTTTGTCGCTTTTCACGCTCGCTTCCGACAATTTAGATGGCGACCGGGAGGAAATCTGTTCGGGCTGATTTAGAAGTCGATTACCCGTGCCGCTCTGTGTAGTGGTACTGTTGGCCGTCACTTCCGGGCTGCTGTGGTCAAATTGCGTGAATTCATCCTGGACCGCGGCGTGGAGTGCCTTGTCGCTCTCGTACGGGAAGTACGCGATGGAGAGAAGTTTCACCAAGTCTTGCAGAGAGACGTTGTGTATCAAGTGCAAATATGTCTGGGTCTGGAAACTTGTAATGCTAAAAGTGAATGATAGACGCACTGCAGTACGCAGCTATGCATGACAAATTTCTTGGCTGCCATGTCTTACGCATGCCGCATGGCAAACTGCGTTTTTGCATGACAGGTAAGAGGGCCTTTTCGTGCCTATGCAACACAGATTCTCGAGTCATGCCAGACAAGCATGACAAACTTGCATACTTCCAGACCCAGACATTTTTGCATTTGATATTGTGCGACAGCAGGTTGGCCAATCGCTCGAAGTCACGGAGGGTGTTTCCGCTCCAGCAGGACAGACGAAGCCAAAAGGCCTCGGATGTTCTTATTTTCGACATGTCGTTGCTATTTGCATTATTTCCTGTTGCGCCGGTCTTCGTCTTCTTTGCTGCTACAAACTCGCACTTGCCGACATGATCACCTGCGCTGTTCGCACCCGCACAACCTTGCGCCAGCTTCTCCGCCTCGTACGGCTTGACGCTGACGAAGATGCCGTACACTTTCTGCAGGAAGTTCTGGAAGTCGTTCGCGGTGATCGGAACATTATCTTTCTGACTCGGAAAAAACCGCTCGCGGACATTCTGCACCAGCACGAGTTCCATCGTGCGGCAATTTTTTTTACCTGTTCGCCCCGGAGGTGTTGATGTTCCTTCACCGCCGGCGGTGCCCCTACTAGTTGTACCATCACTGTACAGAACCGACGCCGGCGCCATCGGAAGCAGCGCCAGCCCTTTGTCCAGCAATTCATTTGCGAATTGCACTTGCCGCGCTCCGTATTCCTCGTACAAAAGCAACGCCTGCCCCAGACAGATGTAGGGAATGTAGTGCGCACCCATGCCGGTCCAGAGGAACAGCGAGTCGCGGGTTGTATTATTGGTGTTTTCATCCTGCTGGTCGTTGGAGAAGTTTTGCTTGTTGAAGCCAAAACTGACTGCGGAAACGGCGGTCGGGGTCGGAATCTGCTTTTGTTTCATCTTCTTTGTGGTGCTAAAAATCCTGTCACGGTCTCTTTCATCATTTTGTAACACCCCCTGCTTATTCATCTTCCGCCACCGGACCACCCCAGCGGTTTTCGTGTTTCCGAGCCATTTGTGTGTGGACAAGACGTAGTAGTCCACAAACTCGAGCTATCCAAAAAAAAAAACGTTGTTTTTGTACTTTGTGATGCGCAACATGCAAGATGATTGCGTCGGTCATGCTTGGCATGCGTCGTAGGGTCCATTAAAGGGCATTTTCACGTACCATCTGCGCATGACAGGTTTTTGCTATCATGCCAGACAAATTTGCAATGCTGTTCCTCCAAAAAAGTTACACCTACAATTTGTTTTTCTTGGATACGAGCCTTTCTTTCACATCCCTCCTGTCCGTGAAGTCGAATTGCTGCGTGCCGTCCACAATGAACACCACGTTTCGTTCCTCGCACCACTTCCCAACCTCTCTTACCGGCAGATGCCGCGCCGTCTGGCTCGTGATCTCGTCTGCAATGAGGACTTGGAAGTGCGTGTCGTTGAATGTCCGCTGCAAGGAAGCAAGGAAAGTCGCCACGTCCTCGCAAAAAAGCGCAACGTTCGGATCGTTTGATGCGTTGACCGTGGTTTCCAATGGAATTTCCACGAGCTCAACCTTCTTGGCATTCTTTTTCTGCCCCCCACCGCCGGCCGCGGCGCACCCAGTCTCGTAGTAGTGCAAAAGCGACTTGGTCGCCGGGTAGATCGGGTCTAGAACCGCGATTTTGAGAGGCGGGGCACTACTAGTGCCACTCATCTCATGATATGAAATGCAAAAGCGTCTGGGTCTGGAAGAATGCCAGACTTGTCATGCAGGTTTTCCATGACCCATGAGGCCTGGTATGTAGGACATAGCATGACAGATTCTGTGTTAGTTCTGTCATGCCTATCCTGCATGAGAAACTGCCTCGCGATTAGGTCGAAAGTGAACAGCTTTTCGCAATCATGCAACACAGATTTTTACATGATTCAGATTTAGCATGACAAGTTGCTTTCTTGTTCCAGACCCAGACTTTTTTGCATTTGATACATGATCTAAAAGCAACGAATCGACGACGAGTTTCATGCCGTGACTGCAGTTCGGGACGTATTGAGAGGAAAAATCCCCCCTCCCCATATCGAAAACGAAATTTGTGATGCTGTATTTGAGTACACAAGTCGACTTGTAATGCTAGAAGGCCAAGAGACGCAGCTTTCGCCTCGTTTGCAAGCAATTTGTCATGCTGTTTCCGACTTCCAGCTGCCCCCTGTCATGCTGAAGAGGCAAGGCTTTCCCATAACCAGCACTGCAGTCCGCATCTTTTCCCTTCTAGCATAACAAAGCTGATTTGTGACCACAAATCTGCATCACAAATTTCTAGTTTGAATATGGGGTGGGGGGATTTTTCATTTTGATAGGACGAAGCCCAAGCCGGCAATCGTGTGAAGACCGTCAAAATCTTCTTCGCAGCAGAAAAACCGCTCGGCAATAGCGTAGCTTTGTTTCAACGAGGATCCTGAGGAAAAACATCCCCACGACCCCATCGTCAAGATGGGGACTCCGCTAGACAAGTCCACAAGTTTTGGCTGTTTTGCATGACAAATTTGGACTCGTAGTGTAGTGCTGTTCGAGCTAGCTTAGCAGCATCACAGATCTAGTATATCATGCTGATTGGAGCATGACAAATTCCAAAACATGAATGGAAAATGCTTCTCATGGGGCACCGCATGAGAAACATTTTCAGCATGCAGATTTGCATGACAACTCTGGGGTCGGGACGTTTTTACTCAGGATAACAAGGGCATCAGCGCTTGGTCGTAGAAAACATCGGGCTGCTTTATAACCCGCTCAGGTGTTACAATCTCAAATCGGTTACCATAGAATCGGGAATTTGTGTTGCAAGAGGTGCATTATGTAGCCAACTCTCATAGGATTGCGCATCACAAGTTCTGGAGTCCCAACCCGCACTCACTAGAATTATCTGGCGAAATTTGTATTGCAGAAAGTGGAATGCTGTCCGAGTCTGTCATGCTCATCATGCAATACAAAACCGAGATTTTTCTGTTGTAACGTTTGAGATTGTCACGTTTGAGCAGGTCATATGCTTGTTCGCAAATTGCAAGAGCTCCCGCGCGAAGGCCTCGCACTTCGCGTAGGGCCGACCGAAGGCGGCCACGTTGAGGTCGGAGGTGGGCAAAATGTCGTCCACAAGGTCCTTGTTTTCCATACAAAACAGCAGGTTCGGCGGTGAAAAAACAGCTGGATTTTTGACATCTTCTGCTTGTTCAACATCGGTTTTCATCGGTCTGCTTCCCGTGCCGCGCCGTGGTCCTCCTCGTCCTTGCTCCTTCGGGCTGTGGAACAGCATGCGGGTATCCAGAGCAAAAACGTCCCCACCCCAGAGTCAAGATGGTGATTTTGCAACACAAACTTGAAAGTTTTAGGAGTCACGCATGAGAAGTTGCAGGCTGTAGTGTAGTGCGGTCTAGCAAGGAGAGTCGCATAGCAAATTCATCTCCTTATCCTGTTTACAGCATTACAAGTTCCCAAACAGGATGCCTCTCATGTGGATGCGCAGTACAAATGCTCCTGCTATGCAAATCTGCATGACAACTCTGGGGGTGGGGATGTTTTTGGTCAGGATAGCGGGCTAGACTTTCGGGCAAGAAATCCAAAAGAAGCTCTTCGTCCGCATCACGGAACGAGCCAATAGGGATTGTTGAGGTGGATTTTGCCATGATTTTGCTGTTCAAATAAAACGTGAACTACTACACAGTTGAATAAATGAGGAGAGTGGTCTTCACAAGAAGTGTAGCAGAGTAGCGATAGATGAAATTATAGGATTTCACCCTTACTTTTCGCCCAGTAGTCCTGTTGTTGTTACAACAGGACTACACCATAAAAAATTGAACCGTGCTGGACGGCAAATAATTTGGGGTGAAAAAAACACCTGCACAAACACTATTTATGCTGAATCGTTTTTCAACTAGGTTCGTTGTATCATGTATCAATTTTTCCCGTTCTACGAAGTGGAAGATTTTTACTCCACTTTTCACGATTGGAATTAATACGAGACGATCCAAGATGAAATAGGAGCTACATAGGAGGTCCACGATTTTTTTCGGGTGCTGTTTTGTTGAAAAACAAAAAACGACTCTTGCATTTGCAACGATGGGGATTTATGAAAAAAATTCCTACACGATTTTTAATTACTCAAACCGACTACATTCTTTGCCTTGCAACGACAATTTTATCGACACGACTTTTGATGCACTAAGGTATAAGGTTACTGATAGTTGAATCTTAAAGCTAAAAAATTTAGGCCGGTCCTTGTTGAGTGGAAGTAGACGAGAGCAGGAGAAAAAAAATCCATCGAAACAACCGAAGTATAGTGATTGGCCTTGATTATGATTGTCCGCGGCTGATTGCTTCTTCGTTTCACAAAAAAAAGACCGACATCTCGCGGCACTGTGCGTTGCCGAGGAGTGTGATGAACACGTCATTTGCAGTTCTGCTTAGTGTCAGTGTTACCAATCACGTTGCAGAAAGACACATCAATCAGTATTGGCGTGAACGGTAATGGAGCGGCAGCATGTGCATGCCACTGCATCGTGCGTAGTGGCGGGACAAAATTTTGTTCGGTTTCTTGGTATCATGGCCGCGCATAGTATATCTGAAGCCAGAGCAGAGTTTGGTCGTTTTTAACATGGAAAATAAGTCGCAACGTATGATATTGAATATGCTTGCTGATAGAAATCCTGCTGTAGACGGTACATTGTTTCTTGGACGGGCGTGAATTTGCCGCAAGCAGAGAAGCCACAGCATGCTCTGCTGGTAATTATATAGACATTTTTTGTGTGACAACAGGTGGGAACAACAAATGCTAGCCCACCTCCGGGTAGAGCAAAAAATAAATGCGCACTAGGAAAAAACGCTGCGGAATCATATTTGGGTCGATCATGTACTTCAAATTCAATATTTATAAAAGGTCTTCTAGTTGTACCAGTCGTGCACGAAAAATTGCCACCAACGAGTCAGTACTCATTGAGGCACCCATGAACGACCACAAGGGATCTATAGTACATCAAGACAGTTTGCAAAATCTAGAGCTTCTACGCAGCAACCGGATCCGGAAGCTCAAGTTTTAAGTAGGCTGGTGCCCCCTTATTTTCCTTCACAGATGACATCGGCTCGGCATCAATCATCCCCCATCCCGGGCTGGACCATCGAAAACCGGTTGACTCCTCTCAGGAGCCCGAAATCAATCTTTTTCGCCCGAGTTACAGTGGTAGGAACTTCGTCAGAGTCATCTTCCCGCGCCGCCGGCTTCGTCAGCATGAGGTGCTCGAGGTTTTTGTACTCACCGACACGACCGTAGGGCCCATCAATTTTGAAGCAGTCTGCTTCGGACGCCGGAAAGGGTTTAGGAGGGCCGCTCCAGTCCTTCCGGGTTTGCAAAGCGCTAAGTCCGCCCTCAATCCTCGTCCCGGGTTTGAACGTATCGTAAGGAAAAATCCCCCCTCCCCATATCGAAACGGAACGCCTCAAAAAATTTGTGATGCTGATTTGCGACCACAAATCGTGTCTGTCTTGCAAGAAAGCAACGGCATCCGCTCCGCCCCATTATGCAGGCGGTTTGTAATGCTGTTGGTCCTACAGCATAGGCGTTCCCCATGCTAAGTGCCTAGGCCAAAACCTCTGCGTACTGGCATGATATCGGCCTGCAGTCCCCTACTGCAAGACAAATCTGATCTGTGTACGCAAATCCAGCATCAGAAATTTCGTTTTGATGTGGGGTGGGGGCTTTTTTCACTTTGATAGAACGCGGGCGTGCCTTTCACGACGTCGCTCAGCATTTTTTCCCACACTTCGTGGTTCCACGTCCAGGCCTATGGATTGTAAAAGTGCCTGGGTCCTCTGGAAGGGTACAACTTGTCATGCTAAATCTGAATCATGCAAAAATCTGTGTTGCATGATTACCAATAAAGCTGTCCACTTTTGAGCAAGCCGAGAGGCAGTTTCTCATGCGGAAAAGGCATGGCAAAGATCTCACAGAATCTGTGATGCCAGGGCATGCATCACAGACCTCATGCGTCATGCAAAACGTGCATGACAAACGTTGCACTTTTCCAGACCCAGACATATTTGCAATGGATAAGGCCCATTTCTTTTTCCGGTCATCGTAGTACCAGTGCCACTATCAAATCACATATGTTGTCTGGGTCCTCTGGAAATAATTTGTGATGCTACAATTTCTATCTGGACGATGGAACAAACGCGGCATCCGAATCAATGCTGCCAATGGCATGACAAGTTCTCAGAACGCTTTCGCATGCGCAGCCCGCGTCGGAAACTGCGTTTTTGTATGACAGAAGAGCCTGCGACTCATCTTGCTGGTCATGCAATACACTGATTTCACAAAAAAAATCGAAGCCCAGCATGATCGAAGTTCGAACTTTCCAGACCCAGATCTCGATATAATTTGCAATCGACATAGCCAAGCGTCGCGATCCTCGAGGAACTTTTCTTGTTCCCCTTTGGGTTCTTGTTTGATTGAAATTCTGTTCCTTTCCGCGGCCGCTAGGCACTTGAGCAGCTCCTCCTCTACGCCCTTGCGGATGTAGGGCTGCCCCTTAGTCGAGACGGAATAGCAGTCTTGTTCCTTCCGCGTGTTCTGTGCCAATGCAGGGGGCTATGAGAGTGCGCAACTCCCCCTCCCCCCCGATTTGTGGTGCAAAATTCAAAATCCACCCTTTGTCTGTCAACACTATTTGCATGACAGATTGTTCCGGAATCCAAAACAGCACTACAGTCCTCTGTAGGAGTTTGTCATGCAAAAGCTGCATTGTTGCCAGCGCTTGTGTTGCTGTTCATGCAAAACAAATGGGGGGGAGGGGGAGTTGTGCACTCTCATAGGAACTTCCTCTCCTCCCCGGGAGGTTGTTTCCGCACGATCCATATGGATTTCAAATATCGATCTTGGTCTGGAAGGATGCGAGGTTCCTTGTCATGCACATTGTGCACGGCCCATGATGTCCTTTGTGATGCATGGTCCAGCATCACAGATTTGTTGAGGGCGTCTTCCTCCCTATTCCGCGTGAGAAATGCCCTCTCCGCGTAGCACAAACTCGACTCCTCTTGCTGCTCATGCAATACACTTTTTTCAGAATCCAAAGACAGCATCACAAGTTCTTGCAACCTTCCAGACAACATCCAGGGATATTTGCAATGCGTAATCCATTCTACCGACCGTAGTTCGCGCACGGCGACGAAGTGATTCTTGCTGCTAGGCGACACGAAAAACCCGTCAATTTGGTTCGGCACCGTGTGGAAATGCGGAGGCGGCATGCCATTGTAGGGGACCGTGTGCACCCGCCTGTCCAGCGAAACTGCGTCAGCGGCGACAATGGGCAATCTATGAATTGCAAATATGTCTGGATGTCTGGAAACTTGTAAGGCTGAATGGCCATGATTGACTGTGCCTTTGAGTGCAGTTCAGCATGACGAATTTTTCAAACGCTTTCTCATGCGCTAGAACGCATACAGAAACTGCGACTTTGCATGATGAAAGTGTGTTGCTTCATTTGCTTTTTATGCAATACAGATTTTGTAGGAATGCGAAACACGCAATACAAGCTCAACCTTTCCAGACCCAGATCGATATTTGCATTTGATACACTCCCGTTTTGTCTTTGCCCAGTTCTCGCGCATGGATGTCGGACCCGCCCAAGCCGCTGGCCAGGTCCCCCGTGCCGGTCATCAATGGCATTGCGCACTTGACTATCAAATGAGAATATGTCTCGGTCCGGAAGGGTGCACGTGCAACTTGTGATGCTGCGTTTGGATTCTAAAAAAATCTGTAAGTATTGCATGAGCAGCAAAAGGAGTCCAATTTTTGCTACGCGGACAGGGCATTTCTCATGCGGGATAGGCATCACGAAGCCGTCAGAAAATCTGTGATGCTAGGACAAACATCACAGACATCATGGCTCATGCAAAACGTGCATGACAAACTTGCATTCTTCCAGACCCAGACATATTTGCAGTTGATATTGACGCAGTGGTTCGTGTCCCCGGCGAGAATCGTGGCAATCCCGTGCTTATCAAGTGTAAAAATGTCTGGGTCTGGAAACTTGTGATGCTAAAATGTGCATGATGAAAACACTTTCGAATGCAGTCCGGCATGCCAACTTCCCAAAACGCTTTCTCATAGGCAATCCGCATGAGAAACTGCGTTTTTGCATGACAAAAGAGGCTGCGACTTTTGTTCGTTATGCAATGCAGATTTTCTAGGTATGGAAAGCTAGCATTACAAGTTGCAACCTTCCAGACCCAGACATTTTTACAATCCATAGTGCTTATCCGGTGCAAATATCCCTGGATGGGGATGTCTCGAAGAGGACTGCAAGACTTGTCATGCATCTCGCGGACCACAGCACGCAGACATGGTCTGTAATGCACACAGATGAAGCTGCATCACAGATTTTGCGAGCTGATCTTCACCATGCCTACCCCGCATGATAAGAAATCCGCCTTTTGCAGCCCAGCAAGAAGTCGTGGGCAACATCTTTTGGCCTTCATGCAATACAGATTTTTGTTTCAGGCTTGAGACTACTTCGCATGACAAGTTGCATCCAATTCCAGACGCAGATCGAAGATATTTGCAATGCATAGTGCTTCAGGTTCATTTTCTGTAGTCGATACATCGTGCCGGCGTACGAGGGTAACAAATTAAAGTATGCATTGCAAATATGTCTGGGTCTGGGAACTTGTAATACTAGTTGCGAAAGACGAGCACGCCTCATTTGACAGGCAAGCATGACAAGTTTTGGAGGTGCTAAAGTCTTGGCTTTTCTGCATGAGAAAGTGAGCTTCTGCATGACAGAAAAGTGGCACTTTTGGGTAATGTGCATGACAGACTTGAGAGTCATGTCCGACAAGCATGACAAACCTTGGATCTTTCCAGACCCAGACATTTTCATAGTTGATATAAAGTACTTAGTATCAAAATGAAAAGTTACGATATCCCCATACTAAAACGGAGATTTGTGTACTGAAAAAACGGAGCTTGATGCCACAAATCACGTTTTGTCATGCTAGAAGGCATATAAAGATGCGGACTGTAGTGCTGGCTGGCGTGGGAAGCAGGCCTTGCATCTTCAGCATCACAGGAGGCAACTGAAAGTGGAAAACAGCAAGACAAACTGCCTGCAATTCAGGCCACAACTGCGTCTCTTGGGCCTCTAGCAATACAAGGCGACCTGAGTTGTACGCAAATCCAGCATCACAAATTTCCTTTTCGCTATGGGGAGGGGGAATTTTTCCTCGCAATACTTAGGATCGTCTTGGTGGAGGTGCAGGTTGACTAGGTGCACTTTCGCTTCAGTCATCCCGCCGGCGCCTATCAAATGCAAATATGTCTGGGTCTGGACGAGTCGGAGTTTGTCATGCACATTTTGCGTGATGCAGGTCCTAGCATCACAGATTCTTTGAGGGCTTCTTGATGCTCTTCATCACGCATGAGAAATGCCCTCTGCGCGTGCCAAGAACTGGACTCCTCTGGCTGCTCATGCAACACAGATACTTTTAGAATCCGTAGACAGCATTACAAGTTCCACACTTCCAGCCCCAGACATATTTGCATTTCATAGCGCCGTCGCGGATGCTAAACTGCATGCCGGCCGCCCGGTCCTTTTCGTGTTTGGTTTCTGTCGTGGAGTAAGGACCCCAAAGCGGATGGAGGTGCGAATCGGAGCCAAAGTTTGCGATCTCTCGGTCATAGTAGTTGGCCACATAATTCTTGGGCCCGAATCTTCGCTTCTCGGGGACAAGCCACTTGGGATCGTACACGATCATCAGCTTCTGAACATTCGGGATCTTAGGATCCGTGGTGACAAAGCGTAGCCCAGACTCCTCGATGTAGTTCCGCCAAAATGCAAAAATTTGCTTTCTTATCATCGTGAGTTTGTTTTTCCGATGGCGATCTTGGACGGTGAGCAGGAAGTCCACCTCTTGCAGCATGGCAAACTGCAGGTTCTCCTCTTTCATCACTTGCACGATCTTTTTCACTTGGTAAATCTTCCGCATTTTGTAGTGCTCCGCAAGCTCAAACTGGTTTTTCTCGATGTCGTCTGTTTGTTGAAAGTTCGACCAGGGGGAAAAGGTGATCGCCATTTTCTTGTTCTCATCCGTTCTGTCCGGGATGACCATACGCCCGGGTTTCATCATGATGTTCCACGTCATGCTATCGTAAGGAAAAATCCCCCCTCCCCCTGTCGCGACAAAGTTTCTGATGCTGGATTTCCGTAGTACACAAATGCGCGCTGTCTTGCAGCACGGCATCTTCGCAGCCAGATCCTCAGCCTAGGTAGGAGCGTTTGGGTCTAGTTGCTTCGCATTGCAAACGGCTTTTCCCTAAGCCCAACAGCATGCCAAATTGCTTCCATAATGGTGCGGAAGCCACTCTGCACTTGTCTTCTAGCAAGACAGGCGGGATCATTTGTGGTCTCAAATCAGCAACACAAATTTATTTCGGAAACATACCTTTTCGACGATATGGGGAGGAGGGATTTATTTTCCTCTCAATACATGCCGCGGAGCGAGGTGTGGAGCTGGTGGAGCTGCTGCTCCCCAGTTGTGCTGTTGCTTCCGACTTTGACTTCCTTGATCTCCTATCAAATGCAAAAATGTCTGGGTCTGGAAGGTTGCCAGGTTTGTCATGCATATTTTACATGACTCAGGATGTCTGTAATGTTTGATCTGGCATCACATATTTTTAGAGGCCTTCCTGATGCCTGTCCCGCATGACAAACGCCCTCCCCGCGTAGCACAAACTAGACTCCTCTTGCTGGTCACGCAATACAGATTTTTTTGGAGTCCAAAGTTAGCATCACAAGTTCCAACCTTCCAGACCCAGACATTTTTGCATTTGATATCTCCAAAAGCTGCATGGTGTGGTCGGAGGACCATTTGTTGGCCCCGTCCTTATATGCACTGCAAATATGTCTGGGTCTGGAAACCTGTGATGCTGAATTGAGCATGATTAAAGCACTTGCAATGGCAGCCAAGCATGACAAGTTTTTAAGACGCCTGCTGATGCCTAGCACGCATCACACATTGCGTTCTTGCATGACAAAGGAAGCTCCTCTGTTGCTGCTCATGCAACAGAGATTTTCCAGGATTGCAAGACACGCATCACAAGTTCAACTGTTCCAGACCCAGACATATTTGCATTTGATACCTTATCGAACTGCAAGTCCATCGCCTCCTGGCTCTCCAGGAGGGTGGCATTGTACTCAGCAGCGGCATAGTCTAGGGGCCCGGCGTATTGTGCGGAAATCAAATCCCCCCTCCCCAGGTATCGGAATCAATGCTGTGCCTATACGAGTTGCACCACGACTTGTATTGCTAGGAGGCAAAGATGAGACGCAGTTGTGGCCTCGTTTGCAGGCAATTTGTGAAGATGCTGCTTCCCGCTTCCAGATGCTTCCTGTCGTGCTGAATAATACACAAGGCTTGTTTTTTAAAAGTATTCCAACACCAGCCAGCACTACTGTCCGCATCTCTAGTACTTCCCCTCTAGCATATGTTGACAATCGGCGATTTAAAAAATGCTCGTACAACAGCGCAGATCTCCGTTTTAATAAGTACTATGGGGAGGCGGGGGGATCCTTGTTCATTTTGATACGGCAACGGGGAATCCATGCTCAGGGGAAGGAACGCTTTTGAAGTCCACTGGAATGTCCTCTTTTTCCGGCTCCTTACAAACAGCGAACTGAATCTGCATCGCAGAAGGATCATTTCCATGCTGCTTTTTGTTGGTTCCGACTTCGATCGTTGGAGGTTTCCCCGCCACGTCGTCGCCGTTGAAGGTTTCGGGCGTTGTTGTTGGCGATTCATCATCCGTTGGCATCAACCCAGGACCACGCCCGGGAATAAACAGATTGGCCGACACCAATGTTCTTGCAGCCCCCACTGCGAAGTGAAGTGCTGGCAGCCGCATTTTTTCAATCCTCGTGGGGAAAGAATTTACACAAAAAGGTGAAAAAGTCGAAAAATCATATATAATTTTTTCCGAAATGGCAATTTTAATTGCAGCTGCTTGCGGTGACGATTTTCCGAAGCGGTATCAAAAAGTGACAAATCTGAAATAAATAGACTATCGCACTTTTTCGAATTTGCGTCTTGAAAAAGTTAAATTTTGTCAGAGCTTGTGGTGTAGTACAACAGGTCGAATTTAAAAATTACGAGGATACTGGTACGACGACACCGCTTGTTACAAGCGTCTCTACAAACCTACAGGTCGTGGTGCCAACAGCTCGCGGATCATCTCACTAAGATGAGACAAACCACTGGTCGTTTAGCTGCTGTTGAGATAGTTTCATCGTGCTTTAAAACAGTGAAATACCAGTTGACTGACACGGTGTGCTGTCGCACCGTTTTTAACGCTGGTTCAGATCCGGGTCATAAAACATCCGAGTACAACCATCAATCGACGGGGCCAAGAGAATAAATGCGGGTCACCGATATATTTTGCTGGTCCGACTTCAAGAAGCAATGGCCCTCCACCTCGAGGACCTTTGTCCATGCGTAATATTAACAGCAGATTTTCATTTTTGCGAAGAGCAGCAGGAGTTGCAACCGAAGTCGATATCTCTGGTACATGATCCACCACGACACTGGCCATTACAATGCTGTATGTATTGACTTCCAATGAAAATAACCGATGGTCTAGTTGTAGTACTGTGTCAAAACGGTGTGAGAAAAGCGAGAGCTGTCTGGTAGAAACCGTATTATACAAAAAAAACACAGCCAGCAAAAACTACCGATGAATCAACAGGATTGACAGAGGAACCGCCGTTGCTGCTCCCTTTTCATCTTGCCTTGTTTCTCGTATTACGGAGATTGAGAGACTTGTACCGGCGTGTTTGTTGTTTGATTCGACAAAAAAAACTTTACATGTTGCTGGTAGACTTTCGCTTTACGTCGCGACCGCGAGGGCGATGAATCAGAAACTGAATTACAAAATTTTTTTCCAGTACAGAAAATAAGACAATAACTGTGTACGCTCTCTTCAACAACATAATACTTGGACCACGTCCACCTCATTCGAGCATAATTATGTTCTTGCTCGTCAGCTATCAATGAGCACAGCTGTCACGATCCTGACAGCCCGTGCCCACAATTCTAATCTCGAAACGCTGTTTAAACTCTAGTAAGTAAGTACCTCGTAGCGACATGATTGATTTAGCTCGAAGAAGAATTGTGGTTGAATGTTTATTCCTATAGTGCTTGTTCTCATTCTCAGTATGCAAAATTTCGTCTGGTTTTAGGTAGCAATCCGTCGGATAATTGGTACGATCTTGTTCATCGCATTTTTCGAAAAATGACGGCTGTTGAAAAAAGTAAGATGAAGATTCTTGCTAGTATTTTTATACAACCAAGCCCTAAACTTCGACCTTGGAAGTAGTAAATACTCAGTACAGGACTACATAACTTGAAAAAGCAAAATGCACACCATGGCGCCGACTTTCGCGACCAAGTTTTCTTTTGCGTGTAGGATGATCTTCACGACGAGGCGGGTCGCTGTAAAAACGCCGGTCGTGCTGTCTTGGTTCACTCCAGGAGGCTATGGCAGGCTTTAGAAAAATACGGATAATGATCTTGTGACACTTATTGTCGTATGGTAGTGTCATGCTTCTAACAGTAACAACGGAAAAAAAAATCGACTTAGAGAGTGATGTCGGTGACAAAAAATGTTCTTGTAATAATTACTTTGTTTTAGGATTAGGGGCTAGTGCTTACTTTAGATTCTATTCTTTGTTTGTTGTGTCCACCAATCGAAGAATTTATCTACAAATGATCTAATCTGCTAGAAGTGCTGCATGCACCATCTTCTTCGCATGTGAAGTAGAAGCTGAGTGCTTTTTTGGGATTATCATTTACACAACTGATGCCGCGAAGAGTATTAAAACAATGGGGTTCGTCAATATTACTTATTGTCCGCTTGTTCAAAACAACATCTTTCGGCTCTTCACCGTCCAGCCAGCCCATTCTTCCGCAGTATGAAAAGGGAAAGCTAAGGGCGAATTCCACTACATCTATTTTGATGCTTTTGATGAGGCGATTGATGTATGTAAAAGAAGCACATCACAGCCGAGAGAAATTGCCATCATCGAGGAGATACAAGAAGTACAGAGGCAGCGCAAGAAGTGCCCACAGTTATTGCTCTCCCATACGTTCCTGAAACTTTTTGCTCAGCGAATCCTCTTCCCGCAGGTGCTCCTGAAGCCGTATGCAGAAGAGTAGTAAGTACACCCATACCTTTGTTGGGCGTCCAACATGACAAAAAGTCCTTTGTTGCCCGTCCAGCATGACAAATTTTCTGGAAACCATTGTCATGCCGGTCCGCATTGTTAGACACTCTCCATTTTACGCATCACAGAGTCTCGCCTCGGTTAAGCAGCAGCACAGAATTATTATTTTTCGTCCGGTACTATGGGCGGCGTACTTTTTTCTAGGATCATAAACCGAGTGACTTTGCTCCGGATTTCCTAGTTCGTTATTTTTGAGTATGTCATTTCATATTTCCAGACGATAAGGATAAAGTAATACTGACTCTGAGTTTGGCTTTGTCCTCGATGCATTCCAAAGAACTTGTACTTTCTCTACACCACGTGTCCTGCAAATAAATCTGGACTTTTTTTTTACATGCTGTGAAAGTTCACGATCGTGCGAGACCACAGAGAAAAACGGCTAGAGCAGAAACAAACCTCGACGTATTGGGTCTTGAGCGCCAGAATGTGCTCGAGGCCGGCCACGTACGCGTCGACGTCAGAACCTGGGCGGTCTATATGGAAATGTCAGGTGGGAACAATAAGTCATCAAATATTGTAGAAATCAAAGATATTTATTTCCATGTTCTTGACGGGCTGCTCCCACCTGACGTTTTCATATTCCACTTGATTGATGTACACCATCTCCTCTTTCACGAGATCGACCATTATCAAAGTGCACAACCACAACTACTCTCCGCCCCCCCCTCATTGGTCACGCTAATCTTCGAAAATAAATCTAGTTGCTGCCCTGTGGCACAACTGTTTGCATCACAAATTGTTCATCCGGAGGCCATCAAGCAGTAGCAAGTACGTTCGGCGCACAAAGAACTTGCCAACGTGTTCTTGCGCGGGCTCCACGTATACAACAAAGAAGGGGGACGATTCGGCGAGTTGTGGTGCACTCGCATAACCATGCTGTCAATGTGCTGGCGGTGCGACGCAATCAAGTCCTCTTCCTCCTGCAGGATTAGACCTTATATATCAAGTTTTAGGCATTTGTTTTGTTTCGATTCTCGTCACATGAGACATTTTGTTTTACGTACCTTGACAGGTAATATCCACTTTATTAAATTGCAATTTGCATGACAAGAACGTATGTTTGCCCAGAAGAAGGAGTGAGTATAAGTTCTATACTTATAAGCTGGTCGTGCCGCTTCACCAGGTCTCGGAGTATCCCGAGGAAATAAAGCGGGGCCCCCACACTCCCACAGAAAAATCAGCCTCTCATGCGGCTGCGCATGAGAAAAAACATGCTCAGCAGGGCAAGGAATTCTGCATGACAAACAAGCTGGGGTTCATCTTGTGTGGGCCCCTCTTTGATGCAGAGGATACGGAGCTCCGGAAATTCCTCTTTCTGCGACAAGGAATCCCTTCCCAAAAAACTGTCTTTTGCCTCCGGTCGTATCCAAGAAAAAAACTGTGTAAGTGTAAGTCTGTGATGCAGGAAATGCAAAACTGTATAATTACGCTTGTCATGCTGGATGTACGTGATAGGCAACTTTCATACGTGTTTCCATGTACTAGCTGCGCATGACAGGTTTTCCTTGTAATGCAAAACGAATTTGTGATGCTGTTCTTGCTACGAAGTTACACTTACACAGTTTTTTCTTGGATAGGTCGCGTCGTCGCGTTACTATCCCGAGTCGTGGTATTAAACGAGTCCCTATGGTCGCGCGGAAGTGTCGTCGCGCGGTCCGCGTTTTGATGTGAGCCTTTTATTCCCTCCGCCCCGTCGTGTTTCTCGTATCTGTATCAAGTGCAAAAATGTCTGGGTCTGGAATATTCCGGGATTTGTCATGCTAGTCCGGCATGACTCTGAGCTCTGTATTGCGTGGCCCCAAAGGGCTTCTCTCGCCTGTCATGCAAGAACGCAGTTTCTCATGCGGAGTACGCAACTCTGAACCACGGAAAAAGTTGTCATGCTTGGCAGTGCATTGCAGTATGCGCATTTTTCCCTGACTTGCATTACAAGTTTCCAGACCCAGACATTTTTGCATTTGATAATCTGCTTGCCGGTCGGACGTTCTTCTCCTCTTTCGCTTCTCGCGTGACCGACGTTGGTGCCATCTGGCTCTCGCGCTCCGCATGTAGCAGCACTTGCCGCTGGTTGGAGGCTGCGTGGGTCGTTCGGGAGTTGTCCGCGAGGGCACCGGTGGTTCCTGTCGTCCGCGAGTTGGTAGATGAGCTTGTATTAGTGTTAGTACTGCTGCTGCCCTGTACTATTTCCCCGCCAACCCCAGTACTACCGTCCACCGAGGCTCGCGGCCCACCACGGGTATCCTGTGCAAATATGTCTGTATCTGGAAGATTGAGAGCGTTTGTCATGCAAATTTTGCAATGACCCGGGATGTCCGTGATGCATGCTCTAGCATTACAGGTTATGCGAAGGCTTTCCCATGCGTATCCTGCATGAGAAATGCCTTCTCCGGGCAGCAAAAATCAGAACGCCTTTTGCTACTCATGCAATACAGAGTTTTGTATGATCGAAAATTAGCATCACAAATTCCATTCTTTCCAGACCCAGACATATTTGCAATTCATAACGGGCGTGTCCTGACGACGTCGAGTCCCGGTCTGCTCGGTTTGCCTTGATCGATTGCAAATGTCGATCTGGCCGCGTTCTGTTTGTCATGCATCTCGTGCTGGACCACACTCACACAGATGGCGTGTACTATTGCACGAAAGAACAGAAGCATCATCTTCACAGACACTGCGCAAGAGCTCAATTTATAATGCCTATTCTGTCCTTCGCGTGGGACGAAAGAAGAAGAAATTATGGGTAAGTATAACCTTTGGCGTCGTGGTGGTCCATGCAACACAGATATTTGTCCGATTCAAATTTAGCAGAATAGCATGTTGACAAGTTGGAGACACCCCTCCAGAACTAACACCAGGTCGGCAAAAATATTTGCAATGCATAACCTTCCCCGGAGAGCGATTTCGCGGCGTCCGTTTCAGCGCGGGGCTTTTTTCCTTTTGCTGCAATCCGCGGGGCGGTGGCAGCTGCTGTTGAGGTTGCTCCGAAAAGGAACTGCTGCTGCTCCCACCGCCAGCCCCGACCATCGATGACTCTTGCTCCCGACTGTAGGCGCGGCGGCCGTGGCCCGTGCCACTAGTGTTCGCAGTGGACGACGCGGACGAGGAGGCCGAGCTGCTACTACCCATAGGCAACGCGACGTATCAAATGGGGAAAAAAGCCGAAAAATGTTAATGTATAGAAGCCAACTTGTCGTGTAAATATTAAAGTGGATCAAAATTTTGTTCTGAAACGATTGAGCCACTTGTGGGTGGATTATGTGCCTTCGAAGATGAGCATGCAGGGTCAGGATTAAAATTCCTTCAAGCGGGCATGACATCAAGTCGGTACAAGGATTATGAGTAAGTACAACTCTGGCGTCGAACAACCTCGGTATAATTTCTTCCACATTTGATACGAAGCTGTCGTTGCCAATGGTTATTATTTCCGGTCCGCCCGCGACTGTGCCACCGACCGAGGGGTCACTCCGACCGGAAGGGAGACGGGGAGGCTGGGCCTGGGATGGAATTTTCGTTTTGAGTTTTACATCAACATGTCTATATCATTTTTCATCTTATGCGTGGAAGAAAGTGGAAAATTGCGCATGACAAGTCGATAAAAAGCTGTAAATTCTCGTCTGATACGTCAACACCGCTCCGTTGGCCGTCGTCTTCCACTAATCGCACAGGTGGACTGTAGTGCCGCTTGCTCTCGTGGTATGGAAGGAATAAACAACGTTTTTTGTCAGGCAAAGATACTAAAAAGCTGCTGCTAGTACTCCTCCTGTGAGAGAACAAGAAAAACAAGAAGAACTGTGCGACTACTGCCAGTGCTGCGGAAAACAAACTTTCATTTTTTTTAGGATGTTTTGGATAATGACAAAAAATTGTTTTTCTCATCTTAACTCGCTTCTTGGCCCTCGGTCCTGCAGTTCCTTGACCCGGTAGGCGTACCTTTTTGTGAAGTATAGTTTGCATATGAATCTTCCATGCAAAACTTCCCCAGTGCGTTTGCTAAAAAGTACAGAACATCAAACTATACAAGTTGGCTCCAACTGTCGTTCATTTTCGTAAGCATTACAAACCACACATCAGAAACAAAGGAGCACATCATGGTACTATATTACCTCAACGTGTTGAGCGTGTGCTCGACCGTGGCTGCCGTGGGCGATACCGTTGCGATCATCACCGTTCTACAGTACTCTCCCACGAAGGAGTCTTTCAGCACTTGCGTCAACTTCGCGACTATCCAGTGCAAATATCGAAGATCTGGGCGTTCTGGAAGTAGAGTGCAGAAGTAGTTTGTCATGCACTGTATTTTCATGCCCCAGCAGAACGAGGGGGTCTGGAATGGGAGCTAAAGCTGCATCACAGGCTTTGCTAACGCCTCTCCAAGCCTATCCCGCATGTTACAAATCCATTTTTCACGGGACGGAAGTTTTTGAGAGAATTCTCTGTTCACGCAGCACAGATTTTATTTCTGTCAGTCGGATTTAGCATCACAAGCTGCGATGTTCCAGATCACAGCCCAGACATATACTTTAGGTTTAATGCATAAACCCACGAAAGGGTGTGTGCTCAAGCTGCTGATCCAGCGCGCGGATGCACTCTTTCAGTGCGATATCGCAAGAAAAAACTGTTTCACTGTGAACTTGTGACGCAGAAAATGGAGCACAGAACTATTTGTCTTGCTACACCTGCATAGAGCATTGGAGTTCCAACCGTGTTTTCCCGCCCTATGGGAAATGCGCGCATGACAAATTTATTTCAGGGTCATGTGTTAGTAACATACTGGTGATGCAGATCTTGCAAAAGGATCACAGTGAAACAGTTTTTTCTTGGGATATGCGAGCAGGGACTTGTTAATCTCGGCGCCGTCCAGCCGTGTTTGTCGGTCTTGGTCCAGTGTATTGGCCCCGCGCTCCGAACCTGAAATTTGATAGTATTTTCAAACTGGTGGCTCAATGTATTTTTTACTCACATGATTTTTCTTCACGTGTTCGATACTACTGCTGGTGACTTTGATGCGACGTTCTTTTGTCGGTTTCATTTGCTGTAGTTCATCTCACAGTTAGACATTTGCTGATGTGGTGCTTCTACTTATGCTGGGAAATAAGAAAAAATGTATGTAGAAATCGAAGAAACTACCTGCTAGGTCGATGAAGCTGACTTGGCCGTGGATGTCACCAGAGGTGGTTTTGAGGGTGATCTGCAGAATCGCATGTGACCGCGAGGAGTCTATGTTGGCACCGGTATCTCCGAGGGAAAAGTTGTCAATGGATCTGACTTCCTCGAAGAAAACATTTTTTATCAGACTGTCGCTCAAAGTAGGCTGCTGCAGCAATGTCGCTTGCCAGTAGATTGATGTCGCAAGCATCTTGCATCATGCTTCGCGCATTTTCATAATTTCTTGGTATTCTGCTTTATGCGCGGCCACAGTTTTTCATCTAAACTTTAGTCCGTGATGTGGCCATTGACAGGGTCTAGTTCCCCCCGCATACAGTAACTCCTGTTGTGCGGGCTTGCAGGCCAAACTCGATGACATACATTATCCAGTGAAAAAACATCCCCACGACCCCAGAGTCAAAGTGGGGATTTTGCTACACAAACCAGACAGCTTTTGCTGTTGCGCATTACAAGATTGGGCGAGCAATCTAGCCTCGTTCAGCTAGTGAAGCCGCGTCACTACAAATCGACTACCATGCTCGGATTCTGGCATAAGAAACGCCCAGATAGCACTTTAGAGAATTCTCCTTGCGCGCGTACGCATGAGAAACGCAAACCAGTCTGGATTGCGGGGACTTGCAGATTTGCATAACAAGTCTGGATTGGGGACGGTTTTACATCTGATATGCATCACTTCTTGCACGTTGGACACCTGCGTCTCCGTCAGTCCGACGATCACGACCTTCATTTTTTGTTCGGGATTTGTTCTTTCCACGTTTTCTGCGTACATATGATGATGCGAGAATCAAGAGATGCTCATGTTTCATCCATTCAGCTTGCTCTTCTGCATGCGGCGACCAAGAATCGGTTTTCCTTTTCCTACACATCTCTCTGTACTGGATGAAATGCTATAAACAATATGTGGTACCTTGTTTTTCGCGTTTTCTCTTGCGTGCAGCAACTGTCTCCGGTTGAGCAGGTCGAAGAGTTTGCCGCAGTAGATCTCGTAGAAGGAGATGATCACCTGGAGGTCCTGTTCCCGCCCCTTTAGCTGTTGGAAGAAGTCCTCAGCGGCGAGCAGGAAAATCCCTTTCGGGGGTGCCTCCGAGTCGTCGTTGCGCTCGCCTTATGCATTGCAAATGTGTGGTTTCGGACTGGGTTCTTCTTCTTGTGAATAATGACCGCTCTGCAAAAGTGCACTGCTAAGCATGAGAACAAATATTTGTGACTGTGCGGCTGAGTACGTGTTGCGCATTCCGCATGACAAACTGCGTCCCTTCATGACAGCAAGGATAAGGGCCTTTGACTTTATTTATTCGTGCGCACGACTCATTACAAACCCAACAGTCATGATGTCATTACAAGCATGACAAATTTATGCAAATCTTCTCCCGCCGATGATCCCAGACAATTTGCAGTGGATACGCCTTCGTCATCGTAGAATCGGCGACCCTCGCTGTCGACGGACCGCTGTCCGGGCCCCATCATGTATCAAAGTGAAAAAAGCCCACTCCCCATAGCGAAAATGCACCCAAAGGAGATCTGTGTTGCTGATTTATGTACGCAAATGCCTCTGTATTGCATACTTGGGAAGCAAAAGCGATGCGACACACTGAGCAGGCAATCTGTAATGCGTTTTAGCCTACAGCAGCAACATCTATCATGCTGAAGAGCTAGAACTCCAGAAACCTGAACGGGCCAGGCATGCGCCTGCGCTTCGTTTCTGCAAGACAACGCTGATTTGTGACCACAAATCTGCATCACAGATTTCCGTTTTGGTATGGGGAAGAGGAATTTTTCTTCTTGATATCATGGTGTAGGTCTTCCCGGACCCCGTTTGGCCGTACGCGAAGCACGTGCATCGTGCGCCGTTGAAAGCGGCTTCTACCAGTGGCCGGACAGACTGGTGGTAGAGGTCTTCGTTGGCGTGGCTTTCGTGGTAGGGGTATCCTGTGGAAATAAAACCGGTAGTACCCATGATCGTGTAAAAGTAGTCGAGTGGAGAAACTACTTACACACATTACATTCAGTTTTATGATGGGCAACATCATGGTGCTTACGTAACAACCTCGGGTTCACCGGCGCATCATCGTTATGCCCTTCCAGTAAAATGCCCATCCAACAAAATGGCAGCCGCACGGGCCGACACCTCCGACACATGTCAGACGAGCATGACAATAAATCTGGTACGGGTACGTACTACGTTTTTACTCAGGATAATGTGCGATCGAAGAGAAAATGGTGCTCCTCGGTGTATTTTGTCAGGTCCACCTTCAGCTTCGGCTCCCGCACAATGGCCTCGTTGGACGCACAGACCACCACATCTCCTTCATCACGATGGAAAATACGAACCAACGCTCTCCGCCGTGGTAGTTTCTTTTTCTTTGTCTTTCTTCTAGCACAGCAGGACTGCTTTTGCATCTCTCGGAGGTCCTCGTCGTGTAGCATGTTTATAAAATATGTTTATCGTAATTGAGGTCCAGTTTTGACCTTTGCATGACCGGTTGAAGTAGTACTTACTTGCTTACCACAGCAGGCCGCTCGTAAAATTTTTCTGTACGATATTTCTCCTCTTTCTCCAACTCGCGCTTGTTCAGGGGACGCTTGCGGACCTGTGAGTTGTGTAGAGTGCAATTTGTCATGCGTCACTTGGCATCTGGGTCCCAACTGGTTGTATCCATCTTATGCATAACAAATCATTTGAACATTATCAATTTCGATCCTGTCACTTCCATATCGATACCAGCACAGTTAGCCTCGGGTTGTTGTTGCCGCTTGTCCCCCGGTTTGTGTTTGGGTCGGAGTTCCGGCCATTTTTGTTTTTGGCTTTCTTGTTCTGCGGCAGCCTTATGGAAGGGGAAAAAATAAGGTGTAGAAGGTATGGTAGAGACAGCTTATCATGCTTCAATATTTCAAACCCTCGCGGCCCCCTCTCGCTTTCGAAATACAAAACGCTCTCGTTGTTCTACTTCGGTGTCATGCAGCACGAAGAAAAAAAATGTGCTTTCGCTTACGGTTATTTAGGGGATGGACTAGTATCAGTACTCTCTACAATTCCTTCCCCTCGCATACGCTCTGCAAACCGCTTCGTGAAAGCGAGGAAGGTCTGCGGCTTCGGCATTCTTCAGTTCTCACGGCCGCAGCAGGAGCAGCAGCGCTACGACCGTCGCTGGATGCTTCTTCCGCGGCCAGGCCTGCTGTTTTTACCAACTACTTGTCGCAGCGAAGCTGTAGAGGTACCTCATCATGGTCCCCGCAGCACAGGTTGAAATCTCCATGCGGCCCCGCCATCTGCCACTGCTGCGAGATAGTAAGTACCATTCGCTACTGCGCCGGCGTCGTAATTTTTCATCTCACTGCAACGTTGGCGGCGGACGCGGGAGTCGTTCGGCCATCTGTAGTCTACGACGGCGAGGAGAGTTGTTCTGGATGTTTTGCGGGGAGGACCGCGGCGTGGTGGGAGACCAGTGCGTGTAGGGTTCAATGGTGTAGTTTTTATACACGCTTGGTTATGGTTTCGACATCAGCGTCTGGACATCATTATTTCAATGTATACTCTTCCCAAAAAATCTTTCATGTACAAGGTTTATCTTCAACCCAGGACACCGAGGACGCTACTGGTTCGTAAATAAGGAAAATATAGTAGTAAGCTCCTCGTCACCGAGCAGCCATATATTCTTTACCGCGCAGCTGCAACGCGTGGGCCGCAACAGAACTAAAGTACTAATACGGAACCAAAAACAGTAGAAGGTTTTGGCTTCGCTCGCTCACCAAGTTCTTGTGCATACACTTTCAGTTGTCACATCACACGGCGGACGCAAGCCAGAAACAGCACGAACACAACATCAAGCGGACTGCTCCGTGCTTGACTACGTGACAGAGCTCGCATCTTCACAAGAAATACGTATGGTCTATTTTTCCAGCGTGGCCACTTATACCATGAAGCTGTTGCCGTAGCTGTCTGAACAATCCGCAGATGAACATCGATCCGCCCCTAGCGCGCGGAGGTAAGAGTGTAGGATCTAGTTTCGAAATGGAGAGGTTATTTTTTCAAGCGCAGACATACCGACTTCAAATCGAACACCATCTAAGTAAAACTACATCTTCAATTCTTCAAATTCACACTACAGTCTCCCAAGCTAAGATAAGTTTTCCCCAGTTTCTAAAATGTCGCGTTATCGATCTATTGTCACCACGTGCTTCCTTCGTCTTCTCTTTATGTAGGGCGGGTTTGGCTTTGGATTTGCCGCATCAACATGAATTTTGCTGCTAGTTTGTGTGAAGCTCCTGGAGGACGAAGAAGGTGAAGATGAGAACGACTCTACTGATGTTGAGGAGAGTGGAGTAGTTTCGATATTCGGAATTCATGGCTGTAAGCGACGAAATGCGATGCGCGACACTGCAGCGATACAGCTCCGAGATGCAGCTTGAAACGAACTCGAACCCCAACCCCTCCGCATGTCCCCCCCTAGGGCAGGATAAATTGTTTTGATGGCAGCTAATTAGAAGAAAGATTCCGTGCATACGCCAGCCGCAGGACCTGATCCTCTCTCCGCATTTCTGGAGGCACGTTGCCACATCTTTCAACAGCGCCGACTTCAATAGCCGTCAGGACGACTTCCATGTCTGTGAACAGGTGGGGCCGGAATTCACGCCAACACACAGGTTGCGGATACAGGCGAGGGTTCCGACGGGGTGGAGTGGGTTTCTTGTCATGGTCCCACCAGAGATCGCGAATCAGCTTGTGATGCAGGGCAGCAAGTAGAATTTCTTTGTCCTGCCGCAGCTCGTCCGGAAGGTCGTCCCACTTGAAAAAAAAGCTGGGGTTTTTTTCGCGGATACCGCTTTTGATCAAGAACAGCACGAAGTCTTTATCCCGCTGAAGCTCTTCTGGAGTGATGTCCCGAAACGAGGAAGCCGCTTGGACTGCATCCCGGTACTTTTTATGTCTGACGAGACGCGAAGAACCAGGTAAAACGGGAGGAGGAACCGCAACGAACCGAGATTCGTCGACGAGGTCCAGGACCTGTTTTCTCGCCGCGGCCGACAAAGGTTCAACGCCTTCCCGCAGGCTGGTTCCTGCACGCGGGTTCATTTTCGCGGCCTCAACCACGGTTACCCCGCTGGTAGCGGATGCGGCAAAGTAACTACCATACCAGAGCAAAGCCAACAACATGATCCTGGTTCTGTGGCTCTTTACAAGTTAAAGATACTGTGAGAGATGAGGAAGGCTGTTCGAAGAAATGCTATACGAGTTTGTTGTATTTTCGCCGACAGGTTTATTTTAGAGTTCCCAGGGTGGCAAGAATTTACTGTTACTGCAGAACTCAGCTACTTTTATCGTTCTTCTTGTTCAACGGTTTAGGGTTGCTATATTTTCCAAGCAAACACGACACAAAATGCGTGCTGCTAACTACTCAATTTCAACCTGGAGTCACGGTGAGAATTTTGTCGGCGAAAAGACGAAATGGCGTGGACCAAAATAATTCGCATTCAAAAGACAAGTGGTCCAGCTCAACCGAAGATGTCAATTTAATAATGTTTTCCTCCAGCTCAACAGAAATTCACATCATAATCGATAAGGGACATAAATGATTTTTCAGATCTGTACAATTTTGCAGCAGAAAGATTTCGACCAAGGGACCCTGGATAGTTACCTAGTCTTGGAATTCCGATTTTCAGCACCGATATTGAACCGAGATCTTGTCTTCGATTTCTGTCAACAGGGAGGATGAGGCAATCAGCAAATCATCCGCCCCTAGTGCGCGAAGGTAAAGTAAGTATCTCATTGCCTTCTGCACTTCGGGCCAGTGCAAAGAAGAGCCAGCGTTTTTACTTCATTGAATCGAAACCAAATAAACTTGTCGTTTGAAATTCATTCAGACAACATCAGCAGTAAGCTCGTCATTCGGTCGCGCCGGGCAGCTGTCCGGCAGAGGCGCCAGAACCTTCTCGGCCTGCGGCAGTTCGTATCTCAATATTATATAACTCATAGAAGCCACCTCTTCTTGGGAAGGAACCTGCGTTCTTCATTTTTACAGAGCCACTCACCCAGTGGAGCCACTCAGTTGGAGTAGTTGTCGTCCGATTCAATTATAGAGTCACGTCGTCGTTTGAAATTTTCTTTCCAACAGCCAGCTACTTGCTTCGACGGCACCGAATCGGTTAACAGAAAACACCTGGCGCAGTGCCTTCGCCTGCTATTTCAATCATTGTCTTTCTCTAGTATATAAAACCGTCGACCACACCAAAAAATCACTAATATCAATTTCAATACTAACCATGTGGACGGCATTATAAAAGACAAATTCCTTCGAACTCCTTTGGACGCGGCCCAGCAGCAGAAGTGCACTTATTTGTACAAACTAGTCTTCTAGAAGCCACTACTTTATGAAAAAACGCGCGAAAAATGAACCCGGATCAGGTTTGCTTGACTACTTCATTCAACTTCGCGGGCGTCGCGGAAACTACACGACAAGTATACCACTATAATCATAAAACGCGCTAACAATGTGACGAGCCATCAGCATTTGGAGCATTTTGGCTGGCGAAATAAATTTTGGCGAGTCAACATTAGATTATCATCGACCGACCAAGCGAAAAATAAACCGCACCGCGCTTGTAGTTCCAAGCGGTCTACTGCCTTTGTCTCACGCGACCCTTCTATCAAATGTAAAAGTGTCTGGGTCTGGAAAGTTGGAACTTGTGATGCTAACTTTGGACTCTAAAAAAATCTGTATTGCATGACCAGCAAGAGCAGCCACATTTGTGCTACGCGAGGAGGGCATTTGTCATGCGGAAATGGCATCAGGAAGCTTTCCAAAAATCTGTGAATGACAGATTTTTGGAAGATTAATGCCCCAGCATCACTGATGCTGGGTCATGCATTACAAGCATCATGGGTCATGCCAGACAAGCATGACAAGCCTTCCATTCTTCCAGACCCAGACACTTTTACACTTGATACCCTCCAAGCAGCAGCTGCTGTGGGGTCTTGCCGGCCCTTTCCGCTCGTGCAAAGGAGATCGCGCACCTCTGAAAAGTATCCTGAGTAAAAACGTCCCCACCACAGAGTCAAGATGGGGATTTTGCAACACAAACCTAGAAGTTTTGGTGGTCACGCATGACAAATTTCAGTTCGTACTGTAGTGCAGGTTAGTGTGGACAGCCGCATTGCAAATCCATCTGCTTATCCCGTTTACAGCATTACAAGTTCCAAAACACGACTGGAAATGCCCATCATCGGGATGCGCATCACAAATGTTCTTGTCATTGCAAATCTGCATGACAACTCTGGGGTGGGGATATTTTTGCATTTGATAAAAAGCGGCACGAATTTTGCTGGTGTCGATGCTCTGTGGGTTCTGGTAGATGATCACGACTTATCAAATGTAAAAATGTCTGGGTCTGGAAGGATGCAAGGTTTGTCATGCACATTTTGCATGACTCCTGATGTCTGCGATGCGTGCCCTAGCATCACAGATCTTGTGAGGGCTTTCTGATGCCTATACCGCATGAGAAATGCCCTCTCGCCGTGGCCAAAACCAGACCTCTTTTGCTGTTCATGCAATACAGATTTTTGAATAATGCAGACGCAGCATCACAAGTTGCATTCTTCCAGACCCAGACATTTTTACACTTGATACGAACCGCGAGATAATGTTGCTGTTGTTGGAGACGCTGGTCGTGTTGCTCATCGTGGTTTTATCGCTATAGTCTTTCCTGCTTGTTGTTGTTCCTGTGCCGTTGGCTGTCTCTAGTACTGTTGATCGGGTAGTGGTAGCTAATGAAGTTGCTGTTTTTTCTGCCCAGGTCGTGGAAGTTGTTCTTCTTGCAGTGGGAGCTGCTTCAGACGAATTATTTTCATCACGCAAAATAAGTTCCACTTCCGGCTGGGGGTCCAGCAGTTCCCACTCTACGTGATCTGCAACGCCCTGGACCATGATCCAGGTCAGCTTTTTCTGCAGCGGCGAGTCTTGCGTGACCAGCACCCCCTTGCAGCGCAGGATGCGCGCCGAGGCGTACCGCATGTAGAGGTCCGCCAAAAACGCGCGCACCTTCACCGTGTCCAGCGGCTCGCCCGTGATGACCAGTGACACACTGTTCGCACCTCCACCGCCCCCGCCAGTAGCGGAGGCTGTACTACCGGGGAAGGAAGTAAGCACTGGCGGTATTATTGGCGGTTTCTTTCCAAAGATGTGAAGCGGTTCCTGGGTGAGAAACTCCCGCGTCGGCGTGAACAAATTGCGGTCCAGCACCTGCGGAATCGAAACTCGCGCTTGCCGGCAGGGCAGCACATCGACGAGGTGGTTTCTGGATTTTAGGTGCTGCAGCACCGTGTCTCGGTCGTGTCTGGATTTGAACAGGTCAATTTTGTTCAATAAAACGACATCCGCGAGCGACAGCTGTTCGATGATCAGCTCCTTGCGCTCCTTTTTGGCTCTTTTCGTGGTGCTTTGTTCCAGCTGCTCATCGGAGTAGAAAAAATATCCTGAGTAAAAATGTCCCCACACCAGAGTCAAGATGGGAAATCCGCTAGACAAATCGGCCACCTTTGGTTGTTTCGCATGACAAGTTTATCCTCGTAGTGTAAGCCTGTTTAGCTAGTTCGGAAGCATTACAGATGTAGCACATCATGCTGATTCTAGCATCACAAATTCCAAAACAGGATTAGAAAATGGCTCTCATGGGCCTCCGCATGAGAAACTTTTTTGGCATGCAGATTTGCATGACAACGAACTCTGGGGTGGGGACATTTTTACTCAGGATAAAAAATCCAGCTGGTTCATGTCCGAGTTGTCCTGCATTACGGTCGTTTGTATCGAATGCAAATACGTTTGGAACTGGAGAGAATGGGATTTGTGATGCTAGCTGTCGACCACACAACAATCTGTATTGCAAGAGGGGCAAAGCACACTCAGGTTGTTGCAAACCGGACAGGACATCTCTAATGCAGAATAGGCATGAGCAGACCTGTGCGAAAGCTGCGGTGCTACAGCATGCATCACAGGCATCGGGAACCATGTACAATTTGCATGACAAACTCCCCCAATCTTCCAGACCCGGACTACATATTTGCACTTGATAGTTTGGTCCTCGTTAGAAGTAGTAGAGGTTGTATTTTTGATGTACTGGTCGTAGTTAATATCATTATCCGACATGGACAGCATCTGGACGTCCTCGATATTGAGGTTGCCATCATGTTGATCGTCCCAAGAAGAGGTAGTTCTCGCTGGAGGTTCTAGTCCTTTCGTCGTCCTTGGGGGAGTTGTAGTTGAAAAGTCTTTATCAAAGGCAAAAATGCCTGGGTCTGGAAACTTGTAAGGCTGCGTTGGGGATAGTGAATGCTCTGTAATGCACAGGCAAGCATGACAAATATCTGCGCTTCTTTGTGTTGCGTTTTTCGCATGACAAACTGCGTTTTTGCATGACAGGCAAATAAAGGGTCTCTTCTTGGACACGCATCACAAACTTTTTGGTCATGCCAGACAAGCATGACAAATCTCAAAATCTTCCAGACCCAGACATTTTTGCATTTGATAGTCTTCTATCGGTTCGCAGGCAAACTCGTCGTCGCTGTCATTTGCTTTTTCCCGAACCTCGTTGCCGTCGACGGTGTCGTATCAAATGCAAATATGCCTGGGTCTGGAAGGATGCAAGGTTTGTCATGCACATTTTGCATGACTCCTGATGTCTGTGATGCATTCCCTAGCATCATAGATTTTAATTTTTTGAGGGCTTCCTGTTGCCTATACCGCATGAGAAATGCCCTCTCGCGCTCGCCGGTTTGCTGTTTATGCAATACAGATTTTTGTAGAATCCCAATGCAGCATCACAAGTTGCATCCTTCCAGACCCAGACATATTTGCAATGCATATGTCGTCATCGAAATTGTGTCCCAGGATGAATTCTTCGTAGTAAAAATATCCACAGCAAAACAAGCGTCGTACAACTATTTACATCAAATGCCGGGTCCTGTTTGTCTTCTTCTTCTTCGAATAGTGATCAGCATTACAACATCAAAACTGACACTTGTGAAGATGCTATCACAGTCTTGTCACATGCACAGTTTGATGTACCAGTAGCGCATCAGTACGACGACACTTATTCCGCAGTTTTGCAACCCATAGCCGCTTGCCGTCGACAACACATATTACTCCATCGAGCTGGAAGTGCTGCTGCACATCGGCCTCGAAAAAGCATTGACACACCGGGACGATCTCACTGAGACCGGAGAGGGTATGGAAAAGAAGAAGAAACAGGATCTTCAAGGCTCAGAAGCAGTAGTAGTAGTCGTTCTCTTGTTCGTTGTTGTATTACTACACCCGAAATCGTTGCTGCTGCATCATGTAGTTGCTGATGAAAAAAACATCAATCATAAGAAATACCGTGCGGTCTGCAGAATGATTTTTGCGGTCTGCAGAATTATTATAATTTTCTCGCGGCGCGGGCTTGGCAGCATGCGGGCTTGGGAGATGATCCTCATGCGTGGGGGCACAGAACCAACTTGGGGGCGCGGGGGACGGGGCAGCGAGCGGCGTGGGCTAGCGGCTTTCGGTTTTGCTTGCTTGATCTGTCAAAGGGCACAACTCCGCATAGGGAAGCGCGCGGCCTGGTGCGGACTTTAAAACACTTTCGCCAAGAACAAGAAAGCAGCTCTATCTTTTTTCCGGGGGAAGTTTTTTTGGGGCATCGACAGCGCGAGCGCGAGGCAGTCGTGTTTTGATTCATGTCCACTTCCGGGAAGATTGCAAGACCAATTTTCTTTCGCAAGAACCTCCTCCAAAGATTCATCTTGTGTGGTTCTCTGTGCCTCGTTCCCCTGTTTTCGTCCGCGATTTCGTAGCACTCGAGCAGGATGTAGTCGACATCCATGGTGTAGGCGAATTTCAGCATGGCGGTGACCAAATCGCCGCGCACCGTGCAGCACACGCAGCCGCTCTATGAACTGCAACAGTATCGTAGTCGTATAGATGCATTACAAATTTTCTCCGCATGATAAATGAAATTTGTCATGCTGATTTACCTATAAGAAAAATATTTGTTATGCAAGAATTGCATTTGTACGAGTACGATACTTTTGCACAGGATACGTTCTCGAGCGATACCACTTGCATCCCGGACTCGGAGCAGGTCTCGACACGTTTGTTATTGCCAGCAGACTATGCATTGCAAATATGTCTGGGTCTGGAAAGAATGGAACTTGTGATGCTGTCGGTGGATTCTAAGAAAATCTGTATTGCATGATCAGCAAGAGAAGTCTAGTTTGTGCTACGCGGGGAGGGCATTTGCCATGCGGAAAAGGCATCAGGAAGCCTTCTAAAAATCTGCGATGCTACGTCATGCATTACAGACATGCTGGGTCATGCACAATATGCATGACGAACCCGGCAACATTCCAGACCCAGACATTCTTGCACTTGATACAGACTTCAGAAACTTGTCGTCTATGGTGGTCTCACCGAATTCGTTCACGACTACGCCTTATGAATTGCAAAAATGTCTGGGTCTGGAAGAGTACAACTTGTCATGCTAAATCTGAATCATACAAAAATCTGTGTTGCATGATTACCAAAAAGCTGTTCACTTTTGAGAAGGCCGAGAGGCAGTTTCTCATGCGGAAAAGGCATGGCAAAGATCTCACAAAATCTGTGATGCTGGGGCATGCATCACAGACCTCACACGTCATGCAAAGTGTGCATGACAAACCTGGCAATTTTCCAGACCCAGACATTTTTACATTCGATACGCCTATTTTCTTGTTGTGCGTATTGGAGGTCAGCACGTAGTTCAAGAAGCTCGTCTTGCCCGATCCGAGAAACCCGTATCGTGAGCAAAAACGTGGCCCACCACCTCGCAGAGTCAAATTGGGAACTTAGCAACACAAGTCCAGAAGTTTTGGAAGGCACGCATCACAAGTTTCTCTCTGTTCTGATGTGCCGTTTACAGCAAGGACAGGGGCATCACAAAGCCATCTCCTTATTCTCTTTACGGCATTACAAATTCTAAAACACGATTGGAAATGTCTCTCGTCGTGGGGACGTGCATTACAAATGTTCCTGGAATTGCAAATCTGCATGACAAGAACTCTGACCGGAGGGCGCTTTCGCTCAGGATAAGCCGGTGACGACCGTCACTTTTTTCCGCTTCTTCTTCATCTCCTCGCATTTCTCGACATCCAGAACCTCGTCCAGGACGGTGTTGCCGCTTCGGAACCGGTCACAGAAGATGCACATGGTCGTGTAGTCGGTTTTCCAATCGATGAGAGAAAGGATCTCCCCTCGACGACGTCAAGGGAGCCGCAGGTCGTGTCTACTTGTTTCGGTTGCTGGCGTAAGTATGGAGTTTTAATATTTACGTTTGTGTAATATAATTTCTGGGTTGTTTAGCACGCTTTTCCTATGGGTAGTTTGATGGGTAACATGGAGTGGTGGCCATGGTCGAAATGAGGGAAAACAAGCTCATTTCGATTCCTCGACGAGCAAGAAAAAGATCTACATTTTGGGGGTTGTGGTGCGCGGGTATCTACTAATGAGGGGCAGCAACAACATGAGGTGGGAAAACACAAAAAATAAAAATGCTCTGGGTAGTACAAAACAGTGCTTGTCGTGTATGGGAAGGAACTGCTGTTCGTCGCTGCATTTGTGCATTGTTGCCAAAATAAGAACGATCCTTGGTGGATAAATCGTCACAGAAATAATAACCAAATCACAATATCTAGTTTTGACAAGCACATCAAGAGAGATTTTCTTTTTCAAAACCCGAGTATTCTCCTGGTTTTCCGAGTTCATCTCTGTCGTAATTTTATCGAAAAGAGCTTCAAAAAGATGGCTCTGGACAGTGGAAAACGCAGCTTTTGTGGAACACTGGCTTCGGTCTTCGCCGGCTAAAACGACTTGCCTTTCTAGCTCGACCAGAAAAATGCAGTTACGTACATGTCTTCAGTAGTAGAAATTAAATCTCGTCGGGGAACTTCTGGTGGGTTTTCAAACTAATGATTCAAAGAACATTTTTTGCATCTGGACTTCTCAACATTTCTTCTTGCAGAACGTCGCTCATCTATCTTTAGGGGGTGTCGTGGTTATCAAGCTGCGGCTAGTAAGAAGAATACCCTTAGCGTCGAACGCCGATCACGTCTCTCGCATCTACTTCACCGTTTCCATGTAAGCAGATTCCGCTCTGCACGTGCTCTACAGCCCCTTCTTCTCCTTCAGCGCCTCGGCCTGAATCGGGTGCGGTTATGCACGGCAAAGACCTAGTACATGCCAGGGGCTGGTAGAATATGGCTACAGATGGTTCTTGCTGTAGCTGATTCATCTCACATTCAGTCAGGCTCTTCCTCTGGTTGATGACACGTGCGCAAAAAAAACATGTGGCAGCATGACAAATTCTTTTCCACAGACTTATCGAATCGATATTCGCATTATTGCGTATGTTGTCTCGGAGATCGAAGAAGCTGTTTTGTCCATTAATGGTAAAAACAAGTCATCATCTCGCATGACAAAGAAACCTTGCCCCCGGCACGACACACTTTCCATCGCATAGCAACGGCGGTTTCACCAAATCCTTGACAAAAAACACGGCCCACGTGGAGAACGCGAGCGCGTGAAACCCAATCACCACGTACAGGGGCATATCAAATGCAAAAATATTTGGGTCTGGAGGAATGCAAGATTTGTCATGCATATTGCCCATGACCCATGATAGTCTGTGATGTAAGCCCTAGCATCACAGATTTTTAGAACCCTTCCTGATGCACTTTCCGCATGAGAAATGCCCTGCCCGCGTAGCACAAATTGTAGCTTCCTTGCTGGTCATGCAATACAAATTTTTATAGAGTCCAAAAACAGCATGACAAGTTACATTCTTCAGACATTTTTGCATTTGATAGGGCACCTCCAAGTGCTCGGGAATCCCAATAGCCTTCAGAACCATTTTGTCTGCTGTCGTGTGTTTCGTGCGCGACAGGATGCTATCGTGCAGTCGCCGTGGTAATCAAACGAAAGTGTACTTCTTCTAAATCACGTCCCTTTATTTTCTTGTAGTTTACTATTGCAATGACAATGTCAATATGGAACTTCTTTTCCCAAACGCCGCACAGCCCTTTGCTTTTCGACGCAGTATGGGTGCAGTTTGTTGTTGAAAAAAATTTGTAATAAATTGACTGGAACTTTTCTGTCGCCATGCACAGCTCAGTTTGTAGGGCGACTAGACGGAAGAAAAAATAAACCTGGATCCAACTTTCGTTTTTCTATGTCCGGAACGGAACAGCAGCGAATGTTTGTGCGAATAAAACCGAGAAATGTATATTTTCAGCAGGATTTTGTTCAAGTTCACAGACACAAAAACTTGTCCAGGTGTTTCTTCTACGTGTGGACCGCAACAGAGAAAGCAACACACACGTGGTCACGTGAACACTATTATGCCGAGCAAAGAATTAAAGCGGCACTGTTGTACTGCAATGAAGTGCTCGAGGAGCAAGCGGTGGTCCTCTCTACTTGGGTTCTGCGATAAATCTGTATAGGTGTTTTCATTCGTTGCAGCCACTCTCCTTCCTGTTTGAATTGCGAATAGCGCGTTGTCCCAGTATATGGGGTCGTCAACGTTGTATTTGCCTCAGACCGTAAAAAAAATTCTGCGCGCATTTTTTCGCGGCGCAAAGCTAGTAAACCTGTGCACGCTAGTGAGGGGCTGACTTGAACGCGGTTTGTTTTAGCTAGCTTGTCAGCAGCAGTGCTCTAGTAGGTAAGTGAGTATTGACGCGAAGGGGGGTGGGGCGCTGGGGGTTCTTCTGTGGCTGATGTTTTCACCTAGAAAACGCCGGGCGCGCGCAATATTTTGCTCCGCTTCCCCGATTGCTCTCTCCGTGCAGGTATTTGCCGCTATGGCCTGGATCAGCGTGTGAGGCTGGCGCCCCGAGAGATGTCTACACAGGCCCTGGCCTCGTCGTCTCTAGCGGGCACCACGCATATATGTTGGCCGCGAAGGCCTTTCCGGAGCCCTTCCAAAAAGGGGGGGCCGGAGGGGTGCCCGGAACCCTAAAAAAAAGCCTATTGATTTTTCTTCGAATCACGATGGTGCTACCCCTCCCCAAAAGGGGTCCCGGAACCCCTCTGGGAACCCTTCCCGAAAGGCTCTCGGGCTTTTCGCATTTTGACGAAAAAGCCGCAAAGGCAAAAAGCGCGCGCGCCTGCCGGTACACGCGCGCACAGTTGCGCCAACTTAGAAACAAGGGAAGGCGCAGCCGCGGCCGGTTCCGTTTGCGCCCTCGACTCCGACCGACTTGCACAGATTGAGGCCCATTGTCTAGCGGCTGGACTGCAAGAGGACCTGCTGCAGCACCTCCAAGCTGCAGGGGCACTCCGAGGCAACTCCGTGGAGCAGCAGCGCCGGATAGCTCCGTCTTTAGCCACTGAGAAGGGCTGCGAAGAAGCTAACTAGGTCATTAGGTGTGCAACACAGTGGGGGGCTATTCGTTGCAGCCACTCTCCTTCCTGTTTGAATTGCGAATAGCGCGTTGTCCCAGTAATAGTTCGGAAGAATATAGAAATCCAACAGGTGCTGCAACAAAATACAAAGAACCTCTGCGCGCGATAGAAAATGAGACCTTGTCGTAGTTTTTTGTGTGTGATAAGAATCTTTGTCGTTTTTGTGTTTTTTTTTGAGATGAATATATAATGCTGGTGTGTGTACTACTAGCGCGCAACAGTACGTGCCTATGAAAGTTTTGTTTTTTTTTGAGATGAAAGTGCTTTTTATGCTGATTTTCTGATGTTTTTGTAGTCGGTTTTCGCAAGATTTTGACGTTTTTTTGCGGAGGTTTTTTCGGTTTTGGATACTAGCAGGTACAAGGAGAGAAGTTTTTGTCCACATCAAGTTGTAGTATTGTCCACTCAGATGCGCTGCTTCACAGCGAGGTAGTTAAGTTAGTGGTCATCACCAGTTCTTGCAGCGTAACTACAAGTTTGCAATAAAGTGCATCGTGCAAATACTACTAATACCAGGAGCTTCTTCGAAGGTAAACGGATCATAGTACAGTGCAACTCCAAGAAGTTATAGACTACCCCGAGGAATATATTCATCCCAAGAGCAATATTAGCATTTTAGGAAATTATAAGTGTGCAACCATTCGATGTTTGAATTTGAATTGTTTTTTTCGATGCATTCGTACGTAAAATCTTCTTTCTCTCGAAGGACTAAAAAATCTAGTCGGCCCCAGTAATAGCCAGTTGATACAGTTGCAAAAGTGTAAATAACCTGCGCGAAAAATCCATATTCCACTTGTTCCTACCCAGCCCACTTCCCTAAACCTAATCCCCGCCCTTCGCGCCACTGACCATTAGATCCTTGTGGAAGCGTGCGTTGCGCATCTGCTTCATGTGTAGGTGCAATTCCTCGCTGCCGATTCTCGCCTCCGGGTCATGCTTGGCGCAGCGGGCGATCAGTTCCCGCGGCAGCTCAAACCACTCCTTGTAGCACTCGGGGGAGACCTTTTCCTCCAGGCCCGGAATCACTTCTGCGGTTGGGCCCTTGAAAGCCTCGATCAACAGTTGCCGCTCCATCTGTGGTTTAATATTTGTTGGTGGTTTTTTATTGAAGATTTTTTGTGTAATGTAAAACAGTACTAGTGCGTTGTGTTAAAAAGCGGGCATGAAGCCTGTCTGGTGACAGGAGAACCAAACGCCTGCACGATGTCTACAAAGAAATGGAAAAAATGCATGACGTCGTGTTGAATGAATCCAGCTCTCTACCTGTGTCGTGAATCTCGGCGACAGCAATTGCAGCATAATCAGCCCCACTGCGTACACGTCGGTTGATTCGTCCAACGAATTTCCTTCTGGCGGCATGTACATCGGCGTGCCCCAGTACGGGCTCAGCGGGCCCCGCGTGGTGGGTATGGATTGCAAATATGTCTGGGTCTGGGAGGATGCGAACTTGTCATGCTAAGTCTGGATCGTACAAACATTTGTGTTGCATGACTACCGAAAGCTGTCCAGTGTTGGACAAGTTTAGAGGCAGTTTGTCATGCAGGACAGGCAGGATAGGGACGTCGCAGAACCTGTTATGCTAGGTCCTGCATTTCAACCCTCATGGGGCATGGAAAATATGCATGAGAAGTTTGCAGTCTTCCAGACGGAGACATTTTTGCATTTGATAGTGGGCTGCACCGGGTTCTTCACATTCTGCTCCACCAGTCCATTCTCCGCATTGTAGATGGAGAGTGAATTCGCGGTCGTAGACACGGAAGACAGGCCAAAATCCCCAATCTTCAGCAACCCCTGTCTCAAATCCAGAAAGCAGTTCTGCGGCTTTAAATCCCGGTGCACAAACCCCTTCTTGTGGATGGCGCGCATGCCCTTCGTCAGTTGCCGCATCCACTCGAACTCGACCCCCGCATTCCACCAGGGGGACTCGTCGAGCACCCCGGGATTGGGTTGCACCTTCTCGTAGCAAAAGTACTGGTTATTTTGGGTGGAATTTGGTTGGGTGGAATGCGTGGTCGTGGTCGACGTTTTCTGGTCTTGATGCTGCTGATCAGACGTGGTCTTGTTCATATTATTGTTCAGGGTCGTCGCTTTGGAATCACTGTTCAAGACTTCTTCCTCGGAACTGTTGTTTATGAGGTTGCTGGCGTTTTTCTCGTCCCCTTGCTGCTCATGTTTAATATTATTTTCATCAGGAGTGGTCTGATGCCGGTCTTCATGTTGCAGGTGCCCTAGTTGTAGTCCCACTTCTCCGAGAGCCAGTGGCGGTGAATCAACAGCGTCCCGATCATGTGAAGTCGGGGAAGACACGTGCGACAATTTCTGCGGTGTGTTCGTCCCCCCGAGCTGCTGCTCAAAGTCAGACGAAGCGGAGGAAGACGATTTGTTGTGCAAATTCTCCTGCGCGGAGGATTTTCGGCTCAGGGAAAGAAGGTCGATCACCTCACCCTTAGTGTTGTTCATCTGTGGAGTCATAATTCCGCTTTCATTTTGGTCTTCATCTTCCTTCCCCATAATTGCAGGAGCTGCATATAGTCCTCCGTCGCTCTTGTCCTTTTCAACCTCATTTAATATTCCCGGAGAACTACCCCGTTCCATCGGACTACTGCCATTATTTTCCAACGCCGCGTTTGCGGCGGACAGGCGCGCAGAGGTCAGTTTCAGACTGCTAATCGACCGTTGCCTGGCCTGGATTTCCACCGCCTCCATGTCGACCTGGAGAATCCGGCTGGTTTTCCGGCTGGAACTCTGATTTCGTTGTAGCGCGGCGACGGCAGTTGGGAGCCAAAAGTCGTACATCGAGGTGAACACCCCCCAGTCGAGACTTCGTCGGCTATCCTGCAAAAACGCTTTCAAATTTGGCCCCTCCACGAGTTCCATGTGCATCACGAGGCACACGTCGAACAACGGCGCGATCTGCTCTTTGGTGATCAACTTGTTCTTCAGCATCTCTTGCGTGTCCATGTAGGCTGACTTCGCCCGGACAAAGTCGTCCAACGAAGTCGAATCGGAGTTTTCCGAGTTGCTGCTGCCGTTTGATGTCTTGTCATGGTGTAGTTTTTTTCCCCTTGAAGATGTTCCTCGCAACGCCGCCGCGGCGTTCATCAAATCGGCCTGGATGTCAATCGGCTTGTAGAGGCTGTTGCTGGTGTTAATGTTTTCGTTTTCAACCTCGGCAAACCGGACCGCGGCGGACTCGATGACGGATTCGTTTACCGAGGATTTTATGAACTGGATAGAATTCGTGTCGTCCTGGGAGGTCTTGTCAAACTGCTCTTTGAACTTTTTTGTCAAGAACGCTTCTTGTTGTTGGCCCTCGATATTATGATCCTTTTCTTGCTTGTTCGTAGTTTTCATCTCCAAGATCTGGTTCACGCGTTCAAAAGTACCCCCGGAGGAACTGTCGCCCTGTGTGGTCGGCGATTTGTTCTGAAGATTCTTGGACGATAAATTGTCGTTATTTTGCTCCTTTCTAGAGGTATGTGCTATGTCGCTGTTATTAAAACTTGCCGTGGCGGACACCATGCCGGCGGAGTCGCTGTTGTGGGTTTGCCAGGTGCTGGAGGCAGACGAGCTGTGGCTGGCCATGCCGTTGAGGTTCTCTGGATAAAGATCTACATTCTCAACTACATCAACATTACCGTCCTTGTTGGCACCTCCTTGCAGTGGCTTCTTTCCAGAACCTGTTTTCTCCAGAGATGATGCTATTATTCCCGCAGTAGTACCACCAAACCCGGGTTGTAATTGTAACTTGGCTTGTTCCGCATCCGCATGATCATGACCGTCTCCGGAAGTACTAGCAACGAGCTGCAACCCGGACGTTTTCTTCTCTAAATTTTTCCCCACTGCTGGTTTAAACGGCGGCGAATGCTTCCGGGTCCAGTTCGCTGATCGTTCCATCGAAAAAACGCCACCTTCGGACGTATTCAGTGTGCGATTCATCAAGCTGTGCTGCTGGTAATTTTTAGTACTCTATTGAAAGGAAAAATCCCCCCTCCCCACATTGAAAAGGCACGACTTCGAAAATTTGTGTTGCTGATTTGAGGTCACAAATCCTTTTTGTCTTGCAAGAAGACAAGGGCAGGAGCTTTAGCCCCATTCTGGAAGCGGTTTGTGATGCTGTTGGGCCTAAAGGGGAGCCGTTTGCCATGCTAAACAACTAGACACGCCCGCCCCTATCTAGCCTGGAGATCTGTCCGCAATGCCTCTCTGCAATACAAAGCTGATTTGTGTACCCAAATCCAGCATCAGAAACTTCGTTTTGATATGGGGAGGGGGGGTTTTTCCTTTTGATATACTCGCATGGGCCGCCGGGTCGTTGGGGAACAGAGCCAAGTCGTCCGTCCCGCTCCCCTATCAAATGTAAAAATGTCTGGGTCTGGAAGAATGCAACTTGTGATGCTGCATTTGGATTCCAAAAAAATCTGTATTGCATGAGTACCAAAGGGAATGCAATTTTTGCTACGCTGAGAAGGCATTTGTCATGCGGAATAGGCATCGAGAAGCCGCCAAAAAACCTGTATTGCTAGGGTATGCATCACAGACATCATGGCTCATGCAAAACGCGCATGACAAATCTCGCATTCTTCCAGACCCAGACATTTTTACATTTGATATCCCCGGTTGGTCTTCCGGATTGTTCGTTCCACCCAAGGCAGCTCCTCCTACATCCGAACTCAAACCTCCACCCGCGTTGTCCTCATCTAACGGCCACTCTTGCCCGCCCTTCTGCACGGTTCTTTTATCGGGTAAAAACTGGCTCTCTTCGCACCAGTGCATGTGGAAATCCACTAGGTGCTTGTGCTTCATCGCGAGGAAAGTTTTCACTTCGTTGAAAGAGCGCTCTATCTGCGCGATGTTCTCGGTGGAGGTGAGTCGGTAGTTTTTCACTTTAAACGCTGCGTAGGACTGGTCGAGCTTGTTTTTCGCCTTGTAAACGACCCCGAAACCGCCTTCCCCCAAATAAGTAACGTCCTCGTACTGGCGAAACATCAAGGTGTTGTTCAACGACAACCCCAGTTGCGAGTCCGGCGGAACCTGGCACTGGCGCAGCCCCTGGTAGCCGAGCAGGAAATTCCCCTCGAGTTGCTGCGAAAGCGAAGTGCTGGCTGCAATAGTGGTGGTCCTGAGCTCTGGGGAGCCATTCGTTGCTGTCTTTTCTCCACCCGGATGAAATTTCGTGGTTTTTTCATTTTCTCCTATCGTAGTTGTCGCCCCGGGTGCAGCTGTGGTGTTGTCATCGGCGCCGTCCACTGTTGATTTATTTCCACCGTCTTGCGTCGTCAGCCGCGACGTATCAATTATATTACCATTTTCTCCCACGACCGACGACGACCCCGAAGCGGTCGACGCTCGCTGCAGCCTTGCCGATTCCTTTTCGCACTGTTCCTTCCACTTTTCCACATCTTCCACCGGAACCTTCAGTCCGAGGTACAAACAGGGAACCGCGAAGGCGACGGCGGTGAAAAACAACCGCAAAGCGGAGAAAGTTGGATAGTTTATTATTCCTGTTGAATCCAAAGATGTTGAGCCACCTGCTCCGGGTAGAAGACCAGCGCTTGATGCTCCTATTGTGGCATAATTACTAAAAGGCGAAATAACGCCGGCCTGCGGCGCCAGGATGATCGCGAGAATGCTTGCGTAGACGCTGAGCATCATGAACCACGGCGCCATCCCGGACCTCTCCAACGCGTTCAGATACAAGCGGAGCGCCATGGCACCGGCGATCAGCGGGACTTGCCGGCGGAGTTCGTAGCCAAAGTACATGTCGAAAACGAAAACAGAGGAAACCATCCCCACGACGATCGCAGCGATAATCGCCTTCCAGAAGTTGGAATCAACAATCGAGTCCCGTACGTACTTGCGGAACCCCTTTTTATCTCGACTACTCCTTTCCAGCTCGTCCTTATCGATAATTTTGGACTGCACCGGCAGCTTCTCCTGGTCAATGAACGGATTGTAATTCGCCCCTTGCAGGTACTCCGCGATTAATCTAGACCGCTGCGCGTACAAGTGGCGCATGGCCGCTCTGGAAGAGGAGAATTTGTGCTGCTGTGGTCCAGCGTTATGTTGTTGTAACAAATCTTCCTCCCCCTCGAGGATGGAATTAGCTGTACCGGAAGAATCTGTAATGCTGCCATGAGTGTAGTCGAAGTACTCCAAGTCGTCAAAGTAATCGCCGAAAAAAGGTGGCAGCTGGTCCGCATCGCCGTCTCGAAAGCTCGTCCTATACCGGTCCCGGTCGAGTAAAGATTTCAGCTTTTGCCACACGCTCGCGGACAAATGCGCCGGTGGATGCCCGCCACGGAAGTAGCGGTAGTTGATGTCGTCGTGTGAGTCGTGATTTGATGAACCATGCTGATGGTGCCCGCTGTTGTAGTGGTCTTGGTTAGTGCTTCCAGCCGGGCCGGGCAGCATTAACAGCCTCGGGTTGTTAAGAATTGATTCGGAGGGGTGAAAATGATGTTGACCGGGATGGTGTTGCTGATGATACCTGCTGACGGGGTCGTGCTGACCGTTAGTAGTACTACTGCGCGTCCCATGAGGACCACCAGCTTGATGTTCCACCATCCCAGCCGACGGTAGCCCTAACCTCTGCAAAACATCCCGCTGCAGCAATTCGCTATTCCGCGTCTGCAGATGAATGTCGCGGACCAACACCAACTCCCCGCCCCCGCTGGGACTGGGGCTCGGGTGATACTCCTCGCCGTCGATCACCTGCACGTTGCCGTTCCGTATCAATTGCAAATGTGTCTGGTTCTGGAAAGTTCTGAGACTTGTCATGCACGTTTTGCATGAGCCATGATGTCTGTGATGCATGTCCTAGCATGACAGATTTTTTCAGAGCTTCTTGATGCCCCTTTCGCATGAGAAACGCCTTCTCCGCCTAGCAAAAATTACATGCCCGTTGCTGCTCATGCAATACAGATTTTTTTGGAATCCAAATGCAGCATCACAAGTTCCAATTCGTCCAGACCCAGACATATTTGCAATGCATATTCCGCAGAAAGTCGATGCTGTGGTCGTGAATCTGGTTTTGCCCGGAGGGGGAGGCTATCAAATGCAAAAATGTCTGGGTCTGGAAACTTGTAATGCTAAAAGTGAATGGTAGACGCACCGCTACAATACGCAGCTACGCATGACAAATTTTTTGGCTGCCATGTCTTACGTATTCCGCATGGCAAACTGCGTTCTTGCATGACAGGCAAGAGGGCCTTTTCGCGCCTATGCAACACAGATTCTCGAAACATGCCAGACAAGCATGACAAACTTGCATTCTTCCAGACCCAGACATATTTGCATTTGATAGAGGCTGCAGGTACTAGAGAGCCGTGCCGGACCGCCGCCACGGTGAACCGGTTCCACCGGGATCGCTCCTGCTGTTCCTCCCGGTCGAGCTGATGTTGTGGCGGGACGGTGAAGGAGGGAGACAACAAGGGGGCGAGGGCCTGCAACGCCGCGGACAGGGTCGGAATTAACGCGTGAACGGAATGAACGCGGGACTCAAAATGCAAGCGGCGGTTGGTGTGGGCGAGAATTACAGAATCGCCGTCGACGAAAACCTATATTTTGTGTGAATAACATGAAGAACTTGGTGTTTGTCATGTTGCAAAAACAGGATTTTGTCATGCAGAGGCACCTCCAACAACTAATAGTACAAAAACAGCAAAATATTTTTTATACGTTTTTTCGATCTTGAAATAGTGTTCTCAGCACCCGTTGCTGCAACGGCTCCGGCAAATCTCGAACCTGCTCGAGCTCTATGGGCTTGATTTCCGTGTGAAACGCCGTCCAGACCCGGGAATGGGTCTTCGCGTTTCTCGCTTCCAGCATGTACTCCGCCTCGCCAAAGACGATCACTTTCGCCGTCGATGTCGCACTTTCTTGACTGCTCACGACGTCACCGCCCTGAGCGCCGGAAGTAGTAGTTCTTGCGAATTCATTTTGCTTGGCGAGGTGTGCTGGCGGCACAATGTCGCAGGAGCCGGCGTTGCTTGTCGTTGATTGCTGCAAAATCGTGTTCACCGTGGTGGTGACTTTGTCTAACACAGAGGCCGCAGCAGCGGAATTATCATCCGCGCCCTCCGTTCCGTCCGAAGATGTTGTTGAAAACAGCCCACCAAAATGACTGTGCGCTTTATCTTCATTCGAAGGTCCGCTGGCGCTACTGCACGCTTCGCCGGTTATTGTACTTCCGTCCATACTATGTGCGGTGACCGTGTGTTGTGGGGCCAGGTAGGACAGCCCAACGCTATAAGGGGTCGTCGCTCCTCCACTCGACGTGCCGACATGGTGGTGCGCAAGACCTCCACCCGGGCTGTTCGAGGTGGTGGTGGTTGTTGCGATGCTGCTGGAATGCGGGCTGTGCGTGCTACTGCTCGGAGTTCCCAGCTGGTCCTCTGAGGAGCCGCTAAATTGCGAAGTAGAGGAAGAAGTGCTATGAGTACCGCTACCAGCACTCCCGTCGCTTCCACTCGAGCTAGTACCCGACGATGTTGGTCCAGCATTTTCAGCATCCGCTGCTGTTTGCCCGATAATCGTGGACGCGTCGTACTTCAATTCTACCTGGTGGAACTTTGTTTGCTTCTGCCCCGTGAAATACAGGTCTGGGAACCCCGGTAACGACGTAATCGGGGATTTTTCCACCAAGTCCTTGAGCTTCAGGTGCGGCAGCGCGAAGAACTGCACACTGTCACGCGTGTACAAAACGCTACCGTCGAAATCCACCGCGAACCGGGGGACGGGGTCTGGACCAGCAGCTGCACCGGCGTGGTTACTATTTCCTGCACGACCAGAGCTACTCGCACCTTGATGCCCGGCTGCATTTGGTCCTGTTGCGCCACCGGTATTTTTCGTACCATGGTCCTCGAATAAACCGTTTCCCCCATTAGTTCCAGTTTTGGCACCACTACTTGCCTGTTCCAATGACCCTCCGACCAGCGGCCTCCCTAATTGGTACCTGAAAATCGGCTCCCCGGTGTCCTTCCGCACAGCCCGGACCTCCCCCGGGTCCGCGAGAACCACGAGTAAAACGTCGTTGCCGATGTCCCCTGGGGGGATTGGCGCGCGGGCTTGGTGCGCAGATGAACTGTGATGGTGTCCATGAGCACCATGGTGGTGAGTTCCATGATGATGAGATGCACCGTGAAGACCAGTCTTGACTAATTCCTGGCCGTTGATGCGAGAAGATCCTGGCTCTACTGCTTCCACATCTGAGGAGGGGAAATTGGAATTTCTCCGACTACTTCCTCCTGCCGAAATGATAAAGTCGTCGTCAATCGCGGAGCTCTGCTCCTCCTCCTCCTCCTCTAAGTCAAAAATGTCGTCGTCGAGCACGATCTGATTCTTGTTTTTATCGGAAATAGTGGTAGAAGCTGCTGTCGTTCGTCCTGTAGTTGACAGGTCCTCTTTTGCTCCTTCTTTCGCTTTACTACTTCCGTCACCTGCAGGAGGTAGTGGTACTGCATCTGAGCCACTTTCGCCATCGGCCTTCGAAGATGTCGATGAGGCACCGCTGCTACTCCGGCTGCTTTTTTCGTTGTTGTCGTTCGTGTTGAGCAGAACGTCCTCGTGGTCATCACCCTCCGCAAGCAGCAAAGCCTCGTCGATCGAGGCGGTGGTTGAGTCACCACTATTCCCGGACAGTTCACTACCATGCGCGACGCCAATTGCGGTATTTTTGCCTGTGTTCCTCGAGAACGCCGGCTGGTTGTAGTTCTGCTCGTCGTAGTAACTGGGAAAATGAAACCCTACATTGTCGCGTAATTGGGTGGAAAAAAAGGTGGGGGTTGTGAAAAAAATATCTGCGGTGGTTGTTGTTGTCTTCGTCGGGGGGGCCGACGACGTCATGAAGTTTTTTATTCCTGTGTCGCCGTCGTTGTTTTCTACTATTGTTCCGAATTTTTGTGTCGTCGTTTCTATTCCGGCCAGTGCCAGCAGCAGTGAAAACAGGAGTACCACCCGGACAACTGCTCTCGTAGAGACAAACTGCAGCTGCAATTGGGAACAAATTGTGCTGCTGTTCTTGAGAGCAGAAGTTCTGCCGTCGTTCTTGTTCTGGGCAGAACAAATCCTCCTGCTTGCTCGGTTCACGACACAGCTGCGGCGACCGGACGAACAACGGGGAAAAATCCACCACTTGCTGGTCCTCATCCAAGGCTCCGTGTATGACAGTGCACAACTCCCCCTCGTTCTCATTTCTCATGCAGAATACCAAATCCACGCTTTTCCTCCTGTCACTATTATGCATGACAAGTTCTGGGCGCCCAAATAGCACTACAATCCAGTGCAAATTTGTCATGCAAAACCGGCACTCTTGCTGATGCCTGTATTGCCGGTCATGCTATACAAATGAGGGGGAGGGGGAGTTGTGCACCGTCATACCGTGTCTGTGCAGTAGAGAAGGCATATGGGATAATCTGCGAAGTAAAGTAGGCCCGGAGATGGGGTTGTAGGTGATGAAGCTCGTCTGCACTACTCGTCGTCGTCGCCGCGGGAAAATTTTCAACGCCGGGACGAGATGATGTTGTTACCCACCGCAGTTTTCATGTATTTTTTGTACACTAATTGCTATGTTGATTTCGTTGTGTACTATGTCGTTTCATTTTTTACTTTTTCTCACCTATCATGATATGCTGGCTTTGTCGTGCTGACAAGAGGTAGTTGTGTTTTGTTAGATTGGTGCTATGTGGGCGGCAACCAAAACACGCTTGTAGCCCAGTAGTCGAACCACTGTGCAGCGACGTTAAGGTGCCTGAGCAACAATCTCTTACTAATTTTTTTCTAACTCCGTCTTTGGATCTGTTTTTTTGCGCAAAATAAAAGCACGTGGAGACCAAAGAAAAGGATCCCTGTGAAACACACAAACTCAACCTAAATTTGCGATTTAGAATGAAGAGAATTGAAATGTTCAGAATAAGGTGTCGTCAAGTTCTAGAGAAAAAAAGTTGCCTGTTCGACGTTATGTCGTCAGAAATTGATCAAAAAGAAAGTATCAAAGGGCCGGTGCGGTTTAATGTCATTCGGAAAAACATTCTGCAAATTGAGATCTAGATCTATCAAGGACAGAACCTTTTGGAAGCACCGCTTGATGAAGATCTCATTTCAAAAATTTGCGATTCCGATTTCCTGAACTGACGAAGTTGCTGAAGGTAAACAGGATCCACAACGGAGAATTTGTAGCCTCCAACGCTCATTGTCATTTCAGAGCACAAATTTCGAACCGGAGCCGGATACTTTCGCAGAGTGAGTACGGAGCATTTGTATAATTTGCGGAACAGGAAGATTTCAATTTCTTCGATTGTGTACACAGATTACTATCGGCTGTCGCTAGTGATTTATCGATTTTTCGGTTGCACTATCGTCAAACATCAAAACAGTCGCTTTTTATCCACCGGCTGGTGAAAATCTGCAGCCAGAATCCAAATTTTTTTGCAATCAAACTTTAAAAATTGAAAAGTCTATAGTATTCCTCGCAATACGAGCAGCTGGTTTTCGGTGTTCGATTACAGTTGTTTCGTCGTCCGTAATGCACCAAGTCATGGTTTTATACATTACAATCGTGTAGTAGTGGCCGTCCTCGAATTTTATATACCTGTTAGCAGGTTTATTTCTCAGTGTGCTGGTCTTCGTTAGTACATTTAAAACAGTACAAAACTGTCTTACAAACACGGTACTACGTATGTGCATCTTCGGCGAGAACTGATCAAAGGTAGTTACCGCCTGCAGCTCAGTGAAACTTGGTCCTCGTCGCACAATAGTTGTGATACTACCATCCTGGCTACTGTATTCTTAGAATTTGTTGTGGTGTTGTGTTGCCGCATGTTGACAATCTGCATTTATAAATCTGATCTGTTGTGTCTCCTGCTGATACACGACTCGTCCTGACAGCATGAGTTTATTTGTGTTTCTTCATCTCTCCCCCAGTTTGTAAATGAGTAATAGTAAGCCCTCTCGAGAAGTACTATCATCTTCTTCCGGTGAAATAATAATCCAAAGTCTTGTGAATCCAAACATCGCTCGCATTTTTCGACGCATCAACAATTGATGCGCCTATTTTTCGTGTCTTTGCTATAGAAGGTTTAAAAACAGTTAGTGAAAAAGAATCAAGTGAAAATCAAGTGAGGTGTTGAAAAGTTTGTCTAGTGTGCCAGGAGATTAAGGAAAATTAAGGTTGTTACAAGAGTCTCGAAGAAGTGCATCTCCGAAATCGAATTCGGAGTGGCAAGAAGTATTTTGTGTGGTGAGATAAAGTAGCTGTCTTTTTCTCCGAAAATATCGTGGCTTGTCGTCGTCCTATATATTGCTGAAAGTGTCGTCTGTATATTCGATTTAGAAGTCAATGTTGTTGTTCTTTCAAGAAGTGAAAGTGCCTCCTCTAAATAAATTGTGTCTTCGCCGTAGTTCGTCCACGATGAAACAGTATCAGAACCGGGAACTCTTTGAGTTGTACATAGTTCACTCTTTGAGTTGTACATAGTAGTACTTTCGCATGAAGAAACACTACAACATCTTCTACTTATTCCCACAACAACATCCTGTTCTATTTTCCGCCCTGGTGCGGTCCGTGGGGTGCACCACCCGGGTTTCCGCCGTGTCCGCCGGGGGCGAACCAGGAGTAGATGTTATCGCAGACGAACGCGATTTCCGCCAACACATCCTCCGCAGAGAAGGTGCGGTAGTTGCGCTGCTGACACTTCTTCAAGAAGGCCCGTTGACTGGCCTTGCGCACGATGTAGGAAGCCAGGATCAGGATTTCCTCCGGGAACGGGGCGTTCATCTGTTTCCGCGGGTCCCCGCTCCGCAGGCAGATCTGGTGCCACGCGAACAAGGCACCAATCACGCCGGACAAAACGTCCCCCAGCCCGCCCGCGCGGATTGGGGAAGACCCGATGGAGTTCGACACGGAGTGGAAGACACACGCGTTGGTCACCGTCCACTCGTCGTAATCCACGCCCTCCTCGCAGGTGTAGGCAACGGGGGTAACAATGGTGTCGTTTTTCCCCTTCGCGACGATGTGCAGGGACAGCCGCAACGGGTTCTGGTAGCTGTTGGTGGTGTACTTGCTGTCAAACGAGATCAAATATGCCCTGCAAAAGTGTCGTACTAGTACAAATTGCAATACAATTTCGCTCAGCATTACAACTCAAATTTGTAATGCGGATTTACCTTAACAACCTAGATTTGTGATGCATAGCTGCAATTAGTTTTAGTACGAGTAAGAAACTTTTGCAATGCATATCAAAGAAGACGGGTCCATTCGCATCCTGTACTCCTGCATCTTCAGCATGTCGGCCATTTTAGTCGGGTTGTTCCACGCAACCTGCGGCACGTTGGGGTCCACCTGGTAGTTGTAGTTTGGGTTCATCATTTGTTGTAACTGCTGGATGGTGTGCCCCTGCTGCTGTCCTGGTTGCTGTTGGGGAGCTGGTGCATTCTGCATACCCAACTGCTGTCCGATCGTTTGTTGTTGCCCATTATTGTTCTTGCCACCACCTTTCTGGTTCTTCTTCTGCTTCTTGGTCGCCGGGCCGTTTTGCGCCTCCTCCTCCGCCTGCATCAGCTCCTTGATGGTGTGCGCGACCTTCTTCTTTTTCTCCCCCTTGCCCTCGGCCTGAAACGGGTTCACCTCAATCTTCACCGCGGACTCGGGTTGGTGGTGCAGCTGCTTCTCCACCACAACAGAGTTCAGTTGTTTCGCCTCCATTTCCAGTGCGACTTGGTTGTCAGCGGCGTCCTGCCCGGCGTTATCTGTGGTCGCGGTCGACGGGTGTTCGACGCCACCGTACCCGTTCCCGACGGCACCGGTGAAGTTCTTGGGCTTGTGTTTGTACTGCTGCTCGATGACATTATCGGGTTGGAGCTCCGGGTTGATGTGCTCCTTGCCGAGCTGCTCCGGCGGGATGTCGAAGGAGCCAGACTTCGTGATTTTCCCATCGCCGCCGCCGTTGGCAGCACTGTTAGCGAGAAAAATATTTCTTGGAAGATACTATTTTGGGTGGTGGAGGCGGTGCCACTTCGCATGACAAATACCAGCTGGTGCTGTCTCATATTCACGTCATTAGTGCCGAAATAATTTATGCATATCATGGCATTACAAAATAAGTATTTTTATTCAGCTACAAACAAAACAATGCATACAGGATAATAAATATTATCACTTGATATCTGATTATGCATGACGCTCCTGCTATTTGTGTACCTCTGCTCCTTCAATTTCTGTGCTTGCGCTGCCGCCGCCTGCTGGGTTGCTGCCTTCGCCTGGGCCGACGCTGCGTGGGCCGCGGCTTCCTGGGCCGCGGTCTTCGGTTCTTCCGTAAACGTGTGCTGCATGCGCTGCACGGGTTTGGCCTCGTTGAACGTGACGCCAAAGGTCGGCTCCCGAACAAAGTGCTGCACGGCCAACTGCCCGGACGCGTGTATCGTATTTAAAAACGTCCCCACCACATAGTTGTGATGCAGACCTGCACGCTGAAAATGTTTCTCATGCGGAGCCCCATGAGAAGCATTTTGTAGTCGTGTTTTGCGATTTGTCATGCTCCAATCAGCGCGACATACTAGATCTGTGATGCTGCTGAACCAGCTCAAACAGCACTACACCACGAGTTCTTGAAATCTGTCATGCGAAACAGCCAAAACTTTTGGATTTGTCTAGCCGATTTCCCATCTTGACTATGGGGTGGGGACGTTTTTACATAGGATAGCGTGGTCGTGGTGGACTTGCTTCAAAACCGGCCACAACTCGTCGACGTTCGGATAGTTGCCGTAGAAGGTGTGATATGGATTGCAAATATGTCTGGGTCTGGAATAAACTTGTGATGCAAATCTACGAATTGTGGGCGCGCTACAATATACAGCCCAGCATGACAAGTTTTGCCGCTTCTGTGTGTTTCGTTTTTCGCATGACAAACTCCGTTTTATTTGCATGACAGGCAAGAGGCCATTTTCCTGCTCATGCATCACAGATTTAAGACTCATGCCAGACAAGCATGACAAATCTCGCAATCTCCCAGACCCAGGCATATTTGCATTCCATATGTGGTCCGTATGCTTCTCGTTGAACCACAACACGTGTTTGTCCAACGCCTCCGTGACGTACTTCAACTCGCCCTATGGAACTGTCAGGATCGAAATTGACAAAATCGAAAAATTTGTCATGCATCAAATGCACGACGCGAAATACGTGTGTTGCAGAGCAGGCAAGTGAGGCCGATTCTAAGCCTGTTTGGGGTTATAGCTCGCGCTGCTAAAGCAGCATGAGAGAATCAGCCTTCTTTGCCTAAACAGCATTACAAACTGGATTTGCACACCACCAGAGTTTGTCATGCGCCACTTAGAAACTGAGTTCGAACTGGAATCCATTTTATGCATGACAAATCGTTTTGATTTTGTCAATTTCGATTCTGACACTTCCATACGCCCAAGTTCGGGGTTAAAATCGTAGGCGCGGCGTGGTTGGAAAAGGTCGTCATCTGCTCCACGGCCTTCTTCGTCCCATCGGGAAGATCCTCTTCCCCGTTTTGCTGTTGCAAAATCTTTATGCATTGCCAAAGTATGTCGTACTAGTAGAAATCGCATTTCCCCAGCATGAGAAATAAAATTTGCAATGCTGATTTACCTTGAGAAAAAAATTTGTAATGCATGATCGCAATAACACGAGTACGATACTTTTGCAATGCATAATCTTCCGAGACTCCAACAAGTTCCAGAACAGGTCCATGGTTTCCTTGTCCGCGCTCCACTTGTCGGCCGGCTTCCCGCCCCGGGCGGAGGGTGGTGGGGGCAACGACGCGTCGGGGGCGGTCATGGCGTAGAGGCCGTCGGCGTCGATCACGAGCGGCTTCGTCGGCGGCCAGATGGTTTCGTCCGCGAGTAGCTCCCGCAACATCTTCTTCACCTCCTCGCCGCGTCCCAACCCCGGGCCGATGATCAGACAGTCGCACTTGGCGAGAATTTCACGGTCCTCGGTGGTGAAGGCTTTGTAGTCGTTCGGGTCGTCGTATTCCGCACACATGATGTCGCACGATTTTGCCTTGATCCCCTTCGCAACCGAAGCGTGGCCTGCAATGGAGTGGAAAAATTGGGGAGATTTTTGTGGTTTTTTTGTAGGTTTTACAAGAATACTTGGAACACCAGGAGGATGGAGCTTGTTATGATGCACAGTCGTGGTCTATGACGACGTAGAATTACTGTTTCCAAACTTTGCAAAATGTTGCTGCAAATTATTTGGAATAATACCATTATATATGCAAGGTACTTCTTATCAGAAACAAACCTACAAAACCGCAGACATTCTGCTCCTGTTATTCATCACATTTTGATACCTGCTTTGACGAACACCAAATCGATCCCCATGAGCTTGGCGGCCTGCGCCGCAAAATACGGCGCTCCGACGTAGAGATGCGACCCGCCATACACCGCGACCCGGCCCCCCGCGCCTTTCCTGGTTATCCTATGTAAAAACGTCCCCACCCCAGAGTTGTCATGCAAATCTGCATGGTAAAAATGCTTTTCATGCGGAGCCCCATGAGAGGCATTTTCTAGTCGTGTTTTGAAATTTGTGATGCTATAATCAGCATCATGCGCTAGATCTGTGACGCTGCTGACCTACCTAATAACAGGAATACACTACGAGGACAATAAACTTGTCATGCGAAACAACCAGAGCTGGTTGGTTTGTCTAGCAGATTTCCCATCTTGACTCTGGTTTGGGGACGTTTTTACTCAGGATACTGGTGCGCCAGGGCTCCAGTCGTTGGAAGATGTCCCGGAACTTGTTCTCGAGTGTCAAGTATCAAATGTAAAAATGTCTGGGTCTGGAAACTTGTGATGCTGGTTGGCGTATCATGAGGCGGCCACAAGTGCTGGCTCAGCATGACAAGTTTCTGAGCTTCGAAGTGTTGCCTATTCTGCATGACAAACTGCGTTTCTGCATGACAAAAAAACGGGGCTCTTGGGTAACGTGCATGACAGACTTTGGGGTCATGCTGGCAGAGCATGACAGACCTTCCATTCTTCCAGACCCAGACATTTTTACACTTGATATGAAGGAGCTCTGTGTGCGGTAGTTGCACTGCGGCGGCGCGTATGAATTGCAAAAGTATCGTGCTCGTATTGCGATCATGCATTACAAATCTTTTCCCTAAGATAAATCAGCATTACAAATCTTATTTCTCATGCTGAGGAAATTTGTAATGCATTTATACGAGTACGATACTTTTGCACTGCATAGCACGTAGCCCTTGCCGCCCGGCTTGTGGAAGCCTTGGTTCCCCGACATTTCTGATTTGGTGAGTTTAGAGCTTTAGTCTCTGATATACGTAGAAGGTGCAGTAGCGAGTAGAAGGATTATTTTCTAGTGCACAGCAAGAGTCCGAAGAAACAAAACGCTATAAAAACACTGTGTTACTGTGTTCTTCTCTTACTGCTACCTAGTTGTAGAAGTATTTAATGGTGTTGACAAAACAGGGCGGTAGTTGTACACAGTTTTTCGAGGAAGAATCTCGAAATTTTATTGCACCGGCCTAGATTCGTTTTGTCTACTAAGAAATTGTTTCCGGGAAGTAGATGCTTTTTCCTTTACTCTACTGCAAGGACAATATCGTACAATTTTTTTTGAAGCAAAACTGGATATAGAACTTCTGAAGAGAGGTGAAACTACAATCTCGTAAAACACGACACAATTAGAACAAATTGTCGTGACCCTAGCTGATGACTGCGGTACAACAGGAACAGATTATGGATAGCAGATCGAAAAAAGTAGAAGAACGACTAGAACTCAGTCGGGATAAGAATCAATATAGGAAGAAAGCTGGAGTCCAACAAAAGTTCTCGCAAATTCCCTTCCAAGCTTAATTGAAAATTACCTCGAAGAATTCATGAAGCCGATTCAGCCCGTCCTAAAAAGTAGTAGACCTAGTAATCTTAATCAAAAAATTGAAATTACCACGATGGTCTCCTGTTTTTTGTAAAGAAACAATTTTTTTGGAAGGGATAGTTTGGCCACTATAACATAATTTTTCGAGTCGTCAATTATTGTAGTAGGATTAGTTGGGCAGAAAATTATTGGTTTCGATGGATGGGTACTATGGAAAAGGTGTCGGTTTGAAGATCCGGTTCGTATTCTGGAGGACGGATCAACGGCCTCACGCTTCTATTGCTTCGTGCATGTCATTATCAAGGTGAAAAAATCGCGGCATGACCATAGCATTTCAAAAAAGAAGGAATTTCAAAATGGAACTATGCAAAAGAATTTCTAGCGCCGCTGCTCGGGGATCTTCGGAGGGTAGTATTAGGGTTAAGCTTTTACGTAAATTCTACGTTAAGCTTTACGTACAATCACGTACTATGCGAAGATCCGTTTTCTCTGAGAGCGGTAAAAATTTCAGTACGTAAGGCAGCATCTTCAACTTCTTTTTGCGGTCTTCGATCCAAACTGATTTGAAAAGGAAAAACGCGTTCACTTTCGTGTGCCTTTTACCTATTTCGATAACGAGCGTTTTTGCTTTTGTGCTTGCACTTAGTTCACCTCATGAACACAACTCCGCTAGAACTGCTGCACTGGTTCATGATTTTCTGTTCCTCATCCCTAATCTGGGATTGTAATGGAGAAGAGGTTTTCATTCTTATATGATTCCACACTGTTTTCCTTTTTTCTTGCCGTCTTTCTCAAGACAAAATCGGGCAAAAAGTTTGCAGAGCGCGGCATTGAGTTCATTACTTTTCGTGCCTTTCAGAGCTTCTTTTTTTACATGACTTTCTGTCTTTTCAAATTGTTTTTCTCGAACTGAATTGCAATTAACTTGAAAGCGTGTGAATTTCTCAGGAAAGAAATAATATGGTTGTAGTGCTGATTGTCCATAATTTGTCTCTAGTACAGCGGATCAGGAGCGCAACAAACGATCATCATCTACTTATTTAACCAGTACCTAATTCCAGCGCTCGATATTGTGCTTTATTCCCGAATGGCCGTTTTTATCTATGAGTCGAGGTTTCTTCGATTTGCAGACTTGAGTTGATCTGCGAAAGAACTTGTCACAGAGGATTTTTCCATTTTCAATTCTGAATTTGCGGGAAGTACCTTGAGCAATGAATTTGTCTATATATTTAAGTATTGTGATGTGCAGCTAGGCGGGTAGTGGTAAATGCCTATAGGTACTTACTGTTGTATATCGTGCAAAAGTTGCAGGTGCGACGGCATGAAGCTGTCTAATTGGTTTAGCAAATACGGAGTATTAACGGCAATAAAGACAATAAGAGTTTGTATTTGGTTTCCTCTATGCTTAAAATTACTTAAATCTGTCTATAGAATTCAACCACCTGGCGTAGTGTTCATCCTCGCAAGGCTTAACGCAACGGAAGTCTGTCCACAACTGCTTCAGTACCAATACTTAGCACGATGAAAGCAACTACCCATCTTTCCCTATCTTCACGCGGCTTGTTCTAGCACTTTCCCAATAACTTCCCACTCTTCTCGCAGTTTCTGCAGCTTTTCCCCAATCGTTCTCACCGGCTTTAATTCTTCCGTTAAGAATTTCTGGTTCTCCTCCATTTCCTTTCCACTTGGCAACAACGGCGGCCGGAACACCTTCGCCACCGGCTGCCGTACCGAGCTGGAGGCAATAGTGGATTGCTCTAAGAGTCGGAACAGCGGGGAGTTCCCGAGCTGGTCCAGTAAAAACTGAATGCGGCGCTCCATTCTCACGTACGTTAGATTGTCATCTGAACAATTCGGTTGTCCCGTCGTCTCGCTATTTTCAGCCGGTACATCAATCGGTATCCGCCAGTCGCCCAGCTCTTTCCAGAGCCTCGCTTTCGACTCCGGCAAGCTAGATTCTTGTTGTCGATTAGGTGGAAGTAGTTCTTGCGGAGGTGTTGTAGGGCTGGAAAATGTTGTTGTTGACGAAGAACTGGCACCGTTGGCACTTGTCCTGCCCGCAAGAACGAGGTTCTTTCTTTTCGCGGCATCACTTATTTTCCTTTTCCTTCGCTCCTCCTTCCCCTCCCGCGGGCCGAAAAGCCTCCGATTTGCCTCGTTGTTTTCCACGAGAAGAGCAGGTTTCTGCCCACCAGATTCATCTTGTAGTTGTTCCCGGTAGGCGTGGTCTTCCAGCAGCCTGGGATCCGCCCGCGCGAGCCGGTACTTGAGCGCTTCGGACAATTTCGTGTGCGCGCGCAAAAACAAGTCGAAAAACAACGTCCACTGCTGTTTTTTCTCCTGGTCGAGACAATTCGCGTCTGCCCCCCCTGCGGGAGCATCGATGCCGACGGCGACGAAGTACCTGCCGGTTAACTCGTTCCGGGTTATTCTCCGCGTTACCGGCACCGACTTCAAACCTTCCGTCGCGACATCGCCCAAGAAGCCGCCGACTTTCTCTTGCGCAGCTAAGGGGAGACGGTTTACAACTTCTTCGAAGGAGGGAATGTGGGTATTTCTGTCTTTTGCAAAATTGTCTTTTCCCTTTGCATTTTTCTCCACTGCCGATACCAACTTCTCCGACACTTTTAGGAGCAATTCCTGAAACCGCACGTCTTTTTGGAGCGCGTCGGGCGTCAACTTGTTCGCGAAAAGCCCCCAGGCGCCTATGTAGCTGGAGAACTCCGCGTCTTTTTCCTCTGGCATCAGGTGGTATGCAATCCCGTTAATTTCCCGCTGGCGGAGCGTTATTTCGGAGGATTCCGCAACCCGCGTCGGGTCGGGGTTGGAGACCTGGTCTGCTTTTCGGGGAAGGACAAAAGAGGGTAAATTGTTCAAATTCCGCCCGGCTTTGTACTCCAAAAACCAGTTGAACCAGTGCAGCCCCTTCTCGAGAAATTCCTTCGTAAACAGTTCCTGCAGCTTCCAGTCCTTTTCACCCGAATACAACGACCGCATGGTCGCAGTGGTAAACCGGTTGAAGTTTTGCGCCATTTCACTATAATCGCTGATTTGCGCCGTCTTCCCCGCGGTGATATGGATCGCAGATTGGAGCTCGAGAACACTATCGGTCGGGAGGAGGTGCAAGAAATCTTCCGGGTTCAGTGCCTGCAGCCCGTTTCGCTTCTCGGAAAAATCCAGCGCGGACACCGGGAGTGGGTTGAGTTTGGGATGCAGGAATTTAGTACTTCTACTGGTGCCGAAGGAATTGGTCCTCCGAGTAGCCGGATCAGAGCTGCGAGCAGGGGAAAGGTTATTTTCTACATCTTCAACATCCGCGGAGGACCTCCCTCTCGGCTTGTAGGTCCACGCGAAGGTTTTGTAGTACACGTTCTTGATCCACTGGGCCTTGCTGCTGAGGGTATCAACTGCAAGTATGTCTGGGCCTGGAAGAGTGACAGGTTTGTCATGCATATTTTGCGTGAAGACCCAAGATGCCTGTAATGCATGACCTAGCATCACAAATTTTTACAGCGCCTCCTCATGCCTGTTCCACATGAGAAACGCCCTCCCCACGTAGTAGAAGGTGGATTCCTCTTGCTGGTCATGCTCGACAAATCTTTTTTAGAAATAGAATCCAAACACAGCATCACGAAAAGTTGCAACCTTCCAGACCTCCCAGACACATTTGCATTTGATAGAGAGGCACCCAGACAAAGTTGCGATTCGTTCGCCAGAAGGTCAAGTTTTTCTGCAAGTTCAGCCGGATGTATTTCACGATCTTGAAGAAATCCGGAAAAACACTCAGGTACCGAAAGAAGACTAAGCTTGGCACTTTGTGCGTCTTATTCGGTTTCGCGTAGGTCTTGCTATCCAGCAGGGTGGATTTGAGAAAAGCTCGGTGGATCTCCACCGCGATAGCGTAGTTTGCGTTCCAGGTACTCAAATGCCGATAATTCATCCTGCTCTGGGGATCAACATGTTGATAGTCGTCCTGCTCGGGAGCCACTACAATCGGCGCCCCAACCAGACTCCTCACCATCAGTTCCAGCGCTTTCGACAAGGCCTGGTAGATGAACCGCTGCTTGTCCAGCCGGTGCCGCATGTAGTTCGTCATGTTGAACGCGAGGTGCGCTTTGCTGCACAACCCATCTCGGTCGCTGTCGTAGTCCTCCGGGAGCTCCTCGTCGCTAGAACTCTCGCTGACCGCTCTGTCCCGGTCCGGAACTTCCCCGCAGACCCGGCCCCCCCGGCACCTCCGGTATTCCCGGTTCTTCGAGTTGCCAACGCCGTCGGGCTGTTGGAATTGGGCGTCGTCGTTCTGAAACCCGTCGCGCCAGAAGGCTAAGGGTCCTGGCTTTAAATGCACCGCGGCTTTTGCGGCGATTTGGAAGATCGTGGAGGAAAAATCGGATTGGTGGTTCAACTTGAAATTATTTCTCCCCTTCCGGTACACGACAGAGAGCAAAGAGGTAATCTTGTCCAACACTTCCAGTGTTTCCTTGTCTACCGAATCGAAATTTTCGTGCACGCGCCCGTTCGTCTTGATTCTTCTCGACTCGAATAAGTTCTCCCGGTAGAATCGGCTCGACTTCTCGCCGGACAATCCTTCTCCCCAGTCTGCGCTTTTCCGCAGTAGAGATTTTTGCAAGTGGGATACATGGTCGAGAAGTAAATCCGAGAGGAAAACGTTGCTATCGTGTGCTTGCTATGAACTGCAAATATGTCTGGGTCCTCTGGAAGATTCCGTGGCTTGTCATACAAATTTTCCATGATCGATCTCGTCCGGAATGCAGGATCTAGCATGACAGATTCTGTGAGATCCCTATCGTGGCCATCCCGCATGAGAAATTTCCTCCCAACTTGGTCAAAAGCGGACAGCTTTTGGCATTCATACAACACAGATTTTTGCACGATCCAGAATTAGCATGACAAGTTGCAACTTTCCGGACCCAGACATATTTGCAATGCATACTTGCCACCACACGGTCGGGAAGGTTTTCTCCGTGATTTTTTCCGCGAGAATTTCGTCGAATCTCGGTCTGTATCCTGTGCAAAAGCATCGTACTCGTACAAATTGCATTTATGCATTACAAATCTCTTTCCCAAGGTAAATCAGCATTACAAATTCAATTTGTAATGCTGTGCTAATTTGTAATGCAATTTATACTAGTGCAGGGATGCTTTTGCATTGCATAGACTGTCCTCCGCGATCCGGCGAAGGAGGGAAAGCCAGGCCTTCTCCGGGAAGCGAAACCTCGTGGTCGTGGGAAGATTAGCAGCCGAACCCGTTGCGAACAGGAAGTGCGCTGAGGAGGTTAACACCGTTCGGAGGAACAGCGAGTAAAGCGCGCTGATCTTATTTGCAGACAGCACACCAAGACCTACTCCGGTAGAATTATCATTCGTCGCACCATCTGAAGATGATGATCTTCTACCGGATGATCTACCTTCCTTCCCACCGAAAAGTAGTTCTTTCTTGGCGGTGTCCAACCGCCGCAAAATTTCGTTTCCATCTCTTCGCAAGAGACTGAGGTGGTCGTTTACCATCCTAGCCGCGCAGCACCCCTCGGCGTTGATAACGGTGAGGTGGTGTAGGTATTGTTCGATCGTGTCGAGGATTTTCTCCGAATTATCCTCGCCACACTCCTTGTTAAGTATATCGACTAGCGGATCGACGTAGACAGTGAACTCATCATCTTGCCGAAAGTTGTGCTGAAAAAAATGCTCGGGCTGCGGTTGGTGCCCCTGCAGATAGTTCGCGAGCGGGACGGCGCAATAAAAAAATTGGCACTGCTGGTATTGTTGCCCGATCGGTTGGGCATTTTGAAGAGGACCACTTTGTTGACTTTGATCGGTCGCCGTGTGATTCCACCTGATTTTGACGATTGGTCTCTTTCACGCGTAGGTTTCCCAACGACTCCAAAGACGAGAGACGCAAAAGAAAACTCAAGAAGATTCTGAACACTACTAGGAATCAGAATAGTATCCAGTTTGTAATGCACTCCGGTGCTTCTCGTGTGTAGTTTAGGTGTTCCTTTGCCTTCCAAAATAAGCTATGCCGTTTGTGCCCGTATTAGGGTGTTTAGAGGTAAGCGTAAATAATTTGTAATGCTGAAAAGCATACAAGCCCTAATAGTTTCCCGTGGAGAAACTAATGCATCTGCAGTGAAGGTTGACAAACAAAGCATGAATTTGTAATGCTGGCGGCCGTTCTGCTCGGAAATGCCCGACAGCAATCTGTCATGCATATTTCGACCATTTGGTGACGATGCTTCTTCTCCTCTTTCCCTTTTGTGATCGCGCTCACCATTTAGTGAGCGGCAGTGTGGTCTACGGTTCTTGTACGAGCTAAATCAGTACTACAATTTATGACGAAGGGATTTCCGGAACCTTTGATCGTGCTGGTGCTTTGATCTTCAGGTTGATCCTTTGGCCAATTTGTAATGCTGTTTTTGATCTGCGGTAAATCTGGGGCTTTCGGAATCTAACATGTATTTGTCTTGCTAATCACGACCGAATTCTTGATTTGGGTGGACCTCACACAAAGGTCCACCTCGACAGCAAAACGAAATAAAAGAACGAAGTTGTTTCACGACCACCGCTCTGGGGGTGGTCGGGACAAGAAGCAAGACGACCTTAAAACCAGCAAAATGGAAGATTTACCCAAATAAACGATTGGCTCCCGGTAGTGGCGCACAATCGAATACGAAGACTCCCATCGAAAACCCTTTGTCCTTGCTTTTGTCCCACTCTGTATCCGGCTACTGCTCCGTTAAACTAATAACCTCCCTATCTTTGTAGCGCCATCGGTCTTAGTAGAAACTTCACCCAGATCATGGTTTGAAAATCATACAAGAGAATAAAATAAAACCTAAATAGCTGGAATCCCAGGAAGAGAGAGTACACAAATCCATCATACATGTAGAAAGTGGAGAACGGGGGGAAGAGAAACAAGTTTTCCCCCTTCCTCCTATTCTAGAAAAGCGGTTTCTCGTCCTGAGGAATCAAGATCCCAGGACTTTTGCCGAAAGTCCGGGAATCCTGACGAAACCCGCATTACAAACCAACAAATAATGTTTTCAAAACCTTAGCTGACTATCATCATACAATATAGAACTACCATGCGAAACCAGAAATAAATGAACGTCTTTAAATTTCCAAAACTATGAGTGACCCTGGTCGAAACTGCAAGAGAGACTTGAGCCAAGAAAATCCTCTTCGGCCCAGCCCCCCTAGTTCACGACTTTAGCCCCACGATAAAACGATGTCCGTAGCACGATAGTAATTACGACCTTTTTCCAAAAACGATTTCCCCAATTTGTAATGCTAGAAACGACTTGTCTTCCCAACGATGTAAACGATAGCGAAGACCCGAGATATGAAGTACGATTTTCAGTGCTGTGCAAACCAAAACCAAATAAATCTTAGAAAGCGCGGTGAGTAGGTGCGTACCAGCATCGGTGGTTCTAAATCTAACGTCTTCATCTTACAAGTGTCATGTAGTCGGGCGGGCTGGGGTAAAGCACAATTTTTGAATTTACCCAAATGCCCCCGCTTTACACCAGGACGCCTATTGCGCTGGCATGCTGGATATCGGTATGACTTCATTGTCTAAAAACCACTTCCGGTAGCGGACTTCCATGGGAGCCGCTTCTGCTAGTGTGACAGTGGCGGAATCCCTCCAAACGCAAATAATCCGAACCCAGCCGCATCCGTTCCGAGCTTTGAAAGCGTAGTCGTCCCTTCGGTATTCGGCGATATTTCCAATCACGGTCACTCTGTCCAAGCTGACTGGATTCTTCATCGGGATATCGGCCGAGCCATTGCGGTCAGCCAGGTATACTGCACGGTCTAAAACTCCAGTCACCTCGTAGATCGGCTTTCCGTAAACCCCAGCGAGCTCTTGCTTCCCACGAACCTGAGCCGGTGGCAACTCCACCTGAACTAGATCCCCCACAATGACATCAGGAAACCGGCTACCCCTCTTTGCGATCAGTTTCTTTCGAGTACGTTCCGCCGCCAAAGCCTTATCCTCGAGGCAGTCGACCGCCAGTTCCCGTCGTTTCCGTTCGACCTGGTCCAACGCATCACCGATTGATAGCTCAACAGCCCTACTGGGTTCTGGCACGGCAGCTCGTAATTGTGGAAACAACTGCCCCCGAACCTCAAACCCCAAAACGTCTAATGCGGATCGACCATTCCTTCCTTCGAGCGGCATTCGGTTCAGCGCCAGATCGAGATCTTCAACCCTGTCAGACCACTCCAACTGCGTGCCCGGGCCTGGGGACGTTCTGAAGAAGTGGGTGCAGAATTTGTGAACATACTCAGCCGCATGATGGCCCGCCGGGTGATAGCTGGTCCCTGGCACAAACTTCACGGCCGGGAAGTTGCGACGCATCCACGCCCGAAGCTTGCCATAGCCCTTGTTTTTGAAATGCTCGAACCCGTTGTCGGCTCGCAATTTCCTCGGCGCTCCAAAGCGCTTGAAAATTTTCTCCAAACACTCGATCGCTTTCTCGACGGTTTTGTTTTCTGTGCTGAATATCCAGTTATAACCACTGAAGACATCGCAAGCCGTGAAGATGTATTTTTGTTCAGTGCCAGTAGTGGTTTTGTAAGGTCCGGCATAATCGAACATGATGCAATCCAAGAACTGTCCATATTCCAGCACCTCCGCCCGCGATGAGATCAACTGCTGTTCCCGCACGTTGGTGTTGCACGCCGGGCATCTTGCGATGAAGGCCGCAACATCTTTCCGCATGTTGTTCCACAAGAATCCGCACCGCAAAATCTCAACAAAAGTTGCATACTCACCCGCGTGAGCAGCCCCCACGGCCGAACGGTGGATGGCCCAGATCAAGTATTCGCGAAGCGAAATCGAACCCGAGGGAAACAGGTGCGTCAGCTCTTCTTCTTCGAACCCAGCAACCCCATCCACAAATTCCCCCGATGGAACCACCACCCTAAAAACGTGGTCGCGATCTAACCGGATCAGAACATCGTCTGCATCTCGACAAAACTGCCTCTGCTTCACATCGTCGATAGCAGTCTTTGCCCGTTTCACACCCCAACGACGCGCCGCGCGTTGAAGTAGTTCTTCCAACGAAAACCGGCCCACATTGTCCAGGACCCAAAAATGTTCTGGCCAGGCCTTTTGCTGCATTTGCGCAATTCTTTCTTTGGTAACGTCCACCGGAACTGCCGTTTCTTCGTCCACTCCAGGGGGCGGAGCTTGTGCGCCAAAAGCCAGCATTCCCTTGTATCCGCTTTTCCAAAATCGTCGCAGCGGCAACTGCGACCCTACTGCCCCCAACCCTGCTCCTGTTCCTGCCGAAACCTTCGACGGAGCAGAGAAAATGAATTTCTTGTAGTTCCACTGCTCCTGGATCTTGTAGTACGCTTGAGGAGGTCGCACTACTTCCACAAATTCCGGAACCGTTTCGCCGTAGCAGTGCTGGCAGAGAAGTAAAACACCATCTAACGGCTCCAAATCCGTAATCGGAGTCGCCTTTGTCGGAACCGCCCCCGGCCGGTACAGGCTTTGCAGCCGAAAAACAGTAGGTCCATCGTGAAGAAAAATTCCCTGGGCCTTCTTGAAGATAGCATTTACCCAAATAGCTTCTGGATCGGCTTCTTCCGGTGCTGGATCCAAATCTGCGTCTTCGTCTGCCACCTGTTCCGGAGGTAGATTTGCAGGAAAATTCGCAATCGCCAGCAACGGCTCTACGTTTTCATCCCTGTTGCCCCCCTGCAAATTCTTCCCATCCTCCTCTTCGACGTCCGAATTACTGAAATTAACACTATTCCCTTCATCACAATTCGCATGAGCATCCTGTTTGTCATGCAAATCGTCCTTGTTGACATCAGCTACATTTTCGTGAATTTGCAGTGGTGCAACAGCAGATGACGACGACAAACCGTTTTGCGAAATTTCCAAAGGGGGAGCGGCCTGCTCCGCTTGTTCCTGTAAAATCGGTAGGAGGCCAGCCTGATTCCGCTGCTCCTGAAGCGCGTCAAACTGCTCTACTAATTCGGCCAGGCGAGTACTCCGCTGCCTGGTGTTCCGTTTCTTCAAAAGTTCTTCCGTTTCCGCAACTATTAAATCCTCTTGGTCCTTGATGGGGAGGCAAAACCGCAAACCATCACCCGGATCCTGGATAATCCGCTGTCGCACCGGGGCCACGCCACAATTGCACTTGCACCGCCTACCTGGCGCCCGTAGAAGTGCTTCCCCGGTGTGTTTCGGACAAATTAGTAGTGGCGACTCAACTGTTTCTCGACCGGGATTCCACTGCGCTTTGAATAGCTTAACCTCCTGCACCCCATCAGTGCATTGCAAATCCCGCAGCGGCTTCGCTATTGCTTCCAAATCGTGAGCGATAAATTCCTTCGGATGGTTGGAATGGGATAAATCTGAGCGGAACCGGTCCGGCAGCCCCTTGATCGCAGCTTCTTTTGCCTCGTCGAAGTTGCGATATAACTTCCTCGGCCCCCAAGAGTACTCCACCCGATTCCCATTCTGAAGCACTACTATTTTCTTCTTGTTCCCATCGGCAGTTGCAGAAACGTGCAGCACTTGGCTTTGTTCTGCCACCCCGAGAGGCTGCATTTCTCCTTGACCCACGCTCGGGTCTTCGTCCTTCTTCGACCCAAATAGCCATCTGATACAATCCCGAACCCCATTCGGCATCTGACCTAATACCCGCTGTAGGTCGGCCCGCACTCCTTCGCGGTCTTTGCCCTCTGCTGGGAATCTGGAAACGATATCCGCCAAAATATTGCATTCGCCACTAATGTGCACCCGGTGAATCAATGGAGATCGCAATTTCGGAAGCATACCTTCGACCCAGCGCTGGACCTTGGCTGACTTCACCTGTGATCTTGCAATCTCTTCCAGCTCCGATTCCCCCAAGTTCTTGTGATCGAAAAGTAGGAAAATTTCGCTGCCCTCCACAAGGTTCAACCCAAAATCACAGAACATCTTGACCCCCGCCAACTCGCGTTCAAAAGTTCCCAAATTCGCATCGCCAGCTGCAAAACTCCTCGACTTAGCCATTATCGGACGCAGGGGCCCGAACTTCTTCTCTGGCTGAGCGATGACAAAACCCCTTCCATAAATGCTTGCGTCGAGCAAAACACAAATTGGCCGCCCGGTAGTGCGCCAATTCTGTCCCGCCGCAAGGTCTAAAGCCCTCAAAGGAACGTCCGACCGGAGGGAGGTGCGCAACCGTTTAAACGCATCCATTGCTGCTGGGTCGCCTTGGAATTTCTTGAAGTCCGATTTCTGACGAAGGTAGGGGCGGAGCGGATGACAGATTTCCGTGAAGTCCGGTATGTATTCACGACTGAAATTCGCAAAAGCAACCGCCGACAACAGCTCCGCGCGTGACTTCGGTGTTGGCCAGTTCCGTAACTGGTCGCAGCGTTTCTTCGTTGGCTTCCGTCCTTCTTCCGAAAATTCGTAGCCTAGAATCTCCAAAGACTTGCACCCAAAACAGCTCTTCCGCAGGCTCAACGCAAAACCCGTCTTCTTACATTGTTCCAACAATGCCAGCGACCTCGCCTTCAACTCTGCATACGAAGCCGACTCGTAACAAAGGTCGTCGATGTAGACATTGATAAACTCCTCCCCTGTCTCCGGGCAGGGAATGGGTTCAAAGGTTGACCGCGTCCAAGCTTGAAACACGCAAGGTGCCCAAACGGGTCCCAAAGGCATTCTCTGTGGGAAATAAATTCCCTCGCCGGTCGTCCACGCCAACCATCTCTGTAGTTCCTCAGGCAAAGAAAGCTGATTATAGCCAAGCGCTAAATCGATCGCCGAAAAGAGACGAGAACCCCGCCGCAAAAGCTTCGAAAAAATTTGGTCCGTTTGCGGCATCTCGTAGAAGATGTTGGTGACCAAAGAATTGCATTTCCTATAATCAACAACAATTCTTTTTGCTGCGTGTCCCTTGCGCACTGCAAGAAACGCAGGACTGAGCATCAACGGGAAGTCATGCACTTCGGGATTGAATTTAATCAACTTGCCCTCCGCAACTGCCTCTCGAAGATTAAACTCCATCCGGATTCTGTCGAGCGGCCCCAGCTGGAATGGTCTTGGTGCTGTGGAATTATCGACCGACTTGTGGTCAGGAATAGGGATTTTGATGTCGAGCTCCGGATACTCGCGCCCGGTATCGTGAAACTGCGCGGCATGAGGAACGATGACTTCGTCCCGAAAATTTTCAAACTCCTCATCTGACAACCCACCCGCAAGTCGTTCTCGATGTTCCGTCCAGTAATTCCGCACCTGCTCCTTCCATTCCTCGGAGTCCGCAGCTAGTAGTCCTCCTGCCTTCTCCAGCTTCTTCGTCTTTTCCTCAATTTCCTTCATCAGTACTGCGTATTCGTCTTCGTCGATTTTGCCCAAGCGAAAGCTACTACCACTGCCCCCCGAGCTAACTCTAGTAAAATCTGTAGTAGCATCCTCTTCGTTTCCTCCGCCGGAGCGAGTTATTTTCCACGCATCGAAAAATCGAACTGCAGCTTCCTGAACCTTTTCGCACTCGGAATGCAAACCCAACCGAGTGGCCTCCAAAATTTGCAGTAGCGGTGGGAGGTGGTCCAAACTCCCATCCGTCGGTAGAGCTGTAGCCAGGTCCGCAAATGGAAAAGATTCTTTTCCATCCTCCACCGCCCGCTCTTTCCAATTCGATCCAAAAACTGTTTTTAGGTACTGCCGTCTTTGTGCCTCCGGGCTGTCAAGACCTTGTTTCCCTAATACCGCTGATCGGGCTCGTCGGACCTGCCTTGTCAATCGTCCCCGCAGGTGTTCGCCGTGTTCCTGCCGCCAGGCCCGAAGGTAGTCCGCAAGCTTATGCCACTGGCTCCAATCGCAATCCAAGTTTTTCAGTAGCTTGAGCGCAGTGTCGGGTCCTTTTGTTTCGATAAACTCCTTCCAATCCTTGAAGTTGCGTTTTTCTCCTGTTCCTTCAGGCATCGCCGGGACGTCCCAGCACCAGGCCGGGGTAACCGAAAAATCGCGCAACACCATGCAGCTTTCATCTTCTTGATCTTCGGCTGCCCTTTCGCATCGGGTGTTGATTTCGTCCGAAACTAGTTTTGTCATCTCCGAAGCCGACAAAGCATTTTCATCATGCAGATCCGGTTCTGACACTGTCGGCGCCGCAAAATGCGGAACCGAAAATCCTTGCCACCCGACTGCTAGTCCCGCTGCTGCTGCGACTGCTAATTTTCCAACAAATCTTCCTACCGACTGTAGAGGCCCACTAGCAGTCTTCTTCGCTGTTCGACCCTTCAATGTCCCGAAAGCGCATTCCTCTTCATCCTCAGCCCGCCCTTCCACATCGTCGTCATCATCTTCGCCAAAAAATCCTTCTCCGACTTCAAACGACTTATTTGCGGGTAGACCGGGAACAGGAGCCAACTTCAGGTCGACATGCTTGAGACAAAACAAATCACTAGGAACCAGCGCCCTCCCCATAACATTGGGATTAGTGATTTGCACCACCAATCTATCGTCTTCCTGCACGGTATCAAACTGCGAGCTGTGCAGCACGATTGGCAACGTAGTTTCTATTTTCTTCGCCCTGCCCATCGGAGACAGATCCAGCACAGACGTTCCATTTTTAATACGATCTGCAGCCCACTCGGTAAGATCCACCCGGACCGTATCCCCGGCTTGCAGGATGATCTCCGACTCCGCGTCGAGCCGTTTTAGGCTGTACCCAGATCCCGTTTTGCTGTTCACGATCGGCACGCAGAACCACTGCGGCCCCCGACCCCAGTTTTGCCCGAAAAGTGTAGCAGCATCGTAGGAGGTCGCTTGGTCCAGCAACTCCCTTTTCGGGTCGGAAAGCAGAACATAATGCGCCAAATTCGCATCCAGCCCTTCTTCCTCGTCCGACACGAAAACACCGAGGCCGCGCAGGGTAGTATATCCAATGTTCACTCCGTCGGTGAGGTTGTCCAATACGAGAAAGTCCTTCTTCAAAAGACCGGATCTTTCCCCCTTGCTGTTCTCGAGCCTGAACTCGAGAGAAACATACCGAGCGTCATGAACTGTTTCTCGAGTGCCCTCCGTGATAAACTGTTTGCGCCCAGTATTCCGGATTTCGAGACCCAATTCTTGTGCCACTGCCAAACTCATGGCGCAATTGTCCCCCCCCCTGGAGGTGGTGCCCGCTCGGTCAACTGTATTTCCGGTATCCAAGTGCGCCAGAATAGTTTCATCTCCGACGAACACCTTGACGAAGACTCTGTTTGGGGATCGGCCAAGCCCTGCGTCGACCTTTCCTAACCCCATCCATTCATCATCAGTTGCTTCCGGATCCACAAACCGAATCGCAATTCCGTTATACAACTCCGAATCGTCCTCCCGAAGCTCAAAATAGCGGGTCTTCGCACAGAAATTGACAAAATCCGACTCGTGCCACCCCTTAAGAAGACCATCCTCTTTAAAATCCATATAGATGACACCCGCGAAACCGTTCCGAGGCTCGGGCGGAGGATGGTGGACTTCGGCCGCCGTCAATCGTTTGTCGCAATCCATCACCATCTCCATCAACTCTTGTTCTTCCGGGGTCATGCCGCCCGTACTGGTGCTGCCCGGCTCCTTTGCGTCCAACGAGTGCAAACTTCCCTTGCCCCCGCCTTTGCCTTGTTTCTTGTTGTTCCGCTGCGGCGCACTGTGGGAATAAATTCCGCGTTTGTTCAGTTCCTTCCAGTCGTTCAACTTCGGCCGCCAAGTTTTCTTCTGTTCCACCGTTAGCCCTTCGTACTCCTTACGCTGCTTTTCTTCCCATCCCGGGGTGAGAAAATGTTCTTCCACAATTCTCGAAGTCGCGCCCGGCGTAGTACAAAGAGCGCGGGAACAGTAACCCGCCGGAAGTTGTGCCAGTTTTTCCAAAGTGAGGCCGCTCGCTACTGCTCGTTCTGTCGGGCACAAACTCTTTCCGGTTAGCTTCTGAAACGGATCGCAAACCGCATGCGTTACCTGTTTCCCATTCAAGTCGGAGCAGAGTTTGCACGTGGTGAACTGGAGCTGTTTTGCAAAACAAATTCGCGCATAAGCGGTATCCACGTCCGTCTCATCATGGTATCTGACGGAATGTTTCAGACCGCAAGCCATGTTGACCGTTCGCCCCTGAAGACTTGGCCCCCCCAACGGCATCAAAGCATTGCCCTCCGGGTCGTCGACATCGATGCAAGCTAGACCCCCACCCCAAGCTTCTTGATCCTGCGCCTGGTTCAGAGCCATTGTTGCCACCGATGTCATGGCGTTGAGATAATCCCGCGTCGTCGTGTTGTGGGGTTGGAGAGAGAGATGCGGGGCCTCCGGGTCGCGCATTCTTTCCAACTCAAATTTGATTTTTGTCAGCTGCTTCTCCGGAATGCCAGCTGATAACTCCGGTCCGAGTTTCGAAGGTGCAGTGAGGCGACGGTGGAACGCAACTAGGAAATCCTCAGTCCCGGCTTTGTCGTCCAGGCTGTAAACCTTGTCCCCCTCCCTGCTGCGGAAATCCATAAACCCGCTAAAACGTTCTTCCAGCGTAGCGGCAAAATCGGTGAGATTCGACTTGTGCACGACCTGCATGCGCTTCTTCTCGAAAACCTTGACCCGCGCTGGCGTTAAGTTTGTGGCCACGCGGCACCGGTAACCGAATTCGAGGATAAGAGCCCGCCATGCTTCGTCTTCCTCCATCGCCTCTCCGTGCGCCCGTTCTCGAAGTGTCCGCAAAATGCGCCGCGCACTGGTGTTTGCCTTTGCTTGGAGTTCGAGTTGTTTGAACCCTCTGTGGAATTCCCCCCCGATAGTCTCCATCCAATCCAAAACCAGGCGGCACTCCTCGAAAACTATTGCATCGGAAGACCCTTCCAGCACTAAAATCTGTCCGTCCTCGCGCTTTACTGGTGGAAAAACGTCTTGTTTGTAGTTGCTTCGAACGCCGTCCGCCCGTGCTGGAGCGCGTGGGGAGATATCCAATTCAAACCGGATCGACCCGCTCGAGAGTTTGACGGCGCACACAAATCCCGCCGGGGTTGTGAAGTGTTTCGCGGCTTCCTTTCGAATCGCTCGGCCCAGCTTGTACACTTCGAAAGGGGAGGCCGGCAAAGCGCCCGCCTTGTCGACGCCCTTGACCGTAATGCCTCCGCTTGCATTCCTGGCGGCGGTCTCAATGGTAAAACCATGAGAGCCGACCGCCAGAACACGGCCCACGACGCTGCTGAGACTCGGGGAAGCCACTGCCGGGGCGGCTCCGTCGCCGTCTCCATCCTTCGGCGCCTCTGCAGTAGTGGTCTTGCTTTTCAGTCCTTTCCCAGATACTGTTTTTTTCTTGCCGAAGATCCCGGTCTTGGTCGTGCGGTCGGTTTCCGCACAAGAAGACGCCACATCGCTGCGCCTCGCCAAACCGCTTGAAACCATTCTTCCGGAGCCGCGCCGCGGGCGAGTAACCATCTGTCGTAACCCCGCTGCCCCGAACGCTTTCCGGCTTGTTGCATAGCTGTGGACGCTGCCTTTTTTCGGAATGTCGTCTGCGCTTCCAGTGTGACTACTGCTCTTGCCCCACTGCTGGCTGGCAGTGGTTTTCGCCCGTAAAACAGCAAATCGCAGTCCTTTCCAGACGCAAACGCCGACCTTCTGCAAACCCGCAAAACACAGTGGCAAACAACTCGACCCGGCATCCTCCTTGGACGGGTATTTTGACGTTGCCGGGAGGCCATCCTCATCCAGAACCCGCACCGGCGTGCGGTGTAATTGCATGTGCGAGATGGTTGAAGCCGTTCCAACCGAATGCATGCGGGAGGCGCCGACACCCGTCACCGGATCCGTTTCCGAGTGATGCAGGCTGTCCAGGTTTTGCCGCGTCAGATTGCTAGGCCGCTTGTATTTCCGGCCGCGGACATTGAAGATTTTATTCGCCATTTTTTGTTTGAACCTAGATTCACTTCTGCTTGTTACCAAACCAAAATGTAGCCCGTAAAGTCCGTTTCCGTAAAATTCTCAAGATGCAGTTGCAAAACAAAATAGAAACCTCAGAAAAATTAGTAGTAAGTGATAATTTGAAATGCAAATTCCCCACGGGAAAGAAATAGAAAGAAATAGATAAAATAGAAACTCGTAGTAAAAGTTAACTTTATGCAGCAAGGCCGTGCGTATCTATTATTTACCCAAATAAAAATAAAAACGCTCTGGCTTCGTTGCCGCTCGGGTCCACCACTTGTGACTCCACCTGATTTTGACGATTGGTTTCTTTCACGCGTAGGTTTCCCAACGACTCCAAAGACGAGAGACGCAAAAGAAAACTCAAGAAGATTCTGAACACTACTAGGAATCAGAATAGTATTCAGTTTGTAATGCACTCCGGTGCTTCTCGTGTGTAGTTTAGGTGTTCCTTTGCCTTCCAAAATAAGCTATGCCGTTTGTGCCCGTATTAGGGTGTTTAGAGGTAAGCGTAAATAATTTGTAATGCTGAAAAGCATACAAGCCCTAATAGTTTCCCGTGGAGAAGCTAATGCATCTGCAGTGAAGGTTGACAAACAAAGCATGAATTTGTAATGCTGGCGGCCGTTCTGCTCGGAAATGCCCGACAGCAATCTGTCATGCATATTTCGACCATTTGGTGATGATGCTTCTTCTCCTCTTTCCCTTTTGTGATCGCGCTCACCATTTAGTGAGCGGCAGTGTGGTCTACGGTTCTTGTACGAGCTAAATCAGTACTACAATTTATGACGAAGGGATTTCCGGAACCTTTGATCGTGCTGGTGCTTTGATCTTCAGGTTGATCCTTTGGCCAATTTGTAATGCTGTTTTTGATCTGCGGTAAATCTGGGGCTTTCGGAATCTAACATGTATTTGTCTTGCTAATCACGACCGAATTCTTGATTTGGGTGGACCTCACACAAAGGTCCACCTCGACAGCAAAACGAAATAAAAGAACGAAGTTGTTTCACGACCACCGCTCTGGGGGTGGTCGGGACAAGAAGCAAGACGACCTTAAAACCAGCAAAATGGAAGATTTACCCAGCCGCGAATACGACTGGAGCGATCGTGTGCAATAATTCTTCTGGCTGTAGTGGTGCCGCACCACCCTGTTGATTAAGATTTTGCTCTTCTTGTCCCCCATGGTTCATTCCTGGCGCAAACACGAACGGCGGCGGAACAGCCCCAGCGCAAGAATGTTGTGAGCTGCTTGCAGCTCCGCTCGGTCCCGGCACGTCGACCCCGCCCTGGCGGGTACTTCCTCGCGAAGAAGTACTAGAGCTCCGGCTTCTAGAAGAGCTCGCCCCGCTATTCTTGTTGTGGGCCAAAGGATATGCCGAGGTCCTCGAGTGGTAATTTTCCTTACCCGGACTGGATTCGCGCGAAGAAAGGTAGGCGGCTTCGATGCAGCTGGGAGCGCTGAAAAAACCGCCCACGACGAGAAGGAGAGATGACTTCTTGAAAGCTGACATCGTGTATTGTATTGTGCAGGATAGTTCACCTGAAATAAATTTCCGGCTCTTGTTCTACTGGTCAAATCGAAAAAAGAAAACGGCTCAGACAGTTACTTTCTACTGAGCACTACCAGGATCCTTTCGTTGTTCAAACAAAATTATACACGCAGTAGGATTTTGGTGCTGGCTCCGTACTGAACTACTTAGGTGCTGAGTATTCACAGTGGCGTTCTTTTAGAAATCTATTTGCTTCTATCACTTCAATCCTGTTTTCCTCGCAAAAGCGTGAAAAGTAGCGGTAACACAAACTACCAAGAACTATCTTCGGTTGGATGAAAAAATTATCGAAACGGACTGACGTAAATTCGTAGAATTAATGGCTGCAAGACGATGTACTTAGACTTCCTGAATTTTTTCGGATGCAACACTAAATCAAGTAGTGAACAATGAATTGGTGCAGGTACCAGTTGGCTAATTAAGCGATCTTGTCACAAGGACTCAGACCCGGACGTAGAGGTTAATTAGGAAATACTTTAGCACTTTATGTCAGTATACAATGTCTACAATAGAGCAGCTATGACGCCTACTTCCGTCGACAAGAGTCGTGTCCAACAGGCACTTGCGGTTACAAGATGTCTTGAAGTTGTTGTGTTCTTGGTAAGTGTCACTTCGCAAATGGTAATTTCAGATGAACTTCCTCCTGTGGCGGCTTCGGTTGGGGTGAATGTCTCGCGGCTGGTTCAAAGAAACACAGAGTGTCAGGATTTGCGTTACTTTTTGATTCTGAACTCAGAGCTCATAGTGACTGTAGGCTGATTATGATTTTGATCTGGCTTTGCGAAATTTTGCGACCGTGTTCCGCTAATCGGAATGGATTTCGTATTAAGCAATGTCGGAGCAGGATCTTGAGTACACTTTTCCATTCCATCTCTCTTCACGACCCAACCGATAGACTGTCGCTCTCATTTATGATCTGCGGTGGTCTCAGATTCAGATTTGTTCTGAAATCACTCGAGTGAGTATTGTAAAATTTCAGTGTGCCTCCCACTGTCCTGATTTTTCTACGGAACATCGAAAAAGAGTGTTAGGTAAATAGCCTTTGTATGAACTCGAAATATGACGATTTGGCCGCATCTAAAGCCGTGGCCCTTCCGGAGATTTGTTTTTGTATTTTTTTTGCAAATTTTTTGGTACAGCAATATTATCGGCGTGTGGTAAGAAGCTGTGGTTTTTCTTAGGCGTTTTGGGAAGAAATTCGTGGTAGCTTCAAATCAAAAAAAAATTCTAAAAGCAGTAGGCTATCAGCAGTGTTGCAATAGAAGCTTTGTCGTGGTAAGATTCGAGCAATCCGTGCTTGATTATTTCGAAAATAATGTTTACATGGCATGTACATAGTTCCGTGTCTACCACTGCAACATCCGCGATTGCTATCCGCTTGAAAAATTTGCCTTTCGTTTATTGAAAAATCTGTGCCGAAGTACAACGCACGTGTCCTCTACAGTCCTGCACGTTCTTGCCTTTTTTGTACGGCGATTCGAAAAATGTCATTTCGAACCATAAATCACGCTAGCGCACCAGCAAGCATGACTTTTTTCCGTCGGATCCCCACAAGGAAGAGCCCGCGGTTATAAGTACTGCTTGCCTTCCTTTATGTCCTAGACAAGAAATTAGTGCTTCTGGCTCCGGCACTGACATTCAAAACGAAAATTATATCCTCCGTAGTACAGTGAAGAGCAGTACTGCGTCGCCGGGTGTAGCACTACTATCTTCTCGAGCTATCAAAGGACCATCTTCGTAATATAGCCCAATATTTGTACAGCTCTCCTAGTCGTGTTTGGAGAGAAATAGTACTTTTCTCGACCACCGTCCAAAATCCCATATCTTTCCAGAAATCAGTGTCTTAAGCTGCTCTGAGTATTACGTATATCTGTAACAATCGGTGTATTTGATTTTTGAGTAATAGTAAAAAGTGTTATAGGGTATTGCACTAAACGATTTTGTTGTTGAAAAAAAACCTTAGTTTTGTTGTTTGCAATTTTTTTTTTAGCTTCTCTAAAGTTACCGTGCGATAACAAGAGAAAATCATAAAGAAAAAGACTGCTGCTCTCCCTGTTTATCGCTAGAAAAAGCGAGAACTACCCGCGGGGTGGAACCATACTCACAATAGAAAATATCGCTAGTGTAGTGATCAGTCCGCATCACAGTTCTCCACTATCCTCTAACCAATACAGCTCAATGAACAGCGTCTATTTCTACAGTATTTTGAAATCCTTGTATCAAATGATAAAAAGTTTCAAATCCGACGCAGCACAATTTAGCGGCGACGAGAGTCGCGGCGGCCACCCCGGCGGTCTCCTCCGCGGGAGCGGGAGCGGCGGTCTCCTCCGCGGCGGTCCCGGCGGTCGCGGCTGTCGCGGCGGCCGCGGTCACGGCGGTCGTCCTTCCATTCCATGTTGCGCTTGCCGCGGGTGGCGTATGCATTGCAAAAGTATCGTACTAGTACGAATTGCATTACAAATTGACTTAGCATTACACATTAAATTTGTAATGCTGATTTACCTTGCAAAAGAAACTTGTAATGCATAAATGCAATTACTACGAGTACGATACTTTTGCACTGGATATGGCGAGGACGAGCTCGATCTTCTGGTTGTCCATGGTGATGTCCGCCTTGGCCGCGTCCTCGGCCTCATCCTTGTGCTCGAAGCGGACGAACCCGAAGCCCTCTCTATCCTGTGCAAAAACGTCCCCACGCTAGAGTCAAGTTGGGAATTGTGCAGCACAAATCCGGAAGTTCTTTTTGGAGTCACGCATGACAAGTTTTTCTCCGTGCCGTAATTTGCCTTTTAGCAAGGACAGCCGCATCACAAAGCCATCCTGGTATCCTGTTTACAGCATCACAAGTTGCATGACACGATTGAAACTGCTTCTCATGGGGATGCGCATTACAAGGTTTCCTGTGATTCTTGCAAACCCGCATGGCAATTCTGGGGTGGAGACGTTTTTACTCAGAATACTTTCCGCGTCCGGAGCGGTAGTCGCGCGGAATGTACACGTCCTGGACGGTACCGAACTTGGAGAACTCCTTCTCGACCTCTTCCGCCTTCACGTAGGTGTATGCAATACAAAAGCAGTGCACTTTACCAGAATTGCATTACAAATTATACGGACAAATCAAATTCTAACTGTAACTGAGTTTGTGATGCTGAAGCTCGAAGAAAGAAAAATCAAAATTTGCCATGCAGAGGTGGTCAACATCATTGCAAAAATCATGCGCACAACAACCGCATCTGAAAGTAAACTGCTACTTTTGATGTACACAGCGTAACTCGGACAAGCCGTCCATCTTCACGGAGTGCAGGTCCTCCATGCGCAGGCCGTTTTTGCGGTAAGCCATTTTCGGGACTTCTGGGTGTCTGGATTCAACGCTCTAGACTGGAATAAAACTGGAAAACAGGTTCCTGGATTCTGGAAAAACTGGAGTTCTGCGACGCAGGTTTCGTTTCGACTACTGGAAAGCTAGGTGAGTGTCGTTGTAGTAACTGGTGTGCTACGTGAACGTAGAGTGAAGATTTTATAGACAGGATTGTCCGCAAAAAAAAATTGGGAAAGCTGAACTGGCCTGGTGTAGTTGAGATTGGATTGTGACTGGATCTGGAGTCTGCTCTGCACGCGGTTTTGAATTTTCGCAGGAACTGGGTACTACAGTAGTGCCGCAATTGGCTACCGGAAATGTCAAAAATCCGCGGTCTGCTAAAATATTGAACTGGGATTTTTCCGGAGTCTTTGTGCGTAAGTAGTTGCCGCAGCCGTATTGCTATAGCGCGTCACCGCCCAAAAAACTGGCAGCACCACGCGGAGTTTCTTCGCCCTTGCTCCGTGGTTTCTTTCGCAATGGCGAACTGGCAGAAGTATCAGTGCTGCAGGGTCGTTTGTTATCTACAGGAACAGGATTTCAATTTCTGCATTTGGATTTCAGGATCTGCTTGAACACATTTGCATCAGTTTCTGGGTTCAGGAGCTGGAAAGCGCAAGCGGTCGCGTTAGTAGTATCACACCAATTTCTGTGCCGCTAAGAAGTTTCCGCTGCAATCCTTGCTGCATCGCGGCTGCTCTGCACTACAGGAGCCGCGTCTGGAGTACGTATCTGCCTGCAATAAGAAGTGGAACTCTGGGTCAGAGTCACTATATCTGGACCGGGCAGGAGGAGTACTTAACAACATGATGGAGTCAAGTCTTGTTCTACGTGACAGTTTATCTCGCAAGGATCCTGGAATTCTCTGGCATTTGGAAGGAAGCGAAGTGCGGACCAAGATTTTAGGATCGAGTGCATTTTTCCTGGTTGTATCTCATGGTGGGCTAAAGGACTGTTTACGGGCCGTCTGCATGAGCGTACGCCCACTTCATTTTCATTCTGTGTGCACCACTAACCTGTACGTAGCATCAGCGAGAAGAAAAAAATGTAAATGCTCTTAGAGTAGAGAAAGATGTTGATCAATCTTGATGGGGTCGTCAGCTTGTGCTGTTTACGTGAATGATTCCTAGTTCATCGGTGGGTCTGCCGCTGATGAGCGCTTATATATATCGTGCTCCGCTTCTCAGCTATCCCCGTATAGCATATAGAACACTGCTGCATCAAGAACGTGGGAGAGGTACAGCCGGCACCAACCGCCAACAACACCACACTGCGAAGCTCTGTAATCTACCAGTGGGCAGCGATGGTTGAAAAGGCCCGCGCCAACATGGGGGCGCGTGAGTGAGGCCCGCGACCCTCCGCCCCGCTGTCCACGGGGCAAGCGCGCGCCGGCGCCGGCGACCGGGGTGGACAGGCCTCGCGCAGGGAGCAAATTGGCCGCGCCGGCTAAGGGGGTCGCGTCGTAGATAAAAGCGCCAAGCCGGCCGCGGCGGCGGCCCAGTTAAATTACGCAGGCGGCGGGCACGGCGGGCCTTTGGCGCGCGGGCCACCGCCGCGCCCTAGCTGCGAAGGGCGCCGGCTGCCCTTCCTGCTAGGAAGGGCCTAGCAGGAGGGGCAGTCGGCGCCCTTCGCGCCACTGCTTCACCAATTCCGCCGGGCCCATGGCGGGAGAGCGCCAGCGGGGTCGCTGTCCGCGGCGGCTTGCCCCAGCCGCTCCTTGCAAAGCTGCCGACTCTCCGCGCGCCCGTCGTAGATTACCTGGCGGAGCTTTGCGGCGAACTCCTTGCGCCATGTGTCCGCTTTGTTCGGAAATAGTTCCGCCGCGCCCTTTCCTGGCTGGCAGTGTGCAGGGCAGGCTGGCAGGCTCCAGCCTTCCGGCGTGTCGGGGGCTTCAAATCCCTCGGCAAAAACACCGCTCAGGCAGCCGGCCCGTGGCAAGCTATTTCGTTAATTCCTGGCTGAAGTTTAGCTAATCCCCAAAGCGAAGGAGGGCAGGCGCAAGAGGGGCCCGACTAGAAAACGTGCGGGGGTGCCACCATACTTCCGGGGGCGCATAACCATCGCGGGCGCCGCCCGCCGGGCACCCCCCCCGCGCCCCCCTAAAGGGGAGGCGGGCGCGCGCCGGGAAAGGCGCCACGGGGTGCCCCGGAACCGAAGAAAGGCCCAGGAGCCTGCGAAGCCTGCGCGCGGGGGGCCTCCACCAAATCACAACGGAGGCCGGAACGCGACCCCGGCGGGCCTGTTGTTCGTGGGTTTCCAGAGCGCCACCCCTTCAATCTTCGGGGCAAATTGGGAAAGACACCGGTCGGGGGGAATCCATTCAAAGACGCAAAGGCCACGGGCGGGCGGGAACTGCGGGCGGGCGGCCGGCCTGCCGAGAAAAAGCAGGGCAAATGGTGGCAAATGGCGCCAACTGAAAACCCAATGCTCTGGCGGAGTGACTGCCCCCCGGGGGCAGGTTAATTCCTTGGGTTTTTGGGGTAATTTGTGGTCTAATTTATAGTCTAATCTGTAGTCTAATTTTTGGTCTAATTTCAAAACCAACGAAACCTTCCCGATTTCGTTGTGATCAGATTAACCCCGGAAATTACCGCCGGGATTACCCTCTTCATTAGCCGCCCGGGATCGGGGTGGTGCTTGAAAGACCAAAAAGCCCCGGCCTCGCGCCTGCCTGATTTCCAGAGCCGGGCCCACTGCGCGCTGCCCCCCATAAATGCAAAGGCGCCGGGCCCCGGTGGATTTGAGCCATGGCCACGAGGAGCAGCCCCTGTGTGCCAAACCACACCACAGGACCCCCCTCCCTTGCAAAGATACCGGACAAAGAAAAACCGAAGGCCCGGGCAAGGGCCCGACCCGAGACATTCCCTGAGGTAAGGGAAAAGAGCGCCCGAGGGCAGGCCACCACCAAAAGCAAAGGCGCCGCGCGCGCGAAAAGGCCCAACGATAAGCGGCCCCCAACCCCAAGAGGACGGGGGAGAACACACAACCAGGGGAGACGGCCCGGAAGCTTACGACACCCGGGAAAACAAAAAGCGGGGGCGCCACACTATGCCGCGCCCCCCTCCCCGAATGCGGCGCGTGCCCAAAGGGTGCCACACCCAGCCAGCCGGCCCGCGATTCCCGGAATTAGTGACATTGTAAAAAAATTTTACTAGCGGAAAATGCCTCGGGCCGGCTGCCTGACGACCGCGGCGAAGGACTCGGCGCACCCCACGGCCATGAGCCGCGCGGTCGGCAAGTTATTCGCCGGCCGCCGCCCCTCCGCCCAAGCTTGCAGCAGGGCGGCGGATTGCCCCCCGGCTGTTGCCGTGCCTGCGAACCGGCAGGGCAGCCCGGCGGGCCCTCTAGCGGGCCGGGCGCCGTCGCAGGCTTCCATCCCTCCCCGAAGCAAGCGGGTACGGCGAGCAGGGCGCCCACTCGGAAATGGGGGCGCCCCGTCTACATTCATGGACGGGGAAGCCGCTGCGGCCTCCGCGCCCCTCAGAGCAGCGCAGGCCTTGCCGGCTGCGCGCTGCACTTGCTGCGGGAAACCAGTCCGACCGCAGCCCGCGTCGACATCGGTCTCGTCGTGAAATCGGGCCGGGTGTTTTCACCCACACGCCGAGACCACTGCTCCCCCAACCATGAGCGCCCGCCCCTCTTCCTCCGTGCACGGGAGCGCTGCTGCCCCCCTGTCGGCCTGCGCGGATCGGTTTGTAGGGAATGCCACGAAGCACCCACCGCGGCAAAGGTGGAGGACCGCAGGCGCGGCCCTGTTGCTGGCGCGGGCCGCGGTCGCTTGAACATAGCGCGAGGCCTCGCAAGCTGTCGCCACATGGCCCCGCGAGGTTTCCCGCCAGAGCCCTAACCGGCTTGGCGGGGTCACAGCCTCCATCTCACAAAAACTGCCTCGAAGCCATTCGCGCCCAATGTCTTGCCGCCGGCCAATGTCGCGAGCGCTGTCATGAACCTGCCCGCGGCCGGCTTTGAGGCCCGCGGACTCCTGCCCACCTCCGCCGCGGCCCGCCCACGTCCTTGGAGCCGCAGAAAACCCGCAGCGCGGGCACGCGCACCCCTTCCCCGCCAGCGGCGAGGAGGGGCGCGCGAGCCCGCGCGCTCCTAAGATATCCTACAGGGGCTCTGTGGGTGCTGGAGGCTGCGGCGCTTATCTCGCGCGGCCTGGCTCGCCTGGGCAAAAGTATTCGGTCAACAGCTATTTCAAGTGATCCCGTGAAGAAATCCTCGCGCCCCAAATGAATCAATGCACCCTGGTGAGACAACATCTCCATCAGCGAACACTCAGACAGGAATCTGGCCAAACAGCAGGCCACAAATTGGCAACAAATCTTCTTGCGCAAGCAATTACTTGAAGTTCTCATACCGCCGTTCTTTCGTTCGTCAATCAAAGATTTACTTCAAGGCCGGGAGTTCCGGTTGACAAGGTTCCAAACATCTCGAGAGCAGACAAATTTGCGAAAGAAATCACATTGAATTTTGACAAGAAAAAATGCGCGTTTCTTTTCACAGGTTTATGCGTTTTTTGTTCTCTAGATTTCTAAAACAACAAGTTCCGAAGACATGTCTACATCGATATACATTTTCAGGTGGAAGTGCATTTTGCAAAACCTTTCGAAATGCATATTGTAACATCTTCAAGAAGCGCGTCAACAAGTGTAGAAACCGAAAGCCGTGAGTTCAGCGGTGATAAGATCAGCGTTCTGTTATGTCAACCAGGGCGAGAAACTGTGGTTGACACAGCCACGGAGACTCTGGTCTGGCGTAGTACTATTAAACTTGGTGTGTATAGTACAAAGAGATGTTGAGATGAATCTATCAAATCATAAATATAAATCAACGTAAAAACTCGTAGTAAAACAACTTTAATAGCTTTTGTGTCGCTTTTTTGACAGTCGCGGTTTTCTTTGGAAACTGTATTTCCGAAAAAAAAATTGAAAACAAGTTGAAATAAATTTTGCAGAGGTGGATGACTCTTTGACTACTGAGAAGTACTTGAATTCCCCTATACAACGAGGAATCACTTCCTGAGGAAATAATGATTGCTTTTTCGAAACAGGTGTACTTTTTTAGACGAGCAGCATACAAGAAGTGGGAAAAGAGTAAGTACAAGTCAGTCCTGCCGGTCGCGCGACCACATATAATTACCCTGCCCGCCCGCGTTCTAGATGAGAATCAAGAACCAAATCAGTCCTCAGTCATTCTCGAGCCCCCCGTCCTGGAACAAGTAGCCGTGTTCGGGCCGTTCGGGCGTTTGGCCCTTCGCGATCGCGTCGTTCAGTTTCTCTAATTGGGCCGCAAAGTCCATCCCGATTCGCTCTTTCATCCAAGCCAAAACCGTGGGGTGGGAGTTGGTGGAGAGTTGCAAGTCCGCGCTGTATTGCAGGAGCAGCTCGATCTTCTGCCAGCAGCAGGTCTGTTGTACGAAGTTCAGTGGGTCGTGTTTTTTGTTGTCATCTACTTCGACGGAGGTGGTGAAAAATTATCACATTATCTGTCAAGCTGAATATGCACTGCACCAATTTTATTTTCATGAAAAGTGCAAATCGAAAAAAAAAATTATACCTGCGAGATGTTCATAGCACACAACATCAGCGGTCGAAACCCGCTGATATCTGGCTCGTTCGGATTCGCGCCCAAGTCCAAATATTGCTGCATCTCTTCCACGTGCAGCTGGTGCGAGCCGCAGAGCCGCTGTAACCGTTTGTTCAGTTGCTTCTGCTGCGATTCGCTGATTAACGACAGATTCCAGCCGCCTCGAGAATTCACTGATGCAGATGATATTCCTTTATTTGGAGATGGAGCTGAGCCCTCGTGTTCGTCCTGTTCACCACCAGCAAGTTGCTGCTTAGTAGTTGTTGCTTCATCTCCCTGTACTACAACTGCACCCCCATGTTGAAAATCCGCTCCATTCGTTCCGGCCGTACTCCTCCCTTCTTCGTAATTCATATTGATGTCCACGCTTCTTTTTCTATCCGGCGGGGAGAACCCTCCCGGCTTTTCGTTGGAGGTGGATTTCTGCGGGGTACTGCTCGAAGTGGTCGCTTGGTCGGCGTCGTTTGCATGCCTTTCCTCCTGCTGCTGCTCAAGAACGATGGTTTGATGTTGGGGTGGTCCTGTCGCCGCTACGACTGCACCGGGAGTTGTACTTGGTTCTACTACTTGCGGGCGTGTACTATTAGGACCGCCACCTGGTCGTTCAAGGACTCGCGCCACTTGTTCTCCTCCCTCCTCCGAAATTTCCATGCGCATTTGCACTGGGGATGAAGTGCTAGATGAAGCTGCTCCTTGGCCGCTGCCGTTCACTCCTTCCCCCATCACCATATTTACGACCCGGGGCGAGCGTATAATGTCTCGACCTCCTAGAGATTCCGGGGAGGACGCTTCCAGCTGCTCCATGATTTCTCGTGCGGTCTGCAACCCGCCCGGGGAACTGGGATTCGGCAGTTTCCGCTGGAGGTTACATGCCTGCGGCTGCATGTTGTCTTCCTTCAAGTATATCTGAAACGTGACAGAGTCGCCGACTTGCAGGGCGAAAGGTATTTGGGACTTCTGCAGAAACGGGTCCTGATTGTACTTCTTCCTCAAGACCGGGCAGTCTAAGAAACCGTAACTGTCAAACATTTTTTTCACGACGCCGTCGTAGCGCCGTTTGTCGGTCACTTCGATTTCCGCAGTCAGGGTCATACCTGTGGTATAGTTGACTTTATTTTTCTATCAAATTTAAAAGTGTCTGGGTCTGGAGGGTTGGAACTTGTGATGCTAACTTTGGACGCTAGAAAAATCTGTATTGCATGACCAGCAAGTAGAGGAGTCCGGTTTGTGCTACGCGGGGAGGGCGTTTGTCATGCGGAATAGGCATCAGGAAGCCCTCTTAAAATCTGTGATGCGCGGTCGTGCATTACAGACATCCTGGGCCATGCAAAACATGCATGACAAATCTCAGAATCTTCCAGACCCAGACATTTTTACATTTGCTATTTTATGTACAGAAGGCGTTCACATTCACACGCTCAGTTCACACGAGGACCTCCAGATGGCAAATATTCAAAGTCGAATCGTGAGTCAGTCAATGCCAGTTGACTCTTTATTCTACTGCAGTCACCTCAAAAATACAATTGCCCATACCTTGTGCCAGCAAGCTGATCTGCTCCTCTTCCGTCACCGCGCTTAGTCCCTGTGCCGTGATTTTTCCGCTCCTCAGCACGACGGTGAAGGAGCAGAAGTCGCCAATGTTCAGGTTTGAAAGGTCTTTGACAGTGGAGGGCAAGTACACATCGCAGCCCTTTCCGTACCGTTTCTGCACTTCGTTTGAGTGGATGAAACCGTATCCATTCTGCTGGTTGTAGGATTTGATCACACCTGGAGAATTTTTATGCGTGGGTCAGTTGGCATATTCTCAGTTGCTTCACTCTACCCATCATTTTCAGTGTGATTTCATGCGACCTGCGGTGGAGCAACCTACCACAATAGCATAGACCAACAAAATCCTATAATCTTTACCATAGTATCTCCCCTCGTTCTGCGGTTTTCTTAGTCGCAGTGCCTGCGGTTTGTTGTTGTTGTTGATCCACAAGCAAAACTCGACTGACGTCCCTACAGGACACTGCTCCCGGACTTCTTCGTTGTACGCAGTCGCCTGCACGAAAACGTCGCCGGTGTATTGCGCGGACAGTTCCTCACACCGGATAAACCCGAAGCCCTTTCCGAGGTCAAAGGACTTTACGAAGCCAACGTACCGGTTCCCAGGCACTTCTTCCACGTTCGCGGCCTGTTATGAACTGCAAATATGTCTGGGTCTGGAAGGTGGTAACTTGTCATGGTAAATCTGAAGCATGCAAAAATCTGTGTTGCATGAGTGCCAAAAGCTGTCCACTTTCGACCAAGTTGGGAGGCAGTTTCTCATGCAGGATAGGCATGACGGAGACCTCGCTGAGCCTGTCATGCTAAGTCCCGCATTCGAGACCTCATGGGTCATGGAAAATCTGCATGACAAGTTTACACTCTTCCAGACCCAGACAGTTTTGCACTTGGTACCTGTGGTTTCCCGTCAAACTCCGTGATTTGGAAACGGATCTGCTCCCCCGGCTTGTAGTGATTCGGCGGAAGGTTGCGGACAAAGACGTCGCGACCTGTGTAGAGTGTGGTATTTGAATTATCGAATGTGCATGACAAATCTTGTTGTCACATTCAAATCCCGCATCACAAACACAATAGTACTCTATACCGACTTCGTATAACCCTTCTTCCTCCAATTCCTTGCAGCTCGCGAACCCGTAATTTTTGTCATCCTTGTAATTTTTCAGCATCCCCGTGTACCACTTCCCCTCGTTGATCAAATTTTGGTCGTCCGCTCCGACGCTGGCACCGCTCTTCGAGTTCAAAATAGGCCCACTGTTAGAAGCGTCGGGAAGTAGCTGTGTCGTTGTAGTTTCGGAATGTAGACCTGCTAATGCCGCAACATTTCCGTTGGAAGAACCCGAGTGCCCTAACGGCTGTGTGTAGGAAAGTTGTCCACCTCCAGCTCCTGAGGTAGTAGTGCCATTTGCAGTCGCTGGCGTGCCATCATGAGACGTTAGCAGCCCGTTATTGTTGTTTCCGTCGCTGCCTGGCGATTTTGCCATGCTGTCTTGCGGTTTCGGGTCCACGCCGAGCTGAATTCGCAACTCGCGGTAGAATGGAGAGCAGTGAAGAAGCACACTATCGTCTACAGGTTGTTCGCCTGCGTGCGGGGTGGAGCAGTGCCCACCATTACTAGCTCCTCCTGGTGGGGATTGGCTGTGATCGAAGCTGTTGTCTCCCGCTGCACAAGAACTACCTGTAAGTCCCCCGCCCGAATCTGTCAAGCCCGCTCGTTGCAGGAAGTCTAGCACCATTTGGTAACTGTCCAATCTTTCCACGTCCTGCGGCACCATGTTGGAATAGGGTGGGGGCAGCTCCAGCATCCTATGCAGATCGAAGATCATCTGGTCGCCTAACGTTGGGCGTGGGTGCAGCCGGAGCAGCTCTTCTTCCGCGACACCGAGCTCCATTTCCCCGATATTCTTGATCGTCGCGGTCAGGGTCGCGTACCCCGGAAGATTCGGGATGTCGGAGGGGGGACCGAAGTTGGTCAGTGTGCCTGATGATTTATTTTTCACTTTTATTTTTGAAACGTGTCTGCAGCTGCACCACCAGACACATCTGCATTTTCTTTTTCACGGAGGCCACAAACCTAAACCTGCACGACAATGAAAGACCGCACAAATAATAAATGCTTACTATATTACCACAAAAGTATGAACTTATACAAAAATAGCTCTACCAATGATTGCCTCCTGCAGAAAAGCTTGTTTCCGGACGATCCCCCGGAGTTCAAAGGCCTTCGGCTGCGGTGACGTCATATCCGTCAGGGTGAACCGGACCAATACTCCGCTCAAATTCTGCTCTTCCCACGTCCTGTTGCTGGTCGACGAGCTGCTGCCCCCCTGCTGAAAGTTGTCTGGTGCAGCGCCCGGACTGATAGACCCGGTTGTATTTGTTTCGTTTGTATTCCGCTGGTTATTGCTTCCATTCGTCGTGCCTGAGGATGAGGAGGATGATTTTGTCGTGTACCCGAGGTAAAATAATTTCGCCCTCGGCTCCGGGTACTGCCGGATCAACTCGTCGACTACGTTCTGGTGAAGAAACACATCCCTGCCGAACATCTGCCACGTTTCCTCGCAACTGACAAAGCCGTAGCCCTTCTGTCGCGAGAAAGACTTGATAATCCCGAAAAACTCCATCTTGATGGGGTGCCGAATTTGTGTTGCGTCTTATGATATTTTTGTGCGTATTGTGATTCAACAAGTTTTTTTTATCTACATAGTACTTTATTGTAGAATCAATTTCTCGTTTTTCAATATAATTTCTCTACTACTGGTACTAATTCATATCGAAAACAATTTGACGTATAATTTTACTTGTGTCACCTTGTTTTCTGGAAATGTCGCTCGTTCTTGATTTTACTACTGAAAAAGTTCTTATAGTAAACTGCAGGCTTTGCTGCGTGACGGACTGAATTTCAAAAAAGTTGCGGCGAAGTAGGTTCTTGGCCTGGATGTGTACAGAATCGGATCCTGCTGTCTTTTCTGTATACGTTTCCTTCCACAAAGTCGTATCAATAAACTCGTCCATAGCAACATTTCAGGGGTCGTGAAGAGGATCTTGCTCTTGGGGTGGAGGATTGAGTAGTGATACAGCCGAGCCCCTTCATACAATTGTAGGGCAGTACTGTGGATGAACAAGAGCTCCGTCCTAGTGCTGGACGTGACACCACAAACACCGCGGAAGTTCTTAATTACAGCTCTTTTCATTATAACTCAGCGACATTTTCACTGGTCTATCGGAACATGCGTTGGGAATACTTTTTTCGGTTTTACAGTATCCTTCGGATGGCAAAGTAATCACATAGATGTTGTTGCTCTCTGTCTGTCTATAATGTACTAGGTCTTGCTTTGGTGGTACTTACGCAAAGACGAGATATGAACTCTGGATCAAGCACCAGATAGCATCGCGCAAATGACTTCTCCTTCTGCTCCTCGACGTCGGTCCACACACAGGTCCGGCTGCAGCAACATGCGGAAAAGAAAAGTATGGTCTCGGAGGTCATCTGCGCAGGAGCGGATTTTTCCATCAACCTCAAACCGCGCGGCAAGAGTACCACGGTAGACTTTAATCCGCTTCCACCAGTGCTCCCTCGCGAAACAGACCAGAGATCGCCGTGCCGTCTTTCCTTTTGTAGCTACCCCGACCTGTTTTGCGAATTGTGTTTGTTCTGTCGTAATTGCATTAGAAAATTCCGCGTTTGTTTTGTTGCTTTTTTCTGATGACAAGTTTATCGTCACATTCATTGTCATGCGCAACAAAATCACGACGTAAAGCAATTCCCCACCGTGTGGCAGTCCCTGGTAGAACGCGCCTTGATACTCGTCTCCTGACGGGTATTATGCGCTGCAAAAATGTCTGGGTCTGGAAGGTTGGAACTTGTCATGCTAAATCTGAATCACGCAAAAATCTGTGTTGCATGATTAGCAAATGCTGCCCACTTTTGATCAAGTTGAGAGGCAGTTTCTCATGCAGGAAAGGCATGATAGTGATCTCACGGAATCTGTCATGCTAGGTCCTCCATTACAGATCATGTTGGTCATGGAAAACCTGCATGACAAGTCGAGCAAAGTTCCAGACCCAGACATTTTTGCAGTTGATAGGTATTTCTCGTGCCCACGGCCGTGTTTTTGGTTGTCGCAGAAGTCGCCCGTGTACATGGATCCGTTGCTCCATCGCATGCACCCGACGCCCTCGTACCTGACAGTAAAGTTTTTCATGCGGCCGGGTTGGTATTTTCGCATGAGAAAATGATTTTGAGTACAACGATTTTGCATGACAAATCGATACAGCATTATAGTACTTGTCGTTCGCAAATTCTCCCTCGTAGACGAAGTCTCCGTATCTACTTCTCTCCAGCCCAGTGCCGTGTCGTGTTGAACCCAACCATTGCCCTTCGTACCTGGGGTTGATAGTGTTGTTAATAGCAGTAATCTGTTCATTTATCTTTTCCATGGTTCATGAGCATCAAAATCTGTCACGCAGCCACAGCGAGCAGATGCAGAATCCAAATAAAAATTCCGAAGCAAACTATCCTTACGTTCGGCCGTCCTCGTACGTCCTCTTCGGGCGCCAGCGCAGCTTCTGCACGGTTGTTTTGTTCTTGCCGGCGTTCGTCGGGGTGGAGGTGGGATTTTTCTGTCGCAGGCTGTCTTCCTTCCTTCTCCGTAATAAAACTTCGTTGTCGTCCACAAACATGGTCTTGCAACAGGTAGCGGCAGCCGAGCCCGGACAGAGCAACAGCCACATCGGGTTTACCGTTGGGGTGGTCGACATTTTGGTTTGTTTGTGGAATTTGTAAATTTGGATTTCAATAGGTGTCCGGAATAAACAATTGTGTTTTACTTACTCTTCCGATCTTCACGAGGCGGTCCGGAACCGATCGATGAAGATCCTTGCGTCCCCATCCTCAATTGGAAGATGGTGGCGTGGCTGGGATGAAAGTGCAAAATGTTTGTAATTTTCGTTGATTTCAGAAACGGTGAGACAGCGTGCTGCAACTTCGCCGCCGAACAATTACCACGAGATACGACACTCAGCAGCATCTACTCATCATACTTAACAGGATTTACAGCTAGCCAGTAACGGTTGCTTCTCACAAGCAAGAGCTGGACAGGCACTTGGTCTCAACTCGTGCTACAACGGGCGAGAACACAACTTGAAAAAGCTTCGTGATGACGAAAATCAGCGACCTGTGCTGCGTATTCCCGGATGGCTGCGACGCGTAGCAGAGTCAACGAGGAGGGAGCTTCGCTTTGGGTAGAGGCGCCCAAGCAGGCGCGCAGAGTAGAAAGGAAGCAACACAAGGCCCACAGCGAAGGCGTGCGCAACATCGGCGCCACACAGGCAAGATGCGGGGGCGCGCGCGCACATAAAAAACGTCGCGCCGCCTCTGCGCAGCCCGGCACAGCTCCTGCCAACGCTTCTCCACCATTGCCACGCTGCCCCCGCGGGCGGCCGCATCTGGTCGGCAACCAACGCAACGAACAGGCGCGGCGGCCCGTTCTACGTTCGGGCCCGCCACTCCGAATCAACGCCAAAGCCCAGCGCGTGCGCCCCGAATGAGCGCCCGCACCCTCGGCCGGCGCGCTGGATGGAATCACGTCCGGAGGCCCTGCCACGGATCGCGCCGCGCGCGGTGGGACTTCTCCTTGCGGGCCCGCGCGGCGGCGCCTGGGCCACGCTAGTACGCCGGGGGGCCCTGCGTCTGTGGTGTAGTGTATCCGGGCCCGCCCGCGATTTTTGCCCCTGGCTTCGTGCTTCCGGCCCGCCTGCTGCCGCTCGGGCTTCAGAAAATCCTTCTCCCACTGCGTGTTAGTTTGTGGGAGGCAACGCAAACGGGCAGGGCGGCCGCGCCCTGCATGTTGTTGCCCCCTGCGGCGGTGCTGGGCGCACCACCTGCATCCGCGGCGCCCTGGAATAAAAAATGGCGCGGCGGCGGGTAACGAAGTTCGGGGCCACGTTCCGAGCCTGCGGCGAATCGCCAGGCGGGCCGGAAACCTCCCGGGGGGGGGCTGCGTCGGCGCGCTGCCCCGCCCTATCCAACGAAGTGGGCCAAGACGACAAGCGCCGGGGCCGCCTTTTGGTAGTCCCAGCGGCTAAGCAGCGCGCGGCGTCGTTTGCTGTGCTACCAGAGCGCCGGCAGCCGTCCCTTCAATGGGCCCGCTTGGCCCGCCGCTGCGCACGCAGCAAAGCCGCCCGGCGCCTTGCAGCGGGCGGCCACCTGAGTTGCGGCGCGCGGCAATATCGGGCCAGGCCGCGGCCGACCCCCAGGCGCCTGGGGGAAGCCGGCCGGGCCCTCCGGCCGACGGCTCCGCCATCCGAGCGCGCGCGGTGCCCCTTGGCCATCATGAGCCGCCGGCGTGCCGCGTTGTCCGGAGTTTGGCGGGCCGCCAGGCCTCGCTCCATCTTGCAGGCAGCGGCGCCGGGCGCGCGCGCACGATCGCGGCCGCCTGCGCCTGCCGTCGGTCAGGCCGGGCCGCCGGCGTCGGTGGGCACGCGCTTCCCAGGACCGCCCGGCGCCGACGCTTCGAAATTTCTCGGCGTGCTGTTCGCTCAGCAGGTTGAGCTCGTCCCCTTGCGCCCATCTCCCTGGGTCGCTTGCTCCCGTTGGAGGATGACGAGGGGGGGCGCTGATCCTTCGGCAGGCGGAACGGCCCTCCGACGGGGAGCTCGGCGGACGCCCCCAGGCGAAGACTGAGGGGGGGCAAGGGCCTGCAGTGATCATTCAGCAGCTGCTTGCCTCGTGTGTGCCTCTTCACACAGAAAGCTCAAACAGCGGAACACGGGGCTTTGCGAACTAAATTTACGGGGCACAGTAGGCTTGCGTTTTTCTTATTTCTTGACAGCAGCGCAGCCGTTGTGGAATGGTAATCAGTTGCTCATCGCTAGTACAGCCGCAAGTTCTCTGCGGAACCTGTTCATTTTAACATAGAAAGATCCGTCTTCCTGTTGTGATGTGTATCATCTCGAAACCGCATCAAGAGCAATGCTTTTCTTCAACAACTACCCCAACTGCGTTCAGCACCCAAAGCCGTTTCAACAAGTCACTCAACCATCAAACTGCCGTGTTACTAGTTCCGAAACCCTGGATCCGCCAAAATCTTTTCTGCGCAATCCTTCCGTGCGTTTTTCATACTTGACTGGACGCCGGAAGTAAAGGTCGGCTCGCCCGGCCAGAAGGGAATTTTTAACGTGGCCTGAAACATTTTTTGATGATCAGGGCCGCCCACGCACTCGTTGCTAAACGTGGGAGTGCAAGAGATCGGTTGCTGCTGGAACCATTCGCAGACTATCGAGACGGGGTTCTTGTGTTGTGTTGTTGATGCTGCGGGAAGTGGGAGCGGCGGTGGTGGTCGCCGAACTGGTACCTGAATACCTTCTGCTGCCGCTGCTTGAGGCGCTGCTACTGACCCTTGTTGCTCCACCCCAGGCTGGTCCAGTTGTGCCGGCTCCTGTGCTGCAGGTCGTGCACTTACTGCCAGCGTCGTCGCCTGTTCCTCAGAGGAGGAGGGGGACCTGGTATATTGCGGGGCTGGTGGTGGTTCTTGCGGTTCCAATACGATTGCACCCGATGAGGCCACCGCGCTTCCTCTCGATGCGCATCTTGCTGAGGACACTGTAGATGAACCAGCATGGCTTTCATCAGTCTTTTCGCGGAGTAAAGACCCAACATTACGAAAAGCATCTCGGCAAAACGGCTTTAATGGGCAGTTTCGTCTTGGAGTAGCGTCTGGCTGCGCAGTTGCGACGACGAGAGAGGTTGATTTGGCAATTTGAGCCTGCGTGGCGCCTGTGCTAGTTTCACCTTCCAGCTCGCTGATGTATTCGTCCTCGTCTATGATGCCGTCGTCGCTGCTGGACACTAACTCGTGTACTTTTCGGTGGTCTACGACCTGTTTCTGTAGGCCAAGTTGCATAGCTCTCGCTGGCGACGCAAGCTTTTCCAAAACGCTCGTCAGAATCTGCTTGCCCCGAGCAAAGGGCGAGAGAAGGGAAGCATAGGTCGCGTTCCTCGCGGACGAAGATAATTTTGCCGGTGGGGAGTTTGCATTTCCATTTTGATGATTGGTGTCTGCGAACTCTTGTTGTTTTTCTCGGTCGAACGAGGTGCCTATATTTGCGTTGGATGAAGTGGTAGGCTTCGACGTATTAGTATGCGCTGGCCTTCCACCAACAGTCTCGTCCACTGCAGCTGTCGTCAACTCGGTCCTACTTCCATCAAGCTGCGGAGCGGGGTCTGCGATAGAAGTACTGGTGGGCGTCAGTAACGACCTTGTCGTTGCAGCAGAGGCAGCTGGCTTTCCAAAAAGCAGTGTCTCGATTGCATCCTCCAAAGACATGATTCGCGCAGCGACATTTTTGCAGTTTTCTTCCACTTCCCCGAACAAAAAGTCCGTAAAATGATCTCCGTAAAAAATGCACGTTCCATTGCTATTTTCGGAATCGTGGAACGCCGCTGCACGGCTGCCATCACCACGCCGGGGTAGAAGTTCTTTGCTGGCCTGCTCGACAACCATGGCAAGGGAGGTAACGTAAATTTTGAAAGCGGCGGCTTTTGCTCCCTCCGCATGATCTCCGTGGGAGCACGAGGGGCTGAATAGTTGCGCAAGCTCGCCTGTTTCTTCCGCCACTTTCTGCACCACCTCGCGCACCTGCGCGCCGTTGAATCCTCTGTCAATGATGGCTTTGACCAAAATCGTCCAAAATGGGTGCACGAAGGCGCGGTCGGGGAGGATGACGAGATGAGCTTGCGCTCTTTCACAGCCTGTATTTCGTGATGATGATGACGATGATCGGCCAGACATGCCTTTCTTATCTCCAGGGCCGGACCGGAGAATACCTGCCTTTTCATACTCCTCTATCAACTTTCCCAACACGGGCTGCAGTCGTGGAACCACTGCTCGAGCCGAACTATCGCTTCTTATTTTCATCTGTGCCGCGTCGTACAGGTGTAAGTTGGTGCTCGTCTTTTGCGAAAGTGCAAGTACCCCGGGCAGGCCCAGGAGGTCGAGAATTCGGGTTTCCAAATGCTTGTATTGCGGAAGCAATAGCGGCAGGAACTGGGAGGTTGTAGCTGTGTAGACGGTTTGGGACTGCCGGTTGTAATGAAGTAGAAACGTTGATGCTCCTGGAGGAGGCTTGCCTGCGTCGAGCCCGAGCCCGTCTACCTGGTTGCACGTAGTTCTTTTCAAAGTTGTCTCGCCAGCTCCTTCTGCTGCAGCTAAGTCCACAGCCGGTTCGGAAACACCTGATAAGAAAGCGCAACGACTAATTTCGCCTTCTGCCCGTGCGTCATCTCCAGGACCACGGGAGGACGACGATGAAGCGGACGTGCTTGTGCCCTGGATTCTCGCTACCACCGAGTTCGCCTGAGCGGTCGCCAATTCCTTGCCCACTTCCGTAGCTGTATCCTCGGTGTTCGTACCAGCATCGTTTTCTGTTGCAGCGGTCGTTGACACGTTGCTGCCAGGTGCGGGGGGTTCTACGGGTACAGAGCAAACATGATGTACGGGGGGTGAGGTTGCACCACGAGAGGGTACTTCCACCATTAGAGGACCAGGTGACGCGGCTTCGAGGGTTGACTGAAGTCCATCTCCGTGGTCTTCCTCGTGGGCTTCTACAACAACATCTTTGATGGGCGAAAACACGGCCTCCTGAGTGACACTCCCTCCGGTTGGCGACACCATCGGGGAGTTCGCCGGCGAAAAAAATACCACACTCCGACTCGAAGCGGAGCGGCTGCGCGGAGCAACCGATGTTGAATCCATCATCTTGATCGCGACGGGTTGTTGCGAGTTAGCGTCCTGCATCTTGGTGTCTTTCTCAGGAGGACGACACGATGTAGAAAATGAAGCTATGCTGTTGTGGAAAGTAGCGGGCATTGACGCAGAAGCTGTGGCTGACGAAGTTTGTAATTCTCGTGGTGACAAATCGGCTACATGAACATGTACATGATCCTCCGTACCATCAGAAGCGCATGCGTCTACTTTGGGCTGCTGGCGTGTCTCGCTGCTGGCACGACAGCCAAACTCTGGAGTTGCGGCATTGGAGATCAACAGGCTAGTTTGGATCGTTTCTGAAGAGTTTCGCAGCGACGTTGCGGCCCGAACGTCGTTTTCGAACTGCTTTGCAGAGGGAAGACGGCCAGTATCTAAAAACGCGCTGTCATTACGGTCAGATTTTGATTTTGTTGGGGATCTGCACTGCTCGTTTTCGTTTTGTCGTGAGGGAGAGAGGGAGGCGATGTTTCTCGTTCTCCCATCGTTACATATTTCCTTTCGTATAGGCGAAAAGGCTTCATCGTTGGTCAGAACGGTTTCCATTTGCTGACTCGCTTCCGACGCGTTGCTGTGAGACAGTGAAAATTTTTCCTGTTTGGCCTCCGCCTCTCCGGGGACGACAGCGCATAAGGGTTGATGGCAAGCCCGTGCTGATATCAGATATTCGTGGCTTGTCGCTGGCTCTTCTTCGTCATTCAGATTCACCACCGGCGGACCTGAGTTGCTATTTTCCGAAGTAGGTGCAACAACAGCAGCAAGAGCAACTGGCTCACCCTTCGGATGATGAAGAGGTGTTTGAATATTCGTAGTTGCTACACCAATCGCCGGAGGCACTGTTTCACTCCCTGCTACGTCCGTGGGAGGTGAAGTAGGTTGCTTTTCTTCTGCGTCGGGAAGTTGAGGTGCGTCCGGATGATCGGGGGAACTACAGGGTTTCGAATCATGATCCTGCGACGAATCTTCGTCTCGGCCTTCTACCTCCGAAGCCGATTGGCCTTCTTTGCTCGCATTTTCAATTCTGTTGCTAATGTTCGTGTGGTATTCGAAATTGCCGGCGCTGGAGCTGTCGTCTTGCTTTCCAACGAAGTGGTTTTCTGTGATGTTTTCGGCTCCATGCACACGCACGACAGGACCATGTTGTGCAGCAGGATTCCGTCTTCCATTCGTCGTTTCGAACTTCCACAAGTTCACACTTCTGCCGAAAAACAAAACCACTTTGCAGCTCGACTTTTGGATTCTTCGCCTCACTGCATCTGTAATCAGTCGTTTCGCCGCATCGGAACTTGTAGTAGCTCCCGTTACTAAAACCGCGAGATAGGAGATTCTTTTCCAAATTAGTGGCAGGGCGTCAAAGAAAGTAGTACTGCTGCAGGTGGCGACCAGGATTCTCGCGGCGCGGATTGCGCAGGAGGGGGTTGTTGGGCTGGTTGTTGTAGCGTTGAGTTGTAAAACGGCAGGTCGTTGTTCCAACGGAACTTCGCTTTCATCGGCACGTGGGTTTTGTTTTGCCGTCACTGCGCGACCGCGCAGCTCCGGGTCTGCATCTTTATTCCCGTGCGGCGGCCGGGACGAGCTGCAGCTGCTGATTCGTTTGCGCAATCTTTTCGCGACGCTGGTTGCCAAATTTTCGTTGGTTGTCACGATCAGAAACTGTGGACCCTGGGCGGGGGTGCAGCGATGCAACTGGCGGACGCGGAAAAATTCTTGTAGCAGCTGTGTGGGGGAAGGTGGCTGCGGCTTGCTCCTTGTCAGCGGGGACGAAGAGGGTTGTGCGGTAGGTAAACGCGGACTGGTTTCTAGTTTTTCCTGGACCATTTTAAGAACTGCGCCAGTGCGGGCCCGGGCACTGTATCAGGGGCCGTCATTATGTGAGCGCATGCTTGCTGTTCTAGTATAGTATTGATATTGAACAAATGTTCCGAACCTTCGACAGGACAATTTGATGCCGAAGTAGCAGTTGTATCGTATAATTTCGTCAGAGAATGATCCCATTCATCACGCATGTCTGGAACATGGGACTACAACGACTAGCGAAGGTCACTGATCACACGATTATTGAAAAAAGGCATAGGCCGCACAGCCTCTCCAAAATTCAAGCACGCACTTAAACGGAACCCTTGTCCTGGAAGCGGCTGTTTCCATCTCACAAATGCATCTTCAAGAAAAGCTCACGTCGCACTTGGCACGGACACCAGCTGAACAGATGTTCAAATAGTGTAGCCGCTGTTGTTTACAGAATCACGGCCCAGACGGTCATCAAACGCCAACGCGAATTATTCCGGTTCAGCGTGGGCGGCCGCGGGCGTACGCCGAGGCGTAAGCGCGGCGGCCACGGCGGCACGAGGCCATCACAGGCGGCGCAATTTCGGCAGCAGCGGCCAAAAACATGCTGTATTGTGCTTTCTCTGATTGCGGGATGGGGCTTTCCCGGGCGCGAACTCCGCCGCGCGTGCGCTCGCGCGACGGCCTACTGCGGCCGGCCCGTTGGGGCGCGCCCGGGCCCGTCCGGACGAGGAAGGGCGGCCGCCGCGTCATCACAACCGCGGCGGCGGGTTAAGCCAAGGGCACGCCAGCGGCGGCCGGGAGCGAGCGGGGCGCTCGCCCGCGCTTCGTCAACCGCCAGGGCGCGGGGGGCTCGGCCGAAATCGTGCAGCGGGAAGTCGTATATTTTTTTGATGCTGCGACCCATCGGCGCCCCACCCCGCGGTAAGAACGGCAGACGGGATCCGGTCCACCTAGCTGTCGTGGCTTGGATCTCACGGGCCGGGCCAGGTCGGCGACCTACACCGACGCGCCGCGCCCTGCTTGTTCAACAGGGTCAGATCAACTCCGCAGAGCGACGTCTGGCAGGGGGTGAAAATGGAAACGTTTTTCGGTCTTCTACCATGGCGCCTATAATCACTTTCGAGCAGACACAACAAGTCTCGAGCATGAACTAGATCATCATCTGACAATATTGCCGTGAGGCCCGCAAGCCGACACTCAAATCTCATCTCCTCTGACATTTTAGAAGAAAATCTTAGCTCATCATGTGCTCCACAGTCGCTCTTACTTTGTGTAGTGCTCAAAGGCCTGTTGGGAAGACACACTCGTCGTCGCAACATCGCGCGTGAGCCAACAGCACGTGCTGCTCAAGCACACAAAATATCTATACGTATGTATTTGGGAAGCCATCTATCAGAGCAATAGCACGGGCCGCTGTGGTCTGCCAAACGCAGCTGCCGCGCCAACGCAGCGGCCTCACCTCCGCGGCCCTGCTTGCGGAAAGCAACAGAAAGTGCGCAGGGCGGCCTATGGCCGGCGGAAGCAGGGCCCTCGGCGCAGCCCTGCATTCGCCAGAAGTGCGGCCACAGGGGCATGCGAACAGCCGCAGGGGCGGCAATATCCGCCACAGCGCCGGCCCAAGAAAGTTCCAAAGGCTCGCGCTGCACAACCAGCCGGCGCGCGCGGCACTAAGACTGTTCACTGCCCGGCCCGCCGGCCGGCGCAATGCCGGGGCGGCTCGAACGAAGCGCGGCGAGCCGGCCCGCGCGATGCGCCCAATTCTTCACCGGCCACCTGGGGCGAGCGCGAGGGGCTTCCCGGCATACTATTCAACATACAGGGAGGGCAGCAGCGGCCGCGGTTAACACGCCAGGCGGACCGACGCAATTGTCTTATCGTACTCAACCCCGTACACGTAGCCGACCCTGCTGCGGATTCGGTCGGCCCCGTCCATCTGGCCGGGCAAGTGGGTACCAGCGCCGTCGCCGGGTCGATGTGTGCGCAGCCTTTCCCTGTTCGGGCGTAGTCACAAGCGACGGCGCCGACTTGCAGGGGCGGTTGGTGACGAAGGTGCAACACCGTGGCCGTCATGGGGGGCGGCGTAGTAGAGTGTTTCTCTACATTGGCCTCACCGTCGCCACGGTTTCTACACGCACCAATACAGAGTAGCTACGCACACCAAAAGGGCCACGGCAGTTGCGTTGCAAGCTTCCTTTCTTCCGGAGGGCTACATCTTGTTTTTCAACAGTAAGACCAGCCCAGCGGCGATCCGACGATGAGGTAAAAGTTGACTAACGTTGCTCAATTGGAGATGAACATTCTGAAGCTGATTCTGACATCGCCTTTCAATACAAGATCCTCTCAACAGGGCACACTCATTTATCACGGAGGCGGCCCCGCCTCCGCCATATGCGCGTCGCTTTAAAAAGAACGCTTGAAGACGCCCGTGCCAAAGTCCCACAGTCGCTCCTACGTCGCATTTGACACTCGAAGCGCGACACACTCACGGACGCTCGCCCTTGACGGGCCGCCCGCCGAGAAGCCCTCTTCTGGCACTCAAAGAAAGTTTCTCGGAGACCGCGTCGGCGCAGAGACGGCGCGTATTTGTGCCGGTGACCAGAAAATACGCGTAAACATGGAGGACAACCAGCTGCGCAACGAAACAGAGGCACCGTGGCTCTGGTTCTTTCAGCACGAAGGCAAAACTCGATGGCCAGACAAGCAGGGCCCGCAGCGGTACTACCGCGGCCCTCTAGCCGACTAGGAGCTGGTGGGGCAGCTGCGCCAAACACTGCAGAGCGGCGCCCCGATCGCTGCATGTCGGGCCGGGCGCGGCGGAAGGCCGCGTAGAAAACAACCAGCGCTGGCCACAGGGCGAAGGCGTTGCAGCCGCCCGCCGAAAATAAAACTGATCCTACGAGCGACCACTCTTGGCGCTGCTTGGCAGGAATCCGTCCAGCGATGCGGCGCAGCCGGGTTCTTCCTCCATACTTACCACGCTGCCGCAAAACCGGGGCGAGGGAGCTCGTGCGCCGAGGCCGGGCGGCGCAGCGGGCCGGGCGATGGCATGGCGCCGGGCGCCTTCTGTAGGGCGGCGGAGTCTCCGGTCGGTTCCGATTTTGACATGCGCGCGCGTCATTAATTTCCTGGACTTGCTTGAAAGCTTAGCGCCACGGCAGATGCACGCGCCAAGCCTTTCGGCCAGCGGCACGCGCACAGCCTCCCGGCAGCCTGTGAAGCAAGCGGGAGAAGGACGGCGCTAGCGCTGACGCACGGCGGCTGCTCCGTGCGTGTCGATAACCCGTTGACCAGCCTTGTGTCGTGAAATTCAGCGGAGTACACAGGATTTGACGATCGCAAAAGTCCAGCTGTGCACGCAGAAAAGCACGACCGGACAATGCGCGAGGCATCTTCTCTTTGCACCTGCTAACTTGGTTTTGCCTTATAAAATTTGTTTTTCAACGCTAGACATCATTTTCATTCCGCTCCTCACAACTGCGCATCTCCCTGTTTTTCCTCTCGTGCACCATTGGCAATTTTCACTTGTGCTTGATTGACATTTGTGTTAGATACTGTTCTCACACCCACTCTCATCTGCTACTCGTGCCGGTGCGGATCTCAATACCGCAAAAATTTAGTTATACCGTCCTCATCTTCATGTTTGTCGAACGTGACGATCAAATCGTCACGATTCGGGCGCCGAGGAGGCCGGGCTTCAAGCTTTAGAACAGACGGCGTGTCCTGACCCCGCGCGAAGGGAGGTGTGCTCGCACTGGGACAAAGCTAAGCGAACAGGAACACCAGAGTACTGCTCTGACTGCACATGTCAGGTGCTGCTGCTGATGAGCTGGAGGAAAATCCTCCAGACGACCTTGTCCTGGAGGAAAATCCTCCAGACGACCTTGGGCTGGAGGCTGAGCTGGAGGAAAATCCTCCAGACGACCTTGGCCTGGAGGAAAATCCTCCAGACGACCTGGCCCTGGAGGAAAATCCTCCAGTGGCCCTGGAGGAAAATCCTCCAGACGCTGCGGCCCTGGAGGAAAATCCTCCAGACGACCTTGGCCTAGAAGCTGAGCTGGAGGAAAATCTTCCAGACGACCTTGGCCTGGAGGAAAATCCTCCAGACGACGACCTGGGCCTGGAGGAAAATCCTCCAGACGCTGTGGCCCTGGAGGAAAATCCTCCAGACGATCTGGGCCTGGAGGAAAATCCTCCAGACGACCTTGCCCGGGATGAAAATCCTCCAGAAGCTGTGGCCCTGGAGGAAAATCCTCCAGACAACCTTGGGCTGGAGGCTGAGCTGGAGGAAAATCCTCCAGACGACCTTGGGCTGGAGGAAAATCCTCCAGACGACCTTGGCCTGGAGGAAAATCCTCCAGACGACCTTGGCCTGGAGGAAAATCCTCCAGAAGCTGTGGCCCTGGAGGAAAATCCTCCAGACAACCTTGTCCTGGAGGAAAATCCTCCAGACGACTTTGCCTTGGAGGAAAATCCTCCAGACGACCCTGGGCTGGAGGATGGGCTGGGGGGAAATCCTCCAGACGACCTTGGCCTGGAGGAAAATCCCCCCCGCCAGAAGCTGTGGCCCTGGACGAAAATCCTCCAGACGACCTTGTCCTGGAGGAAAATCCTCCAGACGACCTTGGGCTGGAGGCTGAGCTGGAGGAAAATCCTCCAGACGACCTTGGCCTGGAGGAAAATCCTCCAGACGACCTGGCCCTGGAGGAAAATCCTCCAGTGGCCCTGGAGGAAAATCCTCCAGACGCTGCGGCCCTGGAGGAAAATCCTCCAGACGACCTTGGCCTAGAAGCTGAGCTGGAGGAAAATCTTCCAGACGACCTTGGCCTGGAGGAAAATCCTCCAGACGACGACCTGGGCCTGGAGGAAAATCCTCCAGACGCTGTGGCCCTGGAGGAAAATCCTCCAGACGATCTGGGCCTGGAGGAAAATCCTCCAGACGACCTTGCCCGGGATGAAAATCCTCCAGAAGCTGTGGCCCTGGAGGAAAATCCTCCAGACAACCTTGGGCTGGAGGCTGAGCTGGAGGAAAATCCTCCAGACGACCTTGGGCTGGAGGAAAATCCTCCAGACGACCTTGGCCTGGAGGAAAATCCTCCAGACGACCTTGGCCTGGAGGAAAATCCTCCAGAAGCTGTGGCCCTGGAGGAAAATCCTCCAGACAACCTTGTCCTGGAGGAAAATCCTCCAGACGACTTTGCCTTGGAGGAAAATCCTCCAGACGACCCTGGGCTGGAGGATGGGCTGGGGGGAAATCCTCCAGACGACCTTGGCCTGGAGGAAAATCCCCCCCGCCAGAAGCTGTGGCCCTGGACGAAAATCCTCCAGACGACCTTGTCCTGGAGGAAAATCCTCCAGACGACCTTGGGCTGGAGGAAAATCCTCCAAACGACCCTCGGCTGGAGTATGGGCTGGGGGGAAATCCTGCAGACGACCTGGGCCTGGAGGGCCCAAAAACCTCACTGCCACCAATGCCCCAACGAGGCCCGTTTCGCTGCGCTCCCAGCGAGTATAGCGCGCAGAAAAGACCAAATAGTGGGTCCAAAATCCCTGTCCCTCGCCGGTGTCCCGGCCGCTGCCGTTTTTGTGCGCTCCCAGCGAGCATAGCATGCAGAATAGGCCAAATAGTTGGTCCAAAAAACCCGCTTCCCCCAATGCCACAACGAGGGCTCTCTCGGTGCGGCCCCAGCGAGCACACCGTGCAGAGTAGGCCAAATAATGGGCCCAAAATCCCTGCCCCCCAACAATGCTCCAACCACGGCCGTTTTTGTGCGCTCCCAGCGAGAACAGCGTGCGGAATAGGCCAAATGTTGGATCCAAAAACCCAGCCCCCGCAATGAGGGCCGTTGCTGTGCGCTCCCAGCGAGCACAGCGCGCGGAATAGGCCAAATGGGGGCCCGAAAATCTCTGCCCCGCATAAATGCCCCAATTGCTGCCGTTTTTGTGCGCTCCCAGCGAGCACAGCGTGCAGAATAGGGCAGGCAGTAGGCTGAAAAAGCCTCGCTGCCACCCCTGCCCCAACGAGGGCCGTTTCGGTGCGCTCCCAGCGAGCACAGCGTCCAGAATAGGCAAAATAGTGGGGCGGAAATCTTTGCCCCTCGCAAATGCCCCAATCGCTGCCGATTTTGTGCGCTCCCAGCGAGCATAGCGTGCAGAACAGGCCAAATAGGAGGTCCAAAAACGGCGCTTCCATCAATGCCCCAAAGAGGGCCGCTTCGCTGCGCTCCCAGCCAGTACAGCGTGCAGAACAGGCCAGATAGTGAGTCCAAAATCCCTGGCCCCCGCCGATGTCCCGGCTGCTGCCGTTTTTGTGCGCTCCCAGCGAGCATAGCATGCAGAATAGGCCAAATAGTGGGCCCAAAAAAACCGCTGCCCCCAATGCCACAACGAGGGCTCTCTCGGTGCGCTCCCAGCGAGCATACCGTGCAGAATAGGCCAAATATCGGGCCCAAAATCCCTGCCCTCCACCAATGGTCCAATCACGGCCGTTTTTGTGCGCTCCCAGCGAGCACAGCGTGCGGAATAGGCCAAATACTGGATCTAAAAACCCCGCCCCCACAATGAGGGCCGTTTCTGTGCGCTCCCAGCGAGCACAGCGTGCGGAATAGGGCAAATGATGGGCCGGAAATCTCTGCCCCTCGTAAATGCCCCAATCGCTGCCCTTTTTGTGCGCTCCCAGCGAGCATAGCATGCAGAAGAGGCCGAATAGTGGGCCGAAAGACGCCGCTTCCGCCAATGTCCCAACGAGGCCCGTTTCACTGCGCTCCCAGCGAGCACAGCATGCAGAATAGGCTAAATAGTGGGTCCAAAAACCTCGTTGCCACCAATGCCCCAACGAGGCCCGTTTCGCTGCGCTCCCAGCAAGCATAGCACGCAGAAGAGGCCAAATTATAGGGGGTCCAAAAAACCCGCTGCCCCAAATGCCACAACGAGGGCTCTCTCGGTGCGCTCCCAGCCAGCACACCGTGCAGAGTAGGCCAAATAATGGGCCCAAAATCCCTGCCCTCCACCAATGCTCCAATCACGGCCGTTTTTGTGCTCACCCAGCGAGCACAGCATGCGGACTAGGCGAAATGGTGGGTCCGAAAACCCCGCTCCCCAAATGAGGGCCGTTTCTGTGCGCTCCCAGCGAGCACAGCGTGCGGAATAGGCCAAACAAATGATGGGCCGAAAATCTCTGCCCCTCGTAAATGCTCCAATCGCTGCCCTTTTTGTGCGCTCCCAGCGAGCATAGCACGCAGAAGAGGCCAAATAGTAGGCCCAAAGACGCCACTTCCGCCAATGTCCCAACGAGGCCCGCTCCACTGCGCTCCCAGCTAGCATAGCATGCAGAATAGGCCAAGTACAGGCATGGGGCGTCGCTGCCTCCTGAAAGGAAGGAAATGCATGGGCCATCTGTCAGGCCGCATGGAATGGCCTCGCCGTTTCGGGCGAATGAAAAAGCCGGCCCCGGCCCGGGGGTGGACGGAGGGAAAGCGACAGGCCGCCATCTGGCATGCCGCATGGAATGGCCTCGCCGTTTCGGGCGAAAAAGCCGGCCCCGGAGGTGGAGGGAAAGCGACAGGCCGCCATCTGTCAGGCCGCATGGAATGTCCTCGCCGTTTCGGGCGAAAAAGCCGGCCCCGGAGGTGGGGGCGGGAAAAGCGACAGGCCGCCATCTGTCAAGCCGCATGGAATGGCCTCGCCGTTTCGGGCGAAAAAGCCGGCCCCGGAGGTGGGGGAAAAGCGACAGGCCGCCATCTGTCAGGCCGCATGGAATGGCCTCGCCATTTCGGGCGAAAAAGCCGGCCCCGGAGGTGGAGGAAAAGCGACAGGCCGCCATCTGTCAGGCCGCATGGAATGGCCTCGCCGTTTCGGGCGAAAAAGCCGGCCCCGGAGGTGGAGGAAAAGCGACAGGCCGCCATCTGTCAGGCCGCATGGAATGGCCTCGCCGTTTCGGGCGAAAAAGCCGGCCCCGGAGGTGGAGGAAAAGCGACAGGCCGCCATCTGTCAGGCCGCATGGAATGGCCTCGCCGTTTCGGGCGAAAAAGCCGGCCCCGGAGGTGGAGGAAAAGCGACAGGCCGCCATCTGTCAGGCCGCATGGAATGGCCTCGCCGTTCTGATCAGGGGGTGCGCGTACCCCCTATGCAAGGCGGATCACATGCCGACGCTGCTGCTCAATCCACAAGAGCATGACCTGCCGCCGAAGAAGCAGTGCGCAGGAAAAATTTCTTTTGTAACATTATTACGTCCTCGCATGTCTTCATCGGAAAGGAAAAGGATTTCATACACTGTCGAACAAATCGAAAATAGTACGTAGGTTGAGGTTGTTGCGGTAGCGCCACTTCGAGCACACGCCTGCGTCAGTGCAAGTAACTGTTGACAGTGACGTGCTGTTGCTCCTCAGCCTCAGGCCTCAAGATTGTCAAACTAAAGCCCTATAATTCTTCCGTCCAATGTTTTCAAAAAGTCGTGCAAACCGAGTTTGCGCTCGTTCGAATTGGGAGTCCTCGACCTCGCCACGAAGGCGTTGAAGTGAATGACTTTTGTTCACGTTCGCTCGGAAAAAATATATGCTACTGCGAAAAATTATTGCCTGCTGAAACTAACACTAAAGCTCCCAGAAGTAGTGTCCACCGCGAGCTGGCGAAACAAGAAATATAAAGTGGACGCAACTACAGTGAAAAGCATATACAAAAATTGTTATTTAACGAAACAGGGCTTCGGCTTTCCCGTATGAATTTCGCGTAGGAAAATTACAATCAGAAATATCAAGTTCAAGTCGTATCAAATAAAAGGTCCTTTGCAAGGCAAAAAATCACGCGCCGACGACGTGTCTCGAAACGACAAGCACGAGTTATGGCGTTCTCAACCGTTACACTCTCAGTTACTGTTACATGGATTTTTAATGCAAGAATAGCACAGGAGGTGAGCGGGAGAATCTTGCGCGTCTTGCATTACAGATCTGGTGCGGATTCTAGTGCTATTTGGCGCGTCGAGAATTCGTCATGCGAAGTAGCTTGATCGTGGCGGTGTTGATAGTGATTTGGCATGACAAATCATGTACGTAACAGTTGAGAATGTAACGTTTGAGTCCGCCCCATACGAATTCGTCAAAGTCAATGGTGCCGCTTCGGTCAGCGTCCACTTCCACCAGCATCTCCTGAACTTCTTCTTTCGTCAAGTCCAATCCGAAACTTTCATTGAACATGGTCTTTAGCTCGGCCAAATCCAGCTGACCACTTTCGTCATCGTCAAACGTTTTGAACAATACCTCCAAAATGGCGGTTTCCAGACCGGTCATTTTCATTTTCTCGTCCACCGGCTGCTGCTGGTGATTTTTCGTTGCGGCTGGTGGTGCACCTCCAGGAGGACCCTCTTCTCCTTCATGCTTGTCGTGTGCGTCTTCTGCTTTACTATCTTTGTTCTCAGCAGAAGTTGTACTACTGTCCTCTTTTGTATGAAAATTCGTGGTTGAATATTTTTGGATGACCTCCGCGAGTTTCTGCATCAATTCCCCATCCTCTTCTGCGATTTTCTCAACATTCCTCCCCGCTTCCAGCTGCGCCTTTACCGTCGCGATGGTCCTTTGCAGGCTGGTATGCATTGCAAATAGGGCTGGGTCTGGATCTGTGATATACGAATGAATGTGGAGGACAGCGGGATCCGTAATGCGTATGAATACGATTGGCCATAAGTTTCTTTGTCATGCTGTGAATCTCAGTTTGGCTTTGGCATGCAAATGAAGTTCTTGGTGCTGTCAAACATACCAGCAGGCGAAAAATTTGTGATACGCCCACGCCATACAAAACATCGCTCTGTCATGCGAGACCCAGCAGCAACAGATGAAATTCGCTGCATCCACTTTCCAGACCCAGACAGATTTGTAATTCATAGCTGGCGTTCAGCCGCTTCCAAGCGACGACCGACAAAACGTTGCTGGTGCCATCCAGTTTCAGGGTGGCGTCGTTCGCCGCGCGGGCGTACAGCTCGTGCATGGTCACCGCGGGAAACACGAGTTCCAAAACGTCAAAAACGGTTTTCTTTTCGTGCACGAAAACTGCTCCGACGTTGATCAGCTCACAGGGGTATGACTTGCAAATATGTCCTCTGCGTCTGGAAAGAACTTGTAACGCCGCGGGCTGGACAAAAATCATGAGGACATCTCAGTTGATGACTACCAAGCATGACAAATTTTTGAGTTGCAGCAGCTACGGCGTGGCTTTTTGTTGTGCATGGTAAGCTGCGTTTCTCCTTCTGCATGACAGAAAAAAGGTGTGTTTGGATAAAACGTGCAGGACAGACTTGAGATTTTTCATGCTGGCCGAGCATGTTGACAAACACAAACCTCGGAAGGTCCTTCCACACCTAGACACATTAATTTGCAACTGATAATGCCGACTCGCCAATGATGTGCACCCCGAGTATCTGTCCCGCCTTTAGGTCCTTCCCGCTTTCTTGCTTCTGCGCCATGCGCGTAGCCACTACCAGTTTGAGGAAACCTACCTCCTGACTCACAATGCCACGCACGCTCGCGCCGAACGGGATCGCCACCGTCGTAATGGCTTCCTGGCCGTATTTCGTAACGGCTTCCTTTGTATCAACTGCAAAAATGTCTGGGTCTGGAAAGACGGAACTTGTGATGCGCATCTCACAACACACAAAAATCTCCCATGCGTAGACAGCAAGAGTTGCCCACTTTTGTCACCGAAAAAATAGGCGATTTGTGATGCGGATTAGGCATCGACGCAGCTTCTCAAAACCTGTAATGCTAGACCTTGCTTGCCAGACCTTCCAGGTCATGGAAAAACAGCGTGACAAAAATCTGCATCCTTCCAGACCCAGACATTTTTGCAATGCATACTTTGTCGTCAGGCCGGAGTAGGCGAGCTCCGGGATGGTCCAAACCACGTAGCCAGAGGCCTTCTCTATCCAAGAAAAAAACGTTGTTAGTGTAAATTTGTGATGCGCAGCATGCAAATTGATTGCGCCTGTCATGCTGAGCCTGCATAGTAGAAGGGCTCACTCAAGGGCGTTTCGCGTACTATCTGCGCATGACAGGTTTTTGCTGTCATGCGTGACATATTTGTCAATGTCATGCTAATCCTCCAAGAAAGTTACACCTACAATCCTTTTTTCTTGGATATTTTCTACGGGCTTACTACTAGACGGCTTGCTGGTGTTTTTATTAGCTGCTTGCTGTTCCCCTTCGTGCGTGCTGATGCTGTGCGAGCTAGGTGTTCCCTATGAGAGTGCACAACTCCCCCTCGCCCTCATTTGTATAGCATGAACGGCAATACAAGCACCAGCAAGTAGAATGCCGGTTTTGCATGACAAATTTGCATTGGATTGTCGTGCTATTTGTGCTACCAGAACTTGTCATGCAAACAGTGCCAAGAGGCAACCAATGGGTGGATTGGGTATTTTGCATGACAAATGAGGGGAAGGGGGAATTGTGCACTATCATATCCCACCACCCCCCAGTCGCGCGGCGGACGACTGCACAATGTGCAGGACCGCGCGTCTAGCCATGTCCTGACCCTGCGTGGCAAGCCCAGCGCCGGCCACGTCTCCAACCGCGTAGATCCGGGCACGGAGGTCCGCGAGAGCTAAATCGTTGGCCTTGATTTGTTCCGCTTTTGCTGCATCTACAGTGGCGGTTTTCTCGTTGTTCTGGCTGTTTTCCTTGTGGTCCTCGCCGCCTTTATTTTCCGGTTCCTTCTTGTTCGGGGTGCTGACCACTTGCTGGGTCACTTTATATATGCATTGCAAATATCGATTTGGGTCTGGAATAAACTTGCAATGCTAGTAGTAAAAGGTGGATAATGGCAACAATTTCGAATGCAGCCCAGCATGACAACTTTTCGGAACGCTTTCTCCGCATGAGAAACTGCGTTTTTGCATGACAAAAATGGCTGCCACGTTTGCTGGTTATGCAATACAGATCTCCCGGGAACGGAATTTACATGTAGAGCTAGCATTACAAATTCCAACTTTCCGCCAGACCCAGAAATATTTGCATTTGATATTATCCACGGATATAAAATTTCCGCGGCCGATGTCAATCTTCAGTTTCTCCAGACCAAGCCCTTTCACATTGCCCTCGCGCCCCATGCATTGCAGGACACAGTCCACATTGTCCAGTTGAAATTTCTCGTCTTTGTTTTTCACAAAAGCGACACAACCTGTTTTCGCTTTTTGACTTGGATGTCCAGTTTCTTCTCCTTCTTCGATTCCCGCCGAAGTTTTTTCGACCACCGTGCCCCAATGAAACGTGATACCCACCTCCTTCATTTTGGTCTTCAACAGCTCCTGTAGGTCCTCATCCAAAACTTCGGCAATGGACTTTCCCCGCACGATATCAAATGTAAAAATGCCTGGGTCTGGAAACTTGTGATGCTGGTTGGCGTATCATGAGGCGGCCACAAGTGCTGGCTCAGCATGACAAGTTTCTGAGCTCCTAGGTGTTGCCTATTCTGCATGACAAACTGCGCTTCTGCATCACAGCAAAACGGAGCTCTTGCGTAACGTGCATGACAGATTTAAGAGTCATGCCAGACAAGCATGACAAACGTGAATTCTTCCAGACCCAGACATTTTTACATTTGATACACGACCACATGAACCTCGCTTCCCAACTGCGCGAAAATTTGAGCGTACTCCACACCGATTATGCCCCCACCGAGGACCACCACTTTCTTAGGTAAATACGCGATGGAACGAATACTGTCGGAGCAGTAGCAGAAAGGGAGCGAGAAATCCACCGGAGGTCTCCGCACACCGCACGACCCTGTGGCCAGAACGCAAAACTCACAGTGCACCATCTGGCCTGCCGTGTGTAAATCTTTTGCAGCAGCTGCTGCCGTCGAATTCGTCATTTTCACTTGGATCTTGATCGGCGCCCGCCCGCCGGCTCCGCCGAGCGATCCGCGCGTCTGGATCATGCTGCGACTTTTGCTCAACTTGACTTTGTTCTCTTTCTTCGCTTCATCTGCCTCGTCTTTCGTTGGGTTTTTCTCCGCAGGCTTTTCTGCTGTAGTTTCTGTTGCTGGAGATTGAGAAGCATCCATTTGTTCAGGGCTTTTAGAATGCTTCTCCACCTGCAGCTCCATAGCCTCAATTTCTGGCTCATCATACACGAACTCGGCGCTCCCCCGCAACACTTCGATCCGCAGCAGCGTTGTCAATTGACTAGCACCGCGTTCGGCCGTCATCGCTACGCGACTCAGGATCTTCGAGATGCCGGGCCATTTGTCAGTGTCCGTTTTGTTCTCTTTACCACTACTATCCGCCGTAGTAGTCATCATCGCGGCTCCCGCGGCGACCAGCTGGTCGGGGTGGTGGGCGGCCTCGCGGAGGCATTTGGAATGTCCCCCGGTGGGCAGATATCCGGTGTAAAAACGTCCTCACGCTCACCTGATAAAGTTAAAATAAGAACTTTGCCACACAAATCAGTGGAACTTCTTGGGGGTGACGCATCCTCCTGTAGTTGTAGCGTAGCTTAGCGTGGACTACTACAGCCGCGGATCACACAAGCATCTGCTATGATCCTGTTTACAACATGATACAAGTTTATCAACACGCGACTACATCAATAAATGGTGCCTCTCGTGATAGATGGGGATGCGCATTTTATTTACAAACGTTCCTGTATATGCAAATCTGCATGACCACAACTACCGGATCGTGGGATCGTTTTTCCTCAGGATAGGAGTCCGTGAAGGGAAAACAGAGGGTCGATAACGCATACGGTCTTGCCGCTGGTGGCACCGTATCGAATGCAAAGTTGTCTGGGTCTGGAAAATAAGTAAGTGGAACTTGTGTTGCATGTCTCGCGTTGTTATAAAAATCTGTCTTGCTCTTGCGACGTAGCCAGCAAAGACATTGCTCTCTTGTCATGCAAAGACGCAATTTCTTGTCATCCGTGGTTCTACGTATCAGATTTTTTAGACGGGGTCAAGGGAAAATATCACGCTTGTTGGCTGCACTTGAAAGCACCAGACATTCCAGACAGGTTTGGAATGCATACAGCGTCGTAGGCCGCTTTGAGGCCAACCGGGCCGCCACCGAGAACAGCGACGTCAAAATATCCTGTGTAAAAACATCCCCACAAGTCTCCTGCATGGTGAGAAAGAAATAAATGTTTCTCATGCGGAGCCACTTGAGACGCATTTTCTAGAGCTGATTTGAAATTTCAATTTGTAATGCTCGAAGCAGCATGAGACGCTCGATTTGTGATGCCGGCGCACAACTAGCTCGACGCGATAACAACATTGCGAGCCAAAAGAACTTGTCATGCGCAACAGCCAAAGCTTGCTGATTTCTCTTGAAGAAATCCCAACTTGACTTCTGTGGAGACGTTTTTACATTAGAATACAAAATGCAGAAAGTCGTCCGACGACGAGGGTAGTACGGCAGCTCCCGGGGGGGAACCGGCGTCGATGGTCATCTTGTTTTTTTGTGTGCAAAAGAAGTTTGGTTCTACTCGTATTTATTCGACTTCTTCAAGTAGGAAACAGCAACTATTCTATTTACGCATGTTTAAAATAAATGTCGGGAACAATTATACGATCACACTAGCGAAGTAGAGTCACGACGACTAACTTCTCCTCTGCGTGAAGAAATAAATGCCGAAATGAGAGGACAAGTGCATCCAAAAACCGCAGCGTTGGAGCAAAAATGCCGAGGAATCACCGACGTCTTGGTCTTCCCTTGTAACGGCAAATAACCGAGTAGAGCAACAATGAATGCTCGTTTACATGATCGATGTGTGGTCCCGGAACCGAAGAACTTCTTCGGATACTCGTCTGCGAATAACCGATACTATTTCATGTGACTAGACAGCACACGACGCGCCCGTATTTATTCATGTGATAGACAGCGCACCGATCATAATACCGACTTCACTTTTAGTCGACACCGATTAATATTTTGCGACTTGATGGCAAAAAGGGGATCTACAACTTGATGAAATAAATCACCTCAAGAACAAAAGACATTTGGCCTCGTCCCTAATGTGCTGGCTGTACTAGTTCTTTCGGGCTTTTTTTTTGTTTTGTTTTGGCGCTGCTATACTTATAACGATGCGCCGTGTTGTATCAAAATAGGCAAAATCGCAGACACAAGTCTGCTTCATATCCGCCTATGTAAAATAGGCAGAGGAGGAGGGGGCAAAAATGTAGAGATTTTCATTCTGAAATAAAGCAGTCAACTTGGCTTTGCTTCTTCGTTCTCTCCTCTCACCATATAACAGAATTCCAGAACAATGCAGTACTTGTAAATCTTGCACGTCTGTAGCGAAGCGGGGTATAATGCGCTTATAATTTCGTATTTCTAATGCACACGACCCTGTGTTGAGGACGTCAAATGGGTTGAAAATGAAGAAGACGTCGAACGCGCGCGTCAAGTACCCTAACCTAGAATTGGCGCGGTGCTCTTCTTATGCAGCTGATTTGCAAATCTATTGCCAGGTAGTTCTACCAGTAGTACTCGTAAAAGAAAAATCTCGTCATAGACTTCGATGGTCGGGCTGGATGATATTTCAACATGGCTTGATGATAGTTCAACCAGAACTAGTTTCGTTGTCCGAGGACTCCTGGTGGTCCTTGTTAAAAATTTGTGGTTGCGAAGATGAATGATAAAAGTCTACTACACTCGCATGCTGGCAGCTTCTGCGCAAACAATGACAATCATTGATTTTTGGGTTATTTACAAGGCTGCAAGAGGTGGTTGCGAGCGTTTACTTTGATTTTCAACGATACGTTTATACTACCATCGTAAAGAAGTAGACCAACTCGGTCGACGTAGCGGGGACTGCTAAAACTTCTGCGGAGGAGCGACCGGTCTGTTTAAATGCTGGCAAGAAAGCGATAGCACCACCCAGTTCGTCCGGGTGCAATTCTTTTGCGGAGGTCCATGGGGCCTACGCCATCCCTTCGCCTTCCATCTGCCGCCACGCGTCTTGTACTCGCCTCTCCTTGCTATGCAGCAGACACGCTTTACAACACTCCCACGACCACCGTAGCACAACGCGCATACAAAAAATGAGAGAGTATCTACGCAATTCAGAGAAAGCTGTGCTGATGCATGTCTTTTACAGTCGTCATCGGAGGCCTGCGGACATATTAGTACCATATCGACTGCGGAACATATGGTGTAGTTTCGTAAATGAACATAAAAACCTCTACTAAAATATTACTTATTCGCTTTCGCATACCCATCAGGAGCGATAGACCCATGCTGCATGACTGATGCTGAAAGAGGGCACTGAACAATACACCGACAACCCGGGCCTTTGTCACAGTACACGTTAGCAACTACGCAAGAGGAGAACGGCCCTCGTCCCTGTACAGGTGCACTAGCAGGGGCGTGCTGTGCTGGTCGTGTGAGGCGTGTGCTGTCTTGCTGCACGATAAGCGCAGAGATATAACCTTTCTGCCATATATGCTCCGCACCCGCAAGCGAGTGCGCCCACCCCCGGAACAGCAACTGCACATCCGGTCGCTGCCGATACTACAGTACATCCGGCCCCGAGGATAGCGGCCCTTGCACACCACTTTTTAATGTGTAGTGCACAAAAACCGCCAACATGAAGCCATAGATTTCGACGTAGAACTAGATCCACCATTTCCCGCTCATATGACGGACCGTTGCACACGGGGCACCGCAACGATCCCCACTTCTTTCGACACTCCCCCGCGCACGGCACGCATACAAAGTGTGGCTTTTGCTGTCCGTCACTTGTCACTGCAAAACACATTTTCTTCATGCGGTCCGCCGGAACGTCCTCCAAACAAATGGGGCATTCTTTCACATTGTCCTCCAAACAAATGGGGAATATTGCACCTCGTCCGGCAACATCGCCAGCTGCGGAGGAAGAAGCGCCGGGAGTCGCGTTGGAGGAAGAAGCTGCCGGAGGAAGTGCCGGGGTGCCGGAGGAAGAAGCTCCGGAGGTAGAAGCCGGTCCGTTCGTCGCTGGCGGCTTTACTCGACCTCGTAGCCGATCCGAGCTCCTAGAAGCCGGTCCGTTCGTCGCTGGCGGCTCCACTTGACCTCGTGGCCGATCAAATCTCCTACCGGCTCCACTCGACGACGTCGTGGCCGCTGCTTGCACTGATGGCTCACCGGTGAGGACCCCCTGTCGAGACCACACTCCGGGCGATTTCGCCCTTGTCTGTGACGCCTGAAGCTGGAGTGCGTGCGCACCTGCAGGAGGACTACAGCAGGAAAAAAAGCCTGCCGCGACGAGACTCACCGCCGTATGCAGAACAAGCTGGCGCAGGCGAAGCTGTGAGCAGCGACAAGATGAACAAGAAAACGTCATCTTTGGTTGTGGATTATACCTCTACTCGGAGCAGTAGTTTCTGTGTTCTTATTGGTGTCTAGGAATAGAGTTGCAGCAAGATCAATGAGAAAAAAGTGTTTGTACGGGTAAAAGCCTTCCGGTGCTGTGGGAACAATCATGAAATTGCACTGTATACGGCCACATTTTACAAAAACCGGACTGAGTACTGAATTACCTCCGATGTTGGAGGTCCCCAGCCCCACACGATCCCGGGAAATATGCATGGTGATCTCATTTTCAACACCGATAGTTGCAGTTTTTCACCATTTGAAATTTGATCTCATTTCCATTTCGGAAGTGGGCCCAACATGCGGATCTGGATTTTCCGCCCATGCGGTCAGCGGACACACTGTAGAAAAACATTATATTTTCAAGATCCAAAGAGCAACACAAATTCACGAGCTGTTTTCACGACCAATAATGGACCATTTAGATCGGTGCGACAAATTGTAAACCGATGGACGTCGTGCTTATTCTTTCGCGGGCAACTTCTCTTCACGAGGGAGCAAAGTCATGCAGCTGTACATAGAGTCTGGCAGGAGCTGCGCAGAGAGTCATTATTTCTGGAAGTAGGGCTGCAAAAATTGGTGGATCTTCATCTGTCTGTGCTTACTTTGGGTAAGCTATTTCATCTCGCTTCATCACGCAGAACTCCCATCCGCCGCTACGTTCCTTCAGCCCAGTTCTGTCTCTGGATGAAAAAAAACGGGCTTTATTCGGGCTTATTCTTTCTTTTGGCTCTGCTATACCTATAACAGGGCGCCGTGCAAAATAGACAGAGGAGAAGGGGGCAAAAATGTATAGAGGCTTTCAACATCCTGAAAAACAGTCAACTTGGCTTTGCTTCTTCCTCGGCTTCTCTTGCCATCTAACAGAACTCCAGAATGCAGTCTACTTATAAATCTTGCACGTCCGTAGCGAAGCTGGGTATGCGGTTATAATTTTGTCTTTCTAATACTAATGCACACGACCCTGTGCCACCAAATTCAAATGGGTTGAAAATGAAGAAGACGAAGGCGCGCGTTACCCTAACCTAGAATTGGCGCGGTGCTCTTCTTATGCTGATTTGTGAATCTATTGCCAGCCTCTACCAGTTGTAAGTATTACTCGTAAAAGAAAAATCTCGTCATAGATTTCGATGGTCGGGCTGGATGATATTTCAACATGGCTTGATGATAGTTCAACCAGAACTAGTTTCGTAGTCCGAGGACTCCTGGTGGTCCTTGTTGAAAGCTTTTGGTTTGCGAAGAACGATGAAAGTCTATTCTACACTCATGTGGCAGGAGCTCCTGCGCAAACAATGACAATCATAGATTTGTGGGTCGTCTACAAGGCTGCAAGTGGTTGCGGGAGATTTTGATTTATTTCAACAACGTTTATACTATCATCGGAAAGAGGACCAACTCGGTCGACGTAGACGGGACTGCTAAAAAAACTTCTGCGGAGGAGCGACCGGTCTGTTTAAAAGCTGCCAACCGATTTCCTCCGGGTGGGAGACCTCGCGTCGGGGTGCAACTCTTGTCTGGAGGTCCACGGGGCCTACCTCATCTCCTGTTGGGCTGGCGCGCCGTCGCCTCCCATCGGCCGCCTAGAAGCGGCCCTGGCTGCTGCTACACGGGATCTTTCTGCATGATAAAGGCGGCGCCGTTCCAAAAGGTGGCGCCGTTCCAAATGTGCCTGGCGGACCCAGTATTCCCCACACCCGCAGACGATTGCGCCCACCCCCGCGTTATGGATTGCAAAAATGTCTGGGTCTGGAAGATTCCCAGATTTGTCATGCAGGTTTTCCATGACCGACGAGGTCTGGTATGTAGGACATAGCATGACCGATTCTGCGAGACCTTTCTAATGCCTATCCTGCATGACGAACTCTCTCCCGACTTGGTCAAAACCGGACGACTTTTGGTAATCACGCAACACAGATTTTTGCATGCCTCAGATTCAGCATGACAAGTTGCATTCTTCCAGACCCAGACATTTTTACATTTGATACGCGTAAGCAAGTGCAACAACGGGATTTCCGCATGCGTTCACGACCGGGTCTAGCGCTACGTCGAAACAATAAACTGGTGCACTAAGGGGGACGTGTCCCGTGCACTTGACATAACCCGCAACTGCAGGCGCTGCTGCAAACAATGTGCCCCCGAAACACCTAGCAACGCGCCCGAGTTCAAGGTTTTGATGTGCCACAGTAAGTTCGTTAGACAAGAAAGGTGGATATTCTCGTTGCTGCTCCTCTTGCTGCCTTTGCTGTTCCTCTTGCCGCCTTTGCAGCTCCTCTTGCTGCCTTTGCCGCTGCCCGGGAGACCGTGCCCGGCACAAAGGGCAGGTCTTTGGATTTCGAACCGTTCCCCGCTGCCTCCATTGGTCAAGACAATACTCGCACGCAAGGTGCATGCATGGCAAACATGTCTGGGTCATCTGGAAGCGCTCCAACTTGTGATGCTAAATTTCGAGTAGACAAAAATCTGTATTGCATGAGTGCCAAATAACGCTACTGTCCACTTTTTGCTACACGAATTATAGGGAATTATTTCTCATGCAGGATAGGTACTATCGAAAAGCCTTCGCTGCAAAGGCTTCGCGTGCATTCGCTTTCCAGACCACTTGTCTATTCCAGAAAATGCATGACAATAGCACGTGCATCTTTGTCTTTTCAGACCCAGATCCATATTTGCCCTGAGACATAAAGTGCACCAGTTTCCCGTCTTTATCTACCGATGTACACAGCGCCTGTAGCGGAACGTCGTCCTCCAGACAAATGCAACATGTTGCATTCCCATTGCCTGCTTGGTCGGTCTGCAGTAAGGGAGCACCAGCTTCGGACGAGGAAGTTCCTGACCCCTGTCCTCCCGGTCGTGCCTGAACCTGGAGTGCGTGCGCAACAGGACCGACGACGGACAGGGAAGAGCTTGCGAAGGCCATCGCCTGGGGGACCAAAATCGTTCTGGATAACGCTCCAGCACCAGCCGCGGAGGATAACGCTCCAGCACCAGCCGCGGAGGATAACGCACCAGTCGCGGAGGAGGACGCACCAGTCGCGGAGGAGGACGCACCAGTCGCGGAGGAGGACGCACCAGTCGCGGAGGAGGACGCAGCACCAGTCGCGGAGAATAACGCTCCAGTCGCGGAGGATAACGCTCCAGCACCAGTCACGGCGCCAGCCGCGGAGGAGGACGGCAGTGGCGGAGGACGGAGAACGGCGGCCGAGAGGCCGGGTGTTGCAGAACGGCCCGCACGACCGGTTGATGGAGCAGCCCCAGGGCCGATCTGGTGTAGTAAGGGCACGCCGCTCCAAGCTGAAGATGATGATGCCTGAAGTTGGAGCGCATGCCATCCTGTGCAAAAACCGACGTTTATTATCCCTTTGCAGCCCCGAATAAAGTGTCATGCACGACGTCTTGCATGATGTGCAGCAGGTGCGACGTGAGGCTGGACGATTGTATGGGATCATAGAAGAAGTTCTTTTGTCCTGCTTCTAAGAAGCTTCACCACCACGACGCTAAATACAACGGAGTTCTGCTTTGTGATGCGGCCGCCAGTAAGGCTTCTAAGTCCACCGGCCGCTAGTGCAGCACTGCATGTCCAACAAGTCCCGAAACCACTTGTGGATGATTTGCCTAGCAGATTTCGCACCATCAATCTTATTGAGGAACAACCTAGGGGCCGCTCAGGGGCAATTGCGGTTTTTGCAGCATTGGATACGCGCGCAAGAAGAGGACTAGTACCGAGGAAAGACGACGAGCAGCCTGTCGCGACGAGAAGCACCGCCATGAAAACCGTCTGACGCAGGCGAGCCGGGTAGAAGGAACGGCACGCCGAGCGAGGAAACGCCATCTTCATCTTGATACTAATACTTACCGCTCACGACCAGGGCAAAAGTGTAGTTTGGAGGTCTACTAGGAGTAGCTGATGTGCTGGTGCTGCAAGACTCGAATAGAGAAAAAAATGAACGTCACGTTCACAACGTGATGAAAGGAGTACAAGACGAGTATAGGGAAATTCTACATGTTCCTGTAAGTACTAGCAAAAGCACGTCGTGTTCACAACTTCTCGACAAGATAAAACGAAGGACGTCAATGAAAATTCGAAGAGCCACCAGTCGTGTCACAATAATTTCCAGTGTGGAGGCGGGAACAAACTATTTATACTGATTTCAAAAATGTAGGTTGAAGTAAGTTCGTAAGTACCGTTGCAGGAGGCAATGGATGAATTATTGCACTTTATAAGGAGAAGGACCACAGAACAAAAACCGGATTATAAGTAGTGAATTACCTCCTCCGATGTTGGCCCCAGCACGATCCCGGAAAATCTGCATGGTGATTTCATTTTCAACACCGATTGCAACTTATTTTCACTATTGGAAATTTGATCTGATTTCCATTTCGGAAACGGGCCCAACATGCGGATCTGGATCTTCCGCCCATGCGGTCAGCGGGAACACTTGTAGAAAAACATTATATTATTTCCAAGATCCAGCAAAGAGCAACACAAATTCACGAGCTGCTTTCACGATTAATAATGGACCATTTCGATCGGTGCGACAAATAAACCGATGCTGTACGTCGTGCTTATTTTTTCGCGGACAACTCCTCCTCACGAGGGACCAAAGTCGTGCAGCTGAGCGTAGAGTGGGGCAGGAGCTGCGCAGAGAGTCATTATTTCTGGAAGTAGGGCTGCAAAAATTGGTGGATCTTCATCTGTCTGTGCTTACTTTGGGTAAGCTATTTCATCTCGCTTCATCACGCAGAACTCCCATCCGCCGCTACGTTCCTTCAGCCCAGTTCTGTCTGCTCTGGATGAAAAAAAACGGGCTTTATTCGGGCTTATTCTTTTTTTTGGCGCTGCTATACCTATAACAGGGCGCCGTGTAAAATACACAGAGGAGGAGGGGGCAAAAATGTATAGAGGCTTTCATCCTGAAAAACAAGCAACTTGGCTTTGCTTCTTCCTCGTCTTCTCTTGCCATCTAACAGAACTCCAGAATGGTGCAGTACTTATAAATCTTGCACGTCCGTAGCGAAGCTGGCTATGCGGTTATAATTTTGTATTTCTAATGCACTACACGACCCTGTGCCACCAAATTCAAATGGGTTGAAGATGAAGACGAGGCAGGCGCGCGTTACCCTAACCTAGAATTGGCGCGGTGCTCTTCTTATGCTGATTTGTAAATCTATTGCCCTTATACCACTGGTGCTCGTAAAAGAAAAATCTCGTCGTGGTCATAGATTTCGGTGGGGGGGCTGGATCATTTGAACATAGCATGATAGTGCAACTAGCACCGGTTCTTGTTCGAGGACGTTAAAAATTTGTGTGTGCGAACATTGTAAAAATCCTCGAACTATATTTTTCATCTCCTGCGAGGACAGCTGCGCATACAATGATAGTCATTGATTTGTGAATAAGGCTGTAAGGGAGATTTTCATTTTCAACCGCACTTCTTTCGTAAGGAAAAAGTTCTCGTAAACAACTTCTGCGCAGCAACGACCGATTCGTTTTAATGCTGGCAAGAAGGCGATTCTTCCCTATGCCACTTAGCAAAAGTCGTCGGAGACCCACCAGCCGTCGTCGTCGCGCTCCAAATAGGCTACAAATCGCTCCCTTTCGTTGTGGTCTTGCTCGAAACCAGCGAAAAATCTTTTCCTTTTGCTATGCAACAGACCACAATTATATGCGTTGCAAATATGCCTGGGTCTGGAACACTAGTGACGTCATGCTCGGTGTTGGTGTGCACCATTACAAACCTCCTTGCAGTTGCAAAAACTGCATGGCAAGTCTCTGCCTTCTTCGAGACCCAGACATATTTTCACTTGATAGACACGCTGCACTAGAACACTCCACCCACCACGACGACCATGTCCATAGCACAGCGCGCATATAAAAAATGAGCATGCAAATGCATTTCATAGAAAGCTGTGATGACGCCTGCCTTCTCTAGTTTGGGGGCCTGCTAAGCACTAATGCAGCACCGGGTGGTGGTAAAAATACCGTTTCCGCGTTGAAGATAAAGGCAACCTGAAATAACAGGATTTTCAATATAGACTGCTATTCGTAATCGTAGGCGTAGCACGCCTATGCCTAAAACCCTGATGCATGAGTGGAAGAGGGCAGTTGACACACCCGGGGCAGCCCGTTTTTTTTTCATAGCCAGTGGCACTGCAAGGGCGGCCCGCCCTGTACAGGTGCACTAGCAGGGGCGTGCTGTGCTGGTCGAGTAGGGCGTGCGCGGTCTTTCTGTATGATAAATGCTGCCCTTTACCCCTTCTGCCGCACAGACCATATATGCTCCACACACGCAATAGGGTGCGCTCGGTAGCGGAATAAGGCAGACTACAGAAAGGGGGTCGGGACAGTGTCCCGTCCACCAGGCAAAGGCGGCAACGAGAGCTGTCTGCGCTGCAGCGATTCCGCCCCCGATAGACATCCACATTTGGCCATCTTTAGCACGGCGCTCTGCCAGTCGAAATCTTTCATTTTGACGTAGAACTCTATTTACATTTTCCGGCTTTCGACGTAGAGTTGCCTCCCACTCCTCCTGCGTGATGATAGCATTGCTCATGTCGATTTGCATGGGTCGCCCGCAGTGGCACGTCGGTTGTTCCCGTCCACCCTGGGCCATCTGACAGAAACCCCACTGCCGAGCACACCGCGCGTGAGCATCATGGCCCGCCCCGTCACTACCTTCGTATGCACACATGCGTCCGATTGGTCCGTGCTCCGGATCGGGATCGAGATCACCGTGACAAATCACACAACTACGACGTCCTTCCTGGTCGTTGTCCGCAACTACACGACTTTCGGTAGAATGATCCAGTTGTCCGCTTGATGTTGTACTAGCACCGGCTCCACCAGATGATCTTGATGACCCAGAGCTCGGCGACGTCCCAGAAGTACTTGTTTGCAGTAGGGGCACGCCGCCGCTGAGATCATTTCGGGACGACCCCGTACTTCTCTGCGATTTATTCGCCCTTCTTCTTCTTGGCGGCTGAAGCTGGAGTGCGTGCGCAGCAGGAGGAGAACTACAACCGGAAAAATAAAAGCCTGCCGCGACGACGAGACTCACCACCGTATGCAAAACAAGCTGGCGCAGGCGAGGCTGTGAGCAGCGACGAGATGAACAAGAAAGCGCCATCTCGGGTTGTACTTACCTCTACTTCTCGGAGCAGTAGTTTCTGTGTTCCTTTTGGTGTCTAGGAGGAAAGTTAATGTATGAGAAAAAACTACTAAAATTGTACGTGGCAAGAACCAGCAGTACATGTAATTTAGTAACACCATACAAGGTCGTGGTGTTGTAAGTAGTAGCAAAAGGTCATCACAACTTCTCGGAACGAGGGAATAATGAAGGTCGGCAAGAAGAAAATTCTAGGAGCAGTGTAAGTGTTGCAATGGAGGAAATCACACTTCTCGTGTGGGAACAACCACCACTCTGTCTACTAACTTCAAAAATTGATGGTTAAGATCAAGCAAACAAGTAAGTACCGCTCTTGCAGGTGGCACTAAAATTGGACACTGTGTGGAGGTTGAAAAGAAACCAAAACCTCCGGAGTGAGTGCTTACTTAACTTCTACCCCCGATGGCAGCTGCTACACGACTTCAGGAAGTACGGCGCACGTCGGTGGCTACTTAAGTACTACTGCTGTTTATTAACCTAGCACCTGCACCAGCGACAGATATGGCAGTAGACGCGAAGTAGATGAAAGGTCTAGGTCATCATTTTCATCATAAGTACCGATTGCGAGTTTTCATTATTGCGAAAATTTTGATCTCGTTGTCATTTCTAAAGCATTTCGACGATCAGGCTGATCTCGATCCGCCTGTGCGGTTAGCTGGAACAATATCGTCGATAAGCATTTCAAAGATCCAACGACCAACAAAAATAGAGGAGCTTTTTTCATTCGTGTTTGATAATTTCGATCAGTCGGAAAAACCGACGGGTTCTCACGGACAACTCCTGCTCATGAGGAAAATTTTTATAGAACTTGGATCTGCCTCCTCGCAAGAAAGCTCTGCTAGTAACACCGATGAACAGAATATGCTAGACCGGGTACAGAAAATAATCGGCAACTGACTTTCTATCATTGCGACGGCCTGGAGGGAGGTATGAAACTCCATTGCTGCATTTCAGGAATTGCAGGATCGACTCGGGAGACATGAACACCGGTAGTTCATCTCAGTACTTGCTTCCAAAAGTAGCGCCCAGCCGGCGCCCCCTTCTGCTCCACCTAGGGTGACGTGAGCTGCCGCTGCGTCTGGGAATCATAATTACAGTGCAGTGCCTTTTGCTATTGCTTGTGCCTCCCCCTTAGGGCAGCGCCGCCGCGGTCGTGGTCAACCTCATTATTGGCGCAGCTGTCAAGTTCCTCGTTGCGACGCGTGCAACAGACTTCGGGTTCGGGAAGATTGATGTATACAAATCTTCTTGTTCGTTGCTCGCCTCAACCACTTACTTTTATATCTACTGAGGCCGACCGCTCAGCGGTCGCTTGTAACAACTCTTCTCAAGAGGGCGCAATACTATGTTATATATTAGTGTCGACTGCAGCACCATGAATTAATGATCTGCAACCCAAGTGACGATCGCCGAGGGTTGCAGCTAGGAGTCCTCTTTCTGGTGCTGGTTCGGTTCTTGCAATTAAATCATACACTGTCGTGGCACTTTTTTTTTAAATTGTGACTTGATAATGTTAAAATCCCACTCTGTGGCGTTCAGATGCACAGATGCTTGCTAGCTTGCATTGCTACGCACGGACCGATGCTAAACTAAACACACGAAAGGTTCGAACATACACAAAATTTGCGTCAGCTTCTAGTAAAATAGCGTGTAGCAAGTATGTTCAAATTATTAAAATTGTGACTTGATAATGTTAAAATCCTACTCTGTGTTATCCCATATTTAATTATGCTGTCATAGTCATCGCGAGGACATGATCAAGGACATGACCTCTACACGTAGCATAGGATCTGGGACGATGCTTGACGAGATTGTGGAGCAGTACCCAGTGAAAACGCCCTCGAAGCTGCCACCAAATCATTTTTCGCAGCTTGATTTGCCTCTGTTCATCACGCCGGTTGAGTAGAGATGTTGGTACTAGTAGCCTAGTCCAGAATGTCAACGTCCCCGATCCTCATTTGCTGCTGCGTTGGCGCTCGGGCTGCTGCGAATTCGCTGCGAATTCGCTCCTCGGCCAGTCTGCTGCGAATTCGCTCCCGGGCAGCCTCCCCCTCTCTGACCGCTTCTGCCTGGTTATCCAACTGCAGAAAAGCTGTACACAACTCCTCGTGGTCCCACGATAAAACAAATACCCACATGCATATGTAAAAAGGTCATCCGCCGGCGTATACATCTAGTGTGGTCCTCGGCATAGACAAGTGCTGTTCCATGATCGTGCTTGCCAAACATTAGCCCGATGAAACATTTCATGATCGGGCTCGGCATCTAGCACCTAAAACCAGCAGAATTCCGCACGACTTTGAATTTTGCCCACTCGCTGCGGGGAGAAGAAAATACAGACGGGACGAAAAATATCTTGTAGCGACGCAACAAACCAAGTTCGCTTGTTGTTGATGCGGAGTAGAGGCCGAGTCATCGTGCATAACATTCTATATGGCTAGCCGCGGTGTGACAGTGACCACGAGAGGTGTGCAGCCTTGTTCCGGTTGGTAGAAGCGGTCATCGTGGCGCTGCTTGCACGAGCAGCCGACCATACAGGCTCCGCCAATGGTGACACCAGCGACCCCACAAGGGACGGAGTGCAAAGCCATGGCAGCCGCGGTGGAGGCGAATGCACCCATCGCCCCGAGAGTGGCGCAACAAAGGGCTTCATTGGGGTCCCTTGCCCGTAAATCTGGGTAGTCCCGCTGAATCTGCTGCAAGCTTGATCCTGTGGAAAAACTCGGTCCCATTTTTTCCCCTGATGAAATAGCGAAACAAATATTTCTACTCTGCACAGAAGATATAAATGATGTCTTCCAGCACGACATCTATAACGATGATGTCATGTCACATGACGTCACTCTCATTGTCAGCCGTAGAAGTTGTAGACCCAGCTGCACAACAGCTGATCTTGGGCATGCCCGCTGCATCTACTACCGTTAGTATCCAAAATGCTGTAGAATCTATTTTCGTATAATTTGCATTTGCACGACGAGGACGACCACGACCACCGGCTAGACCGGTTAGAGCATGGCAGAAGGATCGCTGTTGTAAGTACTTCTACTTACCTATCACAAACGCCTCGCATGGGGCAGCTGTGCGTTGGACTACAAACAAGAACGACATTTTACGCATGCTGCGGTGAACCGTGCGTATCTGATTGACCAAGCCGGGGATCCTGGGGACCTCGTTTTTCCAGAGGATACTCGGGCAGCGAGTTGCTGATCCCCTGTTTATTTTTGAATGATACTCAAGGTTTTATTTTTGCATAGCACTTGCCATTACGGATAACTAGTAATATTTTTCGGATATGAGCATTGATACGCAAAAATAAAAATAGCACTTGATAAACCTTGTTTATATTTTTGCATGGCACTAACCTCAGGGAGCATGATAATCCTCATTTATTTTTGCATAACTATACTAGCATCGCTCTCGATTCGCATTGGCCGCCTGCAGAAGCACCTCGGTTGGTCCCGTCTCCGGTCGGCCCCCTGAGTTGCACACCATGTTCGAGCACAGCTCTGGTGGGCATCATGGCCCGTCCCGTCACTATTTCGGTGAAAACACGTGCGGAATGGGCCGTTGTCCCTAGTAAATTCACCGTGACAAATCCAACACTCACGCGCCTCAGTGTTGGTCACAGCCGCGGCCGCCGGGGGGACTCCGTCTATGCTTGGACCTGACTTATATCCACTGCAAACATGTCTGGATCAGGAAGATCGCTGCAAATTTCGTGACGCTCGCCTGGCAAATGTGGCTTTGTCATTTACAACATATATACTCCTTATGCCTGTCGTGCAAAAACGCAAATTGTATTTCTTGTAATCCGAAATATTTTCCAGCAGGACACAGACACTATAAAATGTTTCATGCTTTTTACCTGTGCATACTTTACCGCTCTCCACGACCAGCTAACACTTATAGTGGTGAGTTTCCGGAGCATATCCTACGAAAAAAGTGTTACAGTTACACATTTGTTGTCAATTCAGCAACACAAATTTGTCTGCATGAGAGAGAAAACTTGCAATGCGGAAATCCTAAGGGAGAACGCCTATGAAACGAAGCTCCTGTGCATATCCGACATGACAGAGCTGGTCTGTCTTGCTTGGCCTGCAACACAGTGTGTAGCTGTAACACTTTTTTCTTGCGATAGAGCAGGACCTTGACATAGACATTTTTGCAGAGAATATTACAGCCCGTCCACCACCACCACCACCGCCGGGAGCAGAAGCGGCCGCCTCCACTTGCAAGAAAGGTGCCTGCCCGTCCCGACCCGCTCGTACCTGAAGCTGGAGTGCGTGCGCAACAGGACCGAGGGCGGACAGGGAAAAGCTTGCCAAGGCCATCGCCACGGAAACAGCCTGACGCAGCCGAGCTTCCGGGTACGACGAACAAGACCGGCGCGAGGAAATACTACAGGGTGGCATCATCTTCATTTTATATTTTCAAGTGCTTTTTTACAGTGCTTGTAATCAGGTCTAGTTTGGTTTAGTAGAGGTGTGCGAAGAGGAGGGCGAACAGAAAATTGAATGTGATGTGTGGGTTCTTCAGTGAACAAAAATTGTACAAGGTGTAGGTATGCCAAATTATACTATAGGCTGTTCAAAATTTACGCGCTTAACAAGTGTTTGTAGCAGCCAGGTTGGAGCTTTCTCAGGTTGGTGCTAGTTTAAGCGGTTGGCTGTTGGTTTAAGGGTGTGGTCTAGAGGTTGTTAGGGTGCAGAGTTTTTTCGTTGGAACTGTGGCGCTTGCTGTTAGAATCTCCGAGATTCACATTCATGGAAGCTGTGCCGCCCCAGCCCCCGACTGTACTAACCGAGTCTTCATGTGTCAGCAATCAACCATCCAACGTACTGCGAGATGCAGTACTTCTCTGGAGAATTCAGGACATCAACCGAAGACGCGCGTTCTAGTAACCAATTCACCTCCGACAGGAGCGGAGCCTTTGTTCTGTGGAGACCGACGTGTAATTTGCCGACACTCTACGTGGTCTATGCCGATGTCTTCTCTTCTAAACTACCCGTGTTCTTCCGGAGAGATGTCGTTTTTATTTTCAATACCGATTTTCATTTTTGCAACTTATTTTCATTTGGGATTTTCATTTCGCTTTAACTTTATCATCACAAGTCGAGGATCTTGGCCATTTTCTCCTAACATCAAGTGAACCAGCGGCACGAGGGACGGCGTAAGTATATTTTAGTGATCATTTCCTCCATGATTTTTCCGAGGAAGCGTTTCTTTTATGCCTCCGCTCTTCATTTGATCTTGGTACGACAAACTGCTGAAAATATGTTGTCAACGGTACACCAGGAGCTGCAAGGACGCAAGAGGGCCGACGACCGGAAGAACACAAGGCACAAGAAATGGAACAGAATCATTGGAGAAAAGGCGTGGCACTGCCGTTGCTGCGGCACTTAAGTAGAGGTCGTTGCCGGAGCTTGATCCACTGTCTGACTCCGCACGTTTTTTATGCTCCCCATATATGTCAAAAAGACGAGGGAGGCGCCTGTGAAGGATTCCATAAAGTTTTCGTGCGTGGAATGCAACAACACGTCCGACCTCAGGCGACGCATAAATGATCTCTACTGCTCGGAGTTGGTGCTCGCTTGTATTTCTTCTCAAGCGGGCACAATACTACATATATTAGATAGTGTCGACTTCAGTGCCAGAAATTAATGATCTACAACCCAAGTGGCCGCCGAGGGTTGCAGCTAGGGCTTCTAGGAGTTCTAGTTTTCATACTGGTTCGGTTCTTACTTGCAATAAATCATACACTGCCGGGGGCACTTTTTTTTGAAATTGTGATTTGGTAATGTCGTAAAAATCCTACCGTGCTTTTTGATCTCATATATAAAAAGTATTCAATTATGCTGTCCTCGTGGGGACGTCGACATGGTCTTCCAGCATAAAGTATGCATTGCAAATATGTCTGGGTCTGGAAGGTTGCAACTTGTAATGCTAATTCTGGATCATGCAAAAATCTGTGTTGCATGAATGCCAAAAGTTGTCCACTTTTGACGAAGTTGAGAGGAAGTTTCTCATGCAGCATAGGCATGATAGGGATCTCACAGAATCTGTCATGCTAGGTCCTGCATTCCAGACGACGTGGATCAGGGAAAATCTGCATGACAAGTCTCGGAACCTTCCAGACCCAGATATATTTGCATTTTATATAACATACGGTCTGGGACGATGCGTGCCGAGATTTTTGTAGAGCAGTACCCGGTAAAAATGCCCTCAGAGCTGCCACCAAATCATCTTTCGCAGCTTTAGTACCTTTCATCACGCCGGTCGAGCGATGTCGGTACTTAGTCTAGTCCACGATCACAGCCACGCCCCCGGAAGTACATGATCCGGCCGCGCCGGATCCTGAGGTTGGCGGTCGGGCAACATTTGCTGCTGAGTTGGCGGGCGGGCTGCCGCTCCCTGACCCTGTGGGCCCTGCATTTGCTGCTGCATTGGCGGCGCCTCTTGGCGGCGCCTCTCGGCGGACCGGGCCCGGGGCCGCAGCCGCAGCTGCCTCGCGGCGGCACTCCCGTGTCTGAACTCGTCTTGCGGGTTGTCCAACTGCAGAAAAGCTGTACACCACTCGTCCCACGACCACAACCAAGCTAGAAGAACAAAGAATGTGTACTAAGTACACTTGCTTTGTTCTTCTAGCTTGGTCGTCGTCACGGTCACACATCCGTGCTGATCCGAGATCATCGTCCTTGAAATCTACTAGCGCGAAACATTCCATCATCGAGCTTGACATCTAGCCCCAATAAAACGAGCAGACGCGGCAGAATTACGTATGACGTTGAATTTTTTTGCCTACTTGCTGCGGGAAGGAAATGGAAACGCAGACGAGCAGAGGTAATAATTTCATACAAATCGTGGCGCCACAAAGTAACTTCGCTAGTTTTGTTGGTGCCGAGTAGCGGCCCAGCAGTCAACATCGTGTATAACATAGCTAGCCGTGATGTGACCACGAGCGGTGTGCAGCCTTGCTTTGGTTGGTAGAAGCGCTGCTGGCGACACCTGCGCGAACAGTCGCATACTATCGCGATTCCGCCAACGGTTGCACTAGCGGCCCCGCAGTAGACGCACCAGCCAGGGGGCCCAGCTCCGGCTGCGCCCATGAAGACAGCCGCAGCTCCGCTCGCGATAAGACCGATCCCCGTTTCGGTCACATGAAATCGGGCGGATGGCTCATTTTCTAATTCGGCAACTACATTATGAAATGCAAAAATGTCTGGGTCTGGAAGGTTGGAACTTGTGATGCTAACTTTAGACGCTTAAAAAATTTTTATGGCATGCCTAGCAAGAGGAGTCTAGTTTGTGCTACGCGGGGAGGGCATTTGTCATGCGGAGTAGGCATCAGGAAGCCCGCTAAAAATTTGTGACGCGACGCCGTGCATTACAGACATCCTGGGTCATGCAAAATATGCATGACAAACCCGGCAAAACTCCAGACCCAGACATTTTTGCATTTGATATACATCGGGATGGCGTTCTTCCCATCCGCGGTCCCGCCGAAGCTGCTCCGCTGTTGATCCTGTGGAAACACGTGGGCCCATAATTCATCTCCCCATAGATCATAGGACTGAAGATGAGAAACAAATAGAAAGAAATTCTCCGCACAGAAGACATGTAGTGAAAAGTAGCTTGTTCCACATCATCTAAGCGACGACGTAATGTCACGTGGCGTCAACATCGTTGCACTTGGAAGTAGATCATGATCTTGAGGATCTTCTACTTGTAGTCCCCAAATACACACTGTATAAATAGTTTTCATTTGCACGAGCACGACAGGTTAGAGCGTGGCAGGATCTTTTTACCAATGATCACAAACGCCTCGTCATATGGGGCTGTGCGACGGTGGACAACAACTACAAGGGCGCCATGTTAGGCATCAAGATGCGTCCAATCGTGCGTACTATGTGTTGAACGACCAAGCCGGGTGGAATACTGGGGGCCCCGTTTTTCACACAGGATACTCGGGCGTGTTCCCGCTGCAGCACTGACGGATCGCGGCAGACGGGGCAGACCGACTACTGCCTGACCCACTGCTGTGCACAATATGCATTGCAACAGTATCGCACTAGGTAGTATAAATCGCAACACAAATTTTTCCAGAAGGAAAAATGGAATTTGTAATGCTGATTTTGCTAAGAAACAAGATTTGTTATGCATGATTGCAATTAGTACGAGGAGTACGATACTTTTGCACAGGATACACAATCCACGCATACAAAATGTGGCTTCGGGTCTCCGGCGCTTGTCACTGCTCTACACATTTGCTTCATGCGGTGTGCCGGAATTCCGTCATCAAAGCAGATGAGACATCGTTCACCGCCCTGGAGGGCCTCTTCACTGGCGCGCACAGCCGCGACCGCCGGGGGGATTCCGTCTGTGCTTGGACCTGAATCATATCCACTGCAAGCATGTCTGGGTCAGGAAGATCGCAAATTTCGTCACGCTTGCCTAGATACATTTCTTAGCTTCCTTTGTCATTGATAAAATAATAGGATACCCCTTATGCCTGTCGTGCAAAAACGCAAATTGTAATTCGAAATACTTATTTTCCAGCAGGTGCAGGACACAGACGGGAAAAAATGTTTCATGCTTATAACCCCCTGTGCGTACTTTACCGCTCTTCACGACCAACGCCAACTAAAAACAGTTTATAGTAGTGAGTTTCCAGACGAGCAGGACTCTGACACAGACATTTTGGCAGAGAATACTACACCCCGTCCACCATCTTCACCACCGCCGGGAGCACCAGAAGGAGCCGCGTGCACTTGCAAGAAAGGTTCCTGCCCGTCCCGACTCGGTCGTGCCTGAAGCTGGAGTGCGTGCGCAACAGGACCAAGGACGGACAGAGAAAAGCATGCGAAGGCCATCGCCACGAAAACAGCGTGACGCAGGCGAGCTGCCGGGTACGAACAAGAAAAGCGCGAGGAAATTGTACAGGGGAGCAGCATCTTCATTTTTTTCAAGTAGTTATAATTTCTCGGAATCAGGTCTACTTAGTTTGGTCTAGTAGAGGTGTGCGAAGAGCAGGGAGGGCAGAAAATTGAATGTAATGTGCGAGTTCTTCAGTGAACAAATTGTACAACAAGGCGTAGTATCTTCAAATACTTAGTTGTGGTCAACACTCAGAACGATAATGAAGGTCGTCAGCTACTAGTAGATTCAAATAAAACCTAGGCGCAGGAGTTCCGTCTCGATAGAAGAAACGACAGTTATGTAGTGCCTATGACAACTGCAACAACTGACGGCTAGTATGATTATGGGGGAAAGTAGAGCCGCTCCAGGCAATATGATTGGAGGTGCTTCCACCGTTTTGTCTAGTAGTCGGGCTGCTGTGTGGCCGTGGAGATGTTGAAAAGAAGTAGAACTTCTCCCGGTCGTGTTGAAATATAATCCGTAATTACCGAACAAGATGATGGCCGCACGTCGTTGAAAATGAATTTGTAGTATGTCGGCGTCTCCTACTTATACATAGATGCCACTGGTGGTGACAGTACACGTACCGACGGGTGAAGGGGTATTTTACATCCTTGCAACACGAGATCGTGGGGCTTACACGGCTCATCCGGGCAGAAGTCGCGTTTTATTCAATACCGATTGCGATTTTTCATTTTAGGGCTTTTTACTATTTGGATTCATCATCTTCACAGGTCGAGGATCTTCATCATTTTCTCCACAACGCGATTTGTGGACCTGCAGCACGAGCTTTACTATTCTAGTAATCATTTCCGCCATTTTTTTTTTCGACCGAAAATTCTTCATCCACGATTGTATTTACGTAATTTTCGTCTCGACCTTATACAAACTGCTATCAGACTGCTCGGCATAGAACACACAGATCAATATGATCTTCGTATGACCCTAAGTACCACAAGCACGACTATGGTACAGTAAGTAGTAGTTGTACCGGCTGAGATTTTATTTTGTATTGCAGCGCACTCAATAAAAAATCTCTGTCAGGTTCGCAAAAATTCTTTTCCACGAGCGTTCCTTTCGCATGTCGAGATGTGATGATAATTTTGCATGATGTCGAATTTACCATAGTATAGTATCATCTTGTCCCGAACTCATTGGTCCAGGATTCATGAGGGTCAAGATGAGGTTCCCTGGACCATTGGAGTCGGGTCTCTGCCCTCTGGTTTGGAATCTGGATTGGAGTCGGGTCTCTGCCATCTTGGACCATTGGAATCTTGACCCTCTCTTGCCCTCTCCATGATAGTATAGTATCTCATGTCCGGGTCCGGGAGAGGTTCGGAGAGGGTCCCGGAGAGGGTCCGGGAGAGGGTCCGGGAGAGGGTCGGAGAGGTCCCGAGAGGGTCCGTCGAGAGGTAAAATAGAGGATCCCGGAGAGGGTCGGGGTAGAGGGTCGCCTAGAGGGTCGCCCTATACTACGCACCCTCTCCGACCCTCTACACCCTCTTCCCCTACCCTCTACTTGACCTCTCCCCAACCTCTGCGCGCGTATAGCCGCGCTGTAAGGGCGTACATACTACGCACCCTCTCCCCAACCTCTCCGCTACCTCTCGCTTTACCTCTCCCCGACCCTCTCACTTTGCCCGACCCTCTATTTTACCTCTATAAAACCTCTCCCCAACCTCTACCGTACCCTCTCCAGCCCCGTTTTCTTCCATATATAAATACCAGCCATGCCCCGGCTGACGCCGGGGCGCAAGGCTGTTGGGGCGGGGCAGGACTATTTGCGGATCGAGCCACAACGACAGGGCTTTACGGACAGCGTGACAGATCGAAGGAAGTATCGGCGCCGGTTTGCGCCATGTCAACCCGCAGGGCCTCCTGCGCGCTTCCCGCGCCTTCAGGCGCTATGCGCAGGGAGCAGCTGCAGCGAAGCTTGGGGGCGAAGAGAAGCCGCCTCGGCATCGGTGCCGAAGCAGAACTCGGACCGCGCTGCCCTTTGTTGATCACACACACGCCCGCCCCCGGCCAATTGGCTTCCCGACGGAAACTGTTGGCGCGAGCGGTGCGCGCGAGAGGGTCGCGCGAGAGGGTCCGCGAGAGGGTGCGCGAGAGAGTGCGCGGGAGGGTAGCGCGAGAGGTGTGGGCCTGCGCCATGAAACAGTCCCACCAAAAGCGGCCCCGTGCCGTGCGGATTCGGTTCTTTTTTACCCTCTCGCAAGCCCTCTTTTTGGCCTCTCCCGAGAGGTGTTGCTAATAATCCGGCTATACTCGCCAGTAGAGGTCTACAGAGGTGGCCGAGAGGTGGCCCAGAGGGTGCGCGAGGGGTTCGCCCTTATTCGCGCAACCTCTCGGCACCTCTGTCCCCCTCTCGCTTACCCTCTCCCGACCCTCTCGGCCACCTCCGGGCCCCATAGGCGCGGCTTTAGGGCGACCGGTTCGGCTGGCTATACTCGCGCCACCTCTCGGCCACCCTCCCGAATGACCTCCCGCGCCACCTCTCCACCTCTGTGGACCTCTTTTTGACCTCTTTTCACCTCTTTTTGACCTCTCGGCCACCTCTCTTCTATCCTCTGTAGACCTCTTTTTTCGCATGAATATAATAGATAGTAATATTAATCATCTTGTCCCGAACTCATTGGTCCAGGATTCATACTTTTCCACGTCCGCCTGCCCCACACTCGGCTGCACCGCCAACAGGGCGTCCAAAAAATCCTTTTGCAACGTCGGGTGCGGCTTTTCCATCGTACCCGTCTGTCTGCGGTGCTGGATTTCCGCGGCGGTAAGGCCCATCAAGCCGCTATCCTGAGCAAAAACGTCCCCACCCCAGAGTTGTAATGCGAATCTGTATGCTGAAAATGTTTCTCATGCGGAGACCCATGAGAAGCAGCTTCTATTAGTGTTTTGAGATATAGTGTGATGCTCCAATCCGCATGGTACGCTAGACCTGTGGTGCTGCTGCACTAGCTAAACACCACTAGACTGAAAGCCCAAATTTGTCATGCGCAACAGCCGAAGCCTGATGATTTGTCTAGCAGATTTCCCAACATCTGGACTCCGGTGTGGGGACGTTTTTCCTCAGGATAGCCGCGTCGCAAGGGTGCCATGCTGGCCTCGCGGCACACGGATTTTAAGTCTGCACCGGAGTATATCGTCAGAAAAAACTGTTTCACTGTAAGGATTTTATTGCAGGTTTTGCATCACAAGTTCATCGTTCTACATGACAGAGAAAATTTGCCATGCAAGGTTCCTAAGGGAAAACGCAGGTCAAAATTATCCACTGTCTTGCATTTGTAGCAAGACAAACACTTGCGAGATGCTTTTTCTGCATAATACAAGTTTACAGTGAAACAGTTTTTTCCTTCGATAGAGTAGCCGTGGGAGATTTTCGCGAGTTGGAGGGAGTCGAAGTCGTCGGCAACCTCTATGGCGTTCTCAACTGTTACATTCTCAACTGTTGCATGGATTTGTGATGCAAGAATGGCAAAAGTCAAAGCACGGAGGTTCCACCTGTACTAGCATTACAAATTCCGCACAGATGATTTAGGTGCTGTTTAGCCTTTCGAAAATTTGTCATGCGAAGTAGCTGCATCTTGTGAGTGTTGATGTTTGTTCTGCATTACAAAGAAATCATGTAACAGTTGAGAATGTAACAGTTGAGAACGCCATAACCTCGATGTCTTTCACGTTCGCTTCGAACATAGCTTGCCGTGCCTTCCTATGCACTGCAAATAGGTCCGGAAAAATGCAGGGCTCAGCATCACAGGTAGTTCTGCAGCCCCTTGGCGATGTCTCTTTTGCAGGATAAATTACCCCCTCGTCTCAGCATGTTGACCAGAAATGGGCATCTTTTGCAAGTCATGCAACTACACAGATTTTTGTGTGACCTGGAAAACGCATCACAGGTTCGCTCTTTTCCAGACCCAGACGTATTTGGTGCAGTGCATATTTCTATGAACTGCAAAAGTATCGCACTCGTATAAATGCATGACGTGGCCTAGGTACGCACATACGACTCGGTACGCCAAATCGTATCTGGGGCGTTACAATTTTCGCGCTTTTTTCATTGAGAAAACCCGCCAAAAAGCAGCACCGAGCCCGGTGCGGTTTGTAACGTATGGCAGCACCGAGCCCGCCCAAATATGTCTTTTTGCCCACCTACAAAATTGGTATTGTAGCGGCGCGCCTTCACAATACATTTTGGCGCACCGAGGCGGCGCGCAAAAACGTCCCATCGCACGCCTTTCCCAGGTGGCGCCGGCGCCTTCGCCTCCTGCGTTTTTTACCTTGCCCTCGGACGCGCGCCAGGGTACGGGTTTTGTTTTTCTGCCCACCAAGGCCCGCGCGCGTGGCCTCGCGAATTAGCCGATGGGCCCCCGGTCCCCCCCCCCGCGTGCGTTTTTTCGCTTCGCACACGCCCGCGCCTGCGTCGCCCCCTGCCTTCCGCGGGAGCTTCTGCTCGCGGCGTCGCGCGACGAGCACTACCTCGGATGCACGGCAACAGCATCGAATTGGTTTCACGTGTCTCACCGTCTCACCCCAAAAAAAAAACCAATCTTGGCACTGTTGCTGTGTTCCGCCCGTCTGCTGCTTTATTCCCGCCTACAATTTGGCGTACCGAGGCCGTCCGCCTCGGTGCACCGAGGCGGCGACTCCGAAAAACTGGCATTTTTGGCCTCGGTGCGCCATTTTGTATGCGCGTCCTGAAGAAACTTCTTCTAGCCTCGGTGCGCCAACTTGTAGTGGCGTCCCGAGGCCACGACACTACCGAGGCGACGTCATGCATTACAAATTTACTCAGCATGAGAAATTCAATTTGTAATGAGCACTTGACTTAACAAAAAGATTTGTAATGCATGATTGCAATACGAGTGCGATACTTTTGCACAGGATAATTTCTCGTCCGGCAGCGCGATGTAAATCCGCTTCTCCTACTATCCCCGGAAAAAACTGTCTCAGCCGCAGCTTGTAATGCGCAACTCCCTTGAGACAGTTTTTTGTCATGCTCGACATGCAAGAAAGTCGTCTTTGATAGGCGTTTTCCTTTGTGTCTGACGCATCAAAGGCTGTCCGTGTCATGCTGAGCAAATTTGTGTTGCTGAGACTGCAAGCGTCTGAGACTGAGACTGATTTTTCGTCAGGTACTAACCTGATAAAGCATAGATTTATGTGTCACATAGATTTATTGACACCCTGGATTATTTTTCCGGTCGCGTTCGCAGGAACGCATTACAAGTTCTGAATCTCATCCGATGATGAAGAACAAAAAGCTGCATATATGTCTTTAAAGTACTTACTGACTGTACTAAGAGTTGTACGTAAGTAAGCACCTCCTTTTCAGCGCGTCATCCAGATCCCAGGGCGCGTTACTTGTGTATGGGGCTCTCAAGCGGTACATTCTCAACTGTTACCTGACTTGTCATGCAAAAACGCTGCCACTTTGACTTTTTACACGATTGCGCCTTCTTCTCGTGACAACTTCTCGACGCGCTAAATAGCAACAGAATCCGCTCTAAGAAGTCTGTAATGCGCAATCTTCCTCCTTTCACTTTTGCCATTCTTGCATTACAAATTCATGTAACAGTTGAGGATGTAACGTTTGAGAATCCCATATGGTGCAGAGCACGAGCGGAGTTCGGTTTTCGTCCCTGCCGTCGGCCAATAGCCCGTCCATGTGGATCAGGAACTCCGACTTAAACCGCCTCGACGCCTCGTGTTCCGCGTGCGAGCCGCGTGCGGACAGTAGCGAATCCACCTCATCGAAAAACAAAATGGACGGATGCCGCGCCCGCGCCATGTTGAACATATGCATTGCAAAAGTATCGTATTCGTATAAATGCATTACAAATTTCCTCAGCGTGAGAAGTAAAATTTGTAATGCGAATTTACCTTAAAAAAAAGATTTGTAATGCATGATTGCCATACGAGTACGATACTTTTGCACAGGATACAACAAAGCTCGCAACAACTTCTCCGACTCGCCGCGCCACTTGCTCGTCAGCGTTATGAACTGCAAAACTATAGTACTCGTATAAATGCATATACAAATTTCCTGAGCATGAGAAATAAAATTTGTAATGCGGATTTATCTTTCAGAAAAAGATTTGTAATGCAAGATTGCAATACGAGTATCAGATACTTTTGCACAGGATACACGTCGCGCAGCTGCAATTGAAGAACGCGACGGACTCCGTCTATCAAATGCAAACATGTCTGGGTCTGGAAACTTGTGATGCAAACCACGGAATAGTACTGGGCGCACTGTCAACATACGTGGCCAAGCATGACAAGTTCTTGAGCTGCTATGTGTAAGTAGCGTATTCCGCATGGCACACTGCGCTTTTGCATCACAGACAAAACGATCATTTTGCACTTACGCATGACAGAGCCCCGAGTCATGTCAGACAAGGATGACAAATCTGGCAATCTTCCAGACCCACACATATTTGCAATACATAGCGAGGTATGCTTTGCAGAAGTATCGTAGTACTCGTATAAATGCATTACAAATTTCCTCAGCAACAGAAATAAAATTTGTGATGCAGATTTACCTTAAGAAGGAGATTTGTAATGCATGACTGCAATACGAGTACGATACTTTTGCACAGGATACGTCGCGGTCGAGGCAATCGCCTTCGCCAGCATCGTATCAAGTGCAAATATGTCTGGGTCTAAAAGATTGGAGGAGTTTGTCATGCACAGTTGTACATGACCCGCGTTGCCTGTAATGCATGCTCTAGCATCACACGTTTCGCGAAGGCTTGCTCATGCCTATCCTGCATGAGAAATGCCCGCTTCGAGTGGCAAAATTTCAAGCGCCTTTTGCTGCTCATGCAACGCAGGGTTTTGCAGCATAGAAGAGTAGCATCACAAATCCCATTCTTTCCAGACCCAGACATATTTGCATTTGATACATCGTTTTTCCTGTCCCCGGCGGTCCGTACAGCAAAACCCCACGGCAGGGTTTGCGGATGCCCGTGAAAAACTCGGGCACAATATCCTGTGTAAAACTGTCCCCACCCCATCGTCAAATTGGGAACTTAGCAGCACAAATCTAGAAGTTTTGGGCGCCACGCATGACAAGTTGCAGTCCGTAGTGTAGTGCAGCTTCGTAAGGACAAATACATCAAAAATCCATCTGCTTATCCTGTTTCCAGCATTACAAATTCCAAAACACGACTAGAAATGCCTCTCATGGGGACCCGCATTCATCATCATCATGTAGTGGACACCCGCTCCCAGCGCCACAGGTCAAGGATCCCCTCCCCGGGGGGGTGGGCGAGGAGGCACTTTCGGCGACCTCATCATACAAAAGCCGAGCGCTACCACGGCAAGTCGCCCCAATAAAAGTACCAACCAGTCGGGAGCTACCCACCACACCTGATCAGTACAGCCCGGCCAGCTAGCCGAGCGCGACAGCCCAACATACAGAACGATCCAGGACCCGACCCATTTTACGCCATAAGTTTTTGTTCTCACGGAAGAGACGACGTACCCCTTTGGTTAAGGGGCGAGACTCTCCCTTAAGCCGCAACCCCGCCCAGACAGGGGAGGCTGGACCATTTGTGCCTTACCTGCGGCACCGGCGAAAAAGGCAAGTGCCGCGGACCGTAGTTGTCAAACCATTGGCCAGTTGTTTGTCACTGCTGACTGGCAACCCACCTGGGGCACAGCGACAACTTAAAGGTTTAGTTTGTGCGTGGCGGTCTTAGTGCAACTCCTTGACTTATTCTGCAACAGAAGCAAAGGGTGGGGGGGGGGACTGGGATCATAAGCCGGAGTCGTGTCGGAACTTACCGGTTAAGGGTGGCCGGCAATCCCCTTTGCATATTGAGCCCCCTGATTCCAGCCTAACTTCATCCTGTGCCACCAGTTTCCTTCTGTTGCAGAACAATCAAGGGTCGTGGAACACTAAGCAAGCCTACTGGGCCCGGCGCCTGCCTGCTCGGGACTCCTCGCCACCTCCTCACTATGCGGGAGGCTGGCGGGAACTACGGCCCTGCACTAGTAGTACACTTGAGCCAAAATGGCTACGAAAAAAAAAAAATGTTTCTGTAGATGCAGATCTGCATGACAACACTGGGGTGGGGACGTTTTTACACAGGATACACAAGGAGAGGGAGAACGACCGCTTCGTTGATCGCGGTTTTGGCCTATGAAATGTAAAAGTGTCTGGGTCTGGATATAGCCTGCTCAGCTGTTACAATCTCAACTGTTACAATAGAATTTCACATTTTTCATGAAAAAAATAGCTATTTAAAAACTAAATAGAAAGTTAATTAATTCTTAATGAAAAATTTGTAAATTTCGAAATTTTTCGTCTCCGCCGAAACTGTCGATTTGGCCGTCTGCGACGACTGGAGCCGCCGCGATTATGATACCAAAACTTGCTTCCAACCTCACCAAAAGTCAACATGAGAAGATGAAAATGCATGACCAAGACCATCTGCGATATGTCGCAGATGGTCTACGAAAGAATATGAGGACTGGTTGACTTTTGATGGTGTGGGAGGCAAGTTTCATTTGCCAATAGTATTGAAGAACCGGTTGCTGACCAGGCTGTTTCCTCGTGGCTGCGTCTAGACGCAGCCACGAGGAAACAGCCTGGTCAGCAACCGGTTTGTCAATAGTATTGGCAAATGAAACTTGCTGCCCACCTCACCGAAAGTCAATCACTTCTCGCATTCTTTGCTAGACCATCTGCGACGAATCGCAGGTGGTTTTGGTCATGCATTTTCATCTTGTCTTGTTAACTTTTGGTGAGGTTGGAAGCAAGTTTTCCCAGCATAATCGCGGAGGTTGCAGACGTCGCAGACGGCCAAGTCGACAGCTTCGGCGGAGACGAAAAAATTTGGAAATTTGCAAATTTTTCATTAACAATTAACTACTTTTCTATTTAGTTTTTAAATAGCTATTTTTTTGATCAAAAATGTGAAATTCTATTGTAACAGTTGAGATTGTAACAGCTGAGCAGGCTATACTGGAAGAGTCATGCTGTTCCTGCATGACACAGAAGGTCTGGCATGGAAGCTCTAGCATTACAGGTTTCGAGGAGCTTCCGCAATGGTGAATCCGCATGACAAATCCCTCACTTTGGCGACAGAAAGTGAGCAGCTTTTGCTGCCTATGCATCAGAGATTTTTGTGTGTTCTGAAATGCGCATCACAAGTTACATCCTTCCAGACCCAGACATTTTTGCAATCCATATAGCCATCTCCAATCCGCCAATGTCGTCGAAGTTGAGTAAGTTCTGCGAGGTGTTTGGATTCAACAGTAAATCTCGCTCGATCGTCTGGTGCAGGTCCAGTTCCTCCTGGAGGATATTCAAGGGCCCCTGATGTGCAGCCCCGCCGTTCGTACCAGCAGGTCCCATGCCGAGCGGCTTGTTATCTGGGGAGCTGGGAAAAACGCCGTACTGGGCAGCTACGGAAGTAGATGGGGCGGCGGCCATCATGTTGGTTCCACGAGCTGCAGTCCCTTGCATCGGCGCGGGGACAACTTGGAGCGACGGTGTGGTGTTGTGGGAGGAGGCCCCGGCGTAATTTGCGTTTTTCGGCGTGGTAGACAACTGTACTACCGTGTTGTTATTCATCTCTGGCGCAGCACAAGTAGAGCTGATAAAACTCGCCGCAGTCGGCTGAAATTTCTCCACCTTGAAGCGTTTTAGGAATACCCTACTGCGGCCATAGGTCGCGACGCCCAAGGCTCCGGTGGTATTCGCGATCAGGTTGCGACCCATGGTCAGGTTCTGGACCAGCGTGACACCGTTCAACACTAGCGCGCAAATGCGGTCGCCGGCGATGTCCACACGCAGGGTGAGGTACGTATTCGTCCTGAGCATGAGCACGTTCGGGAGCACGAACAGAGTCTGCGTGTGCGTCTTCCTCCGGTTCTCTACTCGAATCTCCCGGGACTGGAAGCCAAGTTTTACTGCGCAGAAGTCGCAGCCACTACTTAAGTCCGACGCATCCAGCGCGTCGAGGAGGACAAAAATCTCGTCGCCCGAGGCCGCGTTCCCACCGCCGCTTCCGGGCAGAGAACTGGTGGAACTGGCAGAGCTAGTGCTCGTTGTCACCCCTGCACTTGTTGTAGTACAACTCGGGTTCGACTTCAGCTCCACCAAAACCGAGTAGCAGGGGCCAACGCTTCGCCCCTGCTGGTCCACGACCTGCGATGAGGGTCCGTATCCTGAGCAGAAACGTTCCCACCCCAGAGTTGTCATGCAACTGGGCAATGACAGGACAATTTGTAAGTAATGCGCAGCTCCATGAGAGGAATTCGAATTTCCAATCGTGTTTTTGGAATTTGTAATGCTGTAAACAGGATGTTAAAATGGCTTTCTGATGCGGCTTATCTTGCCAATCAGCACTACACTGCAGAGGGAAAGAACTTGTCATGCACAGCTCCCAAAACTCGGTGATTTGTGTTGCTAGATTCCCATCTTGACTCTGGTGTGGAGACGTTTTTACTCAGGATAGTCCGCGGACGGACATCAGTTCCTCTTCCTCGGGGGAGCCCGTGTACTTGCAGGCGGCAAACCCGCTGCTGGTCGTGCCCTCCAGAACAAAAACGTTCTTTTCGTGCCGAGACAAGTACATCTTTCCGCGGTCGGTCCACTGCACCCAGCCCTGCTGCTTCGTTGTCCTGGAGGACACAGAAGTCGTCGGGGGCTCTTGCTTCGCCATCTTGAAGATGTTAGTTGCTTTTTGCGCCTAAAAATATCAGCTGGATAGTGGTAACTTTAAATCCACCTTCTATCACGTATTTTTCTTCGCACCTCTCGGTAGACTCTTTACAATCAAGGCGTAATGGCAATGGCGCAAGAACGTTTTGGTCACACTCCGTGGCCGTTCTTCTTCTTGCACACTCCCTCGCCTCTGCTTCGCTCGGATGTTTTATTTATCCGTATTAGCCCTCTGTATCATTCGTGAACCGAAGAAGTATTATCTGACGATAGTTGCGCCACCCATGAAGGTATTTCGTCATGGCTTTATAGTGAAGCCACGGAAAAATCTAAATCTGTCATGCTTGGTGCATTAATTATTCACTGACGTGTATGATCACAAGCCCCTGCTTGCATCTACAGCATAAGAACTAGGTCGATTTATTCAAGATTCGACGTCAGATTTCCGAAGAACGCAAGTCTCTGCTGCTGCACACTTACTCGACTAAGAGAAGCTGATTTTTTTTTTGAAATTTCATTGCTAGTTGTTTTAAGTACCAATCGAATCTACAGCTTTATTTTCGACAGACAGGGAGGAGAAAACTCAAATTCGTATTCATAAGTTGTAGTAGATACTACTTACTTCATTTCCCCATTTACTTGTTGCTCCCACGATATTCAGTTGATGAAGTTTAAGTTTTTGACAGTCAAAAAGTGTAAAGCAATTCCATCATCTACAACAGGATATTGCATCGCTTGAAAAAAAAAGCGGTTCTTTCAGTATTCTTTGCTGCGTTTTGTCACATAAGTCCAGGCTCGAAAAGTAGATATTTCTGGTATAATATTGAAACTCTGTATTGACAAGTTGGATTGCATTTCTCGGGAAAAAATTTTCGGTACTATGTTGTCTTTCGGTATTGCGGACGTAGAAATCCGAAATTTATCGAGTTGTACGGAAATAGCAAGCAGAATGAAAATAAAGCTTGCTGCAGCTAAAAGTTTTGGGTATGGAACCACCGCCACCAATTATAAACCAATGTTGGTGGGAAATCAAGAAAAAGTTATTCGTCAAACACGACGGGTAGCTGTACTAGGACCTCTGACAGCATCATCAACCGGTCGGCCTCTGTATGAACTGCAAAAGTTTCGTGCTCGTATAAATGCATTACAAATTTCCTCAGCATGAGAAATAAAATTTGTAATGCAGATTTGCCTTGGGAACAGGATTTGCAATGCAAGACTTGCATTTATACGAGTGCGATACTTTTGCACAGGATACTCTGCCGAAGGTACAGCTGGGGTCAGAGCTCTATCGCAAGTTTTACTTATCGTGGTCTGAGGAAATTTGTATCTACTTTACTAGTCTCTGGGCCGAATTTTTAACTTATATCTTACATTGGGTTTTTTCTAGTCTTCATCTTCGTGGTGCGTTTCGTTTTATAGAATTTTTCTCCGTCGTGGAAAGTAGTAAAATCGTATTTGCAATCCGAAGGTAAAAATGCGGATAGTACAACAGGCTGCGCGATCCGGTTGTACTAATGTGATTATCTTCTGTAGGCTCGGATTTTATTGCTTCGTCTTTGAGCTCGTCTTGGTTGGGTCTTGATCGGGCGGATATGCATAAAAAATGCTTTCTTATCTTCGGCTGATCTGCTCGTAAAAAACAAAAAAAAAAGTTCTGAAAAATTTATACAGAGGATTCACAGAAGCGAAACCGAAATAGGTACAATTTCTAGCACGATAAGATGACAACATTTACACTGCACACGACGATGAGGCTGTAGATTTCTTCATCTCCAGTAAAAGCTTATTCTATCAGCCTAGTGTTGTTGTATTTGGACATTCATATTTCATAACTTCATCGAATGCGTTTCTTGATTCTTCCTGTGTCCAAAAGTCAAAAGTTTGGCAAGGTTGGTTTTTTAACTCGTGGTCCATCGTATAGCGAAAACAGTAGAAAACCGAACGAAATCAGGCCGAATTCATCCCGAGAGATGTTGAATTCTGCCTGATGTAGTAAGTAGTCTTCCCTTCGCACGAATATTACGATGTTCCGAGCAGAAGGCGCGACGCATGATGAAGAATCGAAGGGGCATTTAAGTTTTTTAGAGTTCACGTTTCGGCAGTGTGGGAAGTTTTCCTCTTGAATTTTTTGATGAATAAGTGAGCTATACTTCAGCGAATTAAAGAGTAGAAGAAAAATTATGGAGCAGTAGAGATCTTCGATACTGGCTATATTAATTCGATGCGGGTGGTTAAAATATATCAAGTTGGTAGACGGCAGGTTTTCAATTTTTTCTATATCCTCAGAAACGTCGATAATGAGTTATCGTGCCCACACTTAGCAGGCCTGCATGATGTGATTTTTTCTTTTTCGAATCGATCGGTGGTCGAATCGAAATTTAATGTAGTTCTGTCATGCATTAATACTAGAAACAACACATAACTACAGAACAAAGTCAGTCGTCACCCGCAATGCGGTTTATCGGATATCCTGTGCAAAAGTATCGCACTCGTAGTAAAAATCGCATTCATGCATTACAAATCTAAGCCTATTCCAAGCTAAACCATCATTTGTCATGCTGAGAAAATTTGCAATGCGATTACTACTACTTACTAGAACTAGTACGATACAACTTTTGCATTTCATATCGGAAGAGCTTTGGCGGTTCCACCACTCCCTGCAGAATTCTGGATTCTCCAATTCGAAGTGGTGCATCATGCAGGGGAAAGATTTCCAAGCATGGGGATTTGCATACATCGCGCGGTAGTACACCAACTTCATACGTACTAGTTGTTCTCGTAAAAACTAAAATACACCTCCCATGCAAAAATGTAAACGCAGGTTTGTATTATATGCAAATCCAAGACACGACGAAAAGTCTGTCATGCCTGGATATCACGAAGGAACTATGCAAAACCTATTTATAGCTTTTCCTTACATACCCAGAGCCGGGTGGTCAAGCTCCAACATCGCGTCCCCGAGGCTGGTCATCATGGTGGTTGTTCCAAAGCGACTGTTTTCTTCCTGAAGCTGACGCAGGTGTTGATCCGCACATGTTTCACCTCCGTCGAGGGCCCAGCAATTGCGATCTTCAATCACAAACTCCTCCCGTGCGTCAGAACCTGAGCCTTGATCGTCTGCAGCTAGTACACATGTCGTCGGGCTTGTTGTGTGGCCCTCCTCGTCGTGCAAAAATTCATCTTCCCTAGTGATGTGGTCCGCCGCTCCTGTTGGAGAAGAGGCTAGGACTCGCTTGAAGAGTTTGTTGTGTTTATTTCCTGGGGAAAGCATCGACTTAGGACTAGGAGTAGCACTTTGTCCTGGAGATGATGCAGTTGAAACTACCTCTACACCCGTCGAAGAACTTTTTGTTGCCCATGCTTGTCGTGTAGTCTTCGGACCACTCCGGGGTATAACCTGCTCAGGTGTTACAATTTCAAACGTTACAGTGGAATCTGGAACTTGTGTTGCAAAATGCGCAACATCTGGCCTACTCCCACAGGATTGCGCATGACAAGTTTCATCGGAGCCCCAAAGCGCACTAGAATCTGGCGACATTTGTATTGCAGAAAGTAGAATGCTCTGCGATTCTGTCATGCTCATCATGCAAGACAAATCCCAGATTCTATTGCAACGTTTGAGATTGTAACACCTGAGCGGGTCATACGGGGCGATGAGAAGTTCTTGTCTCGGTTTTTCATCACCGCTTTGATTTTCCGGATTTTCACATCGTTCCGGTTGAGCCGATCTTTCGCCGTGCCGGCAGCTGCACTCGACGCGGAGGAGGTTGTTGCGTCGTGATCTTCTTCTACGTGCTGACTCTTTCTTCCGGCGCATAACGTCGTGGGAGTCGTCGCGTCTCCTGTAGAAGCCGTCCTTCCCCGGCGGTAGGTCTGCCTCGGCGACACAAAAATTTCCGCGTGCGCCTCGCTCGGGTCGCTCTCCTCCTCTTCCGGCTCGACGGGGGAGGGCGAAACGGTCTGGATTTGCGGCACTTGAAAAACCGATTCATCTTCTTGCCCCTTCACAGAAGAAGTTGAAGTTTTTTTCATCATCATCTTTCCGGCTCCTGCTGCGCTGTTGACCGCTGATGAGCCGCTAGTGGTACTTCTCACGACCTGGTGCTTCATTGGTACAACTAGCAACCCCTTCCGTACGTTCTCCGCTCTATCAAATGCAAAAGTGTCTGGGTCTGGAAGAGTCATGCTGTTTTTGCATGACACAAAAGGTCTGGCATGGAAGCTCTAACATCACAGGTTTCGAGAAGCTTCCGCAATGCCGAATCCGCATGACAAAACCCCCATTTTGGTGACAGAAAGTGGGCAACTTTTGCTGCCTATGCATGAGAGATTTTTCTGTGTTCTGAAATGCGCATCACAAGTTTGTATTCTTCTAGACCCAGACATTTTTGCAGTTGATACGCTCGTTGCAAGTGCAACGCGTTCAGTTCGCGGAGAACCAGAACCAATTCGCGCAATAGCAAGGCCTGTTATCCTGAGCAAAAAGAAAAACGTCCCCGCCACAGAGTTGTCATGCAAGTCTGCACGCTTGAAATATTTCGCATGCGGAGCCCCATGCGAAGCATTTTCTAGTCGTGTTGTGGAATTCGTGATGCTCGAATCAGCATAAGATGCTAGATCTGTGATGCTCCTGGAGTAACTAAACAGGATGAAAAAACTACGAGGGCAAACTTGTCACGCGCAACGGCAACAACTAATGCTGGCGCATTTGTCTAGCAGATTTCCCACCTTGTCTCTGGGGTAGGGACGTTTTTACACAGAATACCTGTTCCTTCTCCACCTTCTCATCGGGAGGTTGTACGCTTGTACTAGGGCTGTTGTATTGGTGCTGGAGGTAGTCTGCGATCGAAGTGAGAAATGCGACGTTGTCCCTATGGAAGTGTCAGAATCGAAATCGACAAAATCGAAAAATTTGTGATGCACAAAATCGATGCCAGTTGGAGCCTCAGTTTCCAATTGGCGCATGACAAATTTTGGGACCACCAAAATCCAGTCTGTCGTGCTGTGTGGGCAAAGCAGACTGCTCCTGTAATGCTACTCTGGCAACACATTGTATACCCGTACCCCTAAACAGGCTTGCAATCGGTCTCATTTGCCTGTTCCCCAATACAGGCCTCGCGTGCCCTACACTTTATGCATGACAAATTTTTCGACTTTGTCGATTTCGATCCTGACACTCCCATAGTCCCTCGGCTGAAAGTAGTAGAATTTGTCGTCCAAGCGTCTCCACTATCAACTGTAAAAGTGTCTGGGAGGTCTGGAAGAATCATGCAACTTGTCATGCTAAATCTGAAACGTGCAAAAATCTGTGTTGCATGATTACCAAAAGTCGTCCAGTTTCGACCAAGTCGGGAGGGATTTTCTCATGCAGGATAGGTATGAGAGAGATCGCACAGAATCTGTCATGCTAGGTCCTGCATTCCAGGTCTCATGGGTCATGGAAAAGCTGCATGACAAATCGCGCATTCTTCCAGACGCAGACATTTTTGCAGTTGATATCCACGTCTCCCCTGCCTGCATCCGTTCCAAAACCTCACTTGGCAGGTGCATGCCGAAGAATTTTTTGTTTTCCGGAGAGTTCCGGGATTTTACACCGGGTATCAACAGTGTTGACGGGGTTCGGGGAGTTGGTGCTGGAGTTCCAGCTTGATGCGTAGAAGTGCCCGGTGTTGTACCAGAAGCTGCGCCTGCCCCTGGTCCTGAAGGGAGCACACCAGTTGTGCTGGACGAGGAGGAAGAAGCTCTCGGCTGTAAAAATTGCGCCGTTGTACCACCACCAGCAAATACCAGAGGACCTCCGGGTCGTCTCAACAAGGTGTCCGCGCTTTCGTCGCGCTGGCTCGTGGTGAACAATAAATTTGATTCATTTATTTTCAACACATGATCAATGCGGTGGACGTCGACGGCTGAATTCTTGTCCCCCTGGGCTGCAATTAATATCCGTGCGGTTAGATTCGCGTCCGGAAAGGCGTGTTGGCTCCCGGCACTGCCACCCGGAGTAGGAGCCAGAGGTGGATCTTCAACCGGAATGGCGTACGTTTGCTGCGCCGGCTGCTGATAGTAATTCGAAAGTTCTTGAGCAGTAGCTTGTTTTTCTTTCTGGCTTGCACTGTGCGACGAGGATGCCGCTAGCGACGACGGGAGCCCCCCGCTCGGCCCGCTGGTCCGGCCGAAAAGATTCGAGGATTTGGAGGTAGACGTGGGCCGGGAATTTGAAGACGACACCCCTGGCGAGAACCTTTGTATTGCGGATGAACCTCCGGGCAGTAACTGCTTCTCCAAATTCTGCAGCAACTCAAACGCAAAGGGTCCATCGCGCTTGATCCAGGCGGCGATCTTGTGCCGCAAGAAAATGTGGTTTTTGTCGGTAATTCCCGGGAGTTGGAGCGCCCCGTTGTTATTCATCATCGGCCCAGTTGGAAAATCCTCCTTTTCAAATAAGAAGTCCATTCCGCACTTGATGTGCCCCTTCCGTGCGAGGCCCACGTCCCGCAGCATCTCCGTGAAATCTGCGCCGTGGAGAAGAAGTAAAGCGGCTAAATCAATGTTCGGGGGTAAGCGGTTGTTCACCTCCGTGTCGAACTATGAACTGCAAAAGCATCGCACTCGTACCGTAGTAATTGCAGTCATGCATTACAAATCTTTTTCTTAAGGTAAATCCGCAATACAGATTTCATCTCCCACGCTATTTATACGAGTACGATGCCTTTGCATTTCATACGAACCGAACCCAGGCACCGAAGAGCGGCTTCGTAGACCGGAACAGGGGCGCTTTCACCGCGGCATCCACGTCCGCGCCGAACTCCAGGAGCACCCGCGCGACCGCGGCTGACTTCGTGACAATGTCCAGAGGCTGCTGCATCGTGAAGCGAACCCGTCGCACGTTCGGACAGGAAGACCCCTGCACCGTTATCCTATGTAAAAACGTCCCCACCCCGTAGTTGTCATGCAAATCTGCATGCTGAAAACATTTCTCATGCGGAGCTCCATGGGAAGGGTTTTCTATTCGTGTTTTGAAATTTGTAATGCTCCAAGCAGCATAAAAGGCTAGATCTGTGATGCTGCTGAACTACCTAAACAGGATTTTCACACTACGAGGACAAACCTGTGATGCGAAACAACCAAAGCTGGCTGATTTGTCTAGCAGATTTCCCATCTTGACTATGGGGTGGTGACGTTTTTACCCAGAATAACCGTTCCGCCCGGGGAGATCCGGATTGGGACGAAGGGCTCGGCGAGGTGAGAGGACGCTATCAAGTGCAAAGGTGTCTGGGTCTGGAAGAATACAAACTTGTGATGCGCATTTCAGAACACAGAAAAATCTCTCGTGCATAGGCAGCAAAAGTTGCCCACTTTCTGTCACCAAAGAGGGGGATTTGTCATACGGATTCGGCATTGCGAACGCTTCTCGAAACCTGTGATGCTAGAGCTTCAATGCCAGACCTTCTGTGTCATGCAAAAACGGCATGACTCTTCCTGACCCAGACATTTTTGCATTTGATAGACGCGATCGTGTTGCAAGAGCCACCACCCGCAGCCGCTCCGAGTGCGGAGTTGAGCCTGGTTGTTGCACCTCCACTGTGGTGTTGCACAAACAGTTGCTCCTCGTGGTCCAAATCGGTCTCGATCGCCTGGGGAACGGTTCGGCGCCGCCTGGGTACGCGGCGGCAGCCGGTAGTACTATCGTCGCCAAGTAATAAAGACGGCTTGCTTGTTGTTTTCCCTGATGTTATTTCTTTGTCAGCAGCGGAACTGGAGGAACCGAAACTGCTTTTTGACAAAGTAGTGCTGCCGGAACTTCGCCGCACCACGGTAGTCGTTTTTGGCTTCGTCTTTGTAGAGGTTGTAGACGACAAAACGTCCGCGGATTGCGTCAGGCTTGAGGATCCTGCTGCCCCCGCGAAAGAACTCGAGCCTGTGTCTATGAATTGCAAAAGTATCGTACTCGTATAAATGCATTACAAATTTGAATTTCCTCAGCATGAGAAATAATATATAAAATTTGTAATGCTGATTGACCTTGAGAAAAAGATTTGTAATGCATGATTGCAGTACGAGTACGATACTTTTGCACAGGATAGTCTCAGGGTTGTTGAAGAACTCTTTTCCGACCGAATCCTCGAAAACGCTGTGATGCGGGCAGGACATCGTTGTGTCGTTACCAGTATCAAATGCAAAAATGTCTGGGTCTGTAAGGTTGGAACTTGTGATGCTGTCTCTGGATTCGAAAAAAATTTGTATTGCATGAGCAGCAAAGGGAGCGTAATGCTTGCTACGCGGGGAGGGCATTTGTCATGCGGAATAGGCATCAAGAAGCCCTCAAAAAGTCTGTGATGCTAGGGCATGCATCACAGACATCAGGGCTCATGCAAAACGTGCATGACAAGTCTCAGAATCTTCCAGACCCAGACATCTTTAAATTTGATAACCAGTAATTACCTTTCGGTTCTGAACGTCGTCACGACCACTTGGAAGATCTCCTGTCGGTGGAAAGACCGGAGACTCGTTCGCTTTTCTTTCCAGTTCACACGCGGTCAAGAAGTCCGCGATTACTTTCTCGGTCATGTGCTCGTCTAGCATGCTGATCGCCCGGGTCATGCGCGGCTCGTCGACGTCCGACTCTTGTTCGTCCTCGTCATCGTCAATGCGATGATCTTCCGGTAGATCAGCATGCTCCTCCCGGATGAAGCTATTATTTGCCAGTTCTCCAAACCGCGCACCATTGCGACGGTTACTAGTAGATCTTCCCGTTATTTCGTCTTCATCTTGCTCACCATCGTCTTGTTCCCCGGACGCCGTCCGCTGCAACCGCAATCCCTGAAAGGATCGGTGCGAATCCCCGGGAGGACTCAGGAAGCCACCTGGAGTGGAGGTCGCGGCCCCGCAGCTGGCGAAGCAGGCGACGGAACAACTGCTCGCACAACTGCCGCTGTCCTGCTTGCTCACCATCATCATATTCTTGTTCGAATAGCACCCATATCAAATGTAAAAATGTCTGGGTCTGGAAGAATGCATGTTTGTCATGCTTGTCTGGCATGACTCTTAAATCTGTCATGCGCATTGCCCAAGAGACGATTTTTTCTGTCATGCGGAGACGCAGTTTGTCATGCAGAATAGGCAAAACATACAAGCTCAGAAATTTGTCATGCTGAGCCAGCACTTGTGGCCTCCGTATGCTACGCCACTCAGCATCACAAGTTTCCAGACATCCAGGGATTTTTCCATTTGATAACCCAGTTCCCGCACTGGTCCCCGAAGGCGGCGACAGCGCTATGGTTGCGTCAGGTTTGAAATCGACAAAGTTGAAATGATTTGCCATGCATAAAATGCCAGGCATGAAGTGCCTCTCTTGCCGGGATGGCAAGTGAGGCAAATTGTGAGCCTATTTAGTGTTTGGGATAGTGCTGCTAAAGGAGCATGACAAAAGCAGTCTTCTGTGCCCAAGCAGCATGACAAATTGGATTCCGGTGCTCCGAAAATTTATCATGCACCGCTTAGAAATTGGGCTTCCAACTGGTATCGATTTTATGCATAACAAGTTATTTCAACTTCGTCGCTTTCGATCCTGAAACACCCATAAACGCCGGCGCTCGCGTCGACGCGGAAGACACCGTTGGGTTCGAAGAAGTCGCTGCGGTAGAACAGGAAGACCTCGCGTTGGAATCCTGTGTGGAGCCCGAGTTCGCTTTCTTCATAGCTGGAGATGGAGAAAGAACTACTGCTTCTGGTTGTTGCATTTCATCACCTTGAAATATATCGTCAGTAGTTGTTGCGTTTCCCATCAGAACGTCGTCCGCAGTGGTGTTTTTTTGTGTGGGGGAAAAGATCAGGGGGAGCTTTTCCTCGGTGAGCAGCACGGCCGACGCATTTGTTGGGTCGTCAAAATCGATGCTGGAAGCAGCCGTCCGTGTCCTCGCGGTCCACTATGGCGTTCTCAACTGTTACATTCTCAACTGTTACGTGAATTTGTGATGCAAGAATGGCAAAACTGCAAGGGCGAAGATTGCGCCTTTTGCATGACAGATTTGGCACATGATATTTAGGTGCGGTTTGGCCCTTCGCAAATTTGTCATGCGGAGCAGCTTGATCGTGAGGATGATGATGGTGCTTTCACATGACAAATTCATGTAACAGTTGGGAATGTAACGTTTGAGAACCCCATATCCACTTCGTTGAGGCTCGGGTGGACGAGAGCGAGTGGGACCGGCTTCGTTCTCCCTATCAAATGTAAAAATGTCTGGGTCTGGAACAATGCAACCTGTCATGCTAAATCTGAAGCATGCAAAAATCTGTGTTGCATGATTACCAAAAGTCGCCCAGTTTTGACCAAGTCGGGAGGGAGTTTCTCATGCAGGACAGGCATGAGAGAGATCGCACAAAATCTGTCATGCTAGGTCCTGCATTCCAGGCTTCATGGGTGATGGAAAAGCTGCATGACAAATCGCGCATTCTTCCAGACCCAGACATTTTTACATTTGATACTCCCTTGAGTGTACTGATTGGGGAGGAGCCTGACGGCGTCCCCGTAGTACGCCACTCAACTACACGATTTTGCTGCTGCTGTCGTCGAGACTCATCTTCTGCCCCGTCGTGCGTGGGAGGTGGTAACACGTCACAGGACGCCGCTGCTGCCGACGAGGTCCACTTTATTTTTCCCGCACCACCCGTCGCAGTTGCTGGAGAGCGCAACGAAAAATTAGAATTACCGCCAGGTTTAGGAGCTTTCGAACAAGTTGTTGTACTTTTACACGAGTGCCATCCACTCCCATACGCGGCCGGACTACTAGTGCTCGCCGCGCAAGCACTGAGCAACTCCTGTAACCGCTGCTTCCTGCTTGCCAGCGCCATGGACTGCGTGGGGGTTGCGACCGTTTTCTATGCAGTGCAAAAGTATCGCACTCGTATGAATGCATTTACAATTTGAATTTTACTCAGCATGAGAAATGACATCTGTAATGCTGATTTACCTTAAGAAAAAGATTTGTAATGCATGATTGCAATTACTACGAGTACGATACTTTTGCACAGGATATTTTCGCATCCAAAGCCATGTTCCAGCCGATCTCGTGCAGGGGCGTGTAGTATGAATTGCGAAAATGTCTGGGTCTGGAAGCTTGCACCTTGTCATGGTAAATCTGAAGCATGCAAAAATCTGTGTTGCATGAGTGCCAAAAGCTGTCCACTTTTGACCAAGTTGGCACGGAGTTTCTCATGCAGAATGGGCATGGCAGAGACCTCGCAGAGTCTGTCATGCTAAGTCCCGCATTCCAGACCTCATGGGTCATGGAAAATCTGCATGACAGGTCTACACTCTTCCAGACCCAGACATTTTTGCATTTGATATGTAGCCTTTGTCGTCCTGGGTTTCCACAGCCGCAGTTGGATTTTTCTTCAACGCTCTCCGGACGGTTTCCGGGTCCCAGCCGTTTTTGAAAACCTGAAATTTCTCCAGCGATTCTTTCTCGAATTGCTTCATCGTGCTTTTACCCAGCTCGGACTGCTTTTGCGTGTTTTTTCCCTGCTGATTATTTCCCCCGCCTCCCATTGGAGGAATCAACACTGTGTTCTGGGGACCGCAAGACAAAAACTCTTTTCGGTTCTTCTCCACCATCCAGGGAGAAAGCGATCGGAACTTCTTCCGCATCTCTTCCGTTGGGCTGCTGAATCCGCTGTGAGAGGCGGATGAGGTCCACCCGTGGCTTATCCTGCCGAGCAGACGCGCATTTTTCCACAGCGTATGATCCGCTTGATGTTCAGAGCTCCGTGCCCGGAGGGATCCAGTTGTACTGGAACTACCTGGTGGCTCCACTACGAGAGATGAGGTGAGAGAGTTTGATATCGCGGTCGACTGAAGAAAAGACTGTGCTGCTCCTGCTGGATGATCCGATGTAGAAGAAGACACCATGGAGCTCGCTACGCAGAAGCTCGCCCACTGCAGCGACAGCAACAGTGCTGCTTTCGCGTTGCGGAGAAGCTGCCAAGCTGCCATTTCAACCATGTTTCAGTTTCTAGTACCTCGGACTTACTCCTCCCTATATGTAGTTCCCTCTGGTGCTCGTGCCACCAAAACTTCGGTGCATCGAATGAGGCAGCACCACCACTTCTTCCAAGTCCAACTAAAACAGCAACGTGGCCTAGCTAAAAATTTGGGAAGCACAAGAAAAATATTATACCGAAATAAATTGAAATTCTGCACGCAGAAGTTCTTTTTTTTCGAAAAAGTTTTGCATAACAGAAAAGAACTGGGACAAGAACAAAAACGACGAGATCAAAGTCGATATGGGTTGTGTCGTGATCTTCCACGCGCGACAAGCCCGAGTCTGCGAGCACGTCGTATTTTTCGGGTATAATATGAAGAAGTCGCTATAGTATTTTTTCCCGTCCGCCGCCGCCGCTGCGGAAGTCAAGATCTTAGGAACACAAAAATTTCTGGGTATTCAAATTGCGTGTCTGCTGCACGACGCGGGTGCCAGAATTTTTGCTGTTTTCGTTTCATCGATCAAGGCGTAGTTGCGCTTAAGAGGAAGACCTTGAAGAAGTACTAGCACATCAAAGACTGCGCTGAAGAAGAAGATCGATCTATAATGTATCATGTAGTCTTCACACGGAAAACATTACATGCATATTAGAAAAAATTTATCGGTGTCTTTGCAACAAGACCTTTACAATTTGCTTTTATTTTTCGCCTTCTCAAAATCATCAGTTCTCCTCTCCTGCTTCACTTTCCGCACGTCCCCGCGTGTCACCATGGACCCGGTTTTCTCCGCAAGGAGCCGCGGCGGGTCAGTATTGGGGTCGTATCGGTAGGTTTTCAAATCGTCTTTCGTCAATCCTCTGACTTCCGTCAAGTATTCATCATCGATCAGCATCTGTCCGGTTGTTTCCTGATCGCAACACAGACTCACCGTGGCGTCCGCGAGGATGGTCGCTTTCCGCCACAACTTCTTATCACCCAAGTCGAAGTTGATACTGGCTTGGGATTCGATGACCGTGGCGGGCCACAAGCTGTTCGCGAGGATGTTATCGTCCACGCCCTCGGCCTATAACAGTGCACAACTCCCCCTCCCCCTCATTTGCATGGCTATGGCATGAACAGCAATACAAACACCAGCACACGCGGAGCCTATGCATGAGAAATTTTTTATGTCCCTAGTGTAGTACTGTTTGGGCTTCCGGACTTTGTCATGCAAACAGTACAACCACACGGCAGCGCTTGGATTTGGTATTTTGCATGACAAATGAGGGAACGGGGAGTTGTGCTGCATTCTCATACGGCCGCCGCACCTAGCGCTACCATCGTCATCCCCATCTTGCTGATGTTGTACGCGCAAAGCCCTTTCTATGGCATTTTCAACTGTTACATTCTCAACTGTTACACGGATTCGTCATGCAAAATTGCCATCAGCCTCCACTTGATCAAGGTGCTTCGCATGACAAATTTTCGAAGGGCTAAGCAGCATGATAATCTGTGGAAAATAATCTGTAATGCGAAAGCTTCAATCTTGCCACTTTCACTGTTGCTGTTCTAGCATTACAAATCCATGTAACACCAGCTGAGAATGTAACGTTTGAGAGGGCCATACTTTGTACGCTTCTTTCTCCAACTCAATTGGCGGACTCATGCAGATCACGCGCCCAAATTTGTTCTTGCGCATGTGGGGCAGGCAGTGCTTGGTGAGCAGGAAGGACCCGCGGGTGTTCAGCCGGGTGATCAGGTATGAACTGCAAAAGCATCGCAATCGTACTAATTGCAAACATGCATGACAAATGATCTTCTTCCTAAGGTAAAAGTAAAACAGTATTATACAAATTCCATTTCTAATGCTGAGCGACTTTGTGATGCTATTCATACTAGCACGTTATACTTTTGCAATGCATATCAGGTCGTATTTTTTCGACGGGGTGTCGTTGATATCAAATGTAAAAATGTCTGGGTCTGGAAGAGTGCATGTTTGTCATGCTTGTCTGGCATGACTCTCAAATCTGTCATGCACCTTACCCAAGAGCGCCATTTTTCTGTCATGCAGAAACGCAGTTTGTCATGCAGAATAGGCAACACCTAGAAGCTCAGAAGCTTGTCATGCTGAGCCAGCCCTTGTGGCCTCCTCATGATACGCCACCCAGCATCACAAGTTTCCAGACCCAGACACTTTTGCATTTGATAATTGATGGTCTGCCACCAAAGCGCGGAGGCGTTGTTGACGCAGATGTCCACCTATGCATTGCAAATAAGTATCTCTGGGTTCATCTTTGGAAGAATACGAGACTTGTCATGCAGGATCTACATGCTCCTTGATGTCTGTGAGGTATTCCCTAGCATCACAGACTTGATTCTGAGTGCTTCTTGATGCCTGTCGGGCATGAGAAGTGCCCTGTCCGCGTAACTAACAAAAACTAGACTCCTACATGCTGCTCAGGCAATACAGATTTTTTTGGAATCCAAACGCAGCATCACAAGCTCCACCTTTCCGGACCCAGATATATTTGCATTTGATACCACGCGGCCCCATTTCTCCACGGCGGCTTCCACACATTTGATGATGGACTCTTCGGAAAGGACGTCGAGCTGTAGAAATTATGTTCAATGCGAGGATTATAGTACACAATTACACTTTAGAAGAGGTTGAAGTCAACTGCATGACAAAGAGAAAGAACAGCACTTGTTCACATACTTGTACTACAACTACATGGGTTTTATGCATAAACAAATTCAAATCTCCTACAAATACCTGCACACTAATCGCCTCCGACCCGCACGCCCGTACTTCATCCGCAACGGAGTAAATCGACCCTGGAAGTTCGGTATGCACTGCAAAAGTATCGTACTAGTACAAATCGCAATACAAGTTGGCTCAGCATTACAAATTAAATTTGCAATGCGGATTTACCTAACCAACTAGATTTGTAATGCATAGCTGCGATGACTACGAGTACGATACTTTTGCACAGGATATTCGGGTGTCGACTTCAAAGACTTGCCCGCGACGACAATTCGACATCCCTCGTATGCATCGCATAAATGTCTGGGTCTGGAAAGTTCGAACCTGTATTGCGTGTCTCGCATGTCTGAAAAATTTGTATTGCATAAGCAGCAAATCAAGCGCCACACTTTCGTCATGCAAAAGCGCAGTTTGTAATGCGTTCTGCGCATGAGAAAGCGTTGGAAAAATTTGTCATGCTGCGCTGCACTTAAAAGCACAGTCAATCATGACCATTCAGCATTACAAGTGTCCAGACCCAGACATATTTGCATTTGATACCTCCCTGGCCAACGCCAAAGCGCATTCCCGGCCGATGCCGCGGGTTGAGCCGGAAATGATCGCGACCTTGCCTTATCCATTGCAAATATGTCTGGATCTGGAAACTTGTGATGCAAGTCCATGAACAATAAGTGCTCTGTAATGCGCCGCCAAGCATGACAAGTTTTTCCGTGCTTCTGTGCTGCTTATTTCGCATGTCATGAGGAACTGCGCTTTTGCATGACAGACAAGAGGACCGCTTTGTGGCCACGCAATACAGAGTGCAGAGTCATGCCAAAGCAGCATGACAAATCTCGCAATCTTCCAGACCCAGACATACTTGCATTTGATATGCCTTCCAGAACGTCGCGAGAGAATCCGAGCTTCGCGGCGTTCGCTGAACGGGCGGTGGTGGACATGGTGTTTTTCTCTGAAGTTCTCGTCGTGTAGATGAAGTATACTGGTTTGCTCGTGGGTCCTGTAGATCATGGACTTTTTCTTGTTGTACTCTGAACAGAGAGCAGTAAACTAGCACGATGAGCGCGGCGGGCCGGTCCAGCGTTGTCATGGTAAGCACACTCATAGTAAGTACACTCGCCGTGCAAAAAAAAAACAAAAACGAACCCGAACCAGGGCGAAATTTCTCTTGCGCACTCAAATGCGGCCTGGCACCCGCACAAAAAAAGAATTCAACCGACGAAAGGATTGTTCGCAAGAACTCTCTGCGGTTTTAATTTTGAATTTGAAAAATCCGCGTTCCGATAGAAAAATGCTAAAGGTGGTGCATTTTCGTATTCGTTTTCGTCTGCACAAATAAAGAACAAATGGTTTTTTCAGTAGATCGAATGGCTCCGGATCCGGCTTGTTCACCCGCCGCAGGAGTTCTTGTACAGCCGAGCTCTATATGCATTGCAAGTATGTCCGGGTCTGGAAAGCGCCAGGTTTGTAATGCATGTTTTGCATGGCCCATGATGCCTGTAATGCATGGCCTAGCATCACAGATTTTTAGCAGGCTTCCTGATGCCTATTCCGCATGACAAACGCCCTTCCCGCGTAGCACAAACTGGACTCCTCTTGGTGGTCATGCAATACCGATTTTTCTGGAGTCCAAAATTAGCATCACAAGTTCCATCTCTCCAGACCCAGACATATTTGCATTCGATACTCTAGAGCTCTCGATGCTGGTTCATCCCTTTGTCCCTCGACGATATCCCGTGCTTATGAAATGCAAAAGCATCGTATTAGTATAAATCGCATGACAAATCTCCTCAGCATGAGAAATAGAATTTGTAATGCGGATTCAACTTGAGAAAGAAATTTGTAATGCATGAGTGCGATTAGTACGACTACGATACTTTTGCACAGGATAGTGCTGACAGGGCCCCTTCGGCGTCTCAATCATGAAATACAGCAGCTGCAGTATCCTGAGTAAAAACGTCCCCACACCAGAGTCAAGATGGGGATTTTGCAACACAAACCTAGAAGTTTTGGGACTCTTGCATCACAAGTTGCCGTCCGTAGTGTAGTGCAGGTTAGCAAGGGAAAACGCATCACAAATCCATCTGCTGATCCTGGTTACAGCATTACAAATGCCACAACACGATTAGAAATTCCTCTCATGGTGATGCGCGTTACAAATGTTCCTGTCCGTGCAAACCTGCATGACAACTCTGGGGTGGGGACGTTTTTACAAATGATATGCAGCTCGCTGTTCTTATGCGCGATCGGCCCGTGCTCGATTTTCGGGGGCACAATCACCACGGATCCGGTTTTGATCGGCTTTTCCTCGCCGTCTAACTCCATGTAGCCCTGCTATCAAATGCAAAAATGTCTGGGTCTGGAAGAATCATGCTGTTTTTGCATAACACAGGAGGTTTGGCATGGAAGATCTAGCATCACAGGTTTCGAGAAGCTTCCGCAATGCCGAATTCTCATAACAAATCCTCCATTTGCTGGCAGAAAGTGGGCAGCTTTTGCTAACTATGCATGAGAGATTTTGCTGAGTTCTGAAATGCGCATCACAAGTTTTTATTCTTCCAGACCCAGACATATTTGCAATCCATACCTGCCCCCGCATCACGAAATACACTTCGTAGGCGTCGGCGTGGATGTGCTTCGGGTTCCGCTGTATGCATTACAAATATATCTGGTGTTTTGTCTGAAAGGATGCGAACTTGTGATGCACGTTGCGGATCATACAAAAATCTGTGTTGCGTGACTTGCAAAAGGTGCTCATTTCTGGTCATGCTGAGGTTTGCATTTCTCATGTAGAACAGGCATCACAAAGGGGCTGCAGACTCTGTGATGCTAGGCCCTGCATAGCAGACTTGGCGGAGCTTGGAAAAACTGCATGGCAAATCTCAGAATCTTCCTGACCCAGACATATTTGCAATGCATACGCTGGTTTTTCGGAAGCGTGGACTCCGCAAACGTGATGAAATGCGGTAACTTCGGGTACTGTTTTTCCGGCAAGGGTAGCATCACCCGCTTCGTGATCTTTTCGTTGTCTTTCATCGGCTTTGGTTTCAACTCGTCCAGCTGAGTTTTTCCGAATTTCAGGGTTTTTGTATTACGGGGGAAAGCCCCCCCTCCCCATCTCGGAACGGAAATTTGTGATGCTGGATTTGCGCACACAGATCGGCTTGTGTTGCTAGAAGGACAAGAGACGCAGCTGCGGCCTTAATTGCAGGCAATTTGTCATGCTGCTCCCCACTTCCGGTTGCCTCCTGTCATGCTGAAACTCCATGGCTTTGCCATGCCAGCCTGAACTACACTCCGCATCTTTTGCCTTCTAGCATGACAACATGATTTGTGGTCCCAAGTCATGCTACACAAATCTCCGTTTTAGTATGCAGAGGGGGGATTTTTCATTTTGATATTTTGCCTGCGAATTTTCCGGTGCGACTTTGTACTGCTCGACCGTCTCTCCGGGAAAGGGAATGGCGCCGATCGTGATCAGCTGCAACGGCCCGGAGTCCTGCACGATCCCGCCGCTGTGCTCGATGCCCGGCGGAAATAAGAGCATCGTGCCCGCCGTGGAATTTCCCCCCTGGTCCTTGTAGTCCGGCACGAGGTCGAACTCATTGTCATTGGTGACGTTCTCCGGCCAGTAGGTGTAGTTTTCTGCTTTTTCCCCCTTGCTTATGACAGTGCACAACTCGTCCCCCTCCCCCTCATTTGTCATGCAAAATCCCAAATCTACCTTCTGCCTGTTAGCACTCTTTGCATGACAGATTCCGAAAGCCAAAACAGCACTACAATCACTTAGGAATTTGTCATGCAAAAGCTGCATCTTTGCCAGTGCTTGTGTTGCTGTTCATGCAACACAAATGAGGGGGAGGGGGAGCTGTGCACTCTCATATTGCTCAGATCGCCAATGCCGAAGTTGAACAGATTCACATAGTTGTTCTGACCATCTCGGTTCCCATTGACAAGCGTACCTGGACCGGAGTCTTTGTGATTCGGTTTGTAGGGCAGCATGTAGAACAGTTCGAACATGTCTTCGTGGCTGTGCGGGGGGAAGTCGTCGACAATCTCCGCGACGGCGATCTGGGTGATACCGGGTATTTCTCCGTATTTCACTAGAACCTTCTTCGTGTTTTTAAACGGGTAGTGGTTTACTGTCGTGCTGTTGATTTCCTTTTCGTAGTCTTCGATGAACCGAGGATGGCGGAGGCAAAGCTTCTCCATTTCTTCCTTTGTAGTTATTTTTGCCGGGAGAACGGAGGCTGCGTCGATAAAAATTATCGGCGGGCTAGAGTAGAAGTTCTGAACCAGAAACGAAAAGACGAGCATCGTCTTGGGCTGATGCCGCCCAGCCGCAGAAACGAAGGTCATTTTGTCTACGAATTTGGTTGGCTAAATGAAATTACAGTACGTAATGCTCTCGCTCAGGCTCAGGTGAAGCAGATTCTAGTTGGCGAATGCTCGACGGGAGAACTTCTCTCCCGTGTCCCTTCATCTGCGGACGTCGTTTTTTCGGACAAGAAAGGAGGACGCACGAAGCCACGACTTCAGAACACAATCGTATTATAGCGAAGCCGAATTTTCTATGGGCTACAGAAGAACTGCGCAGTTCTCCAAAGTACTGCCGAATTCTTGTCTTTTGTACCGGCAAACATTCTTCTTTTGTGGAAAACTGTGCTGTATGTCTTTTTATGAGTCGTACGCCGTGCTGCTGTCTTCCAAAACTTTTCCATGAGCCAATCAGCTGTTCTTTTTTCACTCAGCACACTCTCGTCACAAGGTTGACAAGCCCGTGCCTGCGGTCCGAACCAGGGCTCTCCATCGATCCAGAAAACGCAGGAAAATTTCAAGAAATATTGTACATGTACACAACAAATTGGTCTTTAACAAAGATCTTTTCAAGTGCTTCACAAGATCGTTCCATCGGAAATAGATTGCTCGCTAGTCTCGCTATCAAGTCATCAAAATAATAAAACGGCAGTGCAATAGCAATAGGACGCACGTCATCGAGTTAATATCTCGACATAGCTCTAGAAGTTGACGCGTCTCTTTACTGCGTAGGATAGGCTACAACTTCTACAAAATGATCTATAGTTGTCTCTCTGGCACGGATGGTGTAGGTTCTATCTATCTTGAGCTTCGAAACGAAATCTCTCTGACAGTGCTGTGCAACGTGATGCGAAGCCAAATGCGTAAAAATTCCAATCCATTTACAACTTTCTCCCCTACAAATAAACCATTCGTCGTTCAACAGAATAGAAGTATGGCAATGCTATATGCTTTATTCCAAACCTGGTGGCGGATGGTCGTGCTTGTGCAGACCTCGAATTTCTAGACAAGGTGTGACCAGGTGTTCGGGTTCTTTCATCACACTTACCACATCACAGACTCTATATTTGGTCTTACCCTTTGTCACAATCACGCTAAATTTAATCGATAGAGTCACAGTTCACATTCTTTAGTACTAGTGGAACATTGTGCCGAGATGATACATGTCAATGTCTTCGGCTGCGCTCGGTGGATCTTCCGTGGTAGCAGCACCACTCCCACTTGCTGGTGTTGAACCGGTAGTGTACTCTATAGGAATTTCGTCTTCATCGCCGGTCGTAGCGGGGTTAATATTTCCAACCCCAACAACCCCCCCGGCCGCCGTGATCGTGTACCTCGGGAGCTGGTCGAGCAGCCATTGCTGATGCAGCTGCCTACCCCGGAGACTGCCGTCTGCGTCAAGGTCCGCGGGCTTCAGCGAACCACCGTGTGCGAGCCGTTGCATCAGTTCTAACTCGTACTCGTTCGTAGCGTATGCGATCTGGATACTACTACGTGGCAGCTCCTGTGAGGTGGAGGAGGAGGACGCAGCGCCGGAATCATACCCGACGGCGGCACTGGGAGTAGATTCTCCGCCATTCTTCGAAGCAGATGGGGAGCCGCGTCCTCTCCCCAGCAACGCTCGGTTATTATCCCTCTCTTGCTCGGACGAAAGCGCGAGTGTTCCGGCGCCAAAGCCTATCATGGCACCGCTCATACTCCCGACGGAGGCGGTCCTGATCACAGGATCGGCGGAAGCGACCTGGGATTCATTGTTCGAAAAATATTGTACAAAAGTTTTATGATCTAAACGCAGCTGGTTGTACGGGAATTCTGTTTGTTATGCGAAAGGCACCGGGAGGCAAATCTTTTAACTATCGCACATGAAGCTACACGTACATGGAACTAGCACGACAGGGACACGCCACTCAAGTATAACCACCCAATAAACCACAACTCAAAAATACCGCCAGCCAGTTGTGCCCACTGATCCACGCTAGCCACGACCCAAGAAGCGTCTTCACCTTCACAAAAATCGCCCCAACCGCGCCAACGGCCGCGGCCCCTCCGTGTCCCGTCCAGAGGATAAAAGGGACCACTTTGTCCGCAAAAATGATGACCGCGACGACGACAACACTGCCGCCGACCACCTTGCAACCGAACTTCACGCTCTCCGGCAGCATGTCCCACAGGCTATCATCGTTCACCGCTAGAGCGCCACTGGTAACTCCCTGCGTGAAGTTATGGACGCCTTGATCCATTTGGTCAATCCGCTCTAAAATCTCCACGCCCGCCTCGATGTGTGCTCGCGCCTGTTCCACGTTCGCGCCCGCTTCTAACAACTGTCTGCCCTGCTCCTGCACCACGACCGCCGTTAAACGCATGGCGCGGCGGAACGCCTCGAGGTTGATCAACAACTCGTCGGAAAGTCTACCTTCTTCCGCAAGTTGGGTGAAAAACCGCTCGACGAATTCCTCGGAGTGGACATTTGGGAGTTGTCTTAACCCCTGTTGCATCTCACGGAGCTGCTCGATCGCGGGAATTGGGCTGGTCGGGTCCCAGGGGGCGACGGGAACACGGCGAAGCCACGCGTCGGTAGAAGATTGGCTGGCTGTTGCACTTACGGGAGCCAGCGCAAGCTGCTGCTGTTGTTGCCCGTGTTGGTATGGAACGATCGGGAATTGCTCGTGGTCCTGCGCATCACGGTCGAGGTAGTCTGCCGCTTCCACAGCCGTCGCGGGTCCGAAGTGTCCGTGGAATGATCGGCCGGTTTGATTTTGAGCTCCTCTCGTTGCGACGACTGGCAATCTACTTCCCGCGGCGGCGTCCGCCGAGCTGCTGCGGCTTCTGGAGCTCGTATCACGATAATGTGCAAGCCCATCCAACACTTCGGCAGAAAACGGCAAAGACGCTGCTCCTCCATGGAGGAGCATGCCTGCGATTTCGTCGTCCGCGTTGTCGCCCATGTAGGAATTAGAAGCAGGGTAATTAATATTTCTCCGTGCTGGAGGGCTCTGAGAACGACGGCGCGACCTGCTGTTTCTGCTGCGCCCTCCCCGACGAGAACTACTTCCTCGCTGTACGATTTCGGTTGACGAAGACGCTGGTGCTTCTCCCGCCTGTGAGGCACGGCCCGTTTGTATGAGAGTGCACAACTCCCCGTTCCCCTCATTTGAAGGGCATAAGCAGCAACACAACTGCGGGCATTAATGCAACTTCTGCATGACAAATTCGCGACCGATTCTAGTGCTGTTTCGCTTTCCGAAACCTGTCATGCAAGAAGTGCCAAAGAGAAAAGGACGGATTTGGTATTTTGCATGACAAATGAGGGGGAGGGGGAGTTGTGCATTGTCATATGTTGCGCCGCCGCCGAAGAACGCGTCCTGGAGGTAGAGGAGCGTCTCCGCTGCCGCTGGGCCGCAGAGGATCCCCCGCTGCTGCCGGCGGTTGCCCCGAAATCTGTATCGACCCTGCTAGTATCTCCCGCACGCGCGGCCAGAAAGGTTGCGTTGGTGGTCTGTCAACAGATCTCGTCGGTACTCCAACAAGATCATACCAACCACCTGTTCCCCCCTCGTGATTGCTAGCAAAACCCGCGGCCGTCTCGGAAAACGGGAGTGCCTCGCGGGGTAGATTATCAAATGCAAAAATGTCTGGGCCTGGAAGAATGCAAGATCTGTCATGCAGCTTTTTCATGACCCATGAGGTCGGGAATGCGAGACCCAGCATGACAGATTTTTTGAGGTCTCTATCATGCCTTTCCTGCATGAGAAACTCCCTCTCAACTTGGTCAAAAGCGGACAGCTTTTGGCACTCACGCAACACAGATTTTTGCATTATTCAGATTTAGAATGACAAGTTCTAACCTTCCAGACCCAGACATTTTTGCACTTGATATAGATAGCTTTACTCCGGTCCAGCCGGGTCAGAAGAGCCTCGGCGTCGCTTTCCAGCTGCTTGTCGAACGGTTCAGGGTCGAACGTCTGAAGCGGGGTAAGAGTCCCAGGTGCGATGAAAGAAGGAGGACCACTTGAATTATAAACAGCGTTATTCTCCTCGTCTTCGAACCCGCCCAGTGGCTCCTCCTGTGATATCACGACCGGGCGCCTGTACAACCTTTGGTACATCTCCGTGACGTCTTCGAGGAACATGAATTCCGATCTCCAGGGGAAGACCTCTGTTCCACTACCAGAAAAACTGGCGTCAGGTTGTTCTTGAAACGGGTCGGAGAGAAGATTGATGTTCAGAGCTAGCGTGAATCTGTCGCTCCACTTGGTGCTCGTTTCGTTACTCTTTTCGGCATCTTTCCGGATTAAGTCATTATGGATTTTCGTCGCTTCGTCGCCTTGCGCTCCTTGTCCTTTGCCTTTCGCGAAGAGCCCGACTTGGATTGGGTTTTGTTCGTCATACTGATGCTTCTGCAAAAGCTCGAGCTTCTCGCTCAGCCAGCGGTCCGGGTAAATGGCATCTTGGACGGTGGGAATGTCCACGCAGCCGCACGAACGGTCGGTGGCGAAGGCGACATGGAAGGGCTGAAATGTGGTGGCCACGAGCAAGATCTTGCTCAGCTGGGAGGAGAAAAAATGTCGCATTTTGTTGAACTATGCTGAGGAAAAATGTCGTTGAAATTAAGAAAATTATTGATGTCACGCAATTCTTGTCTGTGTTATATATTTTTCTAGGAGCTGTACAGATAAATGACCCGATTAAGTAAATGGCAAAACGTTCTTGATATCTAGTTTCGTATGTCGTGTTTATTCGGTATGTACAATGTACTTAAATGTGGAAAAAAGTTCTTTAATACTATGCGCTTGTGTTAGTTTTTCAGAAGAATGGTCTTTAATGAGTCTACTTGAAATTATGCTCCTTAGAAAAGTATCGATGTTGATGTACTAACGAGCTTCAGTTCGACAGCCAGTTTCAGGTGTAGTTTCTTGCTGCTGCATTCGGGAAGAAAAAAGAAAGTCGGGTTTGCAGAGTTGCGAATGAATGAGTAGAACCGACGCAGGGCGAGATTTCCGGATCCATCTTTTCTGATGAAACTGAAAGGCTAAAAAATTTGTAGCTGACGTCCTGCTCAGGGATCAAGATTGTAATTTGGTTTTGAACTACCGATGCACTGATGGATCTTCGTGATCTTCCATAGAAATTTGGATTTGATCTGAGTGATACCAGTCAGGGATAATTTCAATGATCCTAGCAGTAGCACGATCCGGTTCCGGCATGTAATAATTTCAGTGCACGACAGTAAGTTGCTGTTTCTCCATGTAGGTTTGTACTCACCCAACGATGCATGAAGTATTTACGTTTTCTGAAATATTCTGGGAAAAAACAATATGGACCTCACACTTTGTTCGATTGATCGCCCAAATGAGACATCATGGCCGCCTTGAAACTACAGTTCGCTCCTGCTACTTCAGTGCAAGAAAGCCTGCTTTATCAGCAGCACGGGTTGTAGCTTTCATCGCCACAGGTTTTGCAATCGCCGTCGCGTTTCCAGTCCCGTTCACCACCGTTTGATTTCTTCCCCCACCACAGACCAACGGCTTCCACTTGCTGGTATCCGCGCAGACGAGTTTCCAAAACAGCTCGGAGTCCTCCTCAATCGCCAGCATTTTCTTGTCCCAATTCGCCTGTTCGCGGTTGAGGGTAAATTGCCCCTCTAGCTTCTCATACCGTGGCTGCAACGCGTTTTCCATGTAGTGTAATGTCGCGTTCTTCGCCTCCGTCCAGGGCGCGGCGTCGTCCAATGCCGCTTTCAATGCTCGGAGGCATTCGTCATGGCAATTTACCGCGGAGATTGGGGTCGCGAATGCAGCGCCGATGTCCTGATCGCAGGCAGCTTGGCATTGGAGGCTGAAGGACTGACTGGCCTCTTCGCAAATAGCCCGCTTCGTCCCCGAAAGGTGGTCGCAGGACGGGGAAGTGTTTTTGCTCGTCGAAGATGTAGTGCGGTGGAGGAGAAATTTCCTAGCAGTAGTGAGGGCTCGTGTAGTGGGAAACCCCCAATCCCATGTAGCAGAAGAAAAGAAGACGAGAACCAGCTGCGCGGGGCGTAGCTGCACCCACCACGGCATTTTTGTGTTGATCTGTCGGTGGGGGGAGGACGAAGTGTTTGGGCCCGTCGGTTTTGGTGGCCGGTGTTCGCTTTGTCCTCTCTCGTTCTTGGATCTCATGCTTGTTTGTTTTCTCTCTGGCGAACACGGCCTGTAGTTTCGGAAAAGGCGTGTAATCGCAGCCTCAGGAACGCACTAACGCAACAGCAGTGTATGCTGGCAATAATGTGCGTGAGCAAGGTCGTAAGCCTGGCCAGTAACAGTCACGAACGGCGGATCACGTGGCCGCGGCCGGCACACAAAATAAAGGCTACCCGGCCGCGGCTGCCATTACCGACATGGCCTGTGCGCCAGGGCCAGCGCAGAAGGCAATACAGGAAGAGCACATCAGGCGTGAAGTGCGCAAAAAGAACGGGCGAAAAGCTCGCAACCCCACTGCCGCTCCTGGAATAAAATGCGCCGTCCCGGCACGCACGCTTGCGGGCATCCTTGGGGACCGGCGCGCCGGCCGCGCTGGGGGCGCCCTCGCGTGCGTTGCCCTGATGAACGGCGGGCGGCGTAGCTACCAGAGAGGCCAGCCAGAAACACCGGCGGCGGCCGGCAGCCCCGCCAACATTGCGGGGCCACCGCCTTGGCCATAGGGCTACAAGTACGGCGCGCCCGGAGCTGGCGGAGTCCGCCCGCGGCTAGCCTCGGGCCAGCGCAGCCGGCGCGCCGCCCTTCTTTTTTTTTGGTCCGGCTGTCTGGCACGACCCGAAGCTCTTCAGCCCTAAAATTTTCGCTCAAAGGGCTGAGCCACACGCCCTCCGGCGTGCACTTCCTGACCGTGGCGAAAGTCGCCCGCCCCGTTGCGGCAGGGTCGCGCAGTCCCGCCCGAGATTGCGCAGCCCCGCCCGCGCCGCGCAGCCTCGCGTCTTTTTCCCGAGCAGACGCACACGCGCGCCGAGGGACCCTTCTGGCGTCCGTCGCGTTACGGGGACAGCCGGGCTGGGCGCTTTGCGCGCAAGAAGAGCCGACACCGACGGGCGCCGGGCTGCCTACTAGGGCTCCGGCCAGAAGCGATTTGACTCCGCCCCATTGAATCACGTCTCCAGCTGCAACGATCCAGACAGAACGAGGCGCCATGAACTCCCTTCCTGGTGGAGGATGCTCACTAGTCCGAAACACCTATTTTTTATGGGAGATTTGGGACTCCTGGAATAGGTCTGAGCGTTGCTCTCACACTCGATAGAGCACTCAACAGGATGCTTTCCTGGCCCTCATGTCCTCTTGAATTTTTAGAACAGCAATCGCCACAGGCCCTCCTCGTCAGCACCACTTCCTGATAGTACCTGATGGAGATCGCTTTCGCTCTCCGCATTCCTGCTCTTTAGTCTCATCTTTTTTTCCGCAACCGAACTCCACTTGTGCGAAGTTCGCGTCCTTGCGGACACTGGCGCACAGCAAATAATCAACCAACCCTGGCCAGAAACAACCTGCAATTACACGGCCACGCGGCTGCTCACGCAGACTGCTCGCCGCAATCTTTCAGCCACGACCGGGGCAGGCACGGCAGCGAAGTTGCGCAGGCACCATCCAAAGCAGACACACGGCGCGGGCAAGAAAAATGGCTCGGACAGGGGCCGGCCTGCCTGCGAGCCACCCTACGCCGGCCTGCCGACGAGAAATATTCTTCTGGAAAAGCCGCCCGCCCTTCGGGAAGAAATTCGCGCGGGCCGCAAGGGGGGCGCCGCGCACCTTGGTTCTAGCCCCCTTGACGGCAGCGGGGGGGCACTGGCGAAGACTAAAGCCGCCGCCCAGGCGGGCCGGGGCCCTGTCGCCCGCGGAACATGCCCGGGCAGGTGCGTTGCAAACGCGGCGCGCGGCAGGCCGGCGCGCTGGTAAGTATGTAGGCGCCGCGCGACCACCATCACAGCCCCACCGGGCAGCGTGCGGGCGGGGATCTCCGGCGCCTGTCTGGAATCTCCAGCGCCTCTCTCCGATCCCCCATCCCTGCCGGTTGGCTCGCCGCCCGAACGTCCCCGCCATGAGGATGTTGGCGGGATGCGGAGCCGGCGACCCCGTGCGTCCGCGCCGAGCTCTATGCCGCGGAAAAGGACTGGCGGCACACCCGGCAGCAGAGCGACACGGCACCAAGAGTAAAAACATCCTCAGCCCGGGGCCCGTCACATACGAAAATTCTGCTAGATAAAAAAAAAGGTAGTTTGTTCAGGAGGTGTTCATCACAAAGTTCAGGTACTCTCGGCGGAAGTGTTCAAAAGAGAGACCACATAGCATTTGGCTTATCACTCATCCGTTATTGTAACTACACACTTCTCCTCTCATTTGCACTGCCTACACTCCACTGACCCTGAGAGAGACACTCGCTCGTCGTGTGGCAGCTGCTTCGAACAGAAGCAACACCTATGCGGGGGCGCTAACAATAGATACCGTGGCGGGATGGCTCGCAACACGGGTTTGTCTGTATACACGTCTTTCTATTACCATTCGAGCCACGCAGCGAGGACAACCTCCTCCTCTACAGGTAAAAAAGGCTGGGGCGAGGGTGTAAGTACGGTGCCCCGCCGACGAGCCGTCGCAGGCGCGTAAGGGGCGCTACCCACACACCCCTGGTCGAAGTCTGGCGGAGTAGAGCTCTCGCGCGCATCGCCAAGCCCGTCCGCCTGGCTTTCGCGGACGGCCCAGCGGATAAGGAGAACGGCGGCGCACACAAAGCTGGCTAGACACTGCCTGCGGGGCCCTGGGCGGGCTGCCGCGGTCGATATTGATCGGCGCAGCGGACGGTGGCGCGGCAAAGACCGCAGGGCTGCGCCTGGCGCGCAGAGTGAGCGCTGCGCGAGTTCTCGGCGCCGGGCGACGGAGTCGGCCCACGCCCGCTGGTCATACATTAGAAACGGAATGCCCGCCGCCCAAGCGATCTCTTGAGCACCGCCTCAACACCTTCGGGCCCAGCCGAACAGTTCCACGCCGAGAGCTTCTTCAGGAGCAGGACTCACCCGCGCCTCTCGGTCCTCGTCTTCAGCACCGCAGCAGCGCACAAGGGGTGCGCGGAGCAACTCGCCGGCATACTGCACCAAGGGCGCCACGCCCAGCACCTAGAACGGTGCCCGCGCTTTGGGCGGCTAATTCCACAGCTCTCACCTCCAGTCCCCTACATCGCTCGAACTGCCTTCTCGAATTACACATGGTGAATTGTTGTGAATGTGAAAAGGCGCCACCACTCGAAAAAAAGATTTTCGTGAACAAACGAGACTCCGCCACCCACTTATTACACGCCGACTTCCAAAATATGCGATTTCTTTTCTGTAATATCTACTTCATCTGCGTTTTCGCTCTGATTTCCACTTCTGATCATTTCCTCTTAGCATTTACAACAATAAAGCCCATACGACAGCGTTCCTTCCTTCTCCATCCAAAGCCGTGATAAATTCTGTCCTCCCCGTCCGCTGTCCAAGCTCTGCGTGATTATTCCTATATCTGATATTAGCGATGTCGTGATGTCATAGTACTTCAGCCGCTTCTGTTTAATACCGGTATACCTTATCTCAACCTTAGCGAACCTGTCCAAACTAGTTACCGTCGTACGAATGTTGAAACAATTTTTTCTGTCATCATGTAGCACTAGAGACGTCCTATCCAAATTCCTTATGCGTCTGCGAAGAACTAATTTCTGGCGTTGTTGTCCATAGTAAAAAGTAAAAAGCACGATGATTTGCTTCACTCAGTTCATCTACACCTTGTTCGGATTAAAAAAGGGGTGCCGATATTTTCGCATACTATTCCGAACGGGTTGCAGAATTATTAAAAACGAAGGGAACATCAAGTATTGTCATAAACGTATTGCATACCATAGTAAAAGGATTTATTTCTTGCTTGTAGTGATCAAGGAACCTCAACCTCCTCAAAATCTTTCACGCACATATTAGTACCACCCCCTCCCGTTACTATTTCTCCATCCCTCTAATGCGGAATCCCCAACACAGAATGCGACCCGTATCCAGGAAAAAAACTGTTTAAGTGTAACTTTGTAGGAAGAGCAGCATCACAAATGCGTTTTGCGATTACAGGGAAAACCTGTCATGCGCAGCTAGCACGTGGAAACACGTATGAAAGTAGCCTACGACGCACGTCCAGCATGACAAGTCTAACAGTTTTGCATTTTCAGCATCACAGAGTATACACCTACACAGTTTTTTTCTTGCATAACCCGGCTTTGTCCTTCAAGGCCACCTCTTTGTACAAATCCTTGTTTTCGTATGAGAGTGCACAACTCCCCCTCCCCCTCATTTCTATTTTTGCATGAACAGCAATACAAACACCAACACACATGGAGCCTGTGCATGACAAATTCATGTACCTCATGTAGTAAGTACTGTTTGGGCTACCAGAACTTGTCATGCAAACAGTGCCAAGAGGCACAGACTAAGTTTGGGATTTTGCATGACAAATGAGGGAGAGGGGAAGTTGTGCCCTGTCATATTTCGTTCAGCTGTTTTTTATACCCGGGAATCATCTGCTCCAACTTGTTTTTCCATTTCCCCTGCACGAAATCCGGCCACGCTTTCTCCACCACGTCCAAGGCGATTTGCACGGAGACGCTCGCCCCCGGACTCGCGCCCATCAAGCCGCTGATGGTGCTATGAACTGCAAAAGTATCGTACTCGTATAAATGCATCACAAATTTCCTCAGCATGAGAAATTTTAATTTGTAATGCGAATTTACCTTAAGAAAAAGATTTGTATTACAAATGATTGCAATACGAGCACGATACTTTTGCACAGGATAGGTGCGGTCTGCTTTCTGGATGATCTCGGTGCCAAACTGGATGATGCCGACTTTCGCCTTGTCTTCCTTCATGATTTGCACCTGAGACGAGAGTGGTCGTTTGCTGAATGTGTTGTGTGCTCCTGCAAAATTGAATTAGAAGAGCAACTTGTTTGTGTTTCTCATGAAATGAAGCAATTGCTTCAACCCAGTTAAGAACGAAGAAACCGAGAATTATACCCTCTGTCCCGCCGTAATTTGCGACCAGTCCTCATCCTGTGCGTTTGGAAAGAATTCCCGCAAAACTTGCATCCGTTCCGCCTTCGTGGACGCTAATTCTTTCGCCAGGTAGACACTCAAGTCGATGTTCTGCCCGCCGGCCGCGACCATGGGGATGACGTTAAACGGGTTCACTGTGGAGATCAAATCCAGCGGTGACCTATCCACTGCAAACATGTCTGGGTCGATTTGTCATGCAGTTTTTCCAAACTTTTTTCATCTGGACTTGGAGGCTCAGCATCACAGGCAGTAGTTCTGTAGCCCCTTGGTGATCATGTTGCCTATTCTGCATGAGAAACCACGACCTCTCAACACGGCCAGACATGATCATGCGCATCTTTTCGACGAGTGACGCAAGGCAGATTTTTTTGTGAGCTGCAACTTGCATCACAAGTTCGCATTGCAGCTACTGACCCAGATGACATATTTGCATTTGATACGATCCGTGCTTCAAAAAATTCGGGGAAAACCCGGCGTAGGGGCCGAAGAGGAGAAGCTCCTCCCCCCGGATGTATGCATTGCAAATACGCTTTGGTCTGGAAGTACTAGAGTGCAAGATTGTCATGCGTGTAGTTCCGCATGACTCATGAATCTGCCTTGCAAGAAAAGCAGGAACACCATAGCTTCTCGCCTGTCATGCAAACCCCCAGCTTGTCATGCAGAAAACACAACACATAAGAGCTCAAAAAATTTTGTCATGCTTGACTGCGCATTGCGGTGTCGTCCCAACATTCGCAAATTAGCATCACAAGTTTCCAGACCCAGATCGATATTTGCAGTGGATAGAATGTACCTCCGGTCCAAATGCGGGACCGACATCGGGGGAGACCCGACCGCCGCCTTGCCGTAACACTTCACCGAGTGCCGGCACACCACCTCCGGTTTGCGGCAGACGAAAAACTGCCCGGAAACGGGGAACCCATATGCTCTGCAAAAGTGTCGCACCCGTAGTATTGCAATAATGCATTACAAAACTTTTTCTTCAGGTATATCCGCACTACAAATTTTCTTTCTCATGCTGAGGAAATTTGTAATGCAATGAATTACTACTAGTACGATACTTTTGCAATTCATAAACCACCGTACCCCGCGATTTCCGGAATCTTCGCTTTTTGCAGCAGCTGGAGCGAGGCGCCACCTTGAGTTGTGGTTTGGCAGTGAGTAGAATGCGTTGGTCATGTCGTCTTGTTCATTTGTTCATGTGGAAGCGGAGATCCTCGTCTGGTTCAATAAACGATAAAATCAACGCCAATGCTGGCTCACTAGAACGACGTAATAAGTAAATACGCAAAGCGCTACTCGTGGTCTAGAACTGTATGCAAACAAGAACTACAACAAACACATAAGAACTTTAGTGAAGTATGTAAGTACTTCATAAATACCTGCCCCCACGAAAACAAAGTTCGCCCGAGTATTCACCTCCGCTTTGCTGCCGAAACCGAACGGATCCGGCAAGCCCGTCGCCGTCAAGTCTGGCAAGCCTGACTGCGTGTAGGTTGACTTTTGGTGCACCGTCCAGGTGCCGTCGCTGTTCTGACGCAGTTTGTCCGCCTCCCAGTTGCCGACGAAGGTGCCCCCCGCGCGCTCAAACGCCGCAATCAAACCTCGAAGGAGTTGTTGGTGGGAAACAGATACAGAACTACACTGCGTTATACATTAGCAATAGCATGACAATTATATATATATTAAAAAATTCTGACGTCTACTACTAAAGTCTGCATAACCACATCAAGAATTTTGATCATGAAAAGAGTCCAACAACTTAATACCTCCTGTTAATGCTCCCCAGTCGTTATCAGTTCCCATCTGCACCCGTGTACACGCCAGCTTCTCCGCCCCGGATTGTCTGCCGTCCATGATCAAAGGTGCCCATTCCGCGATGGTTTTCTCGTCCTCCGTAAACTCCATCGAGGAAAACAGTGGTTCTTTTTTCAGCCGCTCGTACCGCCGTTTTAACATCGCGACGTTCGCATCTCCGTGCACGAAGGAGAGGTGTGGTGTGTGGTTTAACCAATTCGTGACCGGGATGTCTAAAATCCTTTCCTTCGTCATATCCAAGAAAAAAACTGTGTTAGTGTAACTTTCTTGAAGGAATGGCATCACAAGTTTGCTCCGCATGACAGAGAGAGCTTGTCATGCGTGGCTTGTAAGGGAAAACACACATGAAAAGAGGGCCGCATGGTTGTCCGGCATGACAGGTGTATCTCTGCTGCATGTTCTGCAACACAAATTTACACTTACACAGTTTTTTTCTTGCATACGTCAAATACGCCCACCACTGTTTGGAGACGTGGAATTTCTTATGACCGTGCACAATTCCCCCTGCTCCCCCTAATTTGTATAGCATGAACAGCAATGCAAGTGTCAGTAATGATACAGGTTTTGCATGACAAATCAACGCCGGATTGCAGTGCTCTTTGTCTACTTTGCGCTGCCAGAATCTGTCATGCAAAAAGTGCCAAGAGACAAAGGGCGCAATCGGTAGAAGTACTTTGCATAACAAATCGAAGGGGAGGGGGAGTTCTTGTGCACTGTCATATTTCTCGCAAATGTCGAGCGCTTTGGCGATCTCCACGTGGTGCTCTCCGGTTTCTAACTGTGACTCCGACGTGTAGTTTAGCTCGCAGTAAGCGGCGTGGCCGGTCCTATCCACTGCAAAAATGTAATCACACTTGCCGCAATCGCAATCCTGCATGGCAGATCTGCTTGTGCTTCTGCCTTCTTACCTGAATCTGCATGACAGATTCGGTTTCCTTCTTAAAAAAAATTGTCATGCGATTTCTACTTAATAGCACGTTTACGTTTGCAATGCGTAGGTTCCTGCGTTGTTGTACGCTTCACTAGATTCCATCGCCGGGGATTCTAAACGCTCGATGATTTTCACGTTCCACGTATCAAATGTAAAAATGTCTGGGTCTGGAAGAATGCAACTTGTGATGCTGAATTTGGATTCCAAAAGAATCTGTATTGCATGAGCAGCAACAGGAGTCCAGTTTGTGTTACGCGGAGAGGGAATTTCTCATGCGGAATAGGCACTAGGGAACCCTCTAAAAATCTGTGATGCTAGATCATGCATTACGTGCGTCATGGATCATACAAAATATGCATCACAAATCCCGAAATCTTCCAGACCCAGACATTTTTACATTTGATACCACGAGGGTTCCAATAATTTGCAAAGCAGTCCTACTGACGCGGACATAACCCCGCCGCCGATGCAAAGCACATCCACGTGCTCGTCGCCGCCGGTCAGGTAGGACCGTTTTTGGGTCGTTGTAGTCAGTGGTGACGTTGGCGTTAGGACGCTGCTTCTACTGTGGTTGCTGCTGTAGCTGGTGGTAATTTTTGACCTACTACCAACTGCCGGCGTCGCTGCCGTACAACATACCGTCGTCAATGGCCTAGAAGCCACACTACACCGGTGCTGGGCGAGCAGCATCTTTGCCCGCGGTGCGGACTGTCGCGTCGCGGTGGATAGCACGCAGGGTTCTTGGCGGAAAGACGTGCTGCCCGTCAGAAGTACTGGAAGGTCGATAACGCGGAGAGGAGCCAAAAAATTTTCCTCACATGAACGACGCCATTGGAGGGTGGCAATATGAACTCGCTTCCAATTGATGGAAGCGCAGTTCGAAACAACTAGTTTAAGTTTTTGGGGAGATGATGAAATTTTAAATGATGTCGCTGGGTATGATATACTATTCTGCTGTGCACTACACAGCCTGCACGCTCCCACATCACAACTCGATGTTTTTTACCGCTTAATACGTGGACAGGCAGTCTGACTCTCATTTCACCCAATGGAAAAAACATTTTTTCTTCTATCGCAGGGATGAGCCTCTACTCAATCAGTTTCTGAAGAGTTCACAGGACGACAGATGAAGGTGAACTATAACACTTCGGATACGAAGGAGTACCAGAGGGGCCTGCTCTGCGTTGGTTGGAGGCGCTTCCGCTTGTCTGCTTAGATACAGTGGTCGTGGTTGAACTTGAAACAGAAACTGGTTTACAAATAGATTCTCAAAGCACAAAAGGTGGTCCGTTTCGTGTACAGCAGCAGGTTGTAGACCGAAAGACCTCGTTGTGTACATCAATTTTCCTTTTGTTCAATGGGGTTTCATACAAGTTCATTTTCAGAGGTCGTTGCCAACAATCTAATTTATAAAGAAACGAGGTGATAGTAAAAACCAGTCACATATTGTATCTCTGCCAACAATATCTACCGATACTCAAGTCAACTTTCTCAAAACTACCAGTGGACCAACATGGTCCAATTTGCAATCTATAAACAAGCTACAAGCTGTATTTCCGCAAAAATACGCTTCATCAGTGTCAGAATTTTACTACGCAAGTTTTGGATTCACGCAAGCCTCAGCCTCTCTGAAGTAGAGGTTGGCTGCATTTAGTTTTTGTGTCTATATTCACGAAAAAGGTTTATTAAAGGTTGGACGAAGTCGGGCACGGGTCGTTGCTAACCCTGTTCTACTTCACGATTTGCTTTTAGTGTCAATGTCAAAGTTGGAATATTTTTATAAGTTGTAGTTACGGTATAATTTCTTGAAACTCTTTATATCTTCCTGGTGTCAAAAAGCGAATCGCTACGACACAGTACTTAGAAGTATATGAAATAAGCTCAATTGTACAAGGGAAAGGTGGGCGGTTCGTAGAGGTGCTGGCACTATCAAATGCAAAAATGTCTGGGTCTGGATGAGTGCAGGAGTTTGTCATGCAGATTTTACGTGAGCGTGTTGGTCTAGCATGCAAGCCCTAACATCACAGGTTTTGAGCGGGTATCCCAATGCTTAATCTGCATGACAGATACCCTGCGTCGGTGCCAAGAAATGGGCGACTTTTGCTGGCCATACATGACAGATTTTGGCATGATGTAGAATTCGCATCACAAGTTTGCATCCTTCCGGACCCAGACATATTTCCAATGCATAGGCGCATGTGCCGCTCGATCTCAACCAGGTAGAACCGTAAGGAGTCCACATCCGCCAAGTACGCGGGTGGCACGGTGACCGGGTCGAGTTTCCGGGCGAAGCTCCAGGATATGGCGTTCTCAAATGTTACATTCGCCACTGTTACATGTTTTGTCATGCAAAATGGGCACTAACGCCCACGCGGTGAAGCTACTTCGCATGACAAATTTAGGAAGGGCTAAACAGCATGGGAATCATCTGTGCCGAATTTGTAATGCAAGAGTTGCAAGAAGTCCGGCCTTTCCCTGTTGCCATTCTTGCAGCACAAATTCATGTAACAGTTGAGCATTTAACAATTGACAATCCCATACAGGACACCGTCCGTTTATTCAGCTCCGCGTGGTCCCGCATGTCCACTTGGGCAGTTTTTAGCGATTTCTTCTCCTTTTTCGGTTTCTGCTCGCTGGTCTCTCCCGGTGGTCGGACGGAATCGAGGGGGGAGGTGGATACCTGGTTTTGTAGCAAGTGCGAGTGTTATCAGTTATGCATTTACAAATCTTTTTCCTAACGTCAATCAGCATTACAAATTCCATTTCTCATGCTGAGAAATTTGTAATGCAATTGATACTAGAACATTGACATCGCATAAAAACATAACAAACCCCTATATCGAAGACAACAACACAACAAAAACTACCGGTTTCCCGCCCGGCAGGTGCCTTATTGCTTCCGGTAGCATGTAGTTCGGGACTTTCACCGCTTTCTTTTCGATCTTTACTGCGTCGTAGTTGGCCTTCCCGAGCTCCGGCGGCGCTTCCTTGTACCTATCCCTCAACGCGGTGATTCGCCACGCCAACCTGCCCTTGTTCACCAATCGCACGCAGGGTTCCTTCCGTTTCGTCAGAAACCGCAACACCTTCAAAATCGCGAACACCGTCAGGTTATCCCGTGCAAAGTATCGTATTCGTATTGCAATCATGCATTACAAATCTTTTTCTCAAGTTAAATCAGCATTACAAATTTTATTTCTCATGCTGAGGAAATTTGTAATGCATTTCTACGAGTACGATACTTTTGCAGTTCATACAGGTGTTCCTGCTGTTTATGCAGTGCAAATATGTCTAGGTCTGGGAGATTGCGAGATTTCTCATGCTAGTTTGGCGTGACTCTGAACTCTGTATTGCGTAGGGCCATCGGAAGACCTCCTCTTGTCTGTCATGCAAAAACGATGTTTCTCATGCGGAATACGCAAGACAGAGCCACGAGAAAATCTGTCATGCTTGGCGTTGCATTACAGTGCGCTTCCTGTTCACTGACATGCATCACAGGTTTCCAGACCACCCAGACATATTTGCACTTGATACTGTTCCGCTCGTGTCTCGAGGAGATCCATCAAAAATATCCTGAGTAAAAACGTACCCACACCAGAGCTGTCATGCAGATTTGCCATGACAGGAACATTTGTGATGCGCAACCCCATGACAGGCATTTTCAATCGTGTAGTTTGGGAACTTGTAATGCTGTAAACAGGATCAGCAGATCGATTTGTGATGCGGCTTTCCTTGCTAACTTGTACTACCTTACGGACTGAAACTTGTCATGCGTGACTCACAAAACTCCTAGGTTTGTGTTGCAAAATCCCCATCCCGACTCTGGTGTGGGTACGTTTTTACTCAGGATAAAAAACAGCATGTACTTGGTCGAGGTCGCCGCTTTTCGCTTTTCCAAGTCCGCAGCGGTGGTTTTTGGTCTGGAAGAAGAAGAGCTCGCCGTGGATTTCCCGTCGTGTTTATTCTGCTTGTTACCAGATGTGCTGCCGGGAGAGGTGGCGAGGTGCGGAGGCAGGTTTGCCTGGTCGGCGAGAGCTGATGTATTTTTAATATCGTGGTTTGCTGATTCACTTTTTCACCGTTTTAAGAATCTTCATGGTCGTGAGAATAGAAGTGCAGCATCATCACAATCATGATCGTCATCACAACCACCGCCCGTCCTGCATAAATAAACCAGAGAAGTTCTGTTCTTGGAGATTTCGATGTAGATTTCGCATGAGTCAAATATTGACAAAGTGAATCAACCTTTCTCCTTCTTCTCCTCGCTGTCCACCCAATTTTCGATCATCAACCCAAGTAGCCCGATCAAGTACAGGTCGATCCTTGGATCCCGGGGCGCGACCTCCGTGGGGCTGACGCGGTCGATGTGATCCAGAATGATCCTGCTGTGCTCCATGATTTTTTGCTTCTCGAGCGACGAAAAAACCGTTTCCGATGGTGGCATACCTTGTTGCGATACATTGATGTTACTTTTTGTGGGTGACCACAGGGGGAGGCGACACAGCAGTTGCGTGTGCGATCTTACACAATCGCATGCGTATACAAGAACATTTCTTCCCCTTCTTGCATGCTCCATTATTTCTAGTTCAGCATCGAAGGATGGCACAATTTGTTACTTACACAAAGTAGTATCAGTACCTTCCAGCCCCCCCGGTGTACCCGTCCTCAGTGCTGTGAGCGCGTGCTCTGCGGTCTGGCAGACTCGGAGGCACAGCATTGCGATGGTCTGGTCGGTCAGCTGTGTTTGAAACGCGAAATGGAGAATAGAAAGACAAATTCTGAATCTCATATATGAAGATGATAAGCACGACCTGCACCTGCTGTGTCGTTCAAAAAAATCATGGTCAACTACTTTCGCAAAAGTAATGGGAGGACTTTATTATTTAGCGAAAACAAGAAATCGCATGAAAACTACACAGCATCATCACCGACTGATACAAGAAACGATAGCACACTCACTATAGTACCTTCCGATCCTTCTTTCCCCTCGCCAATTCATCTTATCCCACGAAAAAAGTGTTACAGTTACACATTTGTAGTGAATTCAGCAAGACAGATTTCTCTGCATGAGAGAGAAAACTTGTAAAAATGCAGAAATCCTAGGGGAAAACACCTATGAAACGAGGTTTCTATGCACATCCGGCATGACAGAGCTTTTCTGTCTTGCTTGGCCTGCAACAGCACAATGTGTAACTGTAACACGACTTTTTTCTTCCGATACATCTGCTCTTTGTGTGAGTGTCTCCAGCATCGCCGCCCAGTCGAAATCGACCACAATCGCCTTTTATCCTGTGCAAAAGTATCGTATTCGTATAAATGCAAGTCCTGCATTACAAATATTTTTCTCAGGGTAAATCAGCATGACAAAGTATATTTCTCATGCTGAGAAAATTTGTAATGCATTTATACGAGTACGATACTTTTGCAGTTCATACCTTTTGCAGTTCTGCGTTCGTTATGCACCATTGCAAAATAAGCATTGTACTTCTCGTCTGAGTGCCAGTCTTGCACGACAAACATCTTTCTTTCCCAGCAACCTAAATCAGCATTAAACATTCATCAACTTTTCTTCTTCTTGCTATTCAATGATGCAACTTATACTATAAGTTGCATCATTTAGCTATCTATAACATAGATACCAGTACGATGCACTACTTTCAATGCATATTCGTGAGTAAATCTTCGTATCGCCAGAGAATTTTCTCGATTTCCGGGTTCCGCTCCTTCCTCAAGACCCCGATTGCATCTCGTAACGCGTCCAACTGCTCGCCACTCGTGTATTTGCTACCGTAACTCAGCGTGTCCAAAGCGGAGCGCTGCAACGCTTCGAAAAGCTCGTCGATCCTTATGACAGTGCACAATTCCCCCTCCCCCTCATTTGTATAGCATGAACGGCAATACAAGCATCAGCAAGAGTGCCGCGTCCGCATGACAAATTTGCACTGGAGTGTAGTGCTATTTGGGCTGCCAGAAATTGTCATGCAAACAGTGCCAAGGGGCAAAGGGTGGACTGAGTATTTTGCATGACAAATGAAGGGGAGGGGAAGTTTTGCTCTGTCATAACCCTCTGGTCCTCGATGCGCACGGATTGCAGGTCCTGTACGTTTGTTTATGTTTTTTCACAGACTCGTGGTAATAAATCGCACGCCAATCGTGCATGACAAGAAACCTCCTTCCGAAAGGGTGAATTAGCATCACAAGTTTCGTGCGGCACGCCGAGGTTGATGTAATTTGTGATGCAGTTTATGCATACCTGTGCAGCTTTGATCTCTGCCCTCGTCGCTTTCTCGGGCGTTTTATCAACTGCAAAAATGTCTGGGTCTGGAAGCGTCATGCTGTTTTTGCATGACGCAGAAAGTCTGGCATGGAAGCTCTAGCATCACAGGTTTCCAGAAGCTTCCGCAATGCCGAATCCGCATGACAACTCCCATATTTTGGTGACAGAAAGTGGGCAGCTTTTGCTGCCTATGCATGGGAGATTTTTCTGTGTTCTGAAATGCGCATCACAAGTTTGTATTCTTCCAGACCCAGACATTTTTGCAATTGATACGTCTTGGTCGGCTTTTCCGGGTAGTGCCGCACACACAAACTCTGCCACGGGTCGTGGTAGTCCCTGAGCGGGATCGCGGGTACGGGTGAGATGGGGTCCGTTTGTCGGATAAAATAGGTTCGTATCCTGGGCAAAAACGTCCACACCCCAGCAGAGTTGTCACGCAAATCTGCATGCTGAAAATGTTTCTCATGCGGAGCCCGCCCATGATGAGAAGCATTTTTTATTCGTGTTTTGGGATTTGCGATGCTCGAATCAGCATGACGCGCTAGATCTTTCACGCTGCTGAACTAGCTCAACAGCATTACTTACGCTACGAGGCCAGACCTGTCATGCGCAACAGCCAAGACTGGCTGATTTGTCTAGCAGACTATTCATCTTGACTATGGGGTGGGGACAATTTTGCTCAGGATAGTTCGGTCGAAATTCTCATTCGCAGCCTCGCGTCGATCAATCGGGAATTCCAGGTTTGTGGGCAGGTTCGGGTCGCGGATCTCACCTGGCGACGAGTAACAGCATCAATTTACTATGGGCGACACAGGAGAGCAGTTCTACTCGCTCGTCATCCAGTGCTTTCAATTACTACCAACACTCCTGTCATGCACAAAAACTCGGGCGGATGATGAAAACAAAACAGCTGATGATCCATTGATAAGTATGAAGAAGTACCTCGTGGCCACAGCGTCCTGTAAACTGGATTTGTTGGGTCCACTATCGGAGGCGTCTTTAAATGCTGCCGCATCTCGGGGTCTCCGTACCCCTGGTCCTGAAACCGCTCCGCGAGGTACTCCATTTTTGTGTTGTGTTTTTTCTTTATTCTAATTTGATCTTCTGAGCCGGTTCTTTGCTTTAGAAATACTTAAGTACCTCCTTGTTGTTATAATCACGACCGCCGCCACCTTCTTCACCCTAGTAATGAATTGGTTTTTGGAAACAAGGAAGAATCACTTCGAGGACACAGCTAGTGAGTAGAACCGGATGAAACTATGGCTGCTTGCCAATGCCAAGTGGCCTCTTGATGTCTACTGGTCGTGCAGCGGTATGAAAATAAAACAATTTCACCGTCGCTTTGAAAATACACTCACACTCTATTACAACTCTCGAAGAACAAAGTCGGGGAGAAAGGCTTTACAGGCGAGACTATTGCGCTCCAGATGATCTCTCTTCTACTACCTTCATCGATCTCGTCGCGACACTCAATACAACAATTGCCAAATTTCACCAAAACGAAAGCGAATCGAATGCAGCTTGTCAGTGCGGAACAACTACAACTCCGGTGTCGATACCTAACGAAAACGACGAATCTTCCTTTTTTTTTTTATAATTTGCGATGTCGACGACAGCGACATCAGAAACTTTGGTGGGGTATTCCTAAATGCTCATGTAACGTCGTCTGGTGCGCTCTTTCTTGTTCTTCCGAAAGATTACGATGTACCAAAAAGTTTCATGTTCGTACTATACTCATCAGAGGCGTGCAGTCGCCCAGCTGTCTAACACTTTTTCGTCAAAGGGAACTAAAAAAACCATTACTCTAGCTTTATCCAACCTTCCCTTGAGTCGCAGTACATTCATCTTTTTTCTCTACTTCCATCACGGCCGCACCGCTCACAGGGGGGGCAGGTGTTCGTTGCTGTTTCAACTTTTCCACCTCAGAACCAGTACCACCTCCGTTTATATTTTCCGGCTCCCCGAATGGTCGCTTCTTCTTCTTCGCGGCAGGAACATCAGCGTTGTCTCGTCCGGTAGTTCTTTTGCCACTCGTTCCGTTTTTTCGCTTGACAAAATGCTGGAAGTTGAGAGACAGCAAAGTAGGACCACGATTTTCTCCGACAACGGCTGTAGCACCCCCGCCCTGATCCGAATTTATATAAATCTGCTTCTTGTAGAACTCCTGCACCACCTTCTGCCCGAAGGTCCGCAACGCCCCTTGCAGCCGCCGCTTCATATCAAATGCAAAAGTGTCTGGGTCTGGAACTGGAATGTTGCCGGGTTTGTCATGCATATTTTGCACGACCCAGGATGTCTGTAATGCACGACCTAGCATCACAGATTTTTGGAGGGCTTCCTGATGCCTACTCCGCATGACAAATGCCCTCCCCGCATAGCACAAACGAGACTCCTCTTGTTGGCCATGCAATACAGATTTTTTTAGAGTCAAAAGCTAGCATCACAAGTTCCAACCTTCCAGACCCAGACATTTTTGCAATCCATACTTCACCTTTCCTAGCAGTTTCTCCAGCCTCTTTGCTCCAGCCGCTTCTAGCACACTTTGATGCGACGTAGAGAGTGTGTCGCCAGCAGCGTCTTTGGACGAGGAAGCAGAGTTCTTGGGCCGCGAAGGTGGTAGGTTTATTTTCGCTTGAATCTGCAACACAGGTCGCGCGAGGGACGAGGTGCACTCTCTATTATTTTCCCGTTCCTCTACAGGCGCCGGCGCCCCCTCACTCAGACTTGTCTGCCGAAGATTTTGTGTTTGCTGAAACGCAAAGTAGCGCATCACCCGCTGTACCAGCGGCGTGAAAACGGACGGCGATTTGCTCCAGGAGTCATACTTCGGAAACTTTTTGCAGAGCGCCTTCAGCTCAGCCTCGTCAAGAAAAAGCATAGTTTCAGTTTGATAGTGATTGAGATACGTAAGGCTAAGTACATTATATATTTTTTCACATTCACTCGGTTGTAGTTGTACTAATTGAATAGGGTTCGCACCAGCAGCATCAGCCTCAGCGGTGTCACTGTCACGATATTAATTCCATGTACAACTACACATGATCCTCACACACACATACTATCTACTCTTCCTGGGAAGGAGGATCTTCGCCAGATGAGTCGACAGAGAGTTGTACACATATCATCTATGAGCTTGATGATCTTTTCAGTACTACAGACGCCACCTGGAGGAAAGAACCTGAAAAATCCTTCGCGAAGCACCTATAGGCATGTCTTTTCGGACCCTTTGCTTTTTTACCTAGACAGTGATCTTTTTACACTTGCACTTACCTCCTTGCTTGCTTGCTGCATGCAACGCAGCGAAATCAGATGAAATGCAGGTTCGAGACACGACAAAGAAATGACTGTCGAACACATGATCCGTCTTCCTCTGCCCCCGTATCTTCCCTTGTGTGAGCAAGCAGTGGCGCCATCTGCGCGACCAGTGCCACCATCTCCTCTACAAGAAGTGTTTGCGTGTGGTACTTGAAGAATATCCCAGATTTTTTGCATTCGCATCGTACACGTTGTGCTCGAATAGGTTTTTGAAAGAGCACGTTTCTTTTGTTCCAGTGAAGATGATAAACGGCCCGCGAGATGATAAAAATAAACTTTTGCTTTTCTTCATACCTTCCTCCCCTAGCTACAGCTGCTTTTGAGCCCTTGTCTAATTCGCATTTCTAAACTATCTTTGGCTTTCTCGCCTTCGCAAAGCAATTGCATCTCGTTCAAGCGTAAAATAAAAAATCCACCGGAAGGGAAGTGACTAAAGCGATACGATACGCAAAAACACCCTCGTTTGTTCTTAGATACGCCAAAACAATCTTCCCTTCGGTTGGTTTTTCGTTTGAGGATTCCAGTTGTGTAAATCACTGTAGTGATAAGAAGAGAAGTAATATATCGTTCCCCGTACTATCAGGGTACTTAAACTTAGTTCAGGCAAAATATAAATTTGGAGATGTGGCAGGTGTCGTTAGTGTAACCACAATCAAATCTCATAGTTTATTACACCCACTTTTGTTGCCGAGGACTGCAATTCGTTGAGCTGTCTTTCTTGCAACACAAGTAGGACAGACCTGGCTAGTGGTAGTGACTACACCAGGGTGGTCCACCTGTCACGATAAAATAAATTGAAATTCTACCTCAGCGCGCCACTAATAATTCAACACGAAGCTACAGCATCATGTGCCACCGCTTTAATATTGGCGTCGTCGAGTGATTGCACCACTTGTAGTCGAACGCAGCTCGTCCGTTCAACCGTAGATATGGTCTCCGCCAGAAGCCGTGCCCAGACTGGGCTCGGCTGTTAAGAATGTTGCGGGCTTGATCAAGCGAAGGAACTCCGGCACGGACGACTCTTCGGAGAACTCCAAATTTTCCGGAAGTTTGAACACTCCGCGTGCGGTATCGTCTAGAAACAGTTGCCGCACCACATTGTCATGACAATTTCAATTTGTATATAATATGCAAACTAGCAGCGCAAATGGCAAAAGCGAGATGCTCTTTTCCAAAACTCGAGTCGTGTTGGACATAAGTCGGGGGAAAAACTCTTTGGACAGGTACCAAAAAAATGGCCCCTCGGTCGTTTCCTTGCCTTCATCTTTGCGTCATTTTGCGTCCGCACATTTTAATTTTCATCAACAGCATGACGTTCTTTGCAGCGTTGGTTTCTAGTAACGTTTGATACTCGAACACGCGATCAAATGTGCTCGCGTCAGATCCCCCAGCAAATTCGTAGCGCACTGGCGCATACACACGCTCCCCATTTTCCTTGTTCACGCCCTCGGCGAAAATGAAAGTTGCCCGCGCGATCTTTCCCCAACGAAATTCCAGCTCCAGCAGCATTTTCCCGTCCAATCGCAAGTCCCCCGTGCCGCTGGGAACATTGTCTCCAGTGTTCGGCTGATACCAGCGCAGGCGGACGCCCGTGAAGGGAGACGTCGGGAAGGTTTCTGGGTCCATTTTGATGCGGTCGTGTGCGAATGTCGCCCGAATGTCGAAACTGCGATTTGAGGTCCACGGTGTGTTGCGATGCCCCTCAAGCTTGCGCAAATGCTTCGCGTCAGCAGTAGACCCCCCTAATTCGTCCGGGTTCTCTGCGGGGTAACTCGATCGCGGTAACCACACGTGCTGGACGACACCACGACGGGGAAACAGCACTGTTCCCCGCACCCTCTCTCCGCTGGCTGTTCCGCACAGCCAGCGAAGAAGGGTGCGGAAGGAGTGCCGCGCGCTTTTGCTCTTAAACCCACAGAGAGTAGCAGGGCAATCTTTACCAAGTTGCTGCTCTTGCCATTCCCGGAGCACGTTTGTGAGCAAACGCCTCAGCCCTGGTGGGATCCGCCGCCACTGCGCCTCAGATAGCGTGGTATCCAGTGCAGCAAACATCGATCTGGGTCTGGCAGGCTGCAGCCTCATTGAAGATGCTACCTTTGGTTTTGGACTTCTCTGCATATTAAAAAACCCTGTATAAAAGTAATTATTGCATGCTAACAAACAGCAGTGATGAAGAGGTCCAGTTTTTGCTACGTGGAAAGGGCGTTTCTACTCATGCGGGATGGGCATCCGAGGAAAGCTCTCGCAGAATTGTCAGTTATACTAGGGCATGCATCCTCCAGACCCCGATCGGTATTTGAACTGCATACGTGGGGTAGGGTAGCTTGCCGCGGATGTCCTCGTTGAATTCCTCCTCACCCAGGGCGACCCAAAACGGGCTCCTCGGAACCTTCCGTGTGGTGCAGGTGTCGAGCACTTTCAGGACATGCGTTGGGCCGGCTTCGTGAAAATATCGAGTACGCCCGAGATTGTCTTCAGGCTCGGGCACCAACTCGCAAGGGGACTTGGACATCGCCTCCTCCTTGTGCCACAGGTGGTACCTTTCCAGCGTTGGAAGAGAGCCCGTTGAGTCATCGGAAAGCTTGCGCAACAAGGTGTCGTCCAGTCCAAAAATTTGCATGAACACGTGCCTTGTGCTGGCGTTCACTTTCAAAAGGAATTCATCATCTTGGAGGGTTGGGTCTTCTGTACTATTGTCCAGCACTCCGGCCGCACGAAAAGCAGGATTCCCGAGCACGTCAGCGACATTCTTAGGTGCGTCCCACGGAATCGCTATGGTTCCTGCAGCCCTGCTCTTAAACGGCAGAAAATTGACAACATTAACCTGCCCCCACTGGCACAATTTTCCTTCATTGACCGCCCGTGCGAGATCGGAAACGGGTGTTTGTACGTCCAAATTGCGCACGGTCGCCAGCAACTCGCCGTCCAGGTTGAACACTTGCACGGTTGCAGTGATACGTCTAGTGCTTGCTCCCGCTCCAACTACGCTACCGGGATGAGCCATCGTAGCGGTGGTTCGGCCACGGCTTGATGCTGCTTTTCCCTCATCCTCGTCACCCACTGGCGCCAAAGGGCCATCTCGACCGGTAGAAGTGCGACCGGTTGTAGTACGACTGGCGCTGCGTCTGCGACTGCTGCGCCCTCCGGAGGCAGCTTCTTCCTTTGGTCCGAGCGAAAGTTGCGAAAGCTCGTCCCTCATCTGTTGATCCTCGGCGCCCCCAGCGGCAGCAGTGCAGCTCAACAGCCGGCAAGACAACACAGCTGCGACCAAGAGGCACTGCGCCGCTGCACCAACCCCGCGGCACCGGGCGATCGACGTGAAGGCACCGTCGTTGCAGGTAGTGCTAAAGTAGACCATCTTAATCTTTTCTATATTCTCTGCGAAAGCCTAGAGCTTCTTCGTTTAGGTTTAGGACAGCTCCATGTAAAGTCGAAATTCTTGGGTCGAAATTTTTTTCCGATAAGATCTTATTTTGTGCAATAAATACGTACCTACTAGTGCCAAAGCGTAGAAACCGAAAACACTACGTCGTTGCGATTGGAAATGTATTTTTAGAATGTAAGTTTTTAGCTTGTAAAACTCGGAGGCAATTGACACCACCAGAAGCTGACTTGAATCCAGATTAATGCCCTGAGAAAAATATTATTGATGACCATGATTGTATTTGTACGGCACGGAGCTTCTCGTTTCTCATCATGAACTTCTACCCCCCCTGTATGATATTTTCTATGTTTTCTTGCAAGATCCCAGAGGGAAGTAGAAATCCTGAGCTCCGTCGCTACAGGTTCTGAGATCAACAACATTTGTCCTTGTACGATACACAGACGATCATGTGAAGATCCCGTGGTAAGTACCCTTGGAAGATTACCTAGTTTACTCTGTCATGAAGATCTAGTTTACTTTGTCACCGTTCCTTTGATCCACAACGACAGGCGGATGCAATTGCAGGCTAAGTACCGCTTGTTTTTGCACCCCCTGTCGCCTTGCGCTCCCTGTGGACATCATGGTGGCACATCATCAACAGCAAGGATCTACTTTAAATACTTTTCACCGCGAGCTGCAGGTGCCGGCCGGCTGTCCTCGCACCCACAGAGCGAGGGTATATCAAAGATAAAAATCCGAGAACGAAAAAGTCGGCCGCGGTAGTGGAAACGAAGCGGACGCGCAGAAGAGCAGTGCCACGTTAGTCGGCAAGAAACTGGTTTTACTTCACTTTGGTTGTCAAGTTCAAAATGTAAGTACAGTTCTACTACAATTGTATCATACAATCAAAAAAATCTCACATCTTCATTTTATACATATTGCATTCGTATTTCAATTTCCCCCCCGACTTTATTTCTCGACTCTCACGCCTGCACCTTAATACAGAGAAACAATTTAATTTCGGCTTCTATTATGGCACGATTCTAATTCTTGTCGCTGGTCTTCTGGAAGAAACTGAAACATATCGGATGAAACATCTTTCTTGTCGATTGCCGTATACAATGTAAACATATCGGAAACTGTAAAACTCTTCATGTGGTGCTTTGCCACCGAAGCTTTGATGGCCCTACACAAGGGGGGCACCAGCAGCGAGCTGCTCTGGTTTATTTGCGAAAATAGAAATACGTTTGACAGTGAAAAAATAAAAAAAGGTGTCGTTCTCGCAGTGCGTAGTAGCTGCCTCGTGGGCCGCACGACAGCAGGTGGCTCATTGATACAATTTCATTTTGTCATGGCAATAGAAGAAACACTAATACAGTAGCTAAAAATGTTTTTAGGGTAAAAATCGTAGAAACGTAGTCGAGTTTCTCAGGGTTGGACAAAACTTTTTTTAGTTTTTCGTGGACCAAAATGAACCTGTTTCTCCATAACGTCACACCATTCCACAACTGGTCTGCGGGTCCACCAGGTGAGTCATGTCCGCAGCAAGGACCCTCGTATCCACTGCAAATATCGAGATCTGGGCTCTTTGGAAGCTTCGAAGTTTGTCATGCTAAATTTGAATCGCGAAAGTCTTTGTGCTGCACGAACAAGATGAACGGCAATAAAAGTTACTGTCCATTTCTTGCCTCGCAAAAGATCCCGTTATGCGAAATCGGCATGGTTTAAGAAACTCTTGCAAACAAATTAAATTTGTGATGCTTCTGGGTCGTGCAGCATTCCAGAAGACCAGCTTTGTGATCATCCACGAGATGCATGACCAATAACCTCGCACTCATCTTCCAGATGCACCAGGAGATGACGAATTTGCAATGCATACCTCGCATACAGTTCATCTGCAACCCCGGTTCCATACCGTCCACAAGGAAATTATGGGATTCTCAAACGTTACATTCTCAACTGTTACATGGATTTGTCATGTTGGGAAACTAAGGGCAGGGCGTCCCTTTGTAAATTACGTCGACAAACTCTTAACCGCGTACCCGGTAAACTCCAAAACAGAAATTTTTGAACAGCGTGATTTCTACCGAGAGACAACAACCTTAAGCCGCCTTTGTTACATGGATTTGTCATGCAAAACTACCTTAAGCCGCCAGATGGTCAAGCTGCTTCGCATGACAAATCTGCGAGGGGCTAGACAGCACCTAAATCTGTGCGGAACTTGTAATGCAAAAGGCGCAAACTTCGCCGTTTCACTTTTGCCGTTCTTGCATTACAAGTTCATGTAACAGTTGAGAGTGTAACGTTTGAGAACGCCATAGAAATCCCCGTCGGTCGATCAGAAACTCGACAAAGTTCGACTTCAAGCTGTTGTATTTTATTGTGTTGGCGTCGATGACCTTCTTGTAGAATCCGCGAAAAAGTAATGCTCTGTTTTTTGACGTGGGAAACAAAACGAGTCGGTCATGCAACATACACTTGTTAATGTCTTACAACATTCTCATAATTTTCTACTACGTCAAAAGCTATTTTACTCAATGGCCGGGTCCTCCACCACCGTGTAGCCAGATTGTTCCGGCGTCGTCGTCGTGCCCATGTATGCATTTTCGCAAGCCTGTCTGGTTTGTTCGGGATATTTTTCTTGTCATGCTCTTTTTCCATGAAGTGACCCAGTAGTAGCTCTTGCAGATAGAAGCAATTATAGCATGATCACAGGTTCGACGGCGTTGTGGTACTATTGGCTCAATAAGTTGTACCTGATCACGATGAATACCACAGGGCTACTTTATTTCCTGTCCATGCATGACAGGTTTTTGTCTGATCCGAAATGCGCATCACAGGTTTCTAGAACGTTTGTTCCAGACCTAGACATGGTCATTGCAGTTGTGGATACCATTAGCCTATGCTGTGCAAAAGTATCGTACTCGTACTAATTGCAAATACGCATGACAAATCTTCGTCCAAAGGTAAAACAGCATTACAAATTCCACTTTTCTTCTTGAGAAAATTTGTAATGCAATTTATACTAGTACGTTACTTTTGCAATGCATATAGCCACGACACGTTTTCCGACACCGCTTCGTACCACGCTTTTTCATATCCTGTGCAAAACTATCGCACTCGTACTAATCGCATTCATGCATCACAAATTTCTTTCTCAGGTAAAATCCGCATTACAAATTTTTTTTCCCATGCTGAGGAAATTTGTCATGCGATTTATACTAGTACGATGCTTTTGCATTTCATATTTCATCACCCCCTATGCAGGGCAAACATCGATCTCCGTCACTGGGAATTTGTCATGCTAGTAGACAAGACGAGTAGCAAAGAAAGTAAGTGTATAAAATTAGAAATTAAGCAGCCAAGCATGACAAATTTTTGCGCGCTTCTGTGGTGCCGAGATGAAGGAGCCATCAAATATTGAACTTGTCATGCGCTTTTACAGCCGCACCACATGGAGACAAGATCACAACTCCGTCAAAATCGATGCGACTAAAGATAAACTTTTGAGCAATCATTACAAAAATGTGCTGCATAAAAATCTTTCGACAGGACCTCTAAACACAGTGACGACATATTTGTTCCGATTAGATAGTACTACTTGTCGCCTCTCCATTTTCACCTTTGCTCCTCGTAGACACGTGCCCGAACTCCGGCGCCTCGCCTTTCAGAAACTCGAATAAGGGCGCCACGTCGGCGTTGGGTAACTCCGCGCCGGTCGTTTATCTTGAGTAAAAACGTGTCTACACCATAGTCAAGATGGGAAATCTGCTAGACAAATCAGCCAGCCTTGGTTGTCTGGCATGACAAGTTTGTCCTCGTAGTGTAGTCCTGCTTAGTTGGTTCAGACGCATCACAGATCTAGCATAGCATGCTGATTCTAGCATCACAAATTCCAAAGCACGAATAGAAAATGCTTCTCATAGGGCTCCGCATGAGAAACTTTTTTGGCATGCAGAATTGCATGACAACTATGGGGTGGGCACGTTTTTACCTAGGATATCGTTGGGTGAAAACTCTTCCGGTTCACATGGACCGCGGGGAACACCTATCTTGTGCAAAAGTATCGCACTCGTGTTGCAGTCATGCATTACAAATCTTTTTCTTAAGGTAAATCCGCATTACAAATTTTTTCTCATGCTGAGGAAATTTGTAATGCATTTATACGAGTACGATACTTTTGCAGTTCATAACACCTTGGCGCAGGGTTTCCGGGGCTGGCACAGACTCAACGGGGTAATCTGCGAGCCACCGCTGTCGCGGCGAGACGAAGAGGTCATTGCTGTAGTTCTCCCGTCAAGACTATCAAATACAAAAGCACCATCGTAGGTTTTCGTACTTACTTTCAGTGATGCACATGACAGATCTATGGCCAATGGGACGAACTCAGTCATATGGTACAAATTGCAGTTTTTTCTGGTACAAATTGGAAGAACGAGGCCTTCTATTTGTAAATACAATCGATGCCAGTACGAGGAAACTTTTACAAGATGCATAATGACTGTCCAAGGACGCGTCGTGATGTTCGTCGAGTCGCTGCTTTCCAAGAAAAAAACATTGTAGGTGTATACTTTTTTGGAGGATCAGCATGACATCAAATATCTCTTGCATGACAGCAAAAACCTGCCATGCGCAGATAGTAAGCGAACACGCCCTTTAATGGACCCCACGATGCATGCCAAGCATGAAAGACGCAATCGACTTGCATGTTGCGCTCGCATCACAAATTTACACTAACAACGTTTTTTTCTTGGATAGCTGCTCCAGATCGGACAGTAGACTGTAGCAGGCGTCGAAAGCTCCGGACTGGTGTTGCGTCGTGTGTTGCTGCGGCCCTCGTGGTTCCACTGCGCCGCTCCCGGGGAAGGTTGGGGTTGGAAACAGTAAAAAAGTCACGGGCTTGTTCCAAAACTGCGTGTGTAGACGAATCAGCAGCTGCTCCGTGGGCTGCGGCAGCACGCAACTCATGGGCAAGGTGAGCACGAGCAGCACCCGGTTACTGAAGCAAGTACCGTCCCAGGGCTCCTGTCCCGGCGGATGCTGGTTGTACTCCTCATCTTCAGAGTCGCTGGCCTGCTCCGGGGCCGGAAGGGGCTCGAGAGTTTTCAGTAGATCGTACAAACCCTGCGCCTTGGAGGTCCGCGCGCTGCTGGCACTGGCCCAAGGCCCATATACCACATGGGCCTTGCTGGTCTCTGCGTCTACCACCTGCTTGACGGCGTCCTGCAGTTCCTGTATGGCGTTCTCACATGTTACATTCTCAACTGTTAGATGATTTGTCATGCACAATGAGCATCAACGTATACACGGTAGAGCTACTTCGCATGACAATTTTGGAAGGGCTAAGCAGCATGGTACTCTGTGCCGAATTTGTAATGCAAGAGCTGCAAGATCCGGCCTTTCCCTGTTGCCATTCTTGCATCACAAATTCATGTAACGGTTGGGAATGTAACAATTGAGAATCCCATATCCTGATCATCGTCATTGTAGGAGCTCATGGACCATTTGTAGGAGCTTGCGACATATGCATTGCAAAAGCATCGCACTGCTCGTGCTAATCGCAGTCATGCATTGCAAATCTCTTTCTCAAACGAAATCCGCATTGCAAATTTCATTCCTCATGCTGAGAAAATTCGTTTTGCAATTTATGCTAGTTGTACAGTATATCAAATGTAAAAATGTCTGGGTCTGGAAGAATGCAACTTCGCATGCTAAATCTGAAGCATGCAAAAATCTGTGTTGCATAATTACCAAAAGTCGTCCAGTTTTGACCAAGTCGGGAGGGGGTTTCTCATGCAGAATAGGCATGAGAGAGATCGCACAGAATCTGTCATGCTAGGTCCTGCATTCCAGACCTCATGGGTCATGGAAAAGTTGCATGACAAATCGCGTATTCTTCCAGACCCAGACACTTTTGCATTGGATACAGTACAATGCTTTTGCAATTCATACTACATACCCCTGCGCCTCGTGCCATTCCCGCCCACCGTAGCGACCGCGGACAAAACCGTGCACGTCTACAAGAAATTTTACAAAGGGGTAGGGCAAAGCGGTGGCCTCCTGGTTCGCCGGCTGCACTGCTCCCTGGCCCTTCAGGATAAAGTGCGCCTTGTCGGATTTTACGTGGCTCCAGAACCGTTCTGAGGCGAGGCGCGCCAGGTCTTTTTCCGTGAACGCTTGTTGGTAGACCTTTTGTACAGTATGGTTTCATTTGAATTTGTTTTTTTTTTATCCATTGAAGCCGACGGGGAGGTGAGTCTGGGTCTTCGATGCTTTTATTATGTCTGAGTCTGTCGAGAGATACATGAAAGTAAGTAAAACACAAACTCTGTAAGGCCCTTACGTCACAGAAATGAAGCTGGTACCTTATCCGGATGGGTTAATATGCAGGCCCACGTAGGAGACATTACGGGGCAGGCGGCTTCGGCGTCATTCGCCAACCATGCATCTGCCATGTGGCTGGCCACATGCACATCGGTGAAACGCGAGGACGCTGGCGCGTATCAAGAAGAAAAATTCCCCCTCCCCATATCAAAACGGAAATCTGTAATGCACATTTGTGGTCACGTATCAGCTTTGTTATGCTTGAAGGAAAAAGATGCGGATTGTAGTGCTGGGGGCGTGGGAATGCCTTGCATCTTCAGCATAGCGAGAGGCAGCTGGAAGTGGGAAACAGCATGACAAATTGCCTGCAAACGAGGCCACAGCTGCGGCTCTTGCCCTTCTAGCAATACAAATCGACTTGTGAAACTCAAATACAGCATCACAAAATTCTTTTTCGATATGGGGAGGGGCAGTTATTCCTTCTAGTAGCGCGAACACGGTAACGACGGCAGAGGTGGGCGGGAGCTGGTGCGGTCCCTATCAGGTGCAAATATGTCTGGGTCTGGGAGATTGCGAGTAGATTTGTCATGCCTATTTGGCATGACCCAGGATGTCTGCAATGCATGACCTAACATCACAGATTTTTAGAGAGTTTCCAGATCCAGATGCCTATTCCGCATGACAAATGCCCTCCCCGCGTAGCACAAACTGGACTACTCTTTCGCTGGTCACGCAATACAGATTTTTTATAGAGTCCAAAGTTAGCATCACAAGTTCCCTTCTTGTTCCAGACCCAGACACATTTGCAATGCATAGTCCCGCATGCAGCGCAATTTGCAGCCCGGCGTCCTGGCCGGCGGCGTCGAACACTTTCACGCTCAAGTGCTCGAGTTCAGCGTAGGATTATCCTGTGCAACTGTATCGTATTCGTATAAATGCAAGTCTTGCATATACAAATCTTTGTCTTAAGGCAAATCTGCATTACATATTTTATTTCTCATGCTGAAAAAATTTGTAATGCATTTATACGAGTACGATACTTTTGCAATCCATAAGGATTTGCCCGCGGCAATTTGTCTCGCCGCCGCGCCCGCCGGGTGCGGAACGCAGGCGGAATACTCGTCGGTACCGTCCGTTGGGAAAACCAATATTGTATCCTGAGTAAAGACGGCGTCTTCACCGCAAGGTCCTCGAGATGGCTACACCTTTGCGGTACAGAAAGCAGCTCGCCGATTGGCTGTTGCGCATGACAAGTTTGTTGAGCTCGTAGTTGTGTACTAGCATGCCTCTACCAGGTGCAACCGCATGACAAGCATCGGCTTCCTTAATACCCTGAGTCCAGCATTACAAATCCCGAAATTATAGTATTTTAGAACTAGGACACGCTCCTCATGCTGTTGCCGCGCATGAATATTACGGCTTAGGCTTGCAGATTTGCATGACAATTCTGTGGTGGGGACGCTTTATTTACACAGGATACATCGCGAGCCGGTTGCTCTGGTACCGTGTGCGAAAATGTTCCTCCAGAAACCGCAAGTGCGCCCCCGTTTCTTCCAGCCCGACGTATCAAATGCAAATATGTCTGGGTCTGGAAACTTGTGATGCAACTCTGTGAATGATGAGCTCACTGCAAAAATAGGTGGCCAAGCATGACAAGTTTTTGAGCTCATCTGTGTTGCGTATTCCGCATGGCAGGCTCCATTTTTGCATGACAGGCAAGAGGATCTACTTTTCGCGCCTAAGCATCACAGAGTTGACGGTCATGCCAGACAAGCATGGCAAACCTTGCATCCTTCCAGACCCAGACATATTTGCATTTGATACGACGCAGGTTTGCACGATGAGCAGCGCTTTGTCTTTATCCTGAGTAAAAACGTCCCCGCCCCAGAGTTGTCATGCAACTGCGCAATGACAGCAGCATTTGTTATGCGCAGCTCCATGAGAGGCTTTTGCAATCGCGTTTTGGAATTTGTAATGCTGTGCATAGGATGAGAAAATGGCTTTCTAATGCGGCTTCCTTTGCCAACCAGCACCACACTGCAGAGGGAAACTTGTCATGCACAGCTCCCAAAACTTGGCGACTTGTGTTGCTAGATTCCCAACTTGACTATGGGGTGGGGACGTTTTTGCTTAGGATAGTCTTGGAATTTAGCACGAATATCTTCGCGCGTCAGCCGCTTCGTGGCGAAAGGCTGCTGGTGAATAGTACTTATGCATTGCAAAAGTATCGTACTCGTATAAATGCAAGTCTTGCATTACAAATCTTGCTCTTAAGGTAAATCCGCATTACAAATTTTATTTCTCATGCTGAGGAAAGTTGTAATGCATTTATACGAGTATGATGCTTTTCCTTTTGCAATGCATAGTGCTTCCGCCTGTGAGTGATGTTTTTTTTGATTTTATCCAAATTGATCTAGTGCAGCTCACAACTGGTGATGCCGGTCGTACAGATGACTGATGTATCTTTTGCAATAAAAGTCAGCTTTCTCGACTGCAACTAGGTTGTACAGTTCTGGCTCTGCATGATACGAAAATTATAGACACACCTTCCTTTCACGTAGTCAACATACACGTAAACGAAGACTAACCAGCTGTACTACCACAGTGCATAGTAAAGTTCTACCGTACCTTGCCCACGGTCCGGGAAGTATTCCAAGCCATCTAAACAGGCGAGAACGTCTATTAACAGGAAAAACCCCCCCTCCCCATATCGAAAAGGTATGTTTCCGAAAATTTGTGTTGCTGATTTGAGACCACAAATCGCGTCCGTCTTGCAAGAAGGCACCTCCACAAGCGCCGCAGCATTGTGCAGGCGGTTTGTGATGCTGATGGGCCTACAGCACGGACGTTCCTCATGCTAGACGCCTAGGCCAAAACCTCTCTACTTAGGCTTAGTATGGGCCTGCATTTCTCTCCAGCAAGACAGATCTGATTTGTGTACGCAAATCCTGCATCAGAACCTTCGTTTTGATAAGGGGACGGGGGATTTTTCCTTTTGATAACGTCGTGGCACCGGCTCAGCATCGCGTTCGGCGGGTAGGGCGGGCCGATCTCGACCACATTGTTGGCTTTTCTTTCAGACGATTTTTTTTGCAGGAAGTAACTGTCGGCTCTTCTGCTTTCCTCGTGGTGGTCCTGACGAAGCTGCTGTGGCGGTTTTCGGTGATTTTTTCCTTCGACAGGGAGCAGGCGTAGCTGTCGAGACGCTGTACTTCTTGCATCATGATCTTGATCATCATTTCGACTTCTTCTTGTACTGCTACTACCGGTAGAAGTAGTACCGGGTACTAGAGGTAGTTCTTGCTGCGGCTCCTGTAAAAACGTGGCCGGGTTTGAAAAAGAAGAAGAAGAAGTGGACATCAAGTCGTTTACGTTCTTGCCGTTTTTTCCCTTTTTGTTCCGCCGGTGTAGTAGCTTATCGTGTCTGCTCGTCGCAGAAATCTCGTTCTGCACCTGGCCCTCGGCATCGATGCCCGCTTGTTCATCGGAGAAATAATATCAAATGCAAAAATGTCTGGGTCTGGAAGAATGCGAGATCTGTCATGCATATTTCTCATGACCCATGATGCCTGCAATGCATGACCTAGCATCGCAGACTCTTAGAGGCCTTCCTGATTCACCTTCCGCATGAGAAATGCCCTTTCCGCGTAGCACAAACTGGAACCCTCTTGCTGGTCATGCAATACAATTTTTTTCAGAATCCAGAGACAGCATCACAAGTTCGGACTCTTCCAGACCCAGACACTTTTGCAATTGATAAATAAAGGTATTGTTCAACTTCGGTGTAGTCCCGGTCGCTCTTGGAATGGGCGTTGCTGATGCTTTCATCCATTCTTCTTTGTTCCACCGTGGAAGAGGTTCTGGTTCTTGTACCAGGATCTGCATCCTCGTTGCTTGTCGTTGCTCCAGCACTCGCTCGCAAAGAAAGTTGTACACTGCAACTGAAAGCGAAGAAAGAAACCCACCGGTGCTGACGCTGCGGTACTATCGTCCCTGGTGGTCGTCCCAAGAGGAGCAGCGTCCGGCGGTGTTGCCGTCTGCTTTGCTGCTGCTGCCACATGTCTTGCAACATGGGTCTAAATAAAACTTAGAAGTACCTACTAAAGCTCCATTCTGACTACCTACAATGACTGCCTGTACAAAAAATATTTGCGGTTTAATTAGTTAGAAGAAGAAGCGCAAGCGACTTGTCATTGAAGTAAAAAAACATGCGGTAAGAAATCGAGACGAAACTAGCACTCAATGGTCATATCATGCGTCACCAGCCCGTACGACGCCTCCCACGAAAAAACTCGTCTCTCTCGACCCGGAGTAAGTAGTGTGTCTACTTCTACTTCCGATCACAGCAATCCATTCCCTTGTTGGCACTCAGATGCAGCTCGCTCTCTATGTGTCGTTGTTCACGATGCAACGACGGATTTTTGCAACAAACCGTTAGTTGAAACTGGGGTAGGCAAGATATTCTTACAGAGGCTTCCCCATTCGAGGTCGAGCGACAAAGAGTTGAGCAGGGCACATCGAAACACTAAAGCAAGGTCCCTTGCAAGGACGATGGCAGCGCACAGGAGCCTGTGCTTTCGCTAAATTGCGCAGCTGCAAGAACAGCTTTTTCTTCGAAATTTTGGTCTGGGTAGAACAAGTGCTTGCTTTGCTACAACAGTGTTGCGAATGTAGTAAAAGTCTTCAAATACAAATCAGGGTAGTGCATCAGAGTCATTCTTTCGGAGTAGATTCGAAAGTGAACAGAAAAGTGTGAAAGTGACAAGTGTAAAATTGTGACAGTGTTAGTGATACTGATAGAGTGATAGTACATAGGTCGTGTTTTCTAAACACATGAACTACATCTGGTAATTGCACTACATGATGCGTTGTGGATACAAAATCAACATTGAATTTGTGATACACGCTTAGTGCTGTCGTGGTTCATCTTATTTTGGGTACAAAAACTACATTTTGAAACGGGCTCTTCAATACTACGGCGTTGCATTCATTGCTTCAGCCCACGAACATGACCCAGGCTCCTTCGCACCATGCTCGTCGGTCGTCATAGCTATAGCACCTGTTCTTGTGAAGAAGAAGCGCCATCTACTTTGGTAGATGATGCCGCAGGTTGTGGTTAATATCGCTGATGTACCCGGCCGCAAGAAGTCGTGCTTCTGTAGTTCTCGGCTCCTACGTAGAGCAGATCGTGTGCTGGCTAAGTTCAACAGCTGGGTGAAACTGTGTACGATGGGCTTCCGGTCGTGCGCGAAATGAAGTTTTTGCTCAAACCAAGTACTAAATTTCTGATCCCGTTTTACATTCCCATCCCGACGATGATGTTGTTGATCGGGATGAACACCAGCTTGACGACGTACCTGTATGCATTGCAAAAGTAATGCAGCTAGCATAAATAGCATCACAAATTTCATCGGCAAAAATAAAAATTGAATTTGTCATGCTGTTTCAGGTTTGAAAATAATTTTTTTCATGCAAAAGAACGCCAAAGACATATTAGTAGACAACATTATACCCGATGAAGCCCATAATCGCGAAGCCGATAGCGCACGCCACCGAAATCTTCTTGAATTCCCGCGCGTCCGGCTTGGTGCATCGCTGCAAGGGTTATCCACTGCAAACATGTCTGGGTCAGGGAGGATCCGAACTTGTGATGCGTGGTGCAGATCTCACAAAGATCTGTGATGCATGACGTGCAAGAAAAGGTGCCCACACTTCTAGCCATCATGCTGAGAGAGCATTTCTTATGCAGGGTCGGCATCACCTCCAAGGGGCTGCAGACCCTGTGCGCTAGGCCCTGCATTCCAGACGTGGGAGAGCTTGGAAAAACTGCATGACAAATCTCGGACTCTTCCAGACCCAGACATATTTGCATTTGATAAGAGTCGCTTGCTGTCGATGATAAACTCCAGAAAAGAGGAGAAGGCCCAACCTGGAGGAGTAGGGTTGATTTAATATTTCGCGTGCATTTTCCGATTTCTGTCATGCAAAAGCCACTTTTGTAATATTATGCATGACATGCATTACAAATTCACCAAAATTATACCGATCGGCTGCTCCTTGTTGGTCAGAAACGGCGGGATTGGAAGGTGGGCCAACGGGTTCTGCTGGGCGGCAGCAGCAGCAGTCTTGTCACCGGAGCTCGACATTTTATTGTGCGAGAGAGTTTTAGCCTTAAATGATCCACCCGAAAAAAACTTCGGAAATTACAGAGACTAGAAGTGGTCGAAAACTACTGCCAAATTACGACAACCGCAAACTTTATCGCCTAAAAAATCGGAATTGAGATTGCAAATCCAAATTTTCTATCCGTACAAAATCGAGTGCGGTTTTCTGAGAAGCAAAAGGAGATGTTGAGAAAGGTTGTTGATATGGAGTGAAGTACATCAAATGTTGGCTATGCAATGAGTCCAAGTAAAATTGCTAATGGCATCAGTCGCATGTGATGATCTTTTTCGCAATGGTTTTTGCTTTTTGGTTTTGCTGACGTTCACTTCATTTTTGATACGAGCAGGTACAGGTCTCAATGTTGCAGTGCTGCTGCTAGGTCTTCTTGCTCAGTTTAGGATTTCTATGTAGCTGGATCCACCTTTGTCGCAGTGTATATAGCAGCGAACTGCTGCTAAAAATGCAGCTAGCCGACAAAATAAATTCAAGATCTTCATGTCGTCGACATCACGCCAGTAACGCATGCTGCCTTCGTTTTTTCCATTGAAGTCTTGCTCCTTCCTCGAACAACCAATCTGCTCCCTTCGAATCTCTGGTCTACTCGTCTGCCAGATTCGTTGCAAGAACCCTCGAGCGGCAGGGTTTCATCCACGTGCTGGTTGTGATGAATTTTGATTGTATATTTTTATTGCGCTTGTTTTCCGATAAAAAACTCGCATAGATTTTTGTGTTCAAAAAAAGCTGAATAATAAATTCTTCCCCCGTAGTAAAGAATCTCCAGAGCGAAACCGAAAAAAAGCGGCCCCTCTTAGTACAATTGATGGTAGCCTATCCTGATAGCGTGTTGTGCTCGTCCACCTCCTGCGCCATCTATCAGATAAAAACTAGGTCGTTGTAGTTGTATCCTGATCTTATTCGATACTATGGAAAAGAAGATGTGTAGAGTATAGTGAAATGGAGTTGTAGCAGTATAGCGAAGATTTTTTGTTGTTCTTTCACTGTACAGATTTGCATAAAGCAGTACCTAAAAATATCAGCCTTTAATATTTTCGATACTACTAGCGCGGTACGACAGATCGAAAAGCATTTACACCCGCAGCACGACTAAGTACCTGCGAAGAGAAGATGAAAACTTTTCTTCATGCCGAGCCCGACAGCGTGCGTTATTTTCGACTTTTCGAAATTTTTACATCGCGGTCTCTATCGTTTTGTCGATTTTTTGTCGTTTTTGTAGAGGTTCATTGTTGATGTGGTTTGTTTTTAAAATGTGCACCATGCTAGAAATAAATTGTAGAGTTCTCTTATCATACCGCGGACTACAGTAGATAAAAACACCGCGAAGAGAAGCGCGAGTCTATAACCTTCAAAGCATGCAGATGCAGATTTTTTCCGCATTTCGGTAACATGATTCATCGTAAAAGACTGTCAATCGACCGTAGAACTACTAGATTGGTGTAGTTCCATCGATATTACTCGACGACAAAAAACAGTAAAAAAGTAAGAAGATTTCGTTAAAAAGTTCGCGTTGTAAAGTTCTGTGAAAATATGGAATAATTATCGCTTTTGAGAGAAGAGAAGAAGTTTTTTGCATTAGTCATCAAGTGTAGAAATAGAATCTCAATCTTCAATAGAGGTGTAAAAATATAGCACGGTAATATGGGTCAGAGGGCACGAAATGGCTATCTTTCTCTGCTTTCCACTGGCAAAAAAAGTTGCAGCGGAAAGGGACGAGAAATAGCAAAGCCCTCGCGTGGTAGAGTTCTCAGTTGTCCGAGTCAGTTATGTACCGGAAGTCTGTTTGTGGATAAATCAAGCCGCAGTATTGGTTAGAGGTTCCTTGCCTAGTCGAGTCGCATTTTGTTGTTCATCAACATGATCGTCCCAGCAGTGGTATACATGAAAAGTCGGATTTTTGTTGCATCTACAGGTAGAAGGTTTTTACGGTTTTCGATTTAGTATAGGCTCGTAGGTTGTAGGTTCATTTTGTTGTTAATACTTACGACACGCAGCAAATAGTCGATGGGTTCTTTTAGTCCAATAGGGAATTCCTTCCTCCGATTTAACCACTCACTGCGCTAGTATCAGACTCGATAACCATATGTCAGTAAGAGTCGACTTGGAATCCCGCATCGCTTGACTTTTACAGGACAGCTTTCATGGCATATTGATTGTCATTCTATGTTGTCAACTAGAGGCTGTATCTGCAACGACCGGGGGAGATCTGGGAGCCTTCAATACAACCCTATCCTGTAGCTACTATCGTGAAGGCCTGATTGCTGCAATTATGGAATCAGAAAAAACTCCCACAACCGCATCAAAGCCGCTATAGCGGTATTTTCATCAAACTCGCGCTACTACAATAAGTATCCCCCGGTGATCGAAGAAGAGCTCCTAGTTTAATGCTGAAAAATACAAGAGAGAGAGAGAGATAACCTACATAGTTGAACTAGGCAGGACAGTATACGACGATAATGCTGAAAAATACAACAATATCATGTGTAAAAAGAAGAATTTTCGTATTATGCAAGCAGTCAGATTGGATAATTCTACTCATGTCGATTTTGCTTCGTTCAAAAAATGTTTTGTGCATTTGGATTAAAAAAGTGAAAATCTACTCAACCTAGAAAATTACACAATCTATTCCCTGGGTTCTACGAGATTATTCTTGTTATCCCTTACTGTCCCGTCTGATCTTTCACCTAAAGCAAGCGGCCTCCTGCGAGATACCGTACGCGGTTGTGCGATATCTTGTTATTTCAAACCCCGATGAGTACAATCAGCTCGCTGCACTATTTTAGCCCATTTAGTATCACTGGAACTACCTAGGCTCCTTGCTGCCCTTCCTGCGACCCGAGACTGACGAAGCTATCCTGTAAAAAGACACATGTTGCTCGATAGCTCGAGTCGTGAAAGAAGCCTTGTTGGGCGAAGCTCGTGACGGCCTTGAGAACAGCTACTATGCTGTTCCGCATAGAAGCATTTTCGGCCCAACAAGGTGAAAAATCGAAGAGTATAAAAATGCTTCTACTAGCGCTCAGTAAAAGATATTAGCTGAAGATTAAACATACCCCGTGTTTCAGAAGCTGTAGATCGGACAGGCACAGGAGATCATGGTACTATTATCGCATAAGAAATAGCACACTTGAAATAGCACACGAAAGTTTGAGAGAAAAGTAAAAGTTCTTGTCGTATAGTCATTCTCATATTTTTTGCCAAATTTAGCATGGTTCTAGCGTTCAAATGTTCGAGATTCAACATTTTCCTCGAACATTTTAAAACGACAGACTCAGACTACACATATTTTTACAAGTAACAGTTTCTTTCCTTCAGCAATCCCTCCACGTCCTCGTCGAACAACAGGTTGTCGAACCGGTCGAGCAGCGTGTTCACGATGTGCTCGCGAAACCAACTGGCCAGCTTGGGGCAGTCCTCGGTGCGCATCTCCCACATTTCTTCATCCTCCATCATTTCCTTGACCACCTCGTTGAAGCACTTCCGGCCCTTGGACGCAAACTTCGGGTCCCAGAAGAGCAACAGTTCCGCTAAAAACTGCAGTGACCTCGGCCTTTCCGTTTCCCGCTTTTCCACTGCGTCGTCGAAGAGGGTGAGCCAGAGCTTTGACCACTCCTTCTTATCCGTCTTCCAGGAGGACAAATAGTCGTCGACAATCTCGGAGAAGGGGGCGTTCTCCAAGACGTACACCCGCGTAGCCTTGGCCAGCTCGAGTTTCGCGTCCTCGAATGTCAGCTTGGGCACGCTAGTCTCGGCACTGTATTGTTTGTTTTTTTTTTTGCACATGACAGCACAAGTTTCGTATAATTGCGTTGTGCTATACTAACGATCAAATTTGTGGGATCTTCATCATACACTACAAAATTCTATCCGAAAATGCATGAACATCCTCAATACCTTGCGATGTCCTGCACGGTGTCTCTTGACTTTTTCTTTTTTTCCAAAACTTCTTCCTCGTCTTTCTTGGTTGACTTTTTCTTCTTGCTCTTCTCCAAGGCGGCAAATCTCGAACCCGAGGCTAAGTTGGCGAAGGAGCCGGTACTTGAGCCCGCGCGCTGCAACGCGTCCGGGGCGGAGTTGCGCACGGAGTTGGTGCTCTGGGTCTTGGGCCCCAGGGAGCCGTTGTTGGAGGGGCGTTGTTTACCTGATATAATAGAGGTTTGTTGCGATGGATATTTCCACTACAGGTATTGTACCTCTTCACATCGCAATCGCTGCACCACATCCTTGAATACGACAAAATCCTAGATGGTGCTAAAAGTAAATAAGGGTTTAGCTGAGCGGGCTGAACAAATATATTTTCATCGAAAATAATCACTTTCCATACCGCTCTTGACCGTCGCGAACCCATCGGCGTCGACAATGGTGACCGAGCTGGAACTCTTTTTCTGCAACAGCTTGTTGTTCTCTTCGTCCAAGACCGCCTTCTCGATGTCAGCGATCTTGCCCGCCTTCAGTGGCTCCTTCTGCAGCTATGAGAGTGCACAACTCCCCCTCCCCCTCATTTGTATTGCATGGCCGGCAATACAAGCGCCAGCAAGAATGCGGGTTTTGCATGACAAATTTCCGCAGTTTTGTAGTGCTATTTGGGCTGCCAGAACTTGTCATGCAAACAGTGCCAAGAGGCAAAGGGTAAGTTTGGTATTTTGCATGACAAATGAGGGGGAGGGGGAGTTGTGCACTGTCATAGCAGCGTGGTGTTCTTCACCCACCCGGCCATCTTGAGGTCAATCAAATCCTTGATCAGCGCCCGTGACCGGAAGTTCAACTCCGGGTCCTCCGACAAGTGGGCGAGCTCGCTGAAGATCCCCGTCCACGCTTTCACCGGCAGCTTCTTTTCCTTCTCCTTCTGGGTCAAAGGGTTCAGGTCCTCGTTTTGGAGGTTCTCTTGCTCGAGCTTCTGCATGGCGAGGGCGTTTTGTTGCTGTTGTAGAGTTGATGTTTGATCATGTGTGCGATTTAAATGCACTCAATGGCATCTCAATCTCATCAATTATCCAACTCGCCCATGACGTACTTACATGACAAAAAGGAAAAACTAGGTTTTAAAAATAAGGCTGCACATGAACTACAAAAACACAAAATCACAAAAAGCAAAATAACTCTGTACCTCAACAAACTGTCCCACGCTTTCTATAAAGACGCAAGCGGCCTCCAAGGACAGCTCCGTCCGCCTCTGCAGCAAATCCTGTAGCACCCGGCCGACGACCTTTATCGTCAACAGCTTGTTGATCAACAGATTCCCGACGAATTTCACATTCCCCAACCGCTTCTTCTTGTACGCGAAATACTTCTCCGTTTCTTCGTCCTTGTTGTCCGCGACAATCTCCTCCTCTTCTTTCTCGAACAAGTCCTGACAGATGGAGAGCAACATGCGCTTGAAGGTGGGCTTGGACTTGGAATCCTCTTCACCTCCTGCTTCCGCGGTCGGGGACACGGGGGCGTCGTCTGATAGTATCGAAGTAAGTGGATTTTCATCGAATATAGAGGGGATTATTTGTATTTCTCGATTCTCATGCAGGGCGAGGCATCGACTTCTACTTTTGTCATGCATGAAAAGATTCAATACCAAAAAATATAAATAAAAAAATCCAGTAAAAAAATACCACTCGCGAAGCAGTCTGAAAAAGCGTTTTCGTCGTGGATCTTTTTACACAGCAAGGTGTACATCTCGATAAAGTGGTGCTGCGTGGTGGCCTTCTCGAAAATCTCCTTGGTAAGGTACTCCAGTTGCCCGTACTTGTACATACCGAGGTTCGTGAGTTCCGCGTAGAGCTTGTCGAACTTTTCGAAAGTCAACTTGTTCAGGATGGCTTTAGCCTTCCGCTCGATCTGTGATTTGTGAATTTTAAATTGATTAAACAGTGTTGATCATATTCATTCTGATGGTCATGCAAATTTTTGTACATGTTGACCCGCGAAGATGTCTGTGTTACATTTCGCGGAGGATTGTGCATGCCTAGATACTGTATGAGAAATAACGCCATGTCTAGGTGGCAATGGCAAACATCTGTTGAGCGTCTTTTGTTGCTCATGCAATTGTATGATCGAATTCGAAGGTTAGCATCACCAACCCCATGGAGGCTTCCAGACCCAGGCATAAGGCTCCTCGCGGTCCTTTCTCATTCTCATGCATGGCATTATTAATCAACATCGTTCCATGCCGCAAATGCGAATTTTCAAACAACAGAAACAGCAAATTATCGTGTACCTCTGCGTCGCGATCGATGTTGTCTCCCTGTCGCATTTCCTGTTGCTGCTTCTTCCAACTGTTCTCGCCACTCTCGAGCACCGGCGCGGACTGCCTCTGCCAGTTGTCGTTATTTGACTTCCGGTTCTTTTTGTTGTGCTCCTTGTCCGGCAGCTCGGCGAGCCGCTGGCCACGCGCCCACTGGTCGCCGCCACTACCGTTTTGTCCGGCAGAGGACACACGGCCATCCTTGCTGATCGCAGCTGGGAGCTTCACGCCCGGGGGGAGGGCGAGACAGTTGGCCTTGTCCTGTTTTTGTGATGTTCCGTGTAGTTCTTGGCTTCAGTTGTACGGTGCAAGTAGAACAACTGGGCATCATCACAAAGACCAACTGGACGAAAGGGAAGTAGTGCGCATATAGTTGTGGCACATTTCCACAATTTGTAATTATCTCACCAAAAATGACTTTACAGCATGATTTGATCCCTTGAATATCTAAAAATCTAAATTGTACCTGAAATTGCTTCATAAACTTCAACGCGTAGACCCGATCCGTTGGCGGCGCGTTCTGTTTTCTGTAGCCCGCACGGAGGTACATCGGGATCTCGCTCGGGCAAGGTTTGATTTCGGTTTCTGAGGGTTTCAGAACCTCCGGTTCGTAGCGCGGCACTGCGGGGGCGGGGGTAGCTGTGGATCCATTTTTTTGCTTTTCCGTAGTAATTGCAATGATGTATTACAAATTTTTGTCAGAAGCTAAATCCGGATTACAAATTTTATTTCTCATTCTCATGCTGAGGAAATTTGTAATGCATTAATCACAAAACCAGCCAAATACGAGATTCGTTCTCCTCGCTACTGCTGACCGGCGAGCTGCTGGAGGGAGACGGGCTGCGCTCCGGGGTGTCCTTCAGCTCGGGACTCTCCTTGGTGTTTGTCCTGTTTTGTTTGATTCAATGGCATGCAGGATTCGCATGACAAATGAAATTTCCGATGCAGGCCTCGCCACCTTAGAACAGAAACAAGAGATGCGGGGGTCCAGAACACAATGACAAAAGCAAAACATGCAAAAGAAACAAAAATCAATTCTACGGCTCCTCCTCGTCCGGACAGTCCTCCGAAGCTGCTTTCTTCTTCGACACCCGCTCCGGTGTTTTATTCACCGCGGAAGACGTAGTAGTTTCCAACACCGGGGTCTTCGGAGTTTCTAACGGCAGATTCTTTGCCTCGGATAACTTAACGAAAGAGGAGTTGAAGGCGAAGCCGCCGGTAACCGGCTTCGCGACAAGCCTGGGCTTCAATTTGGACTGGGAAGAACTCTGTTGCAAGGTCTTTTGCACGACAGAAGTGGTGGTCGTGTCATTTTCACTAGCCGTCGCGGAGCTGCTGTTGTTGGTCTCTTCCGCGGTGGTCGTGGACGGAACCGACGCTTGCTTTTCGAGCAGCGGGATAGAGGAGGTTGTATTACCGGAGGAACTGTCTTCCTTCTCGATAAGATCATCTTCCTCCTCCGTTGCGACGGTCTTGCTGTTATTTTCCGTAGCGGCGGGTTGTTGTTGTTCCTCTTCTTCGGGGGTGTCGTCCTCGGGAATGTCTTGGACGGAAGCATTGGGATTCCTTGGCTGTGGCTGTTCCACCGGCTTTTTGGAAGCAACGTTTTCTTCTTCCTCAGAACTACCGCTGGATTTATTCGCCATTTTCTGTTCGCTACTACTTGTCGCTGTTTTAATATTGTTCCCCCACGGCTTTGCGCCCCAAGCGCCCTGCGGAGGTTGTACCGGAGACGGCGCGGCTAAGACGCTCTTGCTACTACCGCCCATCGTTGGGAAGTCCTTCTGCAAGTCTGGGACCGCCTGCGGAGCTGGCGCGGGCTTGGCCGGAGTGGTTGTGCTATCCTTTCCGGTTCTCGAATTCCTAGAGGGCTTGATCATGCTATTGCTGGCACCACTTCTCCTGTCTTGATGCAGAGAACCAGATTTATTACTGCCTTTCTCGCCCGTGGCTGCATCCGGGGAGGATGAGATGTCGCGTGGTGGGATCATGTTCTTACCGCTGTAGCTGCTGCTGCCCTTTTGCGAAGAGCGCGGCTGCGGTACTACTGCGGTAGAGGAAGAGGACGACATACTGCTTGTAGGCTCCTGCTCGCCGGAAAACCCAGCTTGGAAGTTGTTGTCCTTATCGTGCGTTTTGCCGTTACTGATACCTTTTTGCAAGATGCTGGAGTTATTTTCCTTTGACGTCGAGTTGTAGTGCTGCCCTTTTTGGTCCTTTCCTTTTCCCTCCATGGCTGCACCATCCTTGCCCTTGCCCTTGCTCGACTTTTCTTTCGACAGCTGGTCAACAGCACTGCCCTTCGCCGCTTTTTCTCCACCTTGTTGTATTCTCGGTTTGCTCTCGGTGACCGGCAAAGCGGCTGCCTTCGCGGCTTTCGCGGCCCAGCTGGACATTGCGGGTTTGGCGTCGGAGGTTGCGTTGTCTTCCTTTTTCTCTTCTTCAGCAACGGAAGACGATTTTACTTCCACCTCTTTCGAAGATCCACCGCCGAGCGCGGGGAACTGATCTTGCTGCAGAATCGGCTCTTCGGAAGCTGCTGCACCGGCCGAAGTCACGGACCTCTTCTCTCCCGTGGCCGAAGCAGCTTGTTCCTTCAGTGCCTCCTCGACGGAAGAGGGGGAACTGTTGCTCACCATGTCGGAAGTTGTGGTGCCCGTGTTCTGTCGGATCGACGGCTTCGGCGAGCCGGATGGCCTGCTATCCATGCTGATGCTGACCGGCTTCTTCTCTTTCGGGATAGAAGCACCGGCTGTCGAAGCGGATTTAGAACTCGCAACATTTTCGCTTGATGACGATGACGTCGCGGGCTGCTTTGATGATGTAGCAGTAGTTGCAGGATCGGCTACAGCAACACCCGCAGCATGTTTCCCAGCAGCGGCGTTCTCTGCTTCCTTCTTCTCATCGTGGATCTCGGGCCTTCGCCACGGAGCCGGAGTGACCTTCTCCACACTCGACGGCACTTTCTTGGTCGCGGCAGTCAAGGTCGGACTGGACGTGGCAATTGGCTCCTTTACGGTAGAAGAAGAAGCTGGCACCACAGCGGCTTTCTTCTCTACTGCGACGTCAGTTGTGGACGAAGATTCTGCTTTTTGCACGGCAGCAGGCTCCTCTGCAGAAGACGAAGAATTAGACTCCGCTTTCGTCGCACCAGCTTCAGCCGGAACAATAAATGCTGGCTCCGAGGAAGATGTTGTTGAGCCCTCCACTTTATTCGGGCTGGCAGAAACCTTTGGTGTGGCTTCCTTTTTCGACATACCCCAGGGAAGGATCTTTTTAGTCGCTTGCTCCGGGCTCTGGCGGACCTTGTGCTTCGGCTTCTTCACCTCCTGCCACTCGTCCTCCACTTCTGCAGCCGGAGCGGGTTTATTTTCCTTCTTCACCTCCGCCAATTTTTCAGTAGCGGCATCTGCCTTCTCTTCTGGCTTTTTCGAGGAAGAAGTTGATGCAGCAAGAACCTTCTTCTCTGTAGTCTCAGCACCATCAGCGGTGGAAGAAGACTTCTTGTTTTCCTTTTTATCCGCGGTGGATGCTACTAATCCGTCCCCCTTTACGGGCACCAGCACGACGTCAGCGGGTTTCACTGTTGTACCAGCAGAGGCTGCGTCGGGCGTTTTTGCCTTCGTGGCCGCCTTGGCTGCGATGCGCGTCCAGGAGGGTGCGGTCTGAGTTGGATTTTGGATTTGGAATTCAAAGTGTTGTCATATGATCTCGATTTGTCATGCGTGTCCTCAATGAGATCTCGATTTGTCATGCGATTTGTCATGCGAGTTCGCAACACAAAATCCAATTTTCTAGTACCTTTCCTGACGCTGGCGCGTCTTTCTGCTCCTCGCCGGCTTTTGCTGGAGGGCTCTCCAATTTTGGTGCCTTGGCCGGTTTAGAATCCTTCGCTGGCTTATCGGAGCTGCTGTTTTTGGAGTCTTGCGACCTGGGGTGGTATTGATTTGCTTTCGTCTATTTGTGACATGATGTTGTCATGCATTTTTTCCGTGGTGAATCCATTTGCTCATCATGCGTAGAATTGTTGTAGTGCATAAAAATTGTTGTATATGGAGATACAGCCTGAACTCCGTAATGAGTAATATACTTTGCCGCCTCCCCGTTGCTTGATGTCTTCGATGAGGTCTTACTAGAGACCTTCTTTGCGACGTTCTGCACGATCTCTGTGGGCACCAGTTTTGTTGGCTTCCCGGTGCTCGGATTAATGCCCTCAAGCTTGACCAAATGCGGCTGTTGCTGCTTCAGGTGTTGTTGCTGCTGTGCTCCCGCAGTGGCCTGCTTCATCTGCTGCTGTTGCTGGGCTGCAGCGGCGGCTTGCGCTTGCTGTTGCATCTTCGGGTTAACCGCACCGATGGAATAGACGCCCTGGTTCTGTGGTTTTTGGATCTTTTGCAAATGTGCATGACGATTTTTCCTAGGGAAAAACAGCATTACAAATTCCAATTTCCTTTTTGCCAAAATCTGTCACGCAATTTTTACTAGTACGATACTTTTGCAATGCATACCTCACAAAAAAAACAACTATATACCCCCAAATTTGGCTGCTGTTGCATCCCAGGACCCTGTGTGAGCGAGACCAGTTGCTGACTTTGTTGCGTGACTGCGCTCTCCTGGGAGCCCTTCCTCGAGTTCGTGTACGCGTAGGGGGAAGCGAAAACTTGCCCGAGGTTGTTCGTCGACAGAACATGGAAGACTTCCGGTTGTCGCATCGTTTGTTGTTGATTCAGGATGCGGAAATCTGTGATGGTGTTAAAGGTTGATACAGTTTAAAACATGCATTACAAATCTTTTTCTTAAGTTAAATCCACATTACAAATTTTATTTCTCATGCTGAGGAAATTTGTAATGCATTTATACGAAACAAAAAGAAAACGACATCATTCTGTCATGAAAATACCAACGCCCTTGTAGGTAACCCCGGCGCCCTGCTGCGCGCTATAGCTCGCATTGTACACAGCCGGCGTAGCAGCGCCCATCGTGCCTGGCACTTGAAAAAGTTGCTGCTGTACTACTCCCGTAGAAGTTGTACCATTTTGCATTGCAATCTCCACACCAGTATTTGCTGCGCCAGCTCCTGCGCCGACGGAAAATTGCCCTGGAATGAACTCCGACGCATTTGGGTTCAGTGTAGTTGTTTTTGACCCGGTAGAAGAACTACCCGCAGGAGGTTGTTGTGTCTTATTTTTGCTACTCCCCGTGCTCGAATTGTTCATTCCGTGTTGCGACATTTTGCCGTTGGACAGCGTGCTAGAAGCGGATTTGGTGTCGTCAGTCGCCATTGCGGCTGGAGCCATGGCAGGAGTACAACTCGTAGAAGAAATCTTCGTTGTGTCTGGTGCTGATCCGGTAGTTGCAGACTGCGTCGCCATAGAGGAATACTATTCGCCTTGTACAACTTGTTTTCCAGGTGGACGAGATTTATTTTCCTCGCTCGTTTGCGATGGTCGGTGTCCTTTTGGATGTCTATCGCTCTATTATTTTCCACGGCGAAGTAGAGTTGGAGCTGGGTAATCTTCGCTTTGATGTGAGCTAAAAGTCGTTATACAATTCCTTTATATTTTCCTCCACCTATAACGACGGATGAACGGCTACTATTCAGTTTGAACGCGATTTGGTTAGGTTCCTAAACTGTAATATCTTCACCCCTTTATTGACTGTTTGAGTCTGTCTCACCTCCTTCTCTGTTTGGTATACTATATTTCCTCGACTGCTCACTTTTGTGTCTTTGCCTTTTTGTGCTGAAAATGCGTCGTTTTCTGTTTTGTCACTCTCGGAAAGATGGCCTTTGTAGTTGCACTTGCCGTGTAAAAGTTTCACAAAGTGGTTATAATCTAGGCGCGGTTTTCTTTATGTAAATGGTTTTCTAACAAAAAACTATGCGTGTTAGTTCTTAGAAAATATCTCCACTAATAAATAGGCAAAATCTAGTAGGTGAGACGACTTTCCGGGACTATAGCTTTTGCGGTAGAAACATTTACTAAGAGAAAAATCTTCTGAAGAATTATGTGCTCATCAAACCGCGGAGACAACGAGGTTTGTCAAGCTTTGACGTGGTCTGCTTTTTAGTACACAGGCAGTTTGGTAGTTCAATACTCTCGTCAAGTTGCTTCGCTTTTGATACTTGAGCAGTGTAACGGCTTTTCTCAAAAAGCGAAGCACGCCGACGACCAATCTTTGGCTGAGACTCGACGGCACTAAAGAGGGTTTAATATCGTGAATGCAATAGTAAATCACTTTCGCTTTTCAAACTTCAATACTATGATACTTGCGTAGTTTTTTTTTTTACTTTTTTGATGCATACAAATACCGTCTTACTTTTTTTGTCTTTTTTTGAAATTTTTTCTCCTCCAGCTAGAATAATTCTTACAGTCTCTATAAGGCTTACATCTTGACTAGCAATGTGTTCTCCGTTCTTACACACCTCTATCAGACTGTAATACTCTTCTAGCACCTCTCCGTCCTGCGTTCGAATTTGATGTTGAAAAGTTTTTTGGTTGGATTCGATAGTGATAGCGACTTCCGATTTTGAAGATCGAAGACTATGCTGGGCAATTTTTTGTCGTTGCGCGGATTAGGATCTTCAGCTGCACATAATTCGAAGATCGTAGGCCGTTTTTGTCGTATTTCATAGCAAGGAAGGACCATCAGATCTGAACGCAAGAGGCTTCAATTTCGGTCGTCCAAAATTTAAATTTTGAAGATGATCTTGTTTTCCGCAATATGATGTGTCTTTTGTGGATTTCTAGACCTTGCTTTTTCGTCGAAGTTTCATTTCTATACGTAAAAACGACACTCAATTGCTCTTGCAACACCACGGAACAGATTTTTCACATGGAGAACAACCCAGCAGACATTCATATTGCGACCTAAACATCTTCTCAAAGATGCAGGTAACGACGCAAGCGGTGAAACACTTTTCGATTTCAGGTGGTCGTGGTACTGGTTTGAAGCTGCGATGAGTAGAGGGTTGTAAAATTTTTGGAAAAAGAAACTGCGTTGATCCTAATGTGAAAATAATGATACGGAATGAATCGTACATCGCTAGTATTGCTTAAAGCCCTTCTGTACAACTTCTAGGGGATCTTGTTACTCTAGCATCAAAGTTAATATAGAAGAGCTGTCCGTCTTCGTAGAATTCGATCGAATTTTTGAAGTAGAAAAGTGTTCATCATACAAAAAAGTCATGGTCTCATCGACAGGTTTCTGTTTATCTTCTCTGTGCTTGCTTGGCTCTGCTTCTCTTGTTCGTGTTCTTCCTCACAGCAGGGGAATGCGAATACTTTTTCGTTTTCCCCTGCTCCTTATCGTTCATCTTCGCAACGAGTGGACAAGCGGAGTCTGACGTGTAGGACGAGTCGGAGGGAACATCGGATAATTCTAGCGATGAGCTTGGCGTCGGGGACAAAAATCCACTCTGATAAGTAGAACCCCTGCTGCATGCTGTCTTTGGTGATGATGGAGCCCTCGTGCCAGCATTTTTCTGTTGCGGTGGGGAGCTGGAACCGCAATCATCTTCGTATGAAGTGCTACGAGCTGTCGCGGGGCAAGAGCTTGCTGCTTTCCGAGAGTCCTCCTCCTGCTTCGGTAGTTGATGGAAAGGACATTGCACGAGGCAAACACTGCCGCAGCTTGGGCACCACGACTTTGAGGAAGCGGGTGCGCCAGCACGTGGTGAATCGAAGGACGTTGAGGTAGGATCAGCAGCTCTAGAAGTAGGTGCTGTACCAGCTGCGTAGCAGTTCCCGTCTTCTGGAGCCGCGCCAGTTGCCTTGCCTTTAATATTGGTTTTCCTTTTCTTCCATCCCCGTGCGACCGCGATTGGCTCCAAATCAGGCACCCAATAGTAAACGGACGTGCGCGTCCCCACGTGCGGGTTGTGTGGTTTGTGGTCAAAGCACTTGTTTTCTCGTCGTAATTTCAGAAAAACATCTTCTAAAAAGTCGTTGTCCAAAACCCGAGAAAATTTCTTTCGCGCCATGTTCTCTGTCATGACACTCTTGTGCGCGTTCTTGCACGCCCAGCACGTTTGGTATCCGAAAGGGTGGGTGCAGTATTGGCTCCAGTTCAACCCACTCGAGTTCGCTTTCGATTCCGTAATCACCGTGTTGGGCACCGTCTTCTGGCAAAACTTGCAAGCAGCAGGAGCATTCTCGTTCGCATTTTTCCGGTTTTTTTTCAGCCTCCCCGTCTTTGTGAAAGCAGATTCGGCTGGAGATTTCTTGAACTCCCTATCCCTTTTATCGTACCCCTTCTTCACATTCTTCGCCCGTTGCGCACTGTACGCCTGTCGCTCCTTTTTGTCCCACGAGTCAAAGTCGTCGAACCCCGCACAAGGAGCATCGCTGAAAATAAAGTCGTCGAAGTCGAAACTACTGTGGTTTCGTTGTCGCTTCTGGAAGAAGCGCTGGAAAAACTTGAAATGACTGTCGTAGAAGAAATCGTCGAAAAAATCGTCGTCGCCCCAACTAAAATGGGACGATCCAAATGGAGAATAACCGGGTGGTGCGTCACAAAAACCGTCGCTGTTGTAATATCCCCGTTGCTGGTGTCGATGGTAAAAATCTGAAGTGCTGGAACGACCTGACGAATGATTTTGGTAGGTTGTCGTATTCTTGGCACAAGAACTCTCGTACGAAAAATCTTCTTTTCCGCTCAGACGCTCGTAGGCGCCCACGAGCTTTTGGAATTGCTCCTTACTCCCGCCCTGCTTATCCGGGTGCTGCGTTTTGGCGAGTTTGAAATATGCCTTGCGGATCTCATTCTCATCGACTGAAGACGTGCTGGAGGTCGGGGAAATTTTTATCCCCAGGGTCTGGAGGTCAGCTGTGCGGGAAAAATTGTGAGGCATCTTTTCTGTTGCTCTATGTCTATCTTTGGGGCTGTCTATTCGTATTCACTGCGTAAAACGCACCCGAGTTTTCGTCTGCATAAACCTCGACGAGGCGAAGCTCGATCCTTACTACATCTTCAGGCTCTACTAAAACGCTACACGGGGTATTGTCAGTCTGTATCTTTTGTTAGGCGCGGCACTGTGCCTGAGTTTTTTTTTTCGCGGAAATAAAAGACCATACGATTTTCAGACGTACACTACGTTGTTGACACGAGACTTTTCTTGGGAAACATGGATCCATTGGGGAACATGGATCCATTCTCAAAGACGTAATGCGATTACTGGTGAAGGAAGGATCTTCTTTACACTTTTGGGAATTTCATTGTGTAGTTCATGTCAACAAAGACATCATTCAGATCCTGACTCTGGTTCGATTCCGAACAGATAGAATCATCCCTGTGACAGACTGTGCGGACCACTTAGGCTGCATATGCTTCGCTTTTTGAGTACGATGTCATAAACGATCCTGTCGTTCTCTGATACCAACTTCATTTTGGATGTTTCAACTGCCGCCAACATGCGAAGGGTTTTATCAATGTAAAATACAATTTTCTTGTCCTGCAAGACTTGATGTGCGTAGGGGTCCTAAGGCGTGCGTCGGATATAAGTGCATCTTCGGGGTTGTACTGCTATCCACGGGTCGGGCTGCTCTTCGGTAGGGTTCTTCCGGGAGGACAATGACATATGGAAATGCCAATGCGGGGAGGGCCGCATGACCACTTCTACTTACGCAATGTAGCGCGGGATTCAGTTTGAGAGGAAGCTACTAGGTTCTTCGCTTCGCCAAGTTAAAATCAAATTTGTCGAATGCGACGAGTAGTACGGGGGATTATTTGGAGGGATGCGATCTCGCTTTTTCATCAACATTTGCGGAGGATGCAACTGCGCTATTAAGAACGTGCTTTATCAGGTTAATATGCTCATCTGGGTGGTAGTAGTACGGCAATCAAGTTGCTCTTATTTTACTCTAGTACCTGCCGGGGCTAAATCATTTTTATCAACATCTTGACCAGTATGAAACAAAAAAAAGATATGTATTGACATGGACATTTTTGGAAGCTGTCTGAAAAGTATAATATCTCAATCTGATGAACTTCAGCGTATCTATTCTATCAATCTAGTTCTAGTATCGTAACTTTTATACCGCTTCAACCGCTTTTCTGTTTTTTCTGCGCTGGGCCCTTCACCGCACAGGCAGAATCGGATGTCGAGGATGCGGACGGCTCGGCTTCCGCCACGTCTTCATCCGAACTGCTGCTGAGATCCAAAGACGAGCGCGGACTGTCCGGAGCAAAGTCTCGCAAGCTCTGCCGGCCAGCTGGTTGACTGTTTTTACAACTTGCGCGTGCAGGTACTTCATCAGCTCCTGATGCAGGGTGCGATGCCTGCTTCGGGTTCATGTTCGGTTCGTTCCTCTTCGTGGCATCTTGCGTAGCTATCAGCTCTTTCTGCTTCTTCACCGGACACCCGATGAGGCAAACGTCGACATTCCCGCGACTGGGGCACCGGGCCGGCTTCGGCTCGTCGTGCTTCCACGGCGGCGACCTGGAAAAAGTGCATCCACCCGCAGCTCCGCCGCGCGGGTTAATGTTGTTCAACCTGCGTCGCTGCGCTGCCGCCTCTTGCTCCCGTGCTGGCGGGGAAATAGGAACTCTCCGTGCCCCCGCTTCCACCCGCTGCTGTTTTTCGGCGGCCTCTTGTTCCGCCGCGGCCCGTGCAGCGATTCTTATCCCCGCTTCACCCCGTGGTTTCCAGCCAAGTTGCAGCGCTGCCGCCTCCAGGTCCGGCACCCAGAAGAAGGTGGAGGTACGCGTGTTCCGGTCGGAGAGCTGCGGTGTGTGAGTGAAGAATTTGTTCTCTCTCCGAAGCCGCGCAAACACAGCCCCACTCGGGTCGTCCAGCTTCCTTGCAAATCTGACCCTCGCCATTTTCTCCGTCATTACGCTTATGTGAGCGCTCTTGCACGCCCAGCAGGTGCGAAGCCGCTGCGGATGGGAGCTGTACTGGTGCCAGTTCAGCCCGTGCGATGTTGCACTTCTCGCTGTGATGCCCTCCTTCGGATTGTTCTCATCCGGACAAAACTGGCAGCAGCTTGCGAGCTGCTGGGCCGGGGTGGTTCGGTTCTTTCGCAGGTTCCCGTTTTTCGTGAACGCGGATTCCCGCTTCGGTTTCCGATCCCGCTTGTCGTAGTGGTTCTTGACGTTCTCAGCACGCTGGCGGGCATAAACCCTACGGTCTTCGCGGTCCCAGGAATCAAACTCATCGAAGCCGGCGCCGTCAAAAAAGTAAAAGTCGTTGCTGTGTCGACTCAAAAATTGCGCGAAAAACTGGCAGTGGCGGTCGAAATGGTGGTTGTGTTCGTCGGGATCGAAGTGCCAGCCGGCAGAAGTTCCTGTCGCAAAGCTCGACGAAAAACTAGCCGTCGAACCAGGGGGCTGTCTACTGCTTGACGAAGAGGAGGATGCCGAGGTGGTCGCAGTCGACGACGTCCCGCCGTAAAAATTGCAGGCCTGATCCTGCTTCAGCAGGCGCTCATGCGCAGCGAAAACTTTCTGGAAGTCTTCTTTCTTGCCGCCTTTATCCGGGTGGCACGTTAGCGCGAGCCGGTGGTACGCGCGTTTGATCGCTTGCGTGTCGGACGTTGTGCCATTTGCTGGGAGACCTAGGGTCCGCAAGTCGTCTGCGCGAGTTGGACTGAACATGATGTCGTTGTTTTTGCCGCGAACACGATTTCCCTGCCGTGCGGCACGGGAGCACAAAAAAAAACCCTAAACCCTAAACTTAAACACTAAAGAGGAGGACAAAATGATAGGGACCTGCGCCTGCCGGGAAAAATCAAATGCTGGGATTTTTATATCTTTTCAAAAACGAATATCACGAAGTTGTAGTTGATTGCCAAGGTTTTCGATCTTTTGACGACACGCCATACATGAAAAAGTTCTGCGATTCTCAGCACGAAGGCCCCGCAGCCGAAACCGATCGCGCTTCTGGTTTATACGAATGTAACCGATCTATCACCGTACTTATCTGTAGTTGTCTCGCGAATCCCGTTTGCTACGAGTAGTTCTCTCAACGTTATTTGAATGGCTTCGTCTACTATCAAAGCCGAACACGAATAAAGTACGTATCGACCCTGTACCGATTCGTTGTCTTGTAGTTGTGGATGACGTTATTCAGTGAAACAAAACAGCACTGTTATTGCGCATGATCATAATTGCAAAATAGACCAGCAAACCGATCGCTGCAAAGTCCACTTGTTCCAAAGCTCGTGCATTTTGGCTTACTGCGAAAGACGAAGACGCATCAAAACGGACCACGGTATCCTGTAGTTCGTGAGCCTGACCACGCATCCGGGCTAGAATATTTTTAAATGCCTTACCTCCTTCTAATTCGGCTCCACTAGCATGAGTGGTTTTGCCTTCACGCGCATCTTTCTCACGCCGTCCAGGTGACTGGCCCACTGTTTCATCGTTCGCAGATCGCCCGCCTTGGCCGGCATCAGCTCCCACACATCCTCGCTCCAGTGAAAGGCCCGCGGCCACGCGCGCGTGCTCATATACTCGTGAAGAGTTTCAGGTAGTTGCTGCTGGGATAATTCGTTGGTCTTGTTTTTATCGTTCATGTGGTAGTTCTGATGAACTGTGTTGCTCATTTTTATTCCCGTCTTCTCCTCATTTACCAATCTTAGCAACTTTTCGTCCTTGTCGTACGCGCCATTTTATCCCACGAAAAAGTGTTACAGTTACACGACATTTGTTGGAGTTTCTGCATCACAAAGTTGCTCGACATGCCAAAACAAACCTGTGATGCGCAGACTAAAAAGGGAAAACACGAATGAAATGAGGCTGCAAGCACCTCCTCCATGACAAAGGTTGCCTGTCTTGCTTGTTTCGCAACACAATGTGTAACTGTAAAACTTTTTTCTTGCTATACATTGTACAGAATTTCCAATAAAGCGGCGTTGAAGGTGTCCAGCCCGAAGCTCTCCGCGCCCTCGTTGTTCACGTGAATACACCCGTGCTCGGCCTCCGCGCACCGGCCAGACCGTATCCTGAGGAAAAACGTCCCCACCCCATAGTCAAGTTGCGAACTCTGCAACACAAATCCAGGAGTTTTGGGAGCCATGCATGACAAGTTCGTCTTTGTAGTGTAGCGCAGGTTAGCAAGGACAGTGGCATCACAAACCCATCTCCTTATCCTGTTTACAGCATTACAAATGCCCAAACACGATTGGAAATGCCTCTCATGTAGATGTTTCTGTCATTGCAAATCTGCATGACAACTCTGGGGTGGGGACGTTTTTGCTCAGGATAGACCGCATGTGGTAGACATCCGAGTTGCTCTCCGGCTTGCAATATCCTGTGCAAAAGTATTGTGCTCGTAGTAATCGCAGTCATGCATGACAAATCTGCATCCCAAGGTAAAACAGCATGACAAATTGCATTTGTCATGCTGGGCTAATTTGTAATGCAATTACCACTAGTACGATACTTTTGCAGTTCATATGCAAAACCCGTACATCTGCCCGCGATCGACGGCCAGCAGGTGCGCCTTCTCGTCGAGGAGCTGTTTGGCCTTCGGATCGAGAACTTCCAAAGCCTCCTTCTTGGGCTCTGGAGGGGCTTTTGCCTTCGGATCCTTCTTCTTCTGCCCAGTGGTGCGCCCGGTGGGACTGCCAATATCTAGCATGGAGTCCACGAAGAATTCGTCCCAATTTCTGCCGCACCTATGCATTGCAAATGCGTCTGGGTCTGGAAAGTTGTGATGCAAGTGAGTGAATTGTAAGCACTCTGAAAAAATGCACCGCCAGGCATGACAGATTTTTCCGTCGCTCTGTGTCGGGTATAATTCCGCATGGCATGAGAAACAGCGTTTTTGCATGACACGCGAGAGGAGCTGTTCCGATGGCCCTACGCAACACAGAGGCCAGAGTCATGCCAGACAAGCATGACAAATATCGCATCTTCCCGACTCAGACATATTTGCCGCGGATAACAGCCTTGGTCTTGCCAGAAGACCCCGGTCGTGCTGTTGAAGCACATGCGGAGCGTATCACAATGAAAAACGCCCCTACCCCCGAACTTGGGAGCATTTGTATTGCAAACCTTTCCAACAGAAACGCACGCCCTCTTGCATCTAGCAGCATCACAGATTTCCAATCGTGAATAGCGAAGATTTGCATTGCAACAGATCCCAGCAAGAGCGGCACTTGTCACGCAAGCGATGCTATATACGCCTAGACTCTGCATCACAAAGATTCATATTCCTGTCATGCATGACAGAAAGTTTTCATTTGGAAACTTCGCATCACAAATTATTGCAACTTTGGGGTGGGGGCATTTTTCACGGTAATAGAGCGTGGCCAGCCGAAAGACCTTGTCGTAAGTTCTCTCGTTGAAAAAGTAATTTGCGCCGTAGGGAGTCCCGAAGAACCAGGATTTGAAGCCCGAGTAAAGTGTGATCGTGTTCCGCGTCATCCCGTATAGCTTCGCCGCAAAGTTGAAAAAGTCCGTATGCAGTGCAAAAAGTTTATCGATCTCCAACCATCTGGAAAAGTGCATAAGATTTGCCATGCATCTCGCGGACCACGACCCACGACATCAATGCTCTAGAAAATAAATGTACACAGAAGCATGATCTTCGCAGATTCTGCGAGACCTTCCGTTTCCCTGTCCAGCATGGGAAATGATCCGAGCTTTGCATGGCAAGTAGAAGTAGGCAAGGACTTCTGGCGTTCCTCGTCATGCAACACAAATTTTATTGGGGTCGAGACTTCGCATGACAAGCTGCATCCTTCCAGATCGATCCAGGTCGATGATATTTGCACGTGATAGTCCACCTGGACAAGCAAGTCCGCGTCAAAATTCGCCACCAAGTCGACCTTCCTATCAACTGCAAAAGTGTCTGGGTCTGGACGAGTCGGGGCTTGGCATGCACATTTTGCATGACCCGTGAGGTCTCGTCTGTGATGCTGGTGCTAGCATCACAGATTTTTTGCAAGCTTTTTGATGCTAATTACGCATGAGAAATGCCCTCTTCGCGTGCCAAGAACGGACTCCTCTTGGTGCTCAGGCAACACAGATATTTTTAGAATCCGCAGACAGCATTACAAGTTCCACTCTTCCAGACCCAGACAAATTTGCAGTTCATACTTCCGGACTTTAAACAAAAAATCAAACGCGAAGGCCAACCGCGTTCCCGCGCCGGAAGACACCAGGCCGCAAGGTTTGGTGAAAAACACGCGGCCCATGAAATCCAGCTGGTCTGGCTCGCTCAACTCGCTGCACAAAAAGACGTGGCGGTGTTGGAACAGGTCATAATTTATTTCGGACGATGTTCTTTTGCCCTCGTCGCGTGCTGTTCTTAGGTCTTCGCCGGAATTTGCAGTGGCCTGGGCCCTCGTCGTCCCTTCGGGGGAATTATTTCTCGTCGTGGTTTTATACCCTGCAAAAGTATCATACTCATATAAATGCATTACAAATTTCCACCTCAGCATGAGAAATAAAATTTGTAATGCGGATTTGACTCAACAAAAAGATTTGTAATGCATGATTGCAATACGAATACGATACTTTTGCACAGGATATGTTTCAAACAGCTCCGAAAACCTCGTGGTCCAAATCCGCAGTAAGTCCTTCGCATAGCTGCCCAGTATCCACTGCAAAAAAAACCGTAGTAAACTCGTACTCAACATCGCGATCGCATCAATTTCAATCACGACGCATATGATAAAATATCTGATTCTTTGCTACCTGAATCCACTGTGTCGATGCCCAAGTCCTTTTATCTTCTTCTTCTATCTTCTTCTTGAGAACATAAAATAAGTAAATTTGTCATGCGACTGGTACGTAGTACGAGAAACTTTTACAATCCATACCCATCAGCAAGATATCAAATGCGGCTTCCCGCTTCCTTTCCGCGAAAGAAACCGCCCGAGCAAGGGACAGCGAAAAGGCCTCCCCTATGTCATCGTCGTGGCTAGTCGTGTTGCGGTAGGGTAGCGCAAGCCCCCAGCGCAGAACGGGAGGATTGGGAGGCTTTGATGTTGTCGCCAGAACTGGGCGCGAGATGCTGGTGTCTGCTGGTGCTAAGTGTACTTGTTCTTTATTCACTTCCTTGTTCCCCACAACTACCTCCGGTAACAGTTGTGCCAGCGGAATGAGAGTCTTTGATACTGGATCGCGGTGCAAAGCCAAAGGCGCTGTATCAGGTGTGGCGCCCTTGCTCTCGGGCTCAAACTGCATCTCCGGTAGTTCCTGCGGTAAGATCGCCGATTTGACAATGTTCGCACCCGCCTGCATGAAGCTGCGCAGCTCTTTGGAAATAGGCGCGGCTTGGAAGCTTGCAAGCACGTCTAGGATGGTCCACTCGTCGCTGTTATTGTCGTCTTGCCCTTCTGCCGAAGTAGCGCTGGTCGGCTGTAAATTGCGAGAAGCGGGTTTTTTACCTGGCGGAGGAGCTGCAGCCGCTGGTCCGGGTCTCGGTGCAGTAGGTACAACATGACCTACAGCTTTGCTGGGTGGTGGTGCACCAATCGTCTCCACCACTTTAGGCCGCGGAACAAACATTCCCCCAGGAGCCGCGGGCAGGCTCGGCTTCGCCTTGCTCTTTGGTTGGAGCTGTTCCGACGGCGCCCTCGTGGTACTGTCTTGATGCCGTTGCGTGAGTTGTACTGAAACCGCGGGAAGATGAGCCCCACCGCCTGGAAGTTGTTTTCTTACGTAAGACAAAGCAGATGAACTCGGCAACACGATGTGCTTTGGACCGGCAGCCGCTTTCACAGAGATGCGTGGCTGTCCGATCACGGGAAGATGCAGCTGCTGTGAGGCCGTCGCCGGAAAATTGCTCGCTGGTGCAGGAGCTGGATTGGAAGTACCAGAGAGCTGCCTCCTGCGCAGATGGAGATGCGGTCGAGTGGTACTATAGTTCATCTCTTCCTCATCTTCTTCCGAGGCGCGGCGTCTGTGCCCGCTCGTCGACCCAGCAAAAGCATTACTTCTACTGCCCTCCTCCTCCATGGCGTTTTGCAACAAAACCGAGCGGAATAAGCTGCAGGAGAGGACAAGAGTGCAGACGAAGAGCTTTCCGAGCGAAGTTTCTGCAAACTTGGACAGGTAGGAGCCCCCCGTCGATTTTTGTTGTTGTGGAGCGCCTACAACGGTGTTCGTTTCTGTAATTACCGTAGATGTAGTTATTTCCAGGTCGGAGGTACCCGAATAAACTACATCTGTACTGAAGCCACGCAAGCTCCGTGCGATGATAATTGTCGTTTTTATTCTGTTTGGCTGATCATGCCTGCGACGACGTTCGCGCTTCTCTGCTACAACATGATTAGCAGGTGCTGCATGGGAGGTGAGGATGACCCCCGAGCTGCTACTTTTCTCGGTAGGTGGGCCAGGAGGAGACGAATTTGAATTTGAATTTCCTTGCTCCAGTCCAACAATTTTCTTCGATGAAGCAGACGGCGGTGGCGGTACGGCGGTGCTTGTGGAAATAATATCGCTACTTGTTGTCCTCGTTGCTACAGGTAGAGGAGGAGATGCAGTGCTCTGACCAGCGGAAAAAGGAGCTGTCCCACCACCTCCTACGACCGGCTCCGGTACAGCGACCTGCTGTGTACGTGTAGCCCCTCCGATAGAAGCAGGACCAGGTATAGTTGTGCTGCCCGGTGGTCTACTGCTAGGTTCCACTACTTCTATCTTCGTTTTCAAGTGCAAATGAAACGTGAAGCACTGGTGGAATTCCCGGAGTTTGCGCATGGGAAAAAACCCACCCTTCTTTGACCCTGCACCGTGGAACGCGGGGCACTTCTTCCGCCGGATTACCGCATATCACAATGAAGAACGCCCCCACCTCCGAACTTGGAAGCATTTGTATTGCAAACCTTTCCAAATGAAACACTCGCCCTCTTGCATCTATCAGCATCACATGTTTCCAATCGTGAATAGAAAAAATTTGTATTGCAAAAGACCCCAGCAAGAGCGACGGTTGTGATGCAAGCGATGCGATACGCGCCTAGACTCTGCATCAGAAAGATTCATACTCCTTTCATACATGACAAAAAGTTTTCATTTGGAAACCTCGCATCACAAATTTTTGCAATTTCAGGGGTGGGGGGCACTTTTCACTGTATTACCGCAGGCTTGGCTTTCTCGCTAGCCGTGAAGAGGCACTGGGGCGGATCCAGGGGGGAAAATCTTTTTTTCCCATAAAACCTTTAAAAATACCAGCGGTCAGCGGGGGTGGGAATGAATTCCTATAAACAAGTAGTATCCTTTCGTTCTTGTACTTTCGTTTTATTCGTCTCCGCCCGCATTTTTCATGCATAATACACGATTTGGCATTTCCATTTTTTGCATTTCAGACAAATAGTTATGTGGAAAAATAGAATTTGTTCCTCAGCTGGATATTATGTCCGGTCCGGGTTCTCGTAGCCGTTTGAAAGTCGAATCTGCTCGGTACCCGCGAGGCCGTTTTCCCGATCCAGCGCCAACATTCCGCCCGAAAACTCGCTGTCCCGAGGGATCCCTTTCTCAAAACTGTTTGCCGCCGTCAGGTTCGAGAAGAGAGAGGCGTCCACCTGAGCGGTATTGAGTTCCAAGCTGGTCGCGTATCCTGTGCAAAAGTATCGCACTCGTATTGCAATCATGCATATACAAGTCTTTTTCTTGTAGGTAAATCGGGAGTGGTAAAACACTCTCGGTATGGTTCTACGCTGTTTGCTTATCGTACTCCTACAACAAGCTCGACCTACTTCGGATGCTCTCGTACTTAGAACCTCGGTAGCCTCGTGATTTGAAAGAAAGAGAAAAGGAAAGAAAAGAAAGAAAAAGAAGAAGAAGAAGAAAAACTTCTTGAGGACAACATGCGTTTTCTTTTCTATCAGGTGCTGTTTACGAAGAATAAAAACCTTCCCCCGATTGGTATCCGGACACGATACCAGTAGACTTGTAGAGTCTAGTTGTTCGCAGTAACATCGTGGTAGCTGTTTACAAGATCTTCGCACCGCGTTATAAATTTCATTTCTCACGCTGAGGAAATTTGTAATGCATTTATACGAGCACGATACTTTTGCACTGCATATCGCCCGGTGCCGGACCACATCCGGGACCCGAAAGTGCTTCGCGATCCGATTTTTATTTCCGGTTTGGTGCCAGAACGACGACGGCGGTGCCATTGATGCCAACGGCGGGGGAGAAGAGAATTCTCGTGCAGGAGCTCCTGCCGCGTAGTTCTTGCAGGCAGTTGGGGTGTCTGGCTTCGCCGACCCGGAAATTGGTATTCCGAGCGCGGTGCAGGGATGGATCAATTGCCTCAATTGCTGCAAAACAGAAGCCTCGTCTCTTTTCAACACGCCTTGTAGTTCCACGCGACCTGTGCTAGTAGTTGTACTAGCGTCGTCGCCCGAAGAGGCGGGTGGAAAAACCTCGGTCGCAAACGCCCCGACGAGGCTTCTGCTCGGTCGTGGTGTGCTAGCAGGGAGGAGGAGGCACTCCTGATCGACGTCCCGCAAGGCGCTGTGCGTTGAAGCATGGTAGAAGAGTGTGGGACGAGGTGGTCCTAAAACTACGACCAACCAAACCGAGAACAACGACCACATCTTTGACCTCCAAAACGAAGCTAGACTAGTAAAGCACGCGACTTCATCGGTTCTACGCTGAAGAACCCGATTTTTGATACCACTTGGTCTCTTGTTGTTCTACGGCCCTTTGACACTGCCTGCTAGCCATCCTCAAGCCACGGGAATATCAAGAAAAGGGAAGTAGAGAACCGCACAGGTAGTTCCTCGTGATGACAGCGACTCTGATTTTTCCTTCATCGGTCACTCGTCTAGGCCCTGCAGTGCTTTATTTCTTTCTCTGTGGACAGAAGCTGCAAGAAATTTCATCGGGCGCCGTCCCTCAGCTCGTCCCTCAGGTCAGGTTCATTGCAAAGTAAGAGACACATACTAGACAACAAAACGAGTTCTTGGTGGGATCACTGCCAATCGCGCAAACAGAGATCGTCTACAAGATGAACTCTGCACAATAACAACAACAAGACGGGAACACTCGGGGGCTTGTTCCGCTGTAGAATAGGAATACGCAGACTTTGATCATGATTTCAATGGCGATTTATTTCTAAACCTTCAAGAACGTCACCTGAAGATTTATTTGTTTCTCACCTTCAATCTTCCTGAAGATTAAAAGCATGTAGCGCGCAACATCAACAACGACGCTTCGGTGCAGCGCTTTCGTCATCAGGCTGAGAGATGCGCTCGCTCAAGAAGACCAACCAAAGAAAACTCACTCGCAGCAGTTAGTCTGCTGTCACAGTGGTGCTCACAGGTTTTGAATTAAAATAGTACAGGCCTTTTTTACTTTTAGGCCGGCCTCTTTGCCGGGCCGTTCTTTGCGGCTCTCTTGCTCATCGTACAACGTGTGTGCTTGCTGTTTTCATATTTTGCTGGGATTCTATCTAGTGCAAACTAAAATTATGTCGCGATAACTTCTATTCTGAAAATTTAAAATTATGATATGCATGATGCGATCTGTATTCAGCTATGGTGATGATTCGGTCGGGTTGGCCTCGCCACACATCCCTCCTCCGACGCGCGGCAGGAATAGCGTGCCCCGCTACCCTAGTGGTATTTACCAAAACAAAAGGCTCGACATTAGTTCGAAGAACTCAATTACTTAAGTACTAAAGTTGGATTCAATAAAACAACCTGTGGAGGATATGAGCTCATTACCTTGTGGCATTTGCAGGGACGTGCAACGCCAAGGAGGCGGCACGTATAATGCGCAGAAAGGATCATACAAAAGCAAATAACAAAATACTGACCCGGGAACGCCTACTGAAGAAGCATAGCGAATTTAGGTTGTAGTGTCGTAGTGGTAATGCCATTGATTCAAAGCATTGAGTTTCTTTAGCGAAAAAGGCGAGGACGGTCCGCGAAATACTTGTCTTTCCTCAGCGTCATCTTCTCTCTCCGTGGTTCATCAAGAGACAAGTGCCGCGGTACCTATTCTGCATGGCAAATGAAAATCAAAATGCTGTAGTCTTAGTCACGCTCTAATCAATAAAAACGTTTTTTGTTGCCGTGTAAATGACAATAGATGCCAGGAGAGTGGTCAACATCTTCTAATAAACAATGTAGGATTTGACATGATGATGATAATGATGATGCTTAATATTTCCTGGCAGGCGCATGACTCTGGCACACATACATGTTGTCACCAAGTGCAACATCGCGCTATCGGCCACTACGGGATGCGCCCTTGGACGCGATCCGAGGGCAGCGCAAACGCGCGTCTCCAACGGTCTTCATCCATCCAGGACCGGCGAAAGGACATCTTTCCAGGATGCAAGTCGTTTCCGGCAATACGCAGGCGGCGAGAAACAATCGTGTTCGCAATCATACAAGGACTGGTGCGTAACCCCCCTAATGAATTCGCAAGTCCAGGGCCCCACCCCCATGCGTAGAGGTTTTGGTCGAACGCGGCAGCATCGCTAAACATAAGTCGCACGTCGACCAGATGCGCCGGGCTGAAGAGGTTCCAACTCCCGAGATTCTGATTGAAGCTTGTGGCGTTGCAAAACATACAAGTCATGAGTCTTACCTTGCTCACGTTCCACGAGCTAATGGAGGAGTCGTTGAAGTCGCTACAGTGCTCAAACATCTCTGTCATGTCGCGCACTGTGCTCGTGTCCCAGTTTAGCGGCTGGTTAAAACCCTTACAGTCAAAAAAAACACGGCGCATCGACTCGATGCCTCTAGTACGCCAATGCGAGATCCGGAAAGACGGGAGATATATTTGCTTCCACGCCGCCAGGATATGGTATTCACAAAAACGTGGAAGAGACCTAAGTCGGCCAACGTCCCACTGCTCCACTGGGCCGTACTTTTCCTCTGCTTTTTTCCGAAGGGCCTCGTACTTTTTCGGTTCGTAGACCTCGTTGGGGAAGACGAGGTTGGTTTCGGTTCGTAGACCATGTGGAAGGTCCTGCTTCCTGTATGAGTCAGTCCACCAAAGCTGCATCGTGTCGTTGAGTTCGTACCAGGAACGGAAAGACTCGTAGACTTTCTGCCCCTTTTTCGCGAGGCTTCTCTCCGCGAGCTGCAAGGCTGTCCCGACTTCCTTCGAGACCTGGGCAAGTTTTTCGTAGTCCCGCCGGGTACGGAGAAATCCGTGGAGGAGGTAAGGCTGCAAAGGATGATTGTCTTCTTGTAAGCTGGTGGCCAGGTCAAAGTCAAACTCTTTAGAACGAGTTGTCGTGCGAGGCGCGGCAGGCGAGGTTGCGGTGGGTGCGGACGACGCTGTTGCACAAGACGATTACCCGGTGCCGGAGCCAGTCAAATCTAGCTTATCATGCTCGCAAGTAGATGAAGCTGCGGCTTGTTGCTGGCAGCATTTTTCTTCTGCGCCGTGGCACGTCGTAGAACAGTCAGCGCCGGCGGCGTCATTTCCTCTTTGTTGTGTAGTTAATAAAGACGGCGTCACGTTTACCCCGCTGTCGGCTCCCTCGTGGACAAGCATCACATCCTCATCTGCACCATCTGCAGGATATGTACTAGAAGCAAGAAGGGCGTGGTGGTCGGTAAAGGAAGTTGCACCACCTCCCGTGGCGGCGGTGGTACGTCGGCGCTTCTTGTGGTCCGGCTCGGCTACACCACTGGCAGCGATAGTTGTGTTCACCCCCAGAGAAATGGCTGTCAAAATTTTGAGAGCCAAAGCGAAGTTGTTACGCATCATGGTTGAACTTGAAATAAAGCGAAAGCTACAGCTAGTCTACGTGAATAGATTTTTCCACCAGAACCACTCTCAGGCCTGCAAGAACCTTTGTTGTCAACAACACAAGAACCTGTAGTTGCCATTGATGCAATACAACATGAGATACAACGAACTAATCGAGGTCGTTGATAGTTATACACCCCTTGACCACCACGCCAGAAGTAGTAGAATCTGCAAAGCAGAATCATGATCCACATGAACATGATGGAGCGTGTGCGTTTCTTTCCCAGACGAGATCGAGATATTTCCTTATTTGTACAAGCGTCGAAGCCGATGCCTCTGATCGGATTCCGTGCTGATCAGCATCGCGTCAAATTTTGCACCAGATCAAGAACTTTTTCGGCGACGTGGGAGCTCTCGCTTGCTTCAGGAAACTAACATCTTATGGCACTTCACCAAAAACCTTCTCGACCTCGTTGGATAGCATGCTTATCACATGTGCAAAATCAGGAAAGCGAGCGCAACTGCAACATCGAGGACCACGCAATCGAACGTCAATACACTCACCGGCAACCCGAAACGCGCCAAGTGCTCTCAGCGTCAAGGCAAATCATCTATCGGATATTGCTGCATATTACTAAACAAATGAGAGCGCTTGATATCATTACTCTCACAATAGTGCGCGCTCAAACTCCAGAGAGTCGAGCAGCGGCTTGTTCGTCTTGGTTGTTCTTTTTCCTCTTTTCTCACGGGCCTGCTCACGCACTTAGCACTGAGGAAACTGACTACAACTAACTCCGGCGCGAGGCTCGGCTTTACTTAGCTTTTTGCTGCGGGCTCTCTAATTACTTCTTGTCCTTTTGTTCCACGAAACTAACTTCTCTACGGGTACTTCTACGCTGCTACTTTAATTCCCTACCTTCGGTTCTGTGATAAAACTAACTATACCATGCTTTCTTCTTCAAGTGCGTTAAAAACTAAACTGCTACCTCCAGCCCTAAACGGCGCCAGGGTTAAGACTATGGGATCTATGTCGGGCCCCTTTTTTGAGTCCGCAAAATGCTGGGGGTCGCGCTAATAATTTCTGAAAATAGTTCCAGTACGATTCGATACCCTTGACGATGCGATTGGAAAAGAATCGAAAATAAATGATAGTACGAATTTGTCATGCACGAAAAGCAAAAATGTGATGGTGATTGGCGCAGCGCAGGCCAATGCCTAAAAATCATACACAAAGATCTTGAAGAAACCACTTAAAAATCATACAGGATTTCAAACCGATGGCAGAGCATGGTTTTCAAAGAGCGGCAAGAAGTGGCCAGTTAGCATGACAAATCTGGTAAAATGACAAAAAACAGATCTACATTCCCAAAAAAGAACATCATACATTTTTCAAAAAACAGGATCGGGAAAATAAAATGAGATCGGTGCAAGATTTACTTTTGTCAACGTCAGCGTCGTACTTTGGGATGAGCAGTTCGCGCGACAAACTAGTTTTCATTTTACACAGGTGTCGCCTCCCCTTGGACGCGATCCCATGGCAGCGCAAACGCGCGTCTCCAACGGTCTTCGTCCATCCAGGACGTGACAAGCCGTGTCTTTCCAGGATTCAAGTCGTTTTCGACAATACGCAGACGGCGACCAACAATCGTGTTCGAAAGCACATAAGATATCGAGTAAGGGCAGCGATCTCCACTTAATCTCGCTAGTGCAGGGCACCACCCCCATGCGTAGAGGTTTTGGTCGAACGCGGCAGCATCGCCAAACATGTTGTATACGTCGAGCAGATCCGGGCTGAGCTTCCAACTCCCGAGATTCTGATTGAAGCTTGTGGCGTTGTAAAACATAGAACCCATGTCTACTACATTGCTCACGTTCCACGAGCTAATGGAGGAGTCGTTGAAGTCGCTACAGTGCGAAAACATGCCTGTCATGTCGCGCACTGTGCTCGTGTCCCAGTGTAGCGGCTGGTTAAAACCCTTACAGTATGAAAAAAGATGGCGCATCGACTTGATGCCTCTAGTACGCCAATGCGAGATCCGGAAAGACGGGAGGTACTTTTGCTTCCACGGCATTTCATACTTTCCACAAAAACCTGGAAGAGACCACCCAAGGAGACCAACGTCCCACTGCTCCACTGGGCCGTATTTTGCCTCTGCTTCGTTCCGCAGATCCTCGTACTTTTTCGGGTCGTACTGCTTCCTGTACGTTAAGTCAGTCCACCAAAGCTCCACCGTGCGCTTGAGTTCGTCCCTCGAACGGAAAGGCTCGTAGACTTTCTGCCCGATTTTCGTTAGGGTGTTCTCCGCGAGCTGCAAGGCTGTCCCGATTTTCTTCGAGACCTGGGCAAGTTTTCCGTAGTCCCGGCGGGTGCGGAGAAATCCGTGGAGGAGGTAATGCTGCAAAGGATGACCCTCTTCTTGTAAGCTGTTGGCCAGGTCAAAGTCAAGCTCTGTAGAACGAGTTGTCGTGCGAGGGGCGGCAGACGAGGCTCCTGTTGCACAAGACGACTCCCGGCCGCCAAAGCCGGTCAAATCTTGCTTATGCAAAGCTGCGGTGTGTCGCTGGGCGTCTTGCTGGCAGCATTTTTCTTCTGCGCCGTGGCACGTAGAGCAGTCAGTGCCGGCGGCGTTTCCTCTTTGTTGTGCAGTTAGTAAAGGCGGCGCCACGTTTACCCCGCTCTCAGCTCCCTCGTGGACAAGCATCAAATCCTCATCTTCTGCACCACCTCCCGACGCGGCGGTGGTACGCCGCAGCTTCTTGTGGTCAGGAGGCTCGACTACACCACTGGCAGCGATAGTTGTGTTTGCCCCCAGAGAAATGGCTGTCAAAATTTTAAGAGCCAAAGTGAAGTTGTTAATACGCATCATGGTTGAACTTGAGATAAAATGAAAGCTTCAGCCTGAAGTGTACGTGAATAGATTCCAGAACTACTCTCAGGCGTGCAACCTTTGTTGTCAAAAGTACAAGAAAACGTAGTTGCAATTGATGCAATACAAAATGAAATACAATGTAGTGCAAGCTTCTTAGACAAAAAACTCTTTGTCAGGCGATGAATCGAGGTCGTTGATAGTTATATTGAAAACTAAAATTCCAAGGGGAAGTTTGAAAAATAGCATTGTAGCATAGCGAACTGAGTATGGTTTTGAAAGCACGTCCTGTCGAGTAGGATAGTTGTAGTTAGTTATACACCCCTTGACCACTAGGCCAGAAGTAGTAGAATCTGCAAAGCAGGATCATGATTCATATGAACATGATGGACCGTCTGCGTTTCTTTGCTGCACAGGGAACAAGTAAAGAACCGCACAGCTTGATGTTCCTCATCGTGAAAACACTTCTGAATCTGATCCTTCCTTGATCGGTCTCTCCGATCTGGGTCTAGGTATAGTGCTTCAACATTTCTTTCTCTTTATTTTTGCACAGAACCTGCAAGAAATTGAAATTTCATCGGGCACCGTCCCTCAGTATGTGTCTATCTCTATTGCTTTTTAGCTATGAACCTGACCAACATGATTCTTGATGGGATGATCAGATCACTGCCAATCGCGCGTTGTAACACGCTGTGTTCACGCCAGTTTTCAAATCTGTGTGTCGTGCACGAGTCGTAGTACCGGTGCCCGATCGGCAAATAGAGATCGCCTACAAGAAGAACTCTGCACAACAACACGAAGACGGGAGCACTTGGGGGCTTGTAGTTCCGCTGTAGAACACGCCTACTTTGATCATGATTTCAATGACGATTTATTTCTCACCCTTCAAGAACGTCACCTCTGTCTGGCATCTTTCTTCTCGCCAGCACAAAGAGCAAATTTTTCTATTTGGTGCTCCTTGATACGTATGATTTTTTTTGTCGCAAAATTTTTATGGCTGTCGCTTATACGTAAGATCGTTTTTGGATCGCAACGAAGACCACGTCGTTCTTCCTCCAGCGAGGCTGGCTGTGTTGATGGCCAGGATATTATTTTCGAATTCCTGTAGCCAAAGAAGAATGACTTGTATTTATTCGTCGCTATCAGAAAGATTTCTACTTTAGCGTAGTCGCTCGCTGTTGAAAAAGTTTTTATTCTTTATGAAGAAGAAAAGGTACTGTAAACATGTTGATTTCGCGTGTAGTTGAAGACCATGGATTCAACGGTCCCATGATGCTGCAGCAGGATCCACATTATGCATTGCAAATATGTCTGGGTCTGGAAGGTTGCAACTTGTTATGCGCATTTCAGATCACACAAAAATCTGTCTTGCACAAACCGCACAAGCTGAGTACTTCTGTTTGGGCATGGTGAGAGCGGATTTCTGATGCTGAGTAGGCATCGTGAAGCTCTCGAAGTAGAACCTGTGATGCTGGTCCTGCTTGCCAGACACAACTCTGCGTCATGCAAAACCTGCATCACAAACATCTGCATTCATCCAGACCCAGACACTTTTACTTTTGATATACATCGAGAGCTTGCAATTGCAGCTTGTTCCGTGATGAACATGCTCATTCTCTGTCCTGCTGCTGGCAACAACATGATTGAAAGACCATGATGCACTTTTTACTCAACGACATGCTTTGATGATTCCAAAACTTCGATTTTTGGTTCTTCCTCTTCCTTCTCATCGTCGCTATCGTCGCCCATGGGCTGGCTCCAAAGCCCCGCCTTGATGCACTTGATCAAATGTGGGTTGATATTCTGTGTAAAAACGTCCCCACCCCATAGTCAAGTTGGGAACTTAGCAACACAAATCCACCAGAAGCTTTGGGCGCCACGCATGACAAATGCGTCTCTGTAGTGTAGTGCAGGTTAGCAAGGACAGTCGCATCACAAACCCATGTTCTCATCCTGTTTACAGCATTACAAATGCCAAAACACGATTGGAAATGCCTCTCATACTCATGTAGATGCGCATTACAAATGTTCCTGTCATTGCAAATCTACATGACAACTCTGGTGTGGGGACGTTTTTGCTCAGGATAGTTGAAGATCGCGGGATCCATCGTCTTCTGTAGGTCCACGAGCATCTGGGTGTCTTGCGACTCGAAACACCTCCTCATCTCTTGCGGAAGTTCTGATAATTTGTTTCGAGTAGAATTTTTGCAGTTGATGTTGAGTCGCTTGTTGTTCACAGGACTACATCATCTAACCCTAAACGACCCATGCAAGATCTGTGAACGAACTACAGGCTTCATAGCTCAATAAAGCGAGTCGATAGAACAACTACATAGCAGCACTTTTATTCATCTTCCCCTACTTTGAAAATGTTTTAAAAACAAGTACTTAGCTCCATATTTATACCTTCGAACACTTCGAGCGGGTCTAGCCCTCCGGGGGCCATTTCTATCCGTTCCTGTTTGGTCATTTGCTTCATGGCTTCTACCATCGGCACCGCCTCCCCAATCTCGTACTCCTCATCTTCCTCCTCTTTGGCGTCGATTTATCCTGTGTAAGACCGTCCCCACCCCATACTCAAATTGGGAAATCTGCAAGACAAATCAGCAAGCTTTGGCTGTTGCGCATGACAAGTTTGGCCTCGCAGTGTAGTTCTTGGTTGACTAGTTCAGCAGCATCACAGAGCTAGCACATCATGCTGATCGGAGCATGATAAATTCCGAAACACGACTACAAAATGCTTCCCATGGGGCTCCACGACATGGGAGACATTTTCACCATGCAGATTTGCATGACAACTCTGGGGTGGGGACGTTTTTACGCGGGATACGATTTGGTCCTTTCTCTTCCAGTGCGTGGCGACGTATTTTTCCTCCTCCTCCCTTTTTCGCAGCTTCTCCTCGGCCTCCTCCTTTTTCTTTTCCACCGCGCGCTCCTGCACTCGCTTCGCAAACCCGTCGACATCCTATGACAGTGCACAAGCCCCCCTCCCCCTCGTTTGTCATGCAAAACCCCGAATCCAGTCGCTGCCTTATGGCACCGCTTGCATCACAAGTTTTGGTAGTTCAAATAGGACCAGACTCCAGTGTAAATTTGTCATGCAAAACAGGCACTCTTGCTGATGCTTGTATTGCTGTTCATGCTATACAAATGAAGAGGGGGAGGGGGAGTTGTGCACTGTGATACATCCGCCTCCCAGATTTTCCGCGCGTCCTCGTTGTCCGCTACCTTCTGGAACCACCGGGTCACAATGTCCCGCGGCGGCCGGCCGAAGGACTTGGCGAGCTCCTTCTATGGAAGTGTCAGCATCGAAATTGACAAAATCAAAATGATTTGTCATGCATAAAATGTAGGGCACGTATGGCCTGCGTTGGGGAGCAGGCAAATAAGACCGATTGCAAGCCTGTTTAGGGGAAGGCGATGTGCTGCCAGAGTAGCATGACAGGCTGGATTTTGGTGCTCCCGAAATTTGTCACGCGCCACTTGGAAACTGAGGCTCCAACTCGTATCGGTTTTATGCATCACAAACTATTTCGATTTTGTTGATTTCGGTCCTGACGCTTCCATACCTTCACGTGGGTCAGTAGTTGGGACTGCTGGGCGCACTTGTAGCTGCGTTTTCGGTTGCCCTCCATCTCGAACTCGAGGCAGGCCAGCATCAGGTAGCTGTTTTGATGAAACACCGGCGTTTTTTTGGTACTATACTGTGTTTTGAACTACGAATAATGGAAGATGATGACCACGCATTAAAATTCTGCCGGCAAGAAATAACCATAACCTAGTCTACTGTTACTTGTAGAACCAGCATGGTAACGCAATCTATACGTGTTCGCGAAGTCCTGTGTCACGAGCTTGTCCCCCTCCTTCTCAAGCAATTGCTGTGTCCTGGTCATGTTTCCGCCTGCGTCAACAAGCTCGTCGAGAAGCTTTTGGTTTTGCCCCTTCCAAACCATATACTCGTCCAGGTCCTTGGCGTCGTTCATGCCTTCTTCTTTTCCAGGTAGTATGTCTCGCTTGGGGTCAGAACGCCCGTAGGTGCCTGGTGTTTAAAATTTGTGTTCGGTTATTGACAAAATGTCCGGTGTGTCAGCAGCTCCAACAGCATTTTGATCCATGAAGGTGAAACCATCGTGCACCTAAAGAACGAAGAAAAAGTTTGTGATGTCCTTGCAAGACACTGAGTTACGTTTACGTATCAAGAATGATATTATCAATTCCAACCAAACAAACAGCCTACATATAGAAGTACCGACGTGCGTCTTCTCTTCCTTCACCTCGCACATGTTCCCTGCGTGCCATATCTGTTTTCTCTCCAGCTCTTGTAGCCTTTTCTTTGATTTCTCGTCATCCTTTTTCTTCAGCTCTTCTTTCTCCATGTCCATTTCGTTTATCTGGAGGTCGTTTTTAACGTTGGAAATATGAAATCCAGTTTCTACTCAGGACGGGAATTATCACTGAAAGTACTGTACCCATGCTGTCTCATGATCTGTCATCGACATGCATATCAAAGTGCAAAAGAATATATTCCAATTCCAATGCGAGTCATCAAGTTCAGGTGTATATATACCTTTCTCCCCCGGACCTCTTTGTTGATCCGTATGTTGAAGTTTTTCTCGATATTGGGGTGAAAGTTGTCCTCATCGTCGCTTATGTCGATGTTGTTGAACTTCGAATAATCGAAGGCCCGCACGACCTTCTCCGACTGATTATTCGTCATTTTCGACTGCGTGGTTGTGGCTGCGCGCCACTTGGTATTATGTGGGCGAGGTTATCAAGCGTGGGAGGATGTGAAATTGTTTGCGCTTCCGGGCCACTTACTTATTATTTCCACGAGGTTCAATTTTGTCTTTGTTATTTAGTACATCAGAGATATACTGTTTAAGCTATCAATACTCGACTCTGGTGACTCCTCTGGTGTACGTGTAGTTCTGGAGAATTGTATAAAAAATTACGTTTTTGCTATGGGGACTGCAACGAGATAAAAAATGCGTATATATTTCTATCATGTGATAACGTAAAAATAAATTCTCACTTTGTACTAGAGGCCTGCTGAAATTCATCGTTCAATGCGCAAGCGCGAGATGACTACAAGAAGGTTAAGTACGCGGTGCTTTCTCATACATCATCCGCAAGGTTGAGGCTCTTGATTCGGCAGTGCTTCATCACTCTACTTTTCCTCGGTGTTCTCTTTTTTCTGTGTTGTGATCCGGTAGTTGTGCCTTCGATACATTTTCTTGGACTACTTCTCAACGTGGATGGATCCGTCACTACGCATGGTAAAACTTCTAGTGCTGGTTTCCTCTCTTAGCCTCCAATTCACCAGGTTCTTGAAATCGGTAAATACCTCAGAAGTGAGGGGGACATTTTCACTCAATCGCGTTGTTGTGAAAACATTGGTACTATTTCAGAACACAAGAGGGTGATGGATGTGGCACAGGAATATCCTCCAGCCCCTGCCTTGAGCAAGCAAGCCCGCGGGGGTGGTCGGTCCTTTAGCGGAACAAGAAGAAGTGGCTTTTCATTGCGCTGTAAGAGTACTTTGTAAGTATGAAATTGTCGCTGTTTTTGAAAAAATTTCTTTGGTCGTCGCGTGCAAGAACTACTATGGTTCTTCTCGTTCAGCCATTTTTCCTCCTGTGTAATTGTCCCACTTCTAAACAGCCTCGGACCCGACCCATTTTCGCTTTTATTGAAAATGAAGAACCCGCGCCGCTGCCCAGAAAAACGGCGCAGCCGATTCTCTCTCCATATATGCCTATGGTATGGCCGGAGCGTGGTGGGGTCGAAAACTGTTGTAGTCACCTCGTCCTCGTGGAGGTGGTCTTTGCGATGTAAGTACACGTACGACGGCAAAATTTGTCGTCCGTCTTCAATCGATCCTCCCATCCTTCCTCGTTGCAGCAGCACACGAAGACCATGCTGATCTGACAGTCGAACCTGTTTTGTAAATGATGACAGAGATGATATCGATATAATTAGGTCGATTTATTCTGAAAAGAGTACGTTATTTCTGTTCTTCGGCACGTGGCAGAAAATCATCCCAAAATAATCACAAAAACCAGCACACTAAAAACAAGATGCTATAGCTACTTTCTTCTCCGAATGATTCATTCCGCACGACTCGCATTGCAACAGAGAAGTCTTCTTCTTCTGCGAGACCTCCGCAATGTCCTCTTTCTACTTGGAGTGCTCTCCATATCTATCATCGAAACTTCTCCTCCCCCCGTCGCTGTAATTGTCGCGTTCTTCGCGTTCCTCGTCCAGCGCCCTTTGCTCTTCGATTTCGAACACATCCTGGTCGTCTAGGGGTCGTTTTTCCCGCCGGTCTTTCTCTTCGCACTTTTCGGTTTCATGCAGAAGAATATCGAGCAGCTCTTGGCCGGGGTAGAGGAAATTATCTTTGTTTTCGATGCGGTTTTCTTTGTTCCCTTCTTGTCGTCCCTGTAGCAGATTCTGTTTCTGACTATCCGCATTATAATTCGTCGCGTATCCACCCTCTTTCGACGCCGCATTGCAGTTGTACATGTCTAACTCGCCGTAGTTCAAGTAGATGTGAATGTGGGGGATGCCGATCGTCCGCCGCGACTGGTTATCGTCGTAATTCCAGGACTTCACCATTTTATCCAGCCGCGGCACGCTGCTTTTTGGAAAAAGCTTCTTCAGCAAGCTAATACGGTCGTCGTAGGACATGTCACGCCGCTCGTTGTGGTTGGACATCAAATTTTTATTTCGGCGATCTTTTCCATCATCTACACCTTCTCGCTTGGAACTTCTACCCCTCCGCGTGCGGCTGCGGCTGCGGGTCTTCGTTTTCCTGCCTCGATAAGATCGTTCATCTCTATCGTCATCGTCCCGACCACTGCTGGCATAGTGACCGCGAGGTCCTTTCGTAGTCGTGGTTCTTGACCGCGATGGGTTAGAGGAGGAGGAAGAGCTTATCACCCCTTTCTCGTTCTCCCCGTACTTCAAAATGATCTCTTCCGGGTGCCGAATCGCCTCGAAGTGCTTCCACGCCTTCCGCCGGATCTGCGCGTCGCCGTACTGCGAAAGTTGTTTCTGGCACACCGTCCTCGGGGATCTATCTTTGCTGTTGTTTTTATTCCTGCTGGTTTTAATATTTCTTTCATGATCTTGTTGTACTGAAGACAGCGAGCCGCCGTCAAATGCGGGAATCAGCGGCAGCTGAAGCGGAGATGTTGAGCTGCTAGTCGAGGCTGTCGCCCCCTCCTTCCCAAATACGTACCAACTGAAGAGCCACTCCCGGATGACGTCACAGATCTCCTGGTGGCACATGTCCGGTGTCGTGTTGTCGCAGATTGACCCGAATCGGTCGAGAGCGTCGCAATACGGATCATACTTCCACAAAGTCCAGTGCTCTACGTTCCGCGGCATCAAGTAGGGGAACATGTTTTTTTCCAACACGTACATCGGTCCGGAGGTAAACCCGTTGTTCAAATCGTAGATCATGCGGGTTTTCACCAATTTGTTGTGCTTCAGAAGTCTGTGGTAAGAAAACAGCTCCTCGACGATCACGTCCTCCCTGGATTTCTTCCCGTTTTCATCATCCATCCACCTCATGCGGTCCTGCTTCGCCTTGTAAACTTTTTCGTCCCGTTTCCAATGGTTTAGACGGAGAACTCTGGGGAAGAGAAGTTGGAGTTGCTGCGCACGGGATTGGTTGGTGTTGGTTGTTCCGTCGAGGCATGTAGTTGCGCTGGTCCTGCTCAACATCTCCGTGTCAGCACGACCATCATGATCTCCCGCGCCGTCAGCCGTTGCGTATATCATTTTGTCGTAATCCAAGTTCGTGCCGCTTGGGGGAAGCCCATACAGCTTGTCGGTAAAGAGCGCGGTTTCGATCCGCGGACTGGGATACAAGTACTGATCGAGTTTCGCCCGGTGGTACTCCTGCTGCAGGTTGACGTTGATGTTAGGTCGGGTTTTGGCTTTGATTTTGGTTTGTTTTCCCCCATCTTCGTCGGTCTGCGCGATAATTTTTTCCTGCTGCTGCTCTATGTCGTGTTCTTGCGCCAATAAAACCACCTCCTCATACGGCACCCACACGACCGCACGGAACAAAAAGTTCTTCTTTCCCGCTTGTTCACTAGCTTGGCAAAGTTTCTGGAAACTTTCTAGTATGTACTCCGCTTTTTCGAGAATGATATCCTCTGGGACGAAGTTGCGCTCCGGCGTTCTTCGTTTGGAGGATGATGAACAATTGATGTTCCGCATCTTCTTTGTCACCTCCTGATTAATACAGTCTACTTGTTCTTCCGGATTGTCGGTCGGACTGGAGTTCGCCGAGGTTGTTGTGCTCAAAATCGAACCGCCAGATGAAGTGTGGTTCTTGCCACCGTCACTGCTGTGATGCTGCTGTACTACCCTCAGAATGTTCTCCTTCTGGTCCCGAAGTTTCTCCTTCTGCTCGAGCATTTTGTCCTGTACCTTCAAATGTTCCAACCCGTTCAGGTAGTTCCTTTCCGTCCACCGGTAGCTGTACTTTCCCAAATCTTCCTTGTTCAACAAACAGATCTCGTCCGCCCCACAGCCCTCATTGTATTCCTTGAACTTTTCGAATCGAGACTTCTCGGATCTGACGTCGTCAAATTTGTCGTACTGGTTGCGCCAGTGGTTGGTGATGTCCTGGTAGCTGTAGCCGCACTTCCGCAGCCGGTTCCGGTACAGACAGACCTCAACCGGAGTGTCTACGAAAATCAAGTCGATGTGGTAGTTTAAGTGCTTGGCGTGCTCGATGCGGTCCAGCATCCACCTGTGATCGATATTATTGTGTGGTTTGCGTTTGTTGTTGAGACTTGGGGACAAAAAAATAAACCATGTTTTGCTTCTTCTACATGAGAAACCGGACGAAATATTTGGCATTCATTCTTGCTTGTTTAGTATCTTGCATGTGGTAGTTCTCCCTCATAGATAAATGTGACAATTACATTACAGCAAACTAGATTAACCCGCTAGTCGAAACCCGCAGCTGCAGCCTTCGCCCATCTTAGTTAGTCAATCGAGCAGGCCCGGCCGGCCCGGCGAATGGACTGCTGCAGCGAGCGGAGGCGGTTGGGTTGTGGGAGAGGACTGATAGGTGGGAAAAATTATGTATGTGATCAAAAGGACATCAGATTTATTTTCGAGCGCCTTCCATTAGGCAGATTGAGTAGATTATGGTTATGCATGCCAAAAGACTACACATTCAAAAATAATTATACCCCCAGTTATCGCCGCACACGTCGTAAACGAAATTTACCCTCTCCTCCAGTAGCTGCTCGAATAGCCCGACGGAAGCCCGCACGGACAGGCTGTGGATGTTCCCAAGGTCGGCATCGTCGAGTTCGTCGTGGTCGCTTGCGGAGTGAAAATCGTCTTCTACATCATCATCTCTACGACCGCCGCCTCTCGTTTTTTTACCACGGGACGAACTGCTGCAGGAGGAGTTGTTATTCCGCCGTTCCTCCCGACTGCGCGATCGGGGTGATCGGGAAGCAGCTCCTTTAGATCTGGCGCAGGAACGGGACGAGGACCTGTTTTTGCGAGCATCACTAGTTCCTTGTGCTCTGCTACGTCCCCGCCTTTTCCGCTGTTCTTTCCGAAATAACTTCGCTTGTTTCTTCTGCAGAGCCAGTCTGTCCCGTAAATGCTTTTTCAGCCGGTCTGGCTCGAGGTTCAGGAAAGAATTGTTGCTTTGTAGCTGCTCTAGCACCGGAATTTTGATGTTATTTTCCACTTTAATATTGTTCCGTAAGTTGTGCATCACTTCCTGCTCGAATAAATCCATGACGCGGTCAGCGTCAAGAGTTGTAGTTGATGTGCCAACATTGTTGAGCAGTGGAGGTTCATCCTGGACAAAGTCATCGAGGTCGAGGAGCTGCTTCATTTTTGGCTGTTCTAGTACTTGGGGAGTTTGATTCTCATCTTCCTTTTCCCCACTGCAACTCCGAAAGAACAATTTCTCCTTGAACGTGCTCTTCCCGGCACCGGGCAACCCCATCAGGAAAATCACCGTCGGATTACTACTGGTTTCGGTTCCGGTGTTCTTGCTGGGTTCAGTCCTTTGCTGCGACGTCGTCGCACTGGTTGATATCGTCTTGGGCATCAAAACGTTGAACACACTCTGCCGATACTCCTCCGTGCGATAGAAATTTGCTTGATGATGTTGATTTTTGTCGTCCTCACATCTCGGGACCACCAGCAGCGGCGACGCATCCTTGGCGGCAGCAGCCTTTTGCCGGTGGTAGGCGAGGACGCCCGCGGGGGACTGGACGTCGGTGAAGTTCTTGTATAAGAACTTGTTGGGTAGATGTTCTTCCTGACCTTCAGAATCATCTCGTGTACCGGGGTAGTGGACCACGAGGCTATTCTGGTTTTTATTTGCAGCCGGTACTAGTAGTTCTACTCTCCCGCTAGTAGTATAATTCGAAGATTTTCCTTTGTCGCGCCCTCTTCGTATCACGGTAGACGTGCGACTCCTGCTATGATTATCGTGCTCGCTCGAGGATGTCGTGGGTGGATTAGAACAACTCGCGCCAGCTGTACTACAGGATGTAGATGCACCTTGTTTCTGCTGCTGCTGCTTCATCTCCTTCATGTCGCCGCCTGGACGTCGAGTTGTACAACTTCTAGCAGGTTCGAAGTAGTTTTTACTTTCCTTTTCCCTACGTTTGTTGATCCGGCTAGTACTTCTCCGCCGCTTGGTTGTCGTCCTTCCGTGAAGAGCGGGAGAAGAACGCTGTTCGAGTACTTTCCGACTTCGTAACCGCGACGATCTCCGGGAACGGCGGTAGGTGGTATTCGTCATTTTTGGTAGGTTTTTTTACTGTACTACAGCAAGGCGCAGCTACTTGATATGACAATCAAACACAACGTCAAACAATATAATTATGTGAGCAAAAATTTACTTTATCTTCAGCGACAGTCTTCAATTTTTACTCTTGTTTGCCTAAAAAACTGCAACTACTATCATGCCTTCGTTCTTTTACTGCACCGCGGCAGGCTGCTCCTCTTGCGGCTCTAATTATTGATTGGGCAAAAAAAAGATTTTGACGCTTAGGTGGTCCACAACAGCAGTCTTGAAAAAATTATGGCGGGGAAGTCGTGTAGCAGTATTATATCGAATGGATAGAATGATTTGTGGTGTAGTTCTGGAGGGAGAGGGTAGAGCAAATTTCGGGACCTGTAGTGATGTTGATAAATTGATGAACATGTCAGATTCTCTGCAGGTGCGGCTGCGCACTATGGTTCCAAATGCTACAAAAAAAAACTTCAAATTCTCTACAAAATCATGGTCTGAAACTCGCATAATTATCGCAATTGACTAGGCTTCTTGCAACCTCCCGATTTGTTTTTGGATCATTTTTGTTTGCAGTAACCTCCGGTGTTGAGCTCGATTTGGATTTTTTTTTCCCTTGCTGCGTGTACAACATTCATTACCGAAACACGAAAACAATGAAAATAATATTACGCCTACTTAATATCTTATCCATGTCGTGCCCCACAAGGAGAATCATCTCCCCTCGTCACTACAGTGCGGCTTTATCTCTCGCTCATTTCGCAGCAGTTCAATTTTTCGATATCAGACTGGTGGTGCATGAGTAGAAGTCTCGTCACTGAAGAGTCAGTGCAAGTATTCTATGGTCAAGGGAATCATCATATCAAGTACGTATATGTCTGGGTCCTCTGGAAGAGTAATGCAGTTGTTGCATTTCAAATCGAGTGTGGAATGCGCGCAGAGCATGACAAATTCTCCGGAGGCTTCTCCATGCCTAGTCTGCATGAGAAATGCCCTGAGTCTTGGAGACCAAAATCGGACATCTTTTGCTGAGTGCGCAACACAGATTTTTGCCTATGTCAGAATCCGCATCACAAGTTGCAACCTTCCATACCTTCCAGACCCAATGCATATTCAAATTTTTCGATATCAGACTGGTGGTGCATGAGTAAAAGTCTCGTCACTGAAGAGTCAGTGCAAGTATTCTATGGTCAAGGGAATCATCATTCTCGTGCTGGTGTAGGAAAAACTCGTTTGCAAAGAAAATGGAATAATTTGCAGGAGTAGTACACTTCTAAACGCAAAAAGTTGTGTGCCACTAAAATTGACACGACACCGAGACGAAACGGATGCCGAGACACCCAGCAGCTCTTTTGTTATAGGACATCTTTTGACTCTGCGCACTCACAGAATGAAATTCAAGTGGCAGAGCTTCGAAGTGTCCGTGTGATGAAAAGAAATGAACCCAGAGCCAGGTCGTGGACCTTTGCGCGTGAAATTCTTGATCGAATTTATTTCCCTTCATCATTTTTAAAAAATAGCAAGAAACTTCTTGATAGACAAAGCATAAAGAGTGAGATTTTCCATCCAACCCCATCAAATTTTTGATCCGACGTGGTGAACAACGCGATAAGACAAGATCTTTCGGCTCCTTCCATTTGAGTCTCGCTCTTTGCTGTCGTTTTTAGTGGCGTTGCGCGTCTCAAAATTATCAAAAATATTCCGAAGCGCCGGAGTAAGGCTAGTTACAGCTCTGTAAAAAAGCTGCTTCTAGACTTCCGTCAAAAATAATGCAATACGACACCCATCTCAATCTGTGTATCTTTTGTGCCTAAAAGAGTCGTGATGCGAGTGACAACTCCTGCACAAAAAACAAGCCGGTAGTTGATGTTTCTTGAGAAGTAATAAGGGCGGCTGAAGGAGGTGCTGAAGTCTTACGATCGTGCTGGGACGAGATAGTCACTTTTACTTTCTGTTTCTTCCGCCTTTCTAGCTCTTTTTCCTCGGCTTCCGACTCAAATGAACCTACGTGGCAAGGATGTTGTATACGACCTTTCGTTCAAAAAGTTTCACCCCTCTTCGTCGAAAAAGTCCAGATGCAATTCGTTCAGGCGTAAGCAGAGCGCAACCAGCTTCCGAAAGTCCACCAGCGTCTGTTCTTGCAGGCGAATCTCGATCCGTCGCACTTGCTCGACGTCGGTATCCGCTTGTTCTTCTTGCGGCGGCTCCCCGGTCCCCGGGTCGGCGAGCCACTGCGGGATTCCCTCGACAGTCCGCGAACTGTACTCCAGAAAGTAACCCGTCGCGACCGACGTTCTTCCCTCGGCATCGGTGATGTCCCCGGCGTGGGGCGGCACCGGGCGAAACGCGGAAATCTCGTCAACGGCCTTCAGCAGCAGCAGTAACTCCAGTCGGCGGTCTATCGCAGGAAAAAACTGCTTGACTGTAAACCTGTAATGCAGAAAATGCATCACTGAAGCATTTGTCTTGCTACACATGCAAGACAAGTGATTTTTAGTGGCGTTTTACGCATGGCAAGTTTTCTTTGTAATGTGTAGCGAACTTGTAGTGCAGAACTTGCAAAATCCTTACAGTGAAACAGTTTTTTCTTACGATACGGTCCACCGGTCGGCGGCGCGCCGGGGCGACGCCCGCGTGCTGCCGGTGCCGCCAGGCCTTCCGCAAGCTTTTTTTCACGGCGTTCGGGAGCGAAGCCGCGGAAAAGAGCTCGTCCGCACGGTACCGGTGCAGCTGGAGCGCCTCGCGCCCCGCCGGGTGCAAAATGCTGAACAGCTGATGCCCTCCGCCGGAACAAGAACAACCGGAACAAGCTGGCGGTGGCAAAAATGGTTGCTCGCGTTGTAGTTCGTGCCCCTCCGACGTCCCACTCTCCATCTGATCTGCTCCTTTATTCACACAAAGGAGTGCCGCCTCCGTCTTGCAGTCGAGGAACCCGCGGTAGGGAAGGACGAGAGCTTCCTCATCTTTCTTCGTCTCGTCTCTCGGTTCCGTCAGTATCGCATGCTCTGCGGTGCGAAACCTGCTGAAGCTACTTCCAGGAGAGCTCATGACGACGCTAAACCCTTGGCCGCTGGCGATGGTCCTCGAGGATGATGTGGTCGGGTGACTATTTGCTGTTGTGCTGGCACCATGGAGACGAAGACCCTCAATGGAACGACGAGCAGCCAACACAGCAGATGGGGAAGGAGGTTTTTCCAATGTCTCTGCCGCACACGACGAAGAGCTTTTGGGTCCGGGTCGCCCGGAATTACAGTAGACTTCTCTCTCCAAGTGTTCCAACAGAAACGAAATCCGTGTTCGCTGCACCTTAATCTGCCGGTGTGAAGTATCAAATGCAAAAGTGTCTGGGTCTGGAAGAATGCAAGTTTGTCATGCTTGTCTGGCATGACTCGAGAATCTGTGTTGCATAGGCACGAAAAGGCCCTCGTACCTGTCATGCAAGAACGCAGCTTGCCATGCGGAATACGTAAGACATGGCAGCCAAAAAATTTGTCATGCATAGCTGCGTATCGCAGTGCGTCTATCATTCACTTTTAGCATTAGAAGTTTCCAGACCCAGACATTTTTGCATTTGATATGAACCTGGTCGGGACGAGGAATCTCGTCGAACCAGCCCCAAGCTGGCCTCAAACTTTCGGTCCTCTTCAGAAACCGCCATGGCCACGCGGAGCTCTTCGTTGCGCAGCCAGGTGGCCAGCCCGGGCAGAAAGTCCGTGTGCCAAAATTCGTCCTCCTCGGCTCGATCGGCGTGCGCTCGTTCTTCGGTTCTTGCCTGGAAAGCTTCTGTGCTGGTCCTCCTCCCGTACGAGGCGAGGTTCCGCAACAAAGATTCCAGCTCCATCGCCTCGCCCATCGTCGTCCACCGCCTGCCGCCCATGTGGGTGTCCAGGGGAAACAACTGCATAAAGTCGGCGCCATGCAGCAAAAACAGCGCGGGAAGCTCGGTGTTATCAAATGTAAAAATGTCTGGGTCTGGAAGAATGCAACTTGTCATGCTAAATCTGAAGCATGCAAAAATCTGTGTTGCATGGTTACCAAAAGTCGTCCAGTTTTGACAAAGTCGGGAGGCAGTTTCTCACGCAGGATAGGCATGAGAAAGATCGCACAGAATCTGTCATGCTAGGTCCGGCATTCCAGACCTCATGGGTCACGGAAAAGCTGCATGACAAATCGCGCATTCTTCCAGACCCAGACATTTTTACATTTGATAGGTGTGGGCTCGGAGCAACGGGAGTAAGGCGTGTGTTTGTAGGTTAAACCCACCGGATATAAAATGGAAAAATGTCTGGGTCTGGAAGATTGCAACTTGTCATGGTAAATCTGAAGCATGCAAAAATCTGTGTTGGATGAGTGCCAAAAGCTGTACACGTTTGCCCAAGTTGGAGGAGAGTTTCTCATGCAGGATAGGCATGGGCACGACAGAGAGAGAGACCTCGCAGAGTCTGCCATGCTAAGTCCCGCATTCCAGACCTCATGGGTAATGGAAAATCTGCATGACAAGTCTGCACTTTTCCAGACCCAGACATTTTTACATTTGATACCAGAACCCGCATTGTTGCCGCGTTGCTCCCACTCCCGGAGCAGAGCGTCTCCGTCCGACGCCCAAGCGAGAAACAGCGGCGAGGGGTATCCTGTGTAAAAACGCACCCACCCCAGAGTTGTCATGCAAATGCGGGACGACAAGAACATTTGTAATGGGCATCCCCATGAGAAGCGTTTCCAATCGTGTTTTGGCATTTGTAGTGCCGTAAACAGGATGACAAAATGGCTTTCTCATGTGGCTTCCCTTGCTAACCCCGACTACACTGCAACTGCTGGAAACTTGTCATGCACAATTTCCAAAGCCTGGAGATTTGTGTTGCAGATTTAGCAACTCGACTATGGGGTGGGGACGTTTTTGCTCAGGATAAGGGGCGGAGGGGGTTGGTCGCTGTCCGCCCTAGTACTTCGGCACCATGGGACAGGAGCAGGGCCGCAATTTTCGTCTTCTCCTGCGCAAAATGAAACTGATTTCGAACGTCGGCATGCAGATCATCATCCACTTCCCTGGGTGCAGTAGAAGAGGAGGTGGATGCACGACTGGTGGGTGGACCACGATGCCGCTCCTCCTGCCGTCCTCCCGGGATGATTGTGCCCTCGTTCATCTCTCCAGCAATGCAGCTGTCCCTCCTCGCGCGGCCGTCGTCGTACGGCCACCACTTGTAGAAATCGACCGCGAGGAAACTCAGCGGGGATCTGTCATTACAGAGTGCAAATATGTCCGAGTCCACCTCTGGGCATAAGATGCAAGTTTAATATTGTCACGTGAGGCGCTCTCAACCCATGACTCTAAAGTGTAGTCTGTCATGCACGTTGGTATAGTATCCAAGAGCCCCGCTTTTCTCTCATGCAGTAACGGAGGGTGTCATGCAGAATAGTAGACATCAACACCAGGCAACTCAGAACCGTGTGATGTTCTTGGGCTGTCAGACCACGACCCAGACACATAGTTGCATTTGATACTCTTGTATGAAATGCAAAAGCATCGTACTAGTATAAATCACATGCCAAATCTATTCCTCAGCATGAATAATAAAATTTGTAATGCGGATTTCACTTGAGAAAGAAATTTGTAATGCATGAACGCGATTAGTACGAGTACGATACTTCTGCACAGGATATCTTGGTACTCGTATAATTTCTCGGCGTTCACGTGCACATCCGTTCCGTGTTCGGGCGTATCAAATGTAAAAATGTCTGGGTCTGGAAGAATACAAACTTGTGATGCGCATTTCAGAACACAGAAAAATCTCCCATGCATAGGCAGCAAAAGCTGCCCACTTTCTGTCACCAAAATGGGGGATTTGTGATGCGGATTCGGCATTGCGGAGGCTTCTGGAAACCTGTGATGCTAGAGCTTTCATGCCAGACCTTCTGTGTCATGCAAAAACAGCATGACTCTTCCAGACCCAGACATATTTGCAATCAATAGGGCGCCGCGCGTTGCAACAGACTGCGCCACTCCCCGTCCCGGATCTGCTTGCGCCGGATCACCACGCCCTCGGCGGGTAGCACGGATTCCTTATCCTGTGCAAAAGTATCGTACTCATACTAATTGCGTTTATGCATTACAAACCTTTTTCTTAAAGGCAAATCCGCATTACAAATTGAATTTGTAATGCTGAGTCAATTTGTATATGCAATTTATACTAGTACAATACTTTTGCAATGCATATTCCTCTTGCTTCCGCCATTTGCTCTTGCGCACCAGCTGCTGCTCCACCTCCTGTCGTGCGGCGAACTTCGCCGCCAGCGCCGTGCTCTGTTCGTGCAAAAACGCTAAAACCTGCGCCGCCAAAGGCCCCTTGCCGCGGGTGCCGTGACCGGCTGAGCTGTCATCTCCCTGGTTCAGCTTTAGTCGGTCCGCATGCTCGCCCACTGTAAAAACAGGAAAATGGTAGGGCGGCCCCTCGCGGGCATCACAGCCGGGCGTGAAGAACGTCAAGTAGTGGGAGAGTAGAAAGGCTTGTTTCATTATTCCCGTTTTGCCGACCGTGGTTTTCACAGCCCGTTTCTGTGTTCCCGGAGGTGGCGCTTTCATGTTGATAAAAAACGCCGAACTGATCGAGCGCCGGTGTGTTCCTGGCTGTGCTTCTGTGCGCGTCTGATGCGAGAAAGTAGATCCTGAGATCGAAGTTGTTCGCCACTCCGGTGAGTCGCGTGGCAAAATTTCTTTGCAGCAGTGCTGATCAATTTCTCAAGAAGATAGAGATAACAGCGTGCAGTGCTGTATGGGTGAAAAAATCCAAAAACGTGGCGCGGCTTTCAAACTAGGACTTCTTATTTGCTTATTTTGCACCGATAGGAGAATTATTTTGTACCAGTTGTACGAGGAACTAACAAAATGAAAAGTGGTTTATATACAACAACACCTGGAAGCGTATAAGTTCACAGAAAATCAGCGTTGACTTCTTCATGATCGGTCGAGTTGTTCCTGGCGGCCTGATCACTTGGTCTATTCTATGGTCAAGGGAATCATCATGCTCGTGCTGGTGTCGCAAAAATCGTTTGCAAAAAAAATACAATGGTTTTCAAGAGTAGTACAGCTTCTAAACGTAAAAAGTTGTGTGCCACTAAAATTGACACGACACCGAGACGAAACGGATGCCGAGACACCCAGCAGCTCTTTTGTTATAGGACATCTTTTGACTCTGCGCACTCACAGAATGAAATTCAAGTGGCAGAGCTTCGAAGTGTCCGTGTGATGAAAAGAAATGAACCCAGAACCAGGTCGTGCCCCTTTGCGCGTGAAATTCATGATCGCATTTATTTCCCTTCATCATTTTCAAAAAAAAGCAAGAAACTTCTTGATAGACAAAGACTAAAGAGTAAGATTTTCGATCGAACCCCATCAAAATTTTGATCCGACGGGCGCGAAACGGGGTGAGCAACGCGATACGACAAGATCTTGCGTTGTACGGCGACCGACATTTTGATATCGATGCGATAGCGCTGCTCTTCGCGTGATCTCTCTCTGTGAAAAATCAAGTTGTGCTAGCGAGTTTTGTCCACAGAAGGTTTCGTTCGCTCGATCAAAGAAAGAAAGCACACAAAAGCTTCACGCTGAAGCTCAAGGGAGAAGACAACGATGAAGATGATTTCCAAAACGGCCTGTTTTGTGTAATTTTTCACAAAAACACCTCCAAGGAGGACTACACGTGCTTAACCTATAGCTACGAAGACCACTGCCGCAGCGCGCACATACTGCCCTACCGCGGGTTCTGCCACAGCTGCACGATCTCCAGAGCAGCAAAAGCCCCGCACCGGGCGGGGACCCGGGACGATCAATACGAGGGGCGGCTGGTCTTCAATGATGAAATCAGCACGGGCCTTCTCATAAGTATGATCAATCCATAGCCGAGTCATAGTCTTCACATACGCGAGTCAGTAGAAAAAATAAATACCATTTACACAACGCATGCATACACTCAAAGTAAGTAGTTTTACAAACTAGCGCGGCCACCTATTTTCCAAAGTTTGCATTTCGCAAAAAGCAGGTTCTTTGGCTAGTTTGAGGAGGGGTATTGTTCACCATGTGCTCACACCAATCTCTCATCGGTCAAGACTTGTTTTTTCACCTCTTGGTCGTCGCTAGTCGGTACAGTTTTTTCTGCTTGAATCGTACTTGTCGTACTGCAAAGTAAAAGTCGTGTATCGTTTTTGGGGAAACGTTTATTCCATATCTTTTTCTTTTCTTGTACACTGCAAGAGCGTGAACATTAGATAGACCCTGGAATCAAAAGAGTGAAACTATAGGGATAAACACACACACGAACAATTCTGTTTTGAGCCTTTGGCTCAAGGTCTTGAGCATACAAATCAGGAAGGAGTGCGTTTTGTTTTCCCGTAAGAAAAAGAAGAAGAAGAGTGTTCGGGCGGTCAAGATCATAAGATCAACAAAAATCAGCGTTGACTTCTTCATGATCGGTCGAGTTCCTGGCCGCGCGGATAGAAGTAGTCCGCTCTTTTGAATTACCAACAAGCAGAAAACGCGCTTCCTTTACTAGAGACAACTCGCCAGCTTGAATTCCTTCGTGTTGTACCTCTTCACTAGCGCAGATTGTCTCGAGTCTGATCTTTACTCCTACGAGATGACAAGAAGATCTTGTTTCACTGACGAGCTACTAGTAGTGCAAGTACTATAGTACTTCTTGTTTTTCACTAGAGACGTCGAGTAGATCTGCTTTTGTTCCTTCTTTCCAGTGTCTCCTTGTTTCCATCAACCTCTTGGACTTCTGAAAGTAAGTCACGAAGGAAAATAACGCAGCAAGTTAGTACTTCTTCTATGATGTACCAATGAAAATGATCGAGATCGCATGTTGGTCCACATTATACTATACCTTCTGACCGTCGGACACAGATCGGACCTCCGATCTCCATCTCTTTGTTCCTCCTTGTTAATTTTCTCAGCAGTAATGATCGGTGTGATGTTTACCTATCTTACTTCGAGAACCACTACACATGCGCAACATCAAAAGCGCCCCTCTTGTTCCGGGCAAAGTGGATATCCATTGCGGACCACACTTGATGTGCATTAGCATCCACGATGACTGCGGAAAATGAAGAACATCGAGGTCTTGTCTACAAAAAGCTCGAACAAAAGATGAAAATTCACCTACCGCTTCAAGTTCCTGGATGTTGACAGTAGAGCTGCTATTTCACCACACTAGTACAAGGCCACGCTGTCACAGATCCCAGTGATTTAAAAAATCACAATTCGTCCGCTCCAACTTTGGCCGGGTCATGTGCGGCTTTTTCCTCCCCCGGAGCCGGCATCTCGCTGAGAATTTCGTTCAGAGTTTTCTGCCCCGGGACGCACTCGTGCCAGTCCAGACAGAGCTTTTTCACGTCCGGAAAGTTGTCCTCAAACGCGTCCTTGTCCGGGTCCTGGCGCTCACGAACCAAGGAGGCGATCTGGCTTTTCCGGTCGGACAGAAAGCTGCGACACTGCTGCTGCGCGTACTGTTCGTTCATCGCGGGGTCCTGGCACATCATGTCGAGCCGTTTCAGCAGATCTTGCTTTTTCCACGCGCGCTCTATCGTATGCAAATATCGTCGATCTGGGTCTGGAAGAAGAAAAGTTTGTCGTTGCACAGTTAAATATTCCATGACCCATGATGTCTGTGATGTATGTTGTTGCCCGAGCATCACAGTTTTTTTGAGCGCTTAGTTATCGATGCGCCGTGTCCGCATGACAATAAATCTCCTCTCCGCTTAGCCACATGTGAAGACTCCTGTAGTTGCTGTTGATGCAATTCAGATCTTTTTTTTTAGCATCCAAATGCAGCGTCGCAAGTTACACTCTTCCAGACATCCAGACATATTTGCACAGCATACGCTCCTTCTGGATTAAATACTGCACGTCGTCCCGGAGCCTGGTCAGACTGATCTGGCACGCGTCACAGCGAAACATCTCAGTGCCATCCTTGGAACTACCTGCGGGAGCCCCTGTCAGATGCGGCGGTGGCGGCCCTACTCCTGCTGCTAGCTCCGGCGGAATCATCTCAGGTGGCGGCTGCTGCGGTGGGGTTCGGCGTTTATTTTTCCGAGTGGTTTTTGCCGCGAGCGCTAGAAAGAAAACCACGCCATGCGAAAGCAACGCGAAGACCGCGAGGACGCATATTTTATTTCTACCGCGGGGAGGTAGTACTGACATACTCCTCTTTGATGTGAGACTGACACTGAGTTTTAGCAAAATAACACCTGCGGCTATTTATTTTCGTATAGTCTTTGTCTGTCGATGCTGGTGCAAAATTCAGGCTTTGATTGAAGCAAGCTGTGAAAGAACGAGGACATCTTCGGAACACACTAGGTATCCTGCTTTTCCACACATGTCCACCCCGTGTACAACAAAGCATGTCATGTAGTACATGCGCATCCGTTATTTGTTCGGTCATTCACATGATTCAGACTCTTCTTGTAAATTACACGGCACATGAATTCTTGTAAGTATACCCAAATTTCTTTTACACTCACAACATGAGGTGGCATTTCTACTACTTTTGTGATAAAGATCCATGGAAATAACTATTGTACAGCTGTTTGGCACGACGAAACATACTGCTACTTTCATTTAGTATTGGTTTAAAGAAACAAGACGCTGGTTGAGTCTCCAATTTGCCTTCGGTATGTCAATCAGTATCAACATTGAGCATCTAATCAGACTACTGTAACTGCTAAGTGTCATAATTTATCATTCTCAGGAAAAAACGATCTTCGTAATATACCGGTTAGTTCGACTCAGGTGGACAATAAAATCTGGTAATGTACACGCGACGGCCAACGGCACGGCATAAAAATACAGACATTAATTTTTTGCTTCATACTGCAATAGGAAGAGCAGCCTTGAAGTTGAAATCAATTTCATTTTCATCGCGACCAACGAGAAGTGCACCACATAAGCTGTATCCCACATGAACACGACCAACACGGAGGACACTTTTCGTATTCACTTTCTGCCCACAGAAACAATCCTCCTACTGTGGCCGAAATAGGTACCCGTAGCCGCTCGCTGTATTTGCGTACAGTGGGGTACTACTAGCGGTTGGTGCTGGTCCGATGCTGCTTTGTGCCACTGGTGTTGCGGTGTCACCTATCCAAGAAAAAAACATTGTAAGTGTAACTTTTTTGGAGGAACAGCATTGCAAATTTGTCTTGCATGACAGCAAAAACCTGTCATGCGCAGATAGTACGTGAAAACGCCCTTTGATGGACACTACGATGCATGCCAAGCATGACAGACGCAATCATCTTGCATGTTGCGCATCACAAGTTTACACCAACAACGTCATTTTCTTGGATACCACCGGAGTAGTAGAGCACCTCGTGCCGCGGTTGATGTACGCCCGTGACACCTCTGGGCGAGACCGAGCGACCCCTGATGCGCTCGCCTTCGGTAGCGAGTGTGTGAAACGTCCGCTCGATATCCTTGGAAAGACCGCGCGCCGGGGTCAGCATCGTGTGGCGTGTCTAGTTGCGAGGTGGGACGATAATTTCTTTCATATATAATTCGCACACAGAATACAACCTGCACGCAACACAAATGCGATGGTGTGCATTACACCTATCCCTATGCGCATCAGAACTTCCTTCAACAAAGCAGTATTAAAGCAAGCGAATAATAATTGTGAACCGTGAGCATTGGTCCCGCCGGCGGCTGATAAATCTCCTTGTTGGGCGATGGTGTTACCTATCCTCGAGAAAGACGATCGCGTAGCAGCTTCAGTCAGGTCTGCACACTTCTGCATGACAAACCTAAAGCCAACACCTCCCGTAGCTGAAATTTGTATACGAAACTTTATCTTATCCTATTGCGCTACTAGGGGTGCATTTACCATGAATGACGATGCAGCTCACTAGGCGCTTTTTTTCTCGACGATATCATGTTTCGCCGAACTGGATCAAAGCCTCCATGCTGCGTCGTTACTAGGGTGCGGTGCGGCGGTGGCGTCCGCGTGGTCAAAGCCTCCTGCCGTAGATTTTTACATTATCCTGTTTCTACTTCTATTTGAGGACGTAGGTTTTGCAAGTGTATTTTGAAGCAGATTTATTCATTTTTGCAACTTGTGTCGATTGTAGAAGGAAAAAGATTGTCGCACCTCCACACCGCCATTCCTGTTTTGCCGTGTTGGTGACGACAGCGGAGACGCAAACCTCAGCAGGCGGGGCGACCGCGGCGTCGCTGCACCGCCAGAATTTTTATGTGGAGGGAGTTTCGCGTAGTGCAATTGTGTACCCGGCGCCGGCTTGATGTAGGGGTCCGCGGGGACAAAGAGGCTGCGCGGGTCGGGTGATCCATAACCGGATCCGGCTGTTGGTGCAAGAGCAGGACCTTGTGCTGTAGTTCGTCCACCTGGGGAAATAGCTACCGAACCTCCTGTTGCCGACGTTGCTCTTATGGATTGCAAAAATGTCTGGGTCTGGAAGAATGCAAGATTTGTGATGCAGGTTTTCCATGACCCATGAGGTCTGGAATGCGAGACCCAGCATGACAGATTCTTTGAGGGCTCTATCATGCCTATCCTGCATGAGAAACTCCCTCTCAACTTGGTCAAAACTGGACGACTTTTGGCAATCATGCAACACAGATTTCTGCATGCTTCAGATTTAGCATGACAAGTTGCATTCTTCCAGACCCAGACATTTTTACATTTGATAGCTCTGTGGTCAGCACCATTGGGAAATTGTTCAAGAACATGAACTATCCTCATCCTGTGCAAAAGTATCGTACTCGTATTGCAATCATGCATTGCAAATCCCTTGGTTAAGGTAAATCTGCATTACAAATTTTATTTCTCATGCTGGGGAAATTTGTAATGCATTTATACGAGTACGATACTTTTGCAGTTGATATGAACATCCCCCCCTGGAGGTTGTAGTACTAGTCCTAGCTGTTGTGGTTGCTGCTGTTGCACCACCGTCATCACCGTGAGCTCGCTGTTGCTGGCCGCGATATGCACTGCAAAAGTACCGCACTTGTACGTAATCGCATTCATGCATTTACAAATCCCTATTTTTCCAACAAGCTAGACTCCAGCATGACAAATTCCATTTGTCATGCTGAGCTGCCAATTTATTTTTGCAAAATGCAATTTATACTCAGGTACGATACTTTTGCAATGCATAGGCGACCGAGGAAGACGATGGTCGGGCTCCACCAACCATAGTTCTACTACCCGTGTTGTAGTTAGTACCTGTATATCAAATGCAAAAATGTCTGGGTCTGGAAGATTCTGAGACTTGTCATGCATGTTTTGCATGGGCCATGATGTCTGTGATGCATGCCCTAGCATGACAGATTTTTTGAGGGCTTCGCGATGCCTATTCCGCATGACAAATGCTCTCTCCGCGTAGCAGAAATTACATTCCCTTTGCTGCTCACGCAATACAGATTTTTTTTGAATCCAAGGACAGCATGACAAGTTGCAATCTTCCAGACCCAGACATTTTTGCAGTTGATACTGTACCAGCTGAAGCTGCTGCCACTGCTGCTCCATTTCCGGGCGGCAAGCTTGGACTTCTTGTACTCCTGATCGCCGATGCGTGAATCTTGGCCGGGCTCCTATGCAGCAGAGTCGACGTTGCAGCTGATAATTGTGCACCAGGTGCCAGGATTGTCGACGTGGTTGCATTATGTATTCCCGCTGCAGTGCTAATATCCGAAGATGCTGGAAGTACCAAGTCCTGAAGATCCTTCAAACCCTCCTCCACACTGCACATGCTCCCAATAGCCTCCGCCAACTTCTGTGCCTCCTGCCGAGTGCGTTGTATGACCTGCTCAGGTGTTACAATCTCAAATCGGTTACCATAGAATCTGGAATTTGTGTTGCAAGAAGTGCACTATCTAGCCAAATCTCTCTCATAGGATTGCGCATGACAAGTTCTGGAGTCTCAAGCCGCACTACAATCTGGCGAAATTTGCATTCGCAGAAAGTGGAATGCTGTCCGAGTCTGTCATGCTCCTCATGCAATGCAAAACCAAGATTCTATTGTAACGCTTGAGATTGTAACGTTTGAGCAGGTCATACGTTGGTCGCCGTGGTTCTGAAACCGAGCGTCGACAAACATTTGCACCTGTTATCAAATGTAAAAATGTCTGGGTCTGGAAAAATGCAACCTGTGATGCTGCATTTGGATTCTAAAAAAATTTGTATTGCATGAGTACCAAAGGAAAGGCAATTTTTGCTACGCTGAGAAGGCATTTGTCATCCGGAATACGCATCAAGAAGCCCTCAAAAGATATGTATTGCTAGGGGATGCATCACAGACATCATGGCTCACGCAAAACGTGCATGACAAGTGTCAGAATCTTCCAGACCCAGACATTTTTACAGTTGATACCTGTACAAATATTCGTATTGTGGTTCGGGTGAGATGAATTTTGTATTTAAAAACAATGCTGATCCAGGAGGCAAGAGCTGGAGATATCAAAATGCTTCATGAAGTATTGCATTATGGTATTCATGCATTCCAATCCATCGAAAGCAAAAACTGTACCAGTTGCTTTATGATCGCCAAATGGGCGTTCCGCTGCTGCGCCAGTTGCTCGACCTCCTGAAAAGTGGTGGTTTTCTCCGCTTCAATTCTACTATTCGCGACCTGTAACCGGTCCATCTCGGCGCGGAGTTGGTACAGCAGTCCGTCTATCAACTGCAAATATCGATCTGGGTCCTCTAAAAGGGTGCGAACTTGTCATACACGTTTTGCATGAGCCATGATGTCTGTGATGTACACCCTAGCATCACAATTTTTAAAGGACATCTTGATCATGCTTATCCCGCATTACAAATGCAGCTCTCTTCGCGTAGCAAGAGTGGGACTCATTATTTTACTACCCATGCAATACAGATTTCTTTAGAATTCAAACACAGCATCACAAGTTTGTAGTCTTCCAGACTCAGATCGAAATATTTGCAATTGATACCGTCGTTCGATTGTTTTTCCTCGAATTCGCGAAACTGCTGCTCTGATCCTGTGCAAAAGTATCGTACTCGTATAGCAGTCAAGCATTGCAAATCTTTTTCTTAAGGTAAATCCGCATTACAAATTTTATTTCTCATGCTGAGGCAATTTGTAATGCATTCATACGAGTGCGATACTTTTCTAGTTCATAGCTCTTTTTCCGTCAGTTGCATGTCAAACTGCTGCAGTTGCCGGTCCCGGTTCTCGATTTCTTGGTAGAAATGCTGCGCGAAATTTTCCATTTTCTCGTCATACTGCCTTCTCTGGTTTTCCATCTCTTCTCTCAACCTGCTGTTTTCCTCTTTCAAAGTTTCCAAATCGTGGGAAACGCGCTCCGTTTGCAAAAATCCGCTGTTCGCTTTCTCGGAAGTCAGCTGGAAAATTTCCAGCTCTAGATTCCGCTTATCTTCATCCAACTGCACACACCGTGCCTGCAGGTTCGTGATTTCTTGTTGGTAGAAATTATGTTGGTCTGGAACAGGCTGCTGCAGCTGCTGCCCTGGTGTTTGTTCTTCTTGCAGTTGGGATGAAACAGCAGCTTGTTCCTTATCCCTTTCCAACTCCGTTACCTTGCCGCGCAGTTGGTCAATCTGCTTCGCGTGCATCGCTACTTCATCCATATGACAGCGAAGAAGAAATAACCCCCCCTGCTCCCTCTGGTTTCATTTGTATGGCAAGAAACTGCAACACAAGCAACGGCAGCTATTTTTACGTGGCTTCATGCGCATGACACATCTGCACACGGATTTTTGTAGTACTCTGTCTACTTCGCGGGTCCAAAATTCGGCATGCAGAACCTGCCTACAGGCAAGATGCGGATCTTGGGTAAAAATATTTTGCATTTTAAAAATGAGGGGGAAGTAAAGGGAGTTCTTGTGCGCTCTCATAATCCAGCGCTTCCATCCACAAGCTCGTCAGCCGCGTAATCTCAGCGTGCAACTTGCGGTTCTCGTCCTCGGCCGTGGTTCTTGGGGACCGACTGCTGCTACTGCTGCTTTGCGGTGCATTCGGGTTTGGTACATTAGTGTGGGGCCTACGTTCGGGGGAAAGTGGGCCTGGTGTTGTGGACGCGTTGTTTCCAGCAAAGTTGGGCACGGTCGTCGTGTTTGGACCTCCTCCGACCACAGTTGTAGGAGCAGCACCACTTCTCGGTGGTAGTATCATTGGCACGACAATCCCATCGTTATTTGAAGCTCTCGGCGTGCTATGGCCGCCACGACCTGTAGACGTTGCAATTGCAGCACCAGCAGGAGGCAATGGAAGGTTGACCCCCGGCGGTGCGCTCTTCGTGGCCTCGATGGTGCGGAGCGGTAGATCGCGGGGAATCCCGTCTTGGAGGATCACGGACGAGGTACTAATTATGCATTGCAAAAGCAAAAGCATCGTACTCGTATATATACATTACAAACCTCCTCAGCATGAGAAATACAATTTGTAATGCGGATTTACCTCAAGAAAAAGATTTGTTATGCATGACTGCAATCGCTACGAGTACGGTACTTTTGCAGTTCATACTAATGGGACGCTGTTGATGATCTGGAACAACCGGTGGCGTGGCGGAAACGAAGACCCCGGGGACCGGACCAACGGGCACCCAGGATTCGCGGTCGCCTATATTAGCAGGTGACGAGCAATTTCAACTTGTTGCCAGGCAATTTCAAATTGCCATGCAGAACACAGTGGACATCATCAATCTGCCCTGCGTATGCAAATAACCTCTTTTACTTTTTATATAGGTAGTTTCATACATCAATAAACGGCTTCGTCGTGGTATTCGTATTTTTATTTCTATACCTTTATCCGACGTGGTGACGCGGCTACTGGACTCGTGGTCAGAAACAACCTGCTTGCTACCGTTAAAGAGTTGATACTGCAGTGTGGGGGCACCATGATCCCCACCTCCCGGCGTCGACACCAACTATCCAGTGCAAATACGTCGTCTGGGTCTGGAAGCTTCGGGCGGAAGTTTGTCATGGAAATGGTACATGCAGGCCGCCGATGCCTGTAATGCATGCTCTAGCATCTTCACAGCGTTCCTCGCAAAGGTTTGCTCATGCCTAGTATCTTGCATGAAGACAAATGCCCTGCTCTCCGGGTCGTGGCAACAATCTATCTGAGTGCCTCTTGCCTCTCATGCAATACAGATTTTTGTGTGATCGACAGCGAGCATCAGAAGTCCCATTTTTTCCAGACCTCTAGGGATCATATTTGCAATGCATACTAACGTGCCAGCAGCATAAATCCCTCCACCGCCTCCACCAGCAATTGGTGTCGCCGGCTGGCTATCATCTGCAAATATGCCTCGGTCCTCTGGAAACTTGTGATGCCGACTGGCGAAAAGAAATCATGAGGACGCCACAAATGACAGCGCAGCATGACAAATTTCTGAGTTGCTAGGTGTAGTTGTCTACCTAGAGCATCAAAAGCTGCTGTGGCTTTTGGGTAAAAACGTGCATGACATTGACAACCTTAAGAGTTCTGCTACCAACTTGCATTCTTCCAGACCGCCGAGACATATTTGCATTTGATACTGGCTGTGCAGGATCGTCGACGTGCCCCCCGCGCTTTGCACTACAGTTGTTACCACAGGAGCCGGGCTGGTTGCGACGTTAAGTGTTTCTTGCTGTACTGGGTTGTTACTAGTGGTCGACGTCGAGCCTGGGACGTTGAACGCAGCAGCAGCAGGATCTGCTCCTCGGATCGGTGATGCTACTACTGTTGTTCCCAAACTACTTGAGAAAGGGCCACCCTGTTGATGATGTCCCCCCGTAGCTCCGCCCTGACTCTGCATCCGTCGTGTGAGCTCGAGTCTGACTTCCTCGGCAGCGGCGTAAGCGGACGCGCGGTCGTTATAGGTCCGAGGGGACGTGGTCGCAGCCATAGGTGCAGACGCCGGGATGACTCCCGCTGGCACGCGAGACAAAGAGGAGTCACGAGCTTGCAGTGAGGGCGAGGAGTGGACGGCCGCCGGGGTCGTGCTGCGGGGATCTACATGTAGTCCATGTGTATGTGGTAAATTTAACTTTTCGATAAAAAAATGAATATATGAATGTGCAGAGCTGCCAGTGCAAGAGCATGATTTTCGTTGTCCCAAAAAACCCAAGTAGAAGGCGCAACAACGATTTTCTTGCACACGATCTTCACAGGACAGCAGCAACATCTGAAATAATAGATACCACCCCCTCCGGCCACGCTCCCGCCTGCTCCCGGATAGCTGTTTGCCATGATTTGCGCCGCCACCGCGCCCGCGATGCGGCCGTCCTGTGTATGACAGTGCACAACTCCCCCTCCCCCTCATTTGTCATGCAAAATCCCAAATCCAGTCGCTGCCCTGTGGCACTGTTTGCATGACAAATTTCGAAAGCCCAAACAGTACGACAGCAGGTGCATAAATTTGTCATGCGCAGGCTCCAGGGTCGCTGGCGTTTGTATTGCTATTGCTGCTCATGCAATACGAATGAGGGGGAGGGGGAGTTGTGCACTGTTATACTGTGCCCGACACTCCTTGAAGGCCGCCAGCCAGGTTTCCGCCTCCTACGAACTGCAAAAGTATCGTACTCGTATACTATAAATGCATTACAAATTTCCTCAGCATGAGAAAGAAAATTTGTAATGCGGATTTGACTTGAGAAGAAAACTTGTAATGTATGATTGCAATATGAGTACGATACTTTTGCAGTTCATACCTCCCTCCGGTCCGCAAAGTGAAAGGCCAGCCAGTTGCCGTCCCGCGTGGGCTATCAAATGCAAATATATCTGGGTCTGGAAGAGTCGGGCCTTGTCATGCACATTTTGCATGACCCGTGAGGTCTGTGATGCTTGTTCTAGCATCACAGATTTTTTGAACAAAGCTTCTTCATGCTAACTACGAATGAGAAATGCCATCTCCGCGTACCAAGAGCTGACTCCTCTTGCTGCTCATGCAACACAGATATTTTTAGAATCCGCAGACAGCACTACAAGTTCCACTCTTCCAGACCCAGACATATTTGCAATACATATGGGCTTTAGAAACAGCAGATTATCCTGGGTGAGCTCGGCCCCGTCGATCACCGAGGTCTCGGCGTTGAGCTTCACGGGAGCGCTGGGCGGGTTTGCGCCGGGCGAGACGGCTGAGAGTTCCGATTGTAGTTCTTGGGTTGTGGTGGTGTGTATTTATTTTTTACATCTGGTTTTTACAATGGTTCAAGAACGAACAACAAATGATCTATACTGGCATTTGACAACTACACAAAACTACACGTACACACTTTATTATATTATTTCCGTATAATTTCGATCTAATAGAGTACGCTCAAAACGCAGCTGCGCGAGCTGCGACGCATCGTAGCCCAAGACGACCCGGCACTGGTGCGCGGCCAGAGCGACTTCTGCGATTCGGAGCGGCGAAGTTATTGACACAACCGGAACCTGGCTCTGCTTGACCACAATGAAAGGAGCGCTGGGTCTGGGTGCAACATGGTCCGTGCTGCGGGGCATGATGGGCGAAGATGCGGGCATTTTTGTTCAAGACGCCGTCGTGGTTCGGCTTTTTGTAGAGGTTCTTTGCGCCTTTATTTTCTTTGCGCTCGTCGGACGGCTCTGTATAATGTGGCGGCCTACGTACGAGAAAAACACGAGACGACATCACACGGAATAAAATGAACGTATAGTGCGTAGTATCATGCTGTGCACCAAGATCAGCGTTGACACTCGTCTCTTCACTCGCCTTCTCCACTGAGTTCTTTGCATACTACCTTGATGCCCTCCACACACATTAGGTAGCACTTTTTGTCGCTCTCTGACCGCCTGCACAGAATGTAACCCTCTCCGGTGTTACTGTTACATTGCCTTCACCAATAGAAAGCCATGGCTCGTCTTGAATCTTGATGGAAATGGAAGAACAGGACGCATGTACAGACTGAAGATGCTCCGGCGCGAAGGCTCAAGAGTGTGCAGAGAATGAATCTCGGCCCCTGCGAGAAGGATGCCATCTTCCCTTCCGGAGCGGACCGCGACGAGGCAGGCGTCAGCCAATCCGTAGTCCATTTTTTAGGCAACAACCGCCGGCCGCCTGCCGCTCGTTGCATGCCGGCGGCCCTCCTGGCGTTTTCCGCGGTACCTGAGGTTGGGGAAGCTTGGGCCGAAGCTGCTTCCGTCAAGTCCGGGCGCCACCCTGCGCGCGGCCACCCGCCTGCCCGGGGCGGCGAGGCACAGGGCGCCGCGGGCAAGATTGCGGGCCGTCCGCGCCGCCTGCCGCATTGGGTTGGGGCGCTGGCGCCCGGCGCATTTTCTCGGGAACAAGAGCGCGAGCGCCCACCGTTGTTCAGCGAGGCCAGCCCCTGGGGGCTGGCACTGGGGCCGCCCGGCTCGGCATGTTCGCGCAAGGCCGGGCCCCTTTCGTTGCTGGCAACGCTGCCGCCCCCCCGAGTTGCTCCCTCGGGGGTTCCGGAGACTGTGCCGGGGGCATTTCGCGTAGGGCTGCGGAGTGTCTCTCCACGTGCCCACTTCGTATCCGCGGCCGCCTCGGTAATGTCCTTCCCATGCTCGTCGCCCGTCTCGGCCGCAGCTTTCTCCTAATTTCCGCGGCAGGCAATAAAGCTTGCTCGCCCGGTTGCAGCCCCGCCCGGCGGGGGGGCCGGGCCCTCGGCGCTTGGCGGCTCGCGAGGGCGCCCCGGCCCGGGCGGGTCCGCCGGCCCCCTCGACCACGGCGCCGCTACGCCTCCGGGCGTTCCGTGTCCGGCTGGGCAGATGCCGCCGATGGGGCGCGCGGCCGCCACTAGCATCGGGGGAATTTGGTGCGGGAATCTGTCCCGATTGCGTCGGCGGACCAGCGTCCTCAATTCTTAGATAGACCCTCCACCATAGGTGAGGGCGAATGCGTTTGGACGCTGGCGCCGACGCTCTTCGCAGGCTTTTCGCAGTCTATTTCTAGCTTGGCTTTCGCCGGCGTCGAGCTGGGCCCCCCCCCCCCCCCCCCCCGGCTGCCCGTGCCGGCGCGCAGAGCCCACCCCCACGCACCTCGGCGCCGCCCGGCCTCTGGGCTACTTGCGCACTAAAATCGCCCGAGGCGTGGGACAACCGCAGAGCAAGGGCGCCCGGGCATAGCTTGGACGGCAGCCAAGCACTTCGCGGCCGGCGCGCGTTCTTCCGTCAGGCCTTGGGCGTCGGCCTAAACCATGCACAACGCGCCGCCTGCCGTGGCGCTCGACCCTTCTGCCCCTTGCAGCCGCGTCAGCATTGTTCGGCCGCCGTGTGCGCTGGTTGCGAACGACTACGGACGAGAACAGAACGGAGAAAGACGCGAACAAATAAAACCATTTTACGAGTCTGGCAGTGGACGGCCAAAGCAGAAGTTTGCGCAAGTTTTTCAAGGACGCTCTCCTGTCGGCGGTTCGCGTCGAACACTAAAAAATCTATCGCTTGTTTTTGTTAGTTGCCACACGACCTTTTTAGCCGCTCATCTCCCACGTTCGTATAGTCAGAGTATGATCCACAATCACGACAGACGGGAAGCACAAATTGTTCTTTCGTTCACTATTTCTTTCTTTGATTGTAAGCACAATCTTCTGACAGCGTTCTCACGTCGTCTGTGCAATTCTTTGCAGCGTTTCATCAATGTGGCACATCTTCACTACGCCGATTAATTAACGCAGCAAAACTACAACATCACGTGCCTGCCACAAGAACGACATCAAAACTACCATCTGTCAACCTCCCCTCCCTCAAAACGCGTACGGTTGGTCCAGATCGACAATCTGCGGCATGTCGTCGTCGTTCTCGCAATCTTCCAGATGGTCCGCGACCGTGGGCGCGTTCGCGGTCCAGGCCAGGGTCTCAAACTTCTTCCCAAACTTCTCAGACAGCAGTTCTCGGACGTGCTGCGCCCGCGTCGCCAACGCCCCGAAGATCTGCTCCTCCTGGTTCGTGTTTTGATGGTGCGAGGGGACAGTGACCCCAGCAGACGCACCAAGTTCTTCTACCCTGCTTCCTTTCTGCTCCTCCACCACAATGTCCACCCTTTCCACCAGTTGAATCGCATTGTGCACCAAAATATGCTGTACAAAAGTATCGTACTCGTAGTAATTGCAATCATGCATTACAAATTTCTTTGTCCAGGTAAATCCGCATTACAAATTTCATTTCTCACGCAGAGGAAACCGAAAGAAATTTGTGATGCATTTATACGAGTACGATGCTTTTGCATTGCATACAAAAAATTGTCGCTCAAATCCAAACTTTCGCCTCCGATGAAGAAGTCCTCCGGAGCCTGCTTATCAAAAGGAAAAATCCCCCCTCCCCATATCAAAACGAAATTTCTGATGCTGGATTTGGATACACAAATCAAATCTGTGCTGCAGTAGAGGAACGCACGCAGATCCTGAGCCCAGGAGGGGGCCTATTGGTGCAGGCGCTTAGCATGGTAGACGGCTACCCTGTAGGCCTTACAGCATTACAAATCCCCTGCATAACGTGGCGGACAGCCTGAGTGTGCCTTCTTGCAAGACAGACCTGATTTGTGGTCACAAATCTGCATCACAAATTTTCACAAGGATGCGTTTTCCATATGGGGAGGGGGGAATTTTCTTTGCAGTACTGCTGTAACTGCGCGTAGAGCGTTCGCAGAAACTCCAGGTACAACACCGGTTGCTTCGCGATCAATTCCGTGCAGGAACAGAAGAGGTTCAGCAACTTCTTCCACTGCTCGAAAGCGTCGTAATTTTGTCCGAGCAGAAACGCGACAAAGGCCAGTTCCAGCTCGCCCAGAAGCGCCAGGTAGGCGAGAAGCTGGAAATGCTGTTCCTGCTTCGACAGAGCAGAGGAGGTTTTCATATTCTGTTCCCCCATCTTCCGCATCGATTCTTGCTGGTTGATTTTCTTGGCAGTACTAGAGGGATGATTTTTTGCACTTTCGGTCGTACTGTCTTTTGCTGAAGCTGATGCTGCCGTAGTAGAATTTATTTTCTTCATCTCTGAGAACGTTTCTTCTTCTTCTTCTCGTCGTGATGGTGTAGTAGATGATGTTGTAGTTGCACCAGCTGGCGGTCGAGTAATAGTAGAACTACTTGCTTTAGTTGTGCTTTTACTCTGCTCCTTTTTCGCCATTTTGTGCTTGACGTAGTGCGGATTTAAGTCCGCGTATTAGTGTATGAACTGCAAAAGTATCGTACTCGTATAAATGCAATACAAATTTCCTCAGCATGAGAAATAAAATTTGTAATGCGAATTTAGCTTCAGAAAAAAATTTGTAATGCACAATTGCAATACGAGTACGATACTTTTGCACAGGATATCATGCTCAATGATCTTCGCTAGTACGTGGGACTTGTCCATGTGCCGTTTCGTGATCTCGGCCGGCGACAGCTCCTCCCCGGACAAAGTCGTGGCGGGAATTGTGGAGAAAAAGAGCCTGCCGAAGTTGTTCTGAACCGAGGTCTGGTACTCTTTCTGATCCTCCTTTAGGTCTCGCTGCTGCTGCGCCGCGGATGTTGGGGGTTGGGCGGGACGAGGTGGAACAACCGCAGTGGCCCCTCCTGATGGCTCCCTTCTTTCGGGTGCAGGTTGGCTTTTCCCAAGATGGTCAGCGGTATAATTGTCCTTTTCCTTGTTGTCCTTCTTTAACAATACCTCATCTGCGGGGGCTACAACTTTTTCGTCAATCTTTCTGTCCGCTATTTCCCGCCCTTCAAGACTATCTACCCCCGCGCCCGCGGCGGCCCGCACGTACCCCGGCGCCTTCCAGCTCCCGATGCTTTCCTGAATCTTGGTTTTTTTATCGCTGTCGCCCGATAGGTTCAACACTTCTTCCTCCACCACCAAATCTTTCCTTTTCGTCCCGATCAGCGCATGCACCGGCTCGATTTTTTTCACGACCCCGTTGCTGATGTGCCGCGTGATCTCCCGCCACTGGTTATCGAAAGGAAAAATCCCCCCTCCCCATATCGAACCGGCATGCTTCCGAGAATTTGCGTTGCTGATTTGAGGCCACAAATCACATTTGTCTTGCAAGAAGACAAGGGCAGAAGCTTCCGCCTCATTATGGAAGCGATTTGTCACGCTGGTGGACCTAAAGACGAGCCGTCTGCCATGCTGAACAACTAGACCCATACGCCCCTACCTAGCCTGGGGATCTGGCCGCAATGCCTCTCTGCAATACAAAGCTGATTTCTCTACACAAATCCAGCATCAGCAATTTCGTTTTGATATGGGGAGGGGGGATTTTTCCTTTCGATACTGGTCGTAGTGGACCGTGGATTCGGCGTTGAGTAGCGGGTACTCGCCGAGGTTGAGATCAAAGTCCCATATGGATTGCAAAAATGTCTGGGTCTGGAAGATTGCGAGAGTTGTCATGCTGATCTGGCATGGCCCTTAAATCTGTATTGCGGGGCCACGAATAGCATCTCTCGCCTGTCATGCAAAAACGCAGTTTCTCATGCGGAATACGCAGCACAGAAGCACGAAGCATCTTGTCATGCTAAGCGGCGCATTAAAGTGCGTTTGTTATTGACTGACTTGCATCACAAGTTTCCAGAGCCAGACACTTTTGCATTTCATATCCCAATGCCTCACGCCATCGACATACCTCGCCTCCTCGTCGAGGTCCGTTAACTTCTCCAACGTTTCCGTTTTTTGATCCCATTTGCGGACCAACACTTCCTGCGGCTTCAAGTGCACAAAAAACCCGCACCGTTCCACCATGTCGCCCAGGTTGCTGTTGCTGTAGTAGATGAAATGCACGCCCGGCGGGATGAACTTGACCCCCATAAATTTCGGGCCGGTCTGCCATATCAACTGCAAAAGTGTCTGGGTCTGGAAGAATGCAAGATTTGTCATGCATGTTTCTCATGACCCATGATAGTCTGTGATGTATGCCCTAGCATTACAGATTTTTAGAACCCTTCCTGATGCTTCCGCATGAGAAATGCCCTGTCCGTCTATCACAAACTGCGCCCCTCTTGCTGGTCATGCAATACAAATTGTTTTAGAGTCCAAAAACAGCATGACAAGTTGCAATCTTCCAGACCCAGCCATTTGTGCAGTTGATATGCCAGAGGTGGTTGTCGATTCCGAACTGGAATCCGCTGTTGTCGCTTGTTGGGCAATTCAGGCATAATACCGCCGCCCCCTGGTGGACCAGGTACTCGCGCGAGAGCTGGGTGGAAGGGTCGTCGGAAGTGGTCCTCGTTGGGGTCATCTTTTTGGTACTTCTATGGGGTTGGTGGTTTGTGTTCGAAATCATATCAAAAACAAATTCTTCGAAGTCGAATGATAAACTCAAGCGATAATTTCTGTCGAAGTAGTCGTGTACTATCTCTAAAACACAATGAGGGGAAAAAACCAAGACTACAACATCTACATCAAATCATAAGTGGGAAGAAGGGCTTGGCCTGCAACACAAAATTTGTACGTCCATTCGGTTTTGATTTTGTCACAAAAATACTTCTACGATCAACACATTGCTTGTTGACTCTGAGCTACTTGAATCACATTGCTTCTGATCTACACCAACACAGATCTCAATTCATTCCGTTCCAGGAGATCGACATCGAGATCGACTTCTGCCAGAATAAAGAATGTGTTTTATTCCATTCCGATGAGTGGAAATCTGGATAAGCAGCCAGGCAGAAATTTATGATCAAGTCTTCGAGCATTGATGACGGATTCTTTTTTTGTGGCAAAGCCATCGAGCTTGAATTTAGATGTACTATGATGAAAGCTGAAACACTGCCGAATACGCTACAACAGCACATCTGTAGTTAGAGTTACAGAAGGCTCCACCGCAGAATATAGTTCATTATTCTCTATAGTCTTAACATTCTCGTCGTTTTCCTCGTACGACGAGGGTTCTGGGTAAAAATTTTCGTCGTGATCACTTTCGTCCTCTTGCGTGACAAAGGCGTCATCCAAACTATCGTCTAGTTTCTCGCTCATGAAGTCGATCTCATCTACTTCCTATGCACTGCAGAAGTATCGCACTCGTATAAATGCATTACAAATTTCGATTTCCTCAGCATGAGAAATAAAATTTGTAATGCGGATTGACCCGAAGACAAGGATTTTTAATGCATGATTGCAATAGGAGTACGATACTTTTGCACAGGATACTTCCGCACTCTGTCCAATGTGTTCATCCTCCGCCCCCATTTGTTGTTCCCCTTCCGCCTCCATATCTATTTCCCCCTCCGCCTCCATGTGAAGATTCAGAGGGAGATTACTGCTGTGGCTGCCACCTCCTGGTCCTCCCTCGCCACCCGTAGGAGCCTTCCCATCGTCGTCGCGTATTCGCGTCTCCCGCTTCACCTATGAATGTGCACAGCTCCCCCTCCCCCTCGTTTGTCATGCAAAATCCCAAATCCACCCTTTGCCTGTTAGCACTGTTTGCATGACAGATTCCGGAATGATCCAGAACTGCACTACAGTCTCCTAGGAATTTGTCATGCAAAAGCTGGACCTTTGCCAGCGCTTGTGTTGCTGTTCATGCAACGGCGCAAATGAAGGCGGAGGGGGAGTTGTCCTGCACTTTCATAGCACCCCGGTGGGGTTTAGTTCCAGTTCGCGCAAGGAGTCCGCCATTTCCAACTCTTTCCGTCTCTATCAAAAGGAAAAATCCCCCCTCCCCATATCGAAATGGAAATCTGTGATGCAGGATTTGGGTACACAAATCGGATTTGTCTTGCAGTAAGGCATCGCAGCCAGATCCTCGGCCTAGGTAGGGGCGTACTTATAGGTCTAGTTGCTTAGCATTGCAAACGGGTGCCCCCTAGGCGCAACAGCATGCCAAATCGCTTCCATAATGGTGCGGAAGCCTCTGCGCCTGTCTTCTTGCAAGACAGACGTGATTTGTGAGCTCAAATCAGCAACACAAACTTTCAGAAACATACCTTTTCGATGTGGGGAGGGGGGATTTTTCACTTTGATAGTCTCTCCTCCTTCTCCTCTTCCTCCTGGATCTTCTGCCTGTCTTCGTCCGACAACTCCGGGTCCGTCTCCAACGCTATTGCGAGGAAAAATCCCCCCTCCCAGTGTCGTACAGGAAATTTGTGATGCTGGATGTCTTGCGTAAGGCTTGTATTGCTACAAGGGCAAGAGACGCAGTTGCGGTCTTGTTTGGCAAACAAGACCGCACCTTGCAGGTAATTTGTCATGAGATTCCCCCCTTCCAATTGCCTTCTGTCAGAGGCACTGAAGTAGATGCAAGGCTTTGCCACGCCAGCCAGCACTACAGCCCGCGTCCCATTTGCCCTTCTAGCATGACAACATGACTTGTGATCACAAATCAGCATCACAAATTTAATGGGTGGAAGGATTTTTCATTTCGATAAACGCGCAGTCTAAACTGCAGGTTTCTCTATCGATATGGCGCGCCTAAAGTAGCTTTTTTAAAAGTACTAGAATTTTTTTTTTGCAAGCGCTTCAGTGCCAGAACCTAGTTAATAAAACTAGGCAATTCTGAATATGCATGAGAAGTCCATTGCGAATAAGTGCAAAAGCACGTCGGCGCCGCGAGGTAAATAGGCTGGTACTCTTCGAGGCTCTGGTCTACGGATCTGTCCAGAGCAGTCCCGTCGCCAAGCCTTGCTGAGGGTCCTCTACTCGGAGCTCTGGCTAGGTGTACGGTCCCGAAACGACGAAAACCGTGCGGAATTTACCAACCTCCGATACCTGGTTCCGGACATCCAGCCAGATCTTGACACTGGCGCACGATGGCGCTACCTACACTGCGAAGGCGCATTAGCTGTCGAACATGGGAAAAAAACCTCTGCGAATCTATTGGGAAACTTCGTCCGAGTTTGCCCCCCTCCGCAGATGCCAACTGATCGGCCTCTTCGGGAGGGGTAGTTACATCGGTATTGGAGATTTTTTGGGGGGGTGTTTCGTAGGCCACTTTGCCGGCCACTTCGCGGCCCCTCTGGGGGCCCCGTGTTGGGGCAGGCCTGCGTGCCCGTTACTCTTTTCGCTGCGGTCCGCAGCAGGTGGCCTCCGCACTTGCGTATTGCGAACTTGCTCGCAAATTCGTAGTAGACGCCGAACGTCATGAGATGGCCCACCTGTTGTTTCAACCGGAGTAGATGACTTTGCGCGCAACCAGAAACATGTCCGAGCTCGCCACGACGTACCGATAGCGTTCCGGACAGATCCGTAGGCCAGCCCTTCGTGGAAGACGAGCAAGCTACTACCTCTGAGTTAGACAACTGGTTACGCATGCAAAATTCCACCTAGTTTGATTAGCTAACTCTATCTAGTTTGGTATAGCTAGTTGCCGACGTGCCGCACAAACATCAAAAAAAAAATTCTAGTACTTTTGAAAAAGCTACTTTAGGCGCGCCATAATCGAAATCCCGCTCCCACCGCTTCGGCGTCATGCGGTGCACCAGGATGGTTTCGTCGTGGCAGGCCCGGGTGAACGTGTTCCCCCGCATGGGGTAGTCGTGAAAGCGAAAATTTCCGTACGGCCCGGTGTCCACCCAATTCAGATCTTCCATCCCAACCAGCCAGTAACCGAGAATCAAGTCGCATCACAGGAAAAAAGTTTTACAGTGACACACTTCCATTTGTTGGTGTTGGAGTTTCTGCATCACAAAGTTGCTACCCGACATGGAAAAGGAAAATACCTGAGATGCGCAGACTATAACTAAAACTATAAGCGAAAACACGGATAATCATATGAGGCGGGCAAGCATTTTTTCCTGCATGCCAGAGGTTGTCTGTCTTGCTTGTCTCTCACTCTCATCAGGGTGTGTACTTAACTGCAACACTTTTTTCTCAGGATAAGTCGGCGGCGCCGCGCTTTTTCAAATCCGCGGCGTTCCGCGCGATCCAGTTGATCACCCTTTTCCCGAAAAGCCAGCCCATGCCGAGCAGCCATATCCTGATTAAAAACGTCCCCACACCAGAGTCAAGATGGGAAATCTGCTAGACAAATCAACTAGCTTTCGTTGTTTCGCATGACAAGTTCTTTGCCCTTGTAGTGTAACCCTGTTTAGCTAGTTCAGAAGCATCACAGATCTAGCACAGCAAACTGATCCTAGCATCACAAATTCCATAACACGAATAAAAAATGCTTCTCATAGAGCTCCGCATGAGAAACTTTCTTGGCATGCAGAATTGCATGACAGGTATGGGGTGGGGATGTTTTTACACGGGATAAGCCAAAGCGGAGATTTTTTCGTACCGAAGTACTCCGCGAGACGGGCTGCCTCCATTTGCGCGTCCCGGATATCAAATGCAAATATGTCTGGGTCTACTGGAAACTTGTGATGCGAAAATGTGGATGAAGGAAACAGTTCCGAATATTCAATTTGGCATGACAACTTTTCAAAACGCTTTCTCATAGGCAATCCGCATGAGATGAAACTGCGTGTTTCCTCCAAAAGAGGCTGCGACTTTTGTTGATTTAGGCAATACAGACTTCCTAGGTACTATGGAGAGCTAGCATTACAAGTTCCAACCTTCCAGACCCAGACATATTTGCAATACATACCGGATGCAATCCAGCAAGGGTGTCTCCGTCCCGTAAATTTTGCACGTATTCATGTACGCCAGGCAGCCGCCGAGGGTATCAAATGCAAAAATGCCTGGGTCTGGAAGATTCCCAGGCTTGTCATGCAGATTTTCCATGATCCCTGTCGTCTGGAATGCAGGACCCAGCATGACAGATTCTGTGAGATCCGTATCATGCCTATGCTGCATGATAAACTTCCTGCATGATAAAACTTCCTCTCAACTTTGTCAAAAGTGGTCAGCTTTTGGCATTCATGCAACACAGATTTTTGCACGATCCAGAATCAGCATTACAAGTTGCAACCTTCCAGACCCAGACGTTTTTGCAATACATAGAGGGAGAGGTGCGGCAACTGTGCACAGAAGTTCTTCAGCGCACGGTCGTTCAGGCAGCGCTCGCAGGGATCGCACCTGGGGCGGTGATGTCGGATGAGTGGGACAGTCGAAGTTTTGACGGTTGTTAACATACAATCTTCCCAGAGGTTAAGGTTCTATTCGAGCGGAGAGTGTTTCTTTACCTCCCACAACAAAAATTTGTACAGGAAACTCACGTAGAAGTACTCTTAGTGGAGAAGTAGCAAGAAAAAATCTCACACAAAGAAAAAAGTAAAAATTCTACAAGAATAACACATATCTATATATTAACCTACATTTCACAAACGTCGTATCGCCCCATGTCCACGTCCGTTGCCATCATGTATCCAACCACGATCGACTGCATTCTATCCCGTTCATTTCGGTACCGCAAGGACAGGTTTTCATCCCCGTTTTCCTGCCTTTCCATCATGTTACGCTGCTCGGTGACCGCAACCCCGTCAAGGAGTTGAAACAACCTCGGCACGTTCAGAAACGAGTCGTCGTCCAGATAAAAGATAAAGTCCGTGCTGGGCAGGTAGAGGTAGACCCACCTGGTCCCGTACGCGACGCGGAACGCGCGGCTGGTCGGTCTTTCCAAAACGTACGTGACGTCGCGCTGCACTGGGGGATCTAAATCTGGGCCGTTCAGGACGACAAGATCCCTGTAGTTGTTGTCCCCCTGCAGGAGATGAGTTCTTTGTACTATTTCAGGACTTGATGTGTCTGCTGGGTTTGTTCTCACCCGCAACCCGTAGAGAAACGCCTCATCGTCGGTAGTTACCACCGCGTCGGAAAATTGCTGGTGCTCTCCTGTGTTGACCCCCAGGTCGTTTTGGTTTTCCTCCACCGCGGGTCCGATGGACGAGAGGGTTTCTCCATTTTCCAGAAACCGCCCGGCGGCGAAGAGCACGCGGTTGGTGTCTTCCTCGAAACTGGGTCTTGTGTCGTTCACGTTGCCCATAAAGAAGTGGTAGGTGACCTTGTGCTGGGTAGCGACCCCAACCGTTTTGCAATTCGTCAACGCGTTGCGAAGGATGTTCCGTCGCTCTTCATTGCGCCAGTATCAAACAGAAAAAAGCAGGCAGTCGTCATATTTGTAATGTAAAATGCAAAAATAAATACACAAGAAACCGGCACGCGCTGCACAAATGTTGATCTCTATCGCAGATAATCCTAAGCAGCACGCTACGGGCTCGCCCATGACAGATTTTTCGAATAATTTTTTGCATTTTACAAATCTGTCCTGTCTGCATTTCATTATCAAGTGTAAAAATGTCTGGGTCTGGAAGAGTGCATGTTTGTCATGCTTGTCTGGCATGACTCTCAAATCTGTCATGCACGTTACCCAAGACCGCCACTTTTCTGTCATGTAGAAACGCAGTTTGTCATGCAGAATAGGCAACACCTAGAAGCTCAAAAACTTGTCATGCTGAGCGAGCACTTGTGGCCTCCTCATGATACGCCACCCAGCATCACAAGTTTCCAGACCCAGACATTTTTACAGTTGATATTCATCTTTTCTGTACGATAACCAGGGGGAGGTAACCAGGATCTCCAGGTGCCACGCGGCGGCAAGGGGGAAGACGAGGAAGAGGCTCTGGGTGCAGAGCAGCAGAAGTAGACCGGAGATGACATTCATATTCAAGGGGGCACGTTTCATGATCTTGGTGCAACCGTGCGAACAAATGGACGCCATTCTGTAGCTGCAATGGGATAGTTATCAAGAAAATCGACCACTACTACTTGTTCAACTTATCAATGCGATTTACGGACTCTGTGGAAGATCGACAGATTTTCACCACGACACTGTCCAAAGTGCAATTTTTATCGCAAAAAGAAAGAATCACAGAAAGAAACAGTCGCACAAAGAATCTGTCGCAAAATACTTACTGTTACTTAAACAAGAAGTACGAGCAAAAAGAACGTTTTCAGGGGGACACAAGGAGAGATCCCGTGGTATTCCAGTAACAAAAAATTTTTCGAAAATTATAGAAGGCAGCAGAAATGTTGAACACTTGAACACCAAGCAATAGTACCCTCTCGTCCGCTCACCAAGCAGACGAAAACAAACTGAAAATCGAAATCGCGACTATGTTTCCTTTTTCGCTTGCGATTCAGCCTTTCATCTTCTTGGATAAAAGTGTACTAGCTCACTTGTTCCGCAGCTGTAGAGGTACAGCCTCATCTATTATGTTGTCCACCCAAACTTCTTAAATGATGTTTTTATCGATCCTTCTTAAATCAGGTCCGCAACGTTCATCGGCATCTCGTCGATCTGCGTCGAATAAAACTGCTCTATGTCGCGAAGAATTCTGATGTCCTCCTCTTTCACGAAGTTTATCGCGACGCCCTTCCTGCCGTACCGCCCCGATCGGCCTATTCTGTGGATGTACAGCTCACGATTGGTGGGTAAGTCGTAGCAGATCACCAGCGACACCTGCTGCACGTCCAGACCACGGCCCCAAACGTCCGTGGCAATCAAGACTCGGGATTGCCCGGACCGGAATTGGTTCATGATGTAATCCCGCTCCTTCTGGTCCAGACCCGCGTGCATCGAGGAAACCTGAAGAATATTAGTTTGCAGTGATTTGTCATGCTGATTTTCCATGACCCCTGAGGTCTAAAATGCAGAATTTAGCAAGACAGATTCTGTGAGGTGGTCTCTATTATCGTGCCTATCCTGCATGAGTAGACACTCCCTCTCAACTTGGTCGAAAGTTGTGCACAGCTTTTGGTATAATCGTGCAACACAGATTTTTGCATGTGATTCTTCTTTAGCATGACAAGTTAAGAATACCGTGAAGTTCTGTTCCCTCATCTTCCCCGCGAGCCAGTCCACTTTCTGTTGCGTATTGCAGAAGATCACCGCCTGCGTTATCGTCAGGGTGTCATACAAATCGCAGAGCGTGTCGTACTTCCACTGCTCGCGTTCCACGGCGACAAAAAACTGCTTGATCCCCTCCAGCGAAAGCTCATCGCGCTTGACCAGCACGCGAAACGGGTTGTTCATGAATTTCTGGGTCATTTCCAAAACTTCGTGCGGCAGAGTTGCGGACACGCAGACGACCTGCACACCCGGAGGCAGGAACCGGTAAATGTCGTGAATCTGCTCCTTAAAGCCCCTGGGTGATTTTTGGATTATTGATGGTAGCTCTAATTTTAATAAATTTACGACCTTGTCCTGCGAAGAATAGTAGGGCTGGTAGAGATAAAAAATAATGGGGCTGCTTACAACATCGCCCATGAGTCTGACACGATGAAGATTTGAAATTTTCGCATAAATACCATGAAAATTATCAAATATCTACTTGTTCAGCAGCTCATCTGCTTCGTCAAGAATCAGCATTTTCATGCCCTTCGTGTTCAGGTGCCGGTCTTGGATCATGTGAAACACCCGCCCCGGCGTCCCGGAAACCACATGGCAACCCGCTTCCAGCGCGCGAATGTCGTCAGGTATTCTCTTGCCACCGATGCAGCAGTGGACCGAGATGTTCATGTAATCCCCGAGGGCAACGCAAATCTTCTGTGACTGCTCTGCCAGTTCGCGTGTGGGAGAGAGGAGAAGCGCCTGCGATAAGTGATACTCGTTTTTTTACTGATTGTTTTCAACATTTTGATTGCGATGTTGACAAATTCAACGTTTTCTTACTCGTAGCGACGTCCTAGAAGTAGAACAACAAAAATTCTTCACTGCATAGGATACTTCTTCCCCAGCTGCAAGAATAGTACTTCTCTTCCAGCAATAGTAGATGTTGACAAACGAAACAGCATGTTGAAGATGACAAAATCATATTGATCTACTTCTTACCTGCGGGTAACGGTTTTTCTTCACGACAACCTGGAGTGCCCCCAAGCAAAAAACCGCGGTCTTTCCCGTACCGGACTATCAAATGTAAAAATGTCTGGGTCTGGAAGAATGCAACTTGTGATGCTGCATTTGGATTCCAGAAAAATCTGTATTGCATGACCAGCAAGAGGACCACAGTTTGTGCTACGCGGAGAGGGCATTTCTCATGCGGAATAGGCTTCAGGAAGGGTTCTAAAAATCTGTGATGGTAGGACATGCATTACAGGCGTCATGGGTCATGCAAAATGAAAATATGCATGACAAGTCTCCCAATCTTCCAGACCCAGACATTTTTACATTTGATACGGACTGGGACTGCACTATTACGTCGCGACCTGTTGTGAAAGATGTAATGCTAATGTGAATAAACGATCAACTCACGGCAATAAATTCAAGTTTTCCTTTTCGAAGTTTTCCCATTTCGACAATAACCTGGTGCACGATTACTACTACGCCAATCTTCGTTATACTCGTTGATCGATTATCGACTGATACAACAAGAACAACTGCAGTTCTTTATGCACCATCATGCCAAAAATCATCGTCACGTGCCACCTACTCGGTTCTCTATACCTTTGAAGATTGGCACGATGGCTCGCTGCTGAATTGCGGATGGCCTTTCCCACCCGTATGCGTAAACTCCCCTTAACAAGTCGCTTTTCATCTCCATTTCTGCAAAAGTCCCGATGGCCTCGCAATCCTCGGAGGTCTGGAACTCTTCTGTCGGTGGCTGCATCATTTTCGCGGAAGATGCTTTTGAAGGTTTGCGATATAGTAGTACAACCGAGCAAAAGTAAAGTCGAAAAGAAACGCTTACTGTTGGTTCTGGCACTAGTAGCACAGCTAGTACGACTAGACAAGCGCTCGCCACCAGGAGCCACAACTACCTTATGTGTTAGTCCGTGGGCGGTTCTAGTTCTACTTTTCAATTCGGTAGTTCTAGTACCTAATCTATCGACTCACTGTTCTCACTGCAGAAATCGTATAGTTTTACTATGTGGTCATCCGTCTCTACTTCACTGACTATTTTTTCTGGACCTGATACTCAATTTGGTTGGAGGATCGAAAAATAAATGAAAAAAGAAATATTATGGTGGAATAAAAATCTAATTTGAACGGCATTTGGAATAAAGCAGATTTGGGAGGAGATGATATCTTCGGATCGATTTTCGAAAGAAGAAAAAGTTTTAGCAAATGACCGAGCGTTTCTTTTGAAGACCCAATCTGCGGTCGTGCGGGAAAACATTTTGGAAAAATGATCTCCATTCGAGCAGAACCAGATCCTCTTTGCGATTTTTCGCTCTGAAAGTTCTTGCAACTACAACACTTACGTTTTGGAGTCGACGTCGCAATTTGATTTACGGCTTTGATTTGGGTTCGGGTTTTTTCGTCTTTTATGTGCACTTAAGTTTAGCAGACGCAGTTCTTGGAAACAGTATTGAATTTACTCATAGTGTACGCTTGTGCATTTCACGGTCAAGGTCGCAAAACTCGTACTGATAGTGTACAGCCTGCACTCAGAGCTTCTAGTTTCGGTGCTGGCTTTCGGAAAATGTGAACCATAGAAACCACGCAATAGAGATAGACCGCACCAACTTATTGTACATTCACAAATTCTACTTGTCAATCACTTCAGAACATCAGATGACAGCACCGCTCATAGCAGTAAGTGCTGCCTGCTACTTAGTACTGATACGGCTATCAAAATGCAAATATGTCCGGGTCTGGATGGATGCTGGAGCAAGGTTGGTCATGCACATTTTGCATGATTCCTAAAGTCTGCGATGCATGCCCTAGCTGCATCACAGATTTTATGAGGGCTTCTTGATGCCTATACCGCATCAGAAATATCCTCTCGTCATGGCAAAAACTGGACCTCTTTTGCTATTCATGCAATACAGATTTATTGTAGAATCCAAATCCAGCATCACAAGTAGTTGCATCCTTCCAGACCCAGATCGATATTTGCGGTTCATAACGGCACTTGCAAGACAAATGCCGTCGAGAAAAACCTCGGGATCGGGCATTTCTCCCGGTGCTGCGTATGGGATTCTCAGCCATTACATTCTCAGCCGTTGCATGATTTGTCATGCGGAAATACCATAAACCACCAGACGCTCGAGCTTCTTCGCATGACAGATTCTCGAAGGGGTAAACCGCATTGCAATCTGTGTCACATTTGTGATGCGAGAGCTGCAAGCTTGCCCCTTGCGCTGTTGCTGTTCTTGCATCGCAAGTTCCTGTAACAGTTGAGAGTGTAACGTTTGAGAATGATGCCATACTGCGCGTGGTAGGCGTGGAAGGGAAACACGTCCTCGGCTCGAAACAATCCCATTTTGCTGTTCGGCGGAGTTCTTGGCGGCTTCAGCAGTTCGCCAATATTTTCCAGTAGCTGCCGCCACTTGACTACTGCACCCACCCGCGCTTCCCGCATATGGAGCAGTTTCTCGGCCGTGGTCTTTGGATTCATCTTTCCGCTTGTGCTACTACTAAAATCTTGCTTCTGCAGAAACATCCTGGAAAACCGGCTTAGAAATTGGCTCGCGCGACGCTCCACGTCACGGTCGTATTCAACATGATCATCTTGCGCAAGTTCCACAACTTCACCTGCTGCTCCTTGAAGACGTCCCTGCTGTAGATGAACATCTATCGCCGTAGCTTGTAGTGGTCCCTCAACACCAACATGATCTTCACCTACTTGCACTTCCGCAGCAGCCGCTCGGCCCTCCTCCTGGTCCGCGGCTTCGTGAAAGAAATTCGAGGCCATTTTATGCGAAGAAAAAAGTGTAGTTACAGTTACTCATTGTGGTCTTCATGCGAAACAAGCAAGACAGGCAACCTTTGTCATGCAGGAGATGCTTGCCAGCCTCATTTCCTTCGTGTAGTTTTTTCTTCCCTTACATTCTGCGCATCACAGGTGTTCTTTGCCGTGTCGAGCAACTTTGTGATGCAGAAACTCCATACGAATGTGTAGCTGTAACACTTTTTTCCTTGGATACATTTCGAGTGGAACATACCGTTGAGAAGAAGTATTAGACGACGGCGCTGCCGAAGTAGTAGAGCCAGGTCGCCGCGGTTCAGTGCGACGTCCCTCGTTGTTCATGTTGTCAGTTGTACGAGGAACAGCTAGTTGTACACTGAACGGATTCGTCGTCGACGTACCAGGACCAGCAACACCAACATGATCTTGTACTTCTCCGCCAGCATTATCTTCCACCCGCCCCGGCGCGCGGACTGTTCGCTCCGTCCCACTCGTGATCGCCGTCAAGTCCACGCTCGGCGCGCCCCGGTTCTGGGCCCAGAACGTCATCCCCGCATCGTGCTCCTCCTTGCAGCAGAACAGCGCCCGCGGGTCCTGCACGTGGTAGTTACCCGGGTTCCCGATGGCCAGTCCGTGGCCGGCTATCCAGTGCAAATATGTCTGGGTCTGGAAACTTGTGATGCGGGGTGGCGTATCATTAGAAGGCCACAAGTGCTGCCTCAGCATGACAAGTTTCCGAGCTTCTAGGTTCTGAATGACAAACTGCGTTTCTGCATGACAGAACAATGGGGCCGCTCTGGTTTAATGTGCATGACAGATTTAACAGTCATGCCAGATACGCATGACAAACATGCATTCTTCCAGACCCAGACATATTTGCAATGCATACCGGCTAACGTTAGACTATTCGTGGTGGTTGTGTCAAATGTGTCGCAGGTGTCCTCGTCCGCGTCAACAACGATCACGTGCTTTTCCCAGTTATCCTGAGTAAAAACGTCCCCACCCCATAGTTGTCATGCAGATTTGCAATGAAAGGAAGATTTGTAATGCGCATCCCCATGAGAAGCATTTCCAATCGCGTTTTGGACTTTGTAATGCTGAAAACCGGATGAGTAGATGGTTTTGTGATGCGGCTGCACTTGCTAAACAGCACTACAATACAGAGAGGAACTTGTCATGCGTGACTCCCAAAACTTCTCGACCTGTGTTGCGAGATCCCAATCTTGACTCTGGTGTGGGGACGTTTTTACTCAGGATAGCAGTCCGGCCCAAAACACTTGTTCTGCTCCTCCTCCGAAAAGCCTCGGGAATTCAAGTTTATCGCAAGAAAAAACTGTTTCACTGTGAACTTGTGATGCATAGAATGTAACACAGAACTATTTGTCTTGCCACAACTGCAAGACCTTGACTCTTGAGCGGTGTTTTCCCTTTGGAAGCACGCAAGGCAAATTTTCTGTGTCATGTGTAACAAACTTGTGATGCAGATCTTGCAAGATCATCACAGTGAAACAGGTTTTTCGTGGGATAAAGTTCATCCGCGGCACAATAGCCAGCACCGGGAAATAAAGATCTTTGGGCCCGAAGCGCCACAGGTTGGAGAGCATTTTCGTGCCTTGGATGACATCCTCGTCCGTGAAGACTTCCGCCGAGTCCTCCTGCTGGTCCTGTGAAGGTAGTTCTTGCGGCTCCTCTTGATAAATGTTCTGGACGTGGTGCCAGGGTGGCTGCTTCGAGGTTCTTGGCGTCAACGCGCGTCTCGCGTTCTGCGCTACGGAACCGATACTAATGACTCGGCCATGCGCAGCATTTTTCGGGATCGGCAGCGACAAAGTTTGGCTCGGGGGCAGCGGCAGGTGGAAGCGATTTCGATCGGATGTTGTGCCGTTAACGTTGCTGCCATCTTGTTGATCTGCAGGCGGTACTGTAATTATATCACGGTCGTCTCCACCTACCCCGTTCGAAGTCGCCGCCGTGCTGTTAGTTAAGGTGTGGCCAATTTGTAACTCCGCCTCGGCCATCGTGCCGGCCGAGAGCAACGGCGTGGCCATCACCTGCCGCAAGACCCGCTCGAAGCGGGAGGAAGAGGAGGTGGAGGGTGGAGTACTACTATAGTTTGAGGCACTACTACGAGACACGACCTCGCTCTCGTCTCCGTTGGAAGTAGTAGTAGACCACGGTGAGAGAGGACCAGTGGCAGCACTGGCATTGCTAGGAACCAGGATCGAGGTGGAGCTCCTGCTCGTTGTTGTGTTTTCGTCATGCAGCGGTGAGTTTTCCGGGATGGTGCTGATGGGCGAGCTCCGGGCAGGCGGGGAAAAAACAGCTGCGGAGGTGGAGGTGCCTGCAGGCGAGGATTGATCGGGCATGCTCCTGTGCGGATCATATAGAAGACCCCCCTCTAATATCGGGTTTTCTTCCTGCTGGTGGATTATAGGCGACAGCAACACTGACGAATTTGCTGTCATGGACACCGTAAAAGCGCTGCTGGAAGTGCTGGGACTAGGATCTCGCACTTCTCGGATCATGGTGCCAGAAGCGGAAGATCTCGCTGTATTTTGCCCACGACCCAGTTCTGGGTCTACCTCATCATCTTCGTGCCCGTCGAACACGTAGTCAGGAACACGGGGATCAACATCATCTTCCACTGTCACAAGGGGATGCCGCTCTCGTCGGCTGCTAGAAGAAGAAGTACCAATTAATATTGCAGCAGCTTCGCTACTTCCGGATGAATTCTGAAGACTCATCGGTTGATGTCCTGCTCCCGTCGGTTGTCCTGCAGTACTACTACTTCCCTGCGTGGTCGTCGGCATGAGCCCCTGAACCTGTGCTGCGAATTCCTCCAGCTGCGCGAGATCCGACTGCAGGCTCATTTGCGGAAAAAACGTCGGACTATTGCGCATCGGCTGCCCGCTTGCTGCCGTTGATGTGGTCGAGGACCTTTGTTGTAGTAGTACGCCAGTGTTGGTTTGATGTTCAGGTAGTTTCCTCGCTACTTTCGGCCATACCTTCTCCGAAACTTTGCGCCAAACGTCTGCCACAAACTTCTCCTGCTTGTCAAAACAGTTGCGCTCCAGTCCGTTCCGTATCAAATGCAAAAATGTCTGGCTCTAGAAGAGTCCATGCTGTTTTTGCATGACACAGAAGGTCTGGCATGTTGGAAGCTCTAGCATCACAGGTTTCGAGAAGCGTTCGCAATGCCGAATCCCCCGAATGACAAATTCCTGACTTTGGTGACAGAAAGTGGGCAACTTTTGCTGCCTATGCATGAGAGATTTTTCTGTGTTCAGAAATGCGCATCACAAGTTTGTATTCTTCCAGACCCAGACATTTTTGCACTTGATATTCCGGTGCCAGGTGCCGGCAAACTTCAGAGTCTGCTCGAACGCCCGCCGCATCTCCGGGGATTCCGCGTCGGCAAACGGGTCCTCAAAGTTTGCCGCAACGTAGTCTCTATGCATTGCAAAAGTATCGTACTAGTATAAATTGCATCACAAATTTTGGAAAGAAGAAAAGTGGAATTTGTAATGCTGTTTTACTTTAGGAAGAAAATTTGTCATGATGCATCTTTGCAATTAGTACGACTACGATGCTTTCGCACAGGATAGTCGCGCAACACCTTCTGGCGGACATCTATTGGGAGCTGGGAAAGCAGAGAACTCTATCATTTGTAAAAACGTCCCCACACCAGAGTCAAGATGGGAAACCTGCTAGACAAATCAGCCAGCTTTGGTCGTTTGGCATGACAAGTCTGTCCTCGTAGTGTAACCCAGTTTAGGTAGTTCAGCAGCATTACAGATCTAGTATATCATGCTGATTATAGCATCCCGAATTCCGAAACACGACTAGAAAGTGCCTCTCATGGCGCTTCGAATGACAAACTTTTTTGGCATGCAGATTTGCATGACAACTCTGGGTCTGGGGTGGGGACATTTTTCACTGTAATAAACTCGGGGAATTCGCCTGGGTGTTCAGCTCCGTAATTCCATCACCTGCAAAAGTGCCTGGGTCAGGAAGGAATTAAACTTCTCATGCGCATTTCGCAACACACACAAATCTCTCATGCATATGGAGCAGAAGCTGCCCACTTTCTGTCACCAAATTAAAGCATTTGTCATGCGGATTAGGCATTGCAGAACCTTATGGATATCTGTGATGCTAAGGCCTCCATGCCAGACCTTCTGAGTCATGCAAAAACAGCATGACAAAAACCTGCACTCTTCCAGACCCAGACATATTTGCATTTGATAGATTCGCTCCTTCTGCCAGAGGTGGAGGATGTGCTGCATCAAGTCCTTCTTTGGAAAGTTATTTCTACTGGAAGAACGCGAACTCGTTGCGCTCCTGCTTGACACTGCGCCGTCTCCCCTGCGCGGGTCTGCGAAAACTACGTTTCCTACGCTTTCTGGATCGACTTTCTCCATGGAGCTCTGCAGCTTAAACGCCGCCGGGTTCTCAAATTCTAACTGGGCCAGGACCTTGCTCTGCCGCTGCAATGCCAAAGCCGCACTGGAAAGGCGGGCGGGTCGTGGATTTTTGGATGCATACAACCTTCGCGCATAATATTCTGACTTCTTTGCCCCATGTGAAGATGACGTTGCGCCAAGCAACACCGGGATGGGTCGTGGCAGCAAGTACTCCTGCTTTGGTTCATCTCCGTCTTCTCGCGCAAGGTCCGTCACTTTTGCAGCATGCGCGAAAGTAAAACTGCCTGGAAGGAAGACTCGCGTAGTTGTCAGGAAGCTGCATATAATGGCCGTCCATTCCGGCAATAAAGACACGGCAACTAAGCAGGCGGACGCAACCACTCGGAGCAGCAACGAGCCACGGACTTTATACGAGCGCATGGCTTTTTCTTTTTTGTACTTCTACTTATCAGTGGTCTTGTTTCGTACTATCCCGGAAGACTTGGTGGACGAGCCCAGATTTTTTATAAGAAAAGTGGTCACTCAAAGGAAGATTTTTACAAAAAAAAGTCTGAGCGTTGATGGAACAATTTTCAGTGCGTCGCGGAGACTTGATATTGTATGACGAACAAGATCTGCATCGTAAGAAAGACAAAATCACAGCTCTCTCTGCTGGATCTTGCAGGCTGCTCTCATTTTGAGACGAGAGAACACGGCGTGCGGAGAGTGGCGGGACACAAATGCTTTTGGTCTTGAGCTCTCTCAGTTTGTGACTTTTTCTCCGTTCTTTCTCTCTAGCCGCGAAGGAGACGATGAAGAAGAAGAAGTTGAACAGCAAAGGCATCAATTTTTCTTTTTCAGCGATCTCTTTTCAAGTGCTAACGAAAGCCTTGGCCACTGCTTCACCTTTATACGGATGTGCCAGAAAAACGTCCCTGAAAAAGTTTTTGAGAAATGGTTTTTACACAGCAGTTAAGCCGTGCCCGCAGGTGAATTTTCTCCGCGTTAAGCCGTCCCCGCAGGTGAAGTGGCGGGACACAAAAACATACTTCGCCTTATTTCAAGTTCAATCCCCCAGACAGATTCAAAATGTTAAGTATCGATATGTGGACGTTACTTCTTTCAAAATGTCAATCGATAGGACGCTACTTTCAAAATGTTAATCGATATGGCGTTACGTCTTTCAAAATGTCAATCGATATTTGGACGTTACTTCTTTCAAAATGTCAACACAAAATGTTAGTCGATATGTGTGTGGCATCCTATATTTGAATAAGTGAAATAAAACCTCTTCTATATTTTTTCCGGATCTGCAACAGAAATAGAATGAAAGCTGGGCTTCGGACGAAAGCGTGTGTCTTTTAAAGTCAATCCATGCTGCGAAAAAACTGCTGGTGACGTTGGTCCTCCCATCAGCACCAAAGCTTCCTACTGTGTTGCGCCTTACTTATTTGTTCTGCCATTGTACATTGTTCACAGTGACCAGGAAACTGAATCTGGATACGACATGGGCTGGAGTATGTAGCTGGCCAGGTTGATAAATCAAAAAGCGAAAGCAAAGCTTCTGTGGCAGTCAGTAGAGCGCCGCACGTCTTGCTCCTTTAGTACAAATACGGGTACTTAGCGCAAACACGGCAAGCGCACACACCCAGCCATCCGTCGACGAGACAAGATGAAGCACTGTCGTGCGCTATGTGTCGCCGGTGAGGGTTTGCTTTTGTGTAGTAAATCACTCTTTCATTCTATCTACCAGGACTCAGTGCCCACCACTCTTCGCAATTTTTCGTAGCAATTCTTCTTTGGCCTGCTTTTCGTTGCAGTCGCGGCGGATCATCCCCTGAATTTTCATGATGTCAAGAACGATTTCGCCGTATTGTGTGCCGGCGCAAGCTTCCAGCAGGGTGCTGTAGGTGGCAAGGTCGGGCACGATCTCCGCGGCTTCCATTTCTTCCAACACCGCGAACGCGCCCGCCGCGTCGCCAGCCTTGGCGCGTGCGCTCAGTAGGGTGTTGTAGCAAGAGATGTCCGGCTCGATCCCCTTTCTATTCATAATGGAAAGAATTTCCTCTACGCACTTCACTTGACGGAGGTAATACTCGGCTGTGGTCCCTTGTTGTTTACCAGATACAGCTGCCTGCTCCCTGTGCTGTTCTTGGCCATCGCTGCCGCCGCAACTCGCTTCGAGCTCCGTCTTTCCTTCCAAACCTGCACACGGCTGCGGCGCCTTGACACCCTTCGACAAATACGGATACGCATGGCGCACCTTCTCAGCACCTTTCCAATCCTTTATCTCGAAAAGTGCACGTCGCAGTTCCTTATACTCTGCTGGAGTGGGTAGAAGCGGCCCGTCTTTCAACATTTCGAAAAAAAGATCTGTCGCCCCGACCAGATCCTTGCTTTTTATCTTGTGCAAAAGTTGGCTTGGCTCCCGAGATGGCCGCACCTGGACAGCAACCACGAACGGATAAACAGAGTGGCTGGCATTCATCCCAGAGGATTCAAAAGCACCACGCCCACCCAGGAGGAGCGCGCCGAAAAGTAATTCTCTGCGGAAGTGGAGAGATGACATGCCCGCACCGACGGCGGCAAGTACGCGACGGAGGGATGCCATGATGTTATACTTTGACTCACTTACTTGCCAGGTGAGAAGTCCAAGAACTTGCTAAATTTAGGACTAGGTAGCTCAACACAAGCAGCAACAGTTTTCCCTTCCTTATCTGCTTGTCTGGGAGCGAGATGATAAAGAAGCTCCAAAGCACTGCGCTTCTATTCTTTGCTCTGCTGGTATGATTTTCTTCTCCAGTCTTCCCGAACAGAGACAGAACCTACCTTGTGTGGGCAACAAAATGCTCGAGCAAGGTGTCAAGTTGTAAAAGAGCGTCCTGATAGAGGCGGATTTCGTTTTTATCTCGTAATGCTAATATACAGTCACAGCCAGATTGCTTTTACCTTTTTGTAGTTTCACTGAAATGCGGAATGAAGAAGTAGAGCCACTTCTCTCGATAAAAAATTGCGTCACATTTGTAGTGCCACTTCGTCCACGTAGAGCGACCGTCGAGATAGCAACCGGCAAAAGGGAAGACTCGGATCAGTGTCGGTGTAGTCATTTCGTCATGATCATTTATCCTTGCAAACATCGCCAAGAGAGATCTTGAGAAGCCACGACTTGGTGTAAGCAGTATCCCCGTATTTGCGACCAATAAATAGGATTTTTTGCTCTCAATTTGAAGATACCAGTCCATTGAACTTCCATTTTTTATTACTGGTGGATCACACTATGTTAATGAAGCTGAAACTACACTGCCGAATACTATACAACACCACATCTGACTGTTAAACTACAGAATACACATACAGCTCATTGCTCTCGCTTGCCATATAATTCTCATTTTCGTTTTCCTCGTACGAAGAAGATTCAGGGTGAAAATTTTCAGTGCGTTGGAACAATTTTCATTGCGTCGCGGAGACTTGATTTCGTGGGACGAACAAAATCTGCATTGCAAGAAACGCAAAATCGCAGCTCTCTCTGCTGGTTCTTGCACGCTGCTACTTCGGCTGCAGCAGCTAGTCGCCGGGTGGAACATGCTTGTTGCTTTTCATTTCTTGAAAAAAGTTGTGTGGTGACTATGAGAATTCAGAGATGCTTTTTTACTTTAATCATACACTGGAGCCTGTCACCTTTTTACTTGGTAAGCAGTGTTTTATCTTCTTTCATGTGAACATGGCAAAAATGTAAATGCCATCTAGAATAAAATAAGTAATCAAACATTTTGCAACATTCCACCCGATAAGGATAACAGTATACTAGTTTTACATTTTTGACTTCTTCCCACCCCCGCTAGCACCGGCCAGAATTCCTTCTCCATCTATCCTGGGCGGTGCTCCTCCAGTTTCCTCTACTACGATCGTTTCCTCCTCCTGCTCCAAGGGCTCCGCCACCGCTTCCGCCCCTTATCCTGTGCAAAAACGTCCGCGCCCCATAGTCAATTCTGCTAGACAAATCAACAAGCGGTGCTGGCTTTTGCGCATGACAAGTTTGGCCTCGTAGTGCAATCCTGTTCAGCAAAGTGAGCAGCATCACAGGTCCAGTTTCTCATGCTGATTCGAGCATGACAAATTTCAAATCATCACTAGGAAACGTCTCTGATGTGTCCTCTCCGCATGAGAAACATTTTAAGCATGCAGATTTGCATTACAGCTCTGGGGTGGGGACGTTTTTACACAGGATATCCCCGCAGAATTGTTCTTTCGTTGTTTCGAAATTTGGTACTCCAACGTGGTCTTCCATGCCCGGCGCAGGTTGATGCTGTGCGTAAAGAACATAGCCGCGACGATAAACAGCGCCGCGGCAAAGTAGGTGGCCACGTAGCCTTCTTTTTTCGTTACCCGGTTCTTCCAGGAAATGTGGCTGCTTGTCGCGGTCGTGGTAGTGGGGGCGGGTGTCGTAGCAGTTGAATCGTCCTCTAGTACGGGGTTTGTATCTTCATCACCTTCGTTCATCAGGGTTTTTGTTTGTTTCTCATCTCCTATGTTATTCACTCCAGCGTCGTTGTCATCTTCCTGTTCTAGATCCGGATCCCACCCCACCTCTATGAGAGTGCACAACTTCCACTCGACCTGCATTTAAAACGCATAAGCAGCAACACAAGTGATGGCATAAATGCAGCTTTTGCATGAGAAATAATTCGCGACCTCCGATTCTAGTGGTGTTTCGGCTTCCGAATGAACCTATTATGCAAGCAGTGCCAAAGGGAAAAGGCTGGATTTGGTATTTTGCATGACAAATGAGGGGGAGGGGGACGAGGTGTGCACTTTCATAACCTCCGGAACTGGTTCGAAAATCTTCGAATGACGTTGAGCCTTGTGCATCGCTATCAAATGTAAAAGTGTCTGGGTCTGGAAACTTGTGATGCTGGGTGGCGTCTCACGATGAGGCCACAAATGCTGGCTCAGCATGACAAGTTTCTGAGCTTCTAGGTGTTGCCTATTCTGCGTTTCTGCATCACAGAAAATGAAAAATGGAGCTCTTGGGTAACGTGCATGACAGATTTAAGAGTCATGCCAGACAAGCATGACAAACATGCACTCTTCCAGATCCAGACATTTTTGCACTTGATAATCGCCTCGTGGCCGATCGGCTGGAAGACGTTGTTCACGTTTTCTTCGTAATGATCATCTTGTGTTGGTGAGGCACTACTACTGGTATGACTTCTCCTCGTCCCAGTTTCGCGAAAGTAAGAGGACCTCCGCAGGTTTCTCCTTTTCAGCAACAGAAAATTCGTGTCAACGTCAAGATGAGTAGAACCTACAGTACTATCAGCCGTCGTGTAAGAGGATGACCTCCTGGTCTTCGTGCTGTCGCTTCCTGTCAGCGCCAGCAATTTTATCGCAAGAGAAAAATTTTTTCACTGTAAACTTGTATATGCAGAAAATGTATCTGAGAAGTGTTTCTCTTGCTATGATGTAGAACAATTTTGTGATGCAAAAGAACAACTTGCAACATCCTTTCAGTGAAACACGTAGTTTTTCGTAAGCGATAAATTTGCTTCCAGTACTACCATCCCCATCGTCAATCGGGAAAACACCCTGAATCAACGCAAACGCCAAGGTGCCAAACACCATCCCGTACGTCGCGACTGGGATGTAGGACGACAAGGCGATTCCATTCGTGATTTTGGACGGTCGTATCCCCAACGCGAGCGCCAAATCCCCCGCGCCGGTGGTGCCGCTGCCTGCCCCGTACAGAGCCGCGCCGAGGAACAACAGCGGGAGAAACTATGACCGGCTCAGACGTTACAATCTCAACTGTTACAATAGAATCTGGATTTTGTGATGCAAGAAGTGCATTCGCTAGCCAACTCTAATAGGATTGCGCATGACAAATTCTGGAGTCCCAATCCGCACTACAATCTTGCGAAATTTGTATTGCAGAAAGTGGAATGCTGTCCGAGTCTGTCATGCTCATCATGCAATACAAAACCGAGACTCTATTGTAACGTTTGAGATTGTAACAGATGAGCAGGTTATAGAAACAAACTGGAGTTTTTGGAATTCTGCACGAAGCTCGAGCTGCTTAACCCAATAAACATGACCAACAGCATCCAACAGCCGAGTAAGAACCACTTCTTGCTCCTACTAACGGACTCGAGAAATTCCTGCTTCTCCAGAACGTCGGGCGTGGTGGACCACGTTATCGCAAGTAAGAAAAAACTGTTTCACTGTGAACTTGTGATGCAGAGAACGAAGCACCAAAGTGTTTGTCGTGCTACACCTGCAAGAGATTGGATTTTAAAGCGTGTTTTCTCTTGGGAAGCGCGCACGGCAAATGTTCCGTGTCATGTACAACAAACTTGTGATGCAGATCTTGCAAAATCACCACAGTGAAACAGTTTTTTCGTGGGATACACGTAGAATGGATACTACTAGACGATCCCGTTGCAACCCCTGCTGTGCCAGATGCCGGCGCTTGGAGGTGCTGTCCTTCTGTATGAAAGTTGCTTTGAACGAGGTTAATATCGTCCTCCGGTAGTCGATGTAATGAAGAAGCATCCGCCCCGGAGGTAGTTTCCCGTCCAGAAGATACTACTCCTCGCATTTGATGTCCCCGCGCACTGTACTTCTCGCCAGCTAGTAGATGAGGGGCCGCAGGAGCAGTAGAAGTAGTAGTTCCTCCCTGCTGTGCACTCGCTGCCACTCCTTCCGTCAACATTCCACCAGCTTCGTCCTCCAACTCGGAGTCCACATCTTCGTTATAATTTTTCGTACCCATCATCGTCCCTGTTTGAAGATGTTCTTCCACGACCTCCTTGCTAGCCGTTCTACTCCTTTTCATTTCCGCGGAACTATTGCTGTCGCCAAACACCACAAACGGTAACGAGCCCAACACTATCAAAGTGAAAAAAGCCCCCACCCCATATTCAAAAGACAATTTGTGTTGCTGGATTTGTGTACACAAATGAGCTTTGTATTGCAGCAAGAGCTTGTCGCCATATTCTAAGCGCATTTGGGTATGCATCCGGCTAGCAGCTGAGTAGCAGCTGAGCATGAGAAACAAGTCTGACATAGGCGAAACCGCATGACAGACTTGCTGCACAATGCGCCACATGGGCGCCGTTTGCCTTGTACGCAAGACAAGGCTGATTTGTGGTCACAAATCAGCATCACAATTCTTCTTTTCGATATGGGGAGGTGAGTTTTTCCTTGTGATAAACACCACGCCGAGCTGCGCGACGATGGACACCTGCGCGGTCAGCTCCGCTGCATCCGCCCGGTCTTTCAGTTCCGCGACATCCCGGAGCCAGAAAAGAATCAGCGGAATCGATGCCGTCGCGCAGGAGTACAGGAACCTTGCATAGGTCTGGGACGCGTAGTCTGGGCTGGCGGTGAGGATTAGCTGCAGTAGGGAGAACATCCCGAGGCGCTGCTTATTTTCCTTCGTTGTACTCGTACTGTTCTTGTAAGAAGGCTTTTTTTTCTGTGCTGCGGAGGTGTTCTCTGAATTTTTGTTCCAAAATGAGTCGCTGGTTCGATTTCTTTTCCCCAATAGTCGCTCCTTTTCAGCTACTTCGGGCACCGCCACCACGGCTCTGTCTTTGTCGGAGGTTTGTTGCTTGTAGCTTTCCTTAGTTGCTGCAGCAGCTGCTAGAACACCATCTTCGTCCACCTCCTCGTCCAAAACTTCAGCTGTGTTCCCGCTGCGCCCAAGCCCGATGGAACTCGGTTCTCCGATGACGGCGAAAAACACGAGGGAGACGACGACTAATACAGCGCTGTTGAACAGGTACACCCAGTACACCCCGTGTCTTGACAACCCCAGAAACTGTATCAACTGCAAATATGTCTGGGTCTTGAAACTTGTAATGCTGCGCTTGGAATAGTGAATGCTCTGTAATGCACAGCCAAGCATGAGAAATGTCTGCGCTTCTTTGTGTTGCCTGTTTCGCATGACAAACTGCGTTTTTGCATGACAGGCAAAAGGGTCTCTTCTTTGACACGCATCACAAACTTCTTGGTCATGCCAGACAAGCATGACATATCTCGCAATCTTCCAGACCCAGACATTCTTGCAGTTGATAAACTGCCCCACAAAGCCAAACGTCGCCCCCGCTCCGCACTGGACCTGCACCAACGCCGCCGCGGTCCCCGAATGCGTCCGCGGTTATCACAAGAAAAAAGTGTATCAGTTACACACTTGTTGGAGTTTCTGCATCACAAATTTTCTCTGTTTGGGAGACAAAACTTGTAATGCAGAGATCATAAGGGAAAATACGTAGGAAACGAGGCTCGCAAGCATTTCCTGCATGACAAAGGTTGTCTGTCTTGCGGCTCCTGCAACACAATGTGTAACTGTAACACTTTTTTCTTGCGATATCGGTACCAAGTCTGCCAAGATCGCCGAGTGCGCCGCGCCGGCCATGTGCTTCCCGAGCATCGCGAGCAGCACGCAGAAGAACCAAAGTGGCGTGTCCAACGCGACGGAAGCCACCGCGCAACCGAGGTTCCCGATCAGAATCAAAACGCAGGCGAAGAAGATCCAGATCCGCCTTTTCCCATATTTCGATTCGGTTTCGTCGCTGAAGCGCCCGAAGAAGGGCGCGGTGATCAGCGAGACGCCGTACATCATTTTCTATGAATTGCAAAAGTATCGCACTCGTATAAAATGCATTACAAATTTCCTCAGCATGAGAGATAAAAGTTGTAATGCTGATTTACCTTAAGAGAAAGATTTGTATATGCATGATTGCAATACGAGTACGATACTTTTGCACAGGATATTTTCTCTAAAGAAAGAAACATGATTTGGTTGTTCGGCGCCAGCCGCATCGCCTCCAGTGGCACGAGAAACATCAGGTAGGTTGCGTAGGCCAGCCCAAAGTAGAACCAGAACGAGGTCACGACGAAGAGCATGGGTAGGGAGTTGAGCATAAACGGCCGGTACCGCTCGTGCTCCAGCAGGTCGACCTCCGTGCTGGAGGTAATTCCTGCTGCGCTTCGGTGATCATCTTCGACCGTCATTATATTGGGCTAATTGTGTCGCGTGCGACCACGTTCTGAAATCATTTTACTTCAGTATGGAAAGAGTGCAAGTTCAGGTGCTAGTTCGTCCAAGTGTATTAAAACGATTTCCTCACTAAGTTGTTCAGGTACTACTTCCACCTTCCTCACTATGTTGTTGGCTCCCTCGTCTCAACATCGTCAAAAAAAACTGTGCTCCACGACGAGGACGCTCTTTTTGTGTTCTTCATCTTCGCGGTTCCTGTTTTTTTTTATCCTATCTCTACTTCTCTCCTTGGCCCTCTGCGTGGTGATGCCGTGCACCAAAGGAATGGCGCAGAACGAGAAACAGAGAAGGCAATTCTGTTTGTTCATCAAACTATACCTGCTGCAACACAGAACCACTGCCTCGTCGCGGCGGACTTCGGGAAATAATGCTTTTTTTACTAGCCTAATCTTAACCTTTTTAAATTTGCATTTGGGTTTTTTGTCATCTCTTACTTTTGGAAAATAAAACAAGTGTCGTCAGCTTCCCAGCACTACAGGGGCCGAGGAAACCATTTCCGTCCACCTCGCCTTAATCCAATAGACCGCCTCCGCCATGCACGGCCGATCCTCTGGCCGGAGCCGAAAGCACTGCTGCAACAAGGGCAAGAGACTCCCTGGTATCTGTATCAAATGCAAATATGTCTGGGTCTGGAAACTTGTAATGCTGCGTCGGGAATAGTGAATGCTCTGTAATGCACAGGCAAGCATAAGAAATGTCTGCGCTTCTCTGTGTTGCGTTTTTCGCATGGCAAACTGCGTTTTTGCATGACAGACAAAAGGGTGTCTTCTTGGACACGCATCACAAAGCTTTTGCTCATGCCGGACAAGCATGACAAATCTCGCAATCTTCCAGACCCAGACATTTTTGCATTTGATAATCTGCGCCACTGGAATCGGTGGCGTCGCGCCCATCCGTCCCGTGATCATTTCCGTATGAACTGCAAAAATATCTGGGTCTGGAAACTTGTAATGCTACAAATGAATGATAGACGCACTGCAATACGCAGCTATGCATGACAAATTTTTTGGCTGCCATCTCTTACGTATTCCGCATGGCAAACTGCGTTTTTGCATGACAGGTAAGAGGGCTTTTTCGTGCCCATGCAACACAGACTATCGCGTCATGCCAGACTGGCATGACAAATCTGGCATTCTTCCAGACCCAGACATTCTTACATTTGATATTGCGTAATTTCGTGCAAGTTCTGCACGTCCGGAAAGGGCACTTTCTGCGTGAAAATCTCCAGGAGAAAACACCCAAACGCGTAAGAATCCACCCGCTCCGTGATGAAACTGTTTTGCTGAAAAGCCTCCCTCGGCATGTACCGCGGAGAGCCGCCGTTCTCTTTGATAAATGCAGTGTACAAAGGTGCTGGAGCTGATGAAGATGTTGAAGTCTGTACTAAACTCGGACTGCTAGTAGTGCCGGAAGTGGTCAACATCGCTGATGTTCTTCGTGGCGGCATTAATTCGAGCGTTTTTCCGAAATCACAGACTTTCAGGGCGTTGTAGTAATTCCCATCGGCGAGATTTGTATTTTGCATGTAGGGAAAGCCGTAGATGGGAAGATCCGTCGGACGATGGGAAACCTGTTGTTGTAGCAAATGATCTCCATTTCTAGGTGCTTTTTACGGTGTAAATGTGTACTTTTATATGGACTTATGAATGCCGAATCAACCAATATACGCATCTACTCGCGCAAACCAAATACAACTCTTCAGCACTAAGTCGTAATTTATACCACGCAATTCTGCGGCTTGACATCCCTGTGCACCAGTCTCACCGCCCCATGCAGGTGCAACAGCGCCGACGCCAGCTGGTGGGAGTGCGCGACTCTGGCCGAATTTGAAAATTTGTACTGACCGTTCGTGCTGAGCTCGTACAGATTGTTCCCGTCGACTAGCTCAATCAGCAGCCCCAGTGCCGACGTGTTCGCCGTCGCCTCCGGTAGTAATGTGCCAAAATACTGCACTAGGTTCGCGTGCTATGCAAGAAAAAAACTATGTGAGTGTAAATCTGTGATGCGGAAAGTGCAAAACTGTTACACCTGTCATGCTGGATCTGCGTGATAGGCTATTTTCATACGTGTGTCCACGTACTCGCTGCGCATGACAGGTTTTCCCTGCCTCTAATGCAAAAGCGAATTTGTGATGCTGCTCTTCCTACACAGTTTTACACTTACACAGCTTTTTTCCTGCATACGTGGGGATTCCCCTGCCTCTGCTTCCTGGTTTCTTCAATCGCGTGAAACGCGTATAACTCGCGCTGAAAGGTCAATAGCTGCTCCTCTGACATCTGGATATCCGGTTGCGGTGGCAGCTGGGAAGTCGTGGTAGTAGTAGAACTACTACCCGTTTGAAGATAGTTCTTCGCAGCTGTGCTCGAAGAACTCCCGCCACCGGTAACATTGTTGTTCGTGTTACCATTATTTTTCCCGCTCAGCAAACACTGTTTCAGAGCGACTTTTTATCCCAAGAAAAGACTGCTTCACTGTGATGATTTTGCAAGATCTGCATCACAAGTTTCTTACGCATAACAAAGAAAATTTGCCATGCGCGCTTCCAAGGGGAAAATACCCATAAAGAGTCAAGGTCTTGCAGGTGTAGCAAGACAAGTAGTTCTGCGCTCCATTCTAGGCATCACAAGTTCACAGTGAAACAGCTCTTTCTTGCGATACTTTCCCGAACCGCTTGTGGACCGCGACGTAGACGTCGCCGAAAGAGCTATCAAAAGGAAAAATCCCCCCTCCCCGCCATACTGAGAAGATATATTTTTGGAAGTCTGCGATGCTGATTTGTGGTCACAAATCGTGTCTGTCTTGCAAGAAAGCAACGCCGCAGACAACCGCCGCATTGTGCAGGCGGTTTGTGATGCTGTTGGGCCTACAGTGCTGACGTTTTTTATGCCAAGTGCCTAGGCCAAAATCTCTCTACTCAGACTTGGTATGGGCCTGCAATGCTCTCCAGCCAGACAGCTCGGATTTGTGTACACAAATCCAGCATCAGAAATTTCGTTTTGATATGGGGAGGGGGAATTTTTCCTCTCAATAAGAGCCCTTCCAGGTGGCGGTCTTGCTGGAAATTTCCAGCCAGGACTGGTTGGTCGTCCGGCACTGGCAGCTCCAAGATTTCGTCTTTTCGTTCCAGTTGATGACAAGGGGGCTCTCCCGACTGGTGTCGGGAGTCGTGTTGGGCAGGGGTTGCACTTCCGGCATGATAATTCAATATGAATATGTGACGTATTCTAAACCGTCGTGGTTAATCCAACAAGTCCGGAAGTTTACACGATTGTAAAGAAGGGGCGGCTCAAGAGTAGAGACCTTGAGTGTAATTTCTTTTGCGCGTAGAAAAGTTTATAAAATCCCTACCCCAACTTTCTAAGTACTACACTCCTATCGTCGCGTTAAATATATTTCGATTCACTCTCGCCCACAGACCTGGATCGCCCAGCTCTCGTCCCTCGCTTGATGTTGATCGGGGCAGGATAGAGTCCGGTGGACTTCTTTTCCTTTGCGAACAAGACACTACTGCAGCAAGGTCTGCAACAAGATGCACGGAGAAAATGATCTCCGAGCAAAAGTGCATTGATGCGTGAAGTCGTTAGGTGTGTCGAAGAAGAAAATCAGACAGAAAAAACAAAAAGTGCATTTTTCAACAATTTTTGCGACAAAATAAAGAGTGGTCAGCGGCAGCAGGTTCTACTCATGCTGACGAGTATTAACTCTCTACTACTAGTTGATCCCAGTCTGGTATTTCTGGTAGATGTTCTGAACATCTAGGCTCAGCGCGCCGTTATCCAATGCAAATATAATGTCTGGGTCTGGAACGATGCAAGGTTTGTCATGCACATTTTGCATGACCCAGGATGTCTGTGATGCATGCCTCAGCATCACAGCTTTTTTGAGGGCATCCTGATGCCTATCCCGCATGAGAAAAGCCTACTCCACGTAGCAAAAAGTAGCTCTTCTTCTCGCTCATACAATACACTTTTTTTTAGAATCGAAATGAAGCATCACAAGTTCTTGCATGGTTCCAGAGGACCGAGACATATCTGCATTTGGTAGTCCTCCACCTGTCGCAGGTTTGAATCTCCCAAGGCATCACGTACACATTTCTCCGCACCGGACTCGTCCATGTTGCTCGTGAAACACTGCGTCACCTTGTTCATCAGGCCGTCGAGCTGTTTTCATAGTATAATGGATTTATTTGTCATGTGAACTTGAGCACCATAGAATCTTTCTGCCATGCAAAAATATACCAAGCACCAACACGACGAACACGAAGCCAAAATCCTATAATTACCCTTGTCTCGCACGCCTGCGAGAACTCTGTCATCGGCGCTATCAAGAGGAAAAATCCCCCCTCCCCATACCGAAAAGGTATATTTTCGGGAATTTGTGATGCTGATTTGTGGCCACAAATCGCGTCTGTCTTGCAAGAAGGCAAACCCAGAAGGCCCCCCGCATTATACCGGCGGTTTGTGATGCTGTTGGGCCTACAGCATGGACTTTTGTCACGCTGAGCGCCTAGGCCAAAACCTCCCGCACTCAGGCTTGATGTGGGCCGGCAGTCCACTACTGCAAGACAGAGCTGATTTGTGACCACTAATCTGCATCACAGATTTCCGCTTTGATATGGGGAGGGGGGACTTTTCCTTTTGATAGGCGCCTCGCAGCGTTCAATGCAGGACAGAGTCGCTTGTGGGTTGTGCCTATCAAATGGAAACATGTCTGGGTCTGGACACTTGTGATGCTGGTTGGCGAATCTTGAGAATGCCACAACTGACGCTCCAGCATAACAAGTTGCCGAGCTCGTGCTACGTGTTGTCTATTCTACATGAGAAACAAAAGCAAAACTGCGTCATTCTGCATGAGGAAAGTGAGGCTTAAGGGTGACGTGCATGACAGGCTGGAGAGTCACGCCAGCCGAGCATGACAAATCTCGCAGTCTTCCAGACCCAGACATATTTGCAGTTGGTAGTGCCCGCCGTGGTCCAAAGCTGCGCTTGAGGAACCTCCACCGAGAAATGACGTGGATCCCCACGACGAACTGCTCTCCAAACTCGATTGGAAACAGGACTTAAACCCACATGTATACTGGAGCTTCAGCAAGGGTACGGATAGTTTCCCTAGCCGCTCGTCCATATTTTCCAAAGTATTCATCGCCTTCTGCAGCTCCGGCGGCATCGCGGGAGAGCCGAACCCGCCACCCAAGTCGCCGGCGCCGTTTATAGCGTCGAGAAAGTCCATTTTTTTAGTATATTCGTACCAAATATAGCCGCCGAGGCGGGGGTAGTGAGGTCGCGCGGGGTCTTTTTGACTGGACGACGCCGGGTCTTTTTGCTCTTTTCAGAGGAGAAACGCTTTCCCGCACGCTATGGCCCCACAAGGGCCTCAGCCAGGGTCGGCCCTGTAGGCCCCCCAAATCGGGCCCATAGCATGCGGGTTGGCTTGCTGCTTTTGGCGGGATTTGCGTCCTTTGGCTTTTTTTGTTGAAAAGCCGCGCCCCTGCCGCCTCCTGAATCGAAACGCTTTCCCGCATGCTATAGCAACCCCAGGGCCTCCACCAAGCACGGCCCCATGGGCCCCCAAAATCGGGCCCATAGCATGCGGGTTAGCTTTTAGCTTTTGGCGGGCTTTCCGCTTTTTGTTTTTTTTGTTGGAAATTGGCAACTTTTGGATTGCTCCCCGCATTACAAATGCCCGATTTTGGTGGCCGGCTTTGCGACCTCCAAAAGTGGACCAAAATGGGGCCCATACCATGCGGATTCGCGCTTTTTTTCGTCTTGGCATTTTTGCGGCGCCCCTTTTTGGGAGCCCCAAATCGGCAGAAACCAAGGCGGTGGGCGCCTCAGAAGGGCGCCCCTTTTGCCGGCTCCCCTGCGTCGTTTTATCAAGCGGGAATCGATAGAATCCGCTCGGGCTTGTTTGACGGCAAAGCCCCGGCCGCTTGATAATTGAAAATTTTTTATGCCCAAAAACACTTCCGGCCGCTTGAAAACTGCCGGCCGTTTTTCGCGGGAGCTGTCAAAAAAACTCCCTGGTTAGAACCGTTCGGTGACCTCACTACATATGAACAGAAAAAGTGTAAAGCTTGCAAAGTGGCCAATATGAACAGATGATCGCTTAAACTTTTTCGAAAAAATTTCCACACAAAGCGAGGTTCTTGTAACAACACACTTTCACTTTGAAAACGGAGAGATATTAATTACGGAGTCGGAAAGTTTATGAAAATCACTTGCGACAACGAAGGATCGACAAGAAGTTACGCAATAAAGTTTTTCAGTTTACAGTGTTCGCGCGTTGCGCGAGACTTCTACTCAAAATGAGGAGTCCAGTTAAGGAACTTCAGCATGTGCTGATTGCAAAAACTGACAACAAAAAACTGATCATCGAGTAGTGGAGAGCTCAAGTCCGAACCGCGGCCACCAGTATTGACACGCACAACGCGGTGGATCCATTCTACAGTGACAGTATTGAACACACGACTAGTCGGCTTTTTTCGAACGGGGAAGCAGGTACGAATAATCGTCAATAGATTCGTTGTGACGAGTTTTTTTCCTCGTAGTTGCGATTATATTTTTTGCCTCTAGTTGTACAGCAGCAGCTCTTGTTCTTTCAAATGAACCAACACCGCTGTCCCTGCCGGCAAAGCGATCCAGCACACCAAGAAATACACCAACCGCCCCGCTAGCACCAAAATCGAGCATTGGCAGCAGCAGTTTATGCCGATGCAACAGCAAAAAACACCGTTCCTCACCGTTGTATTGAACTGTAGTACTTCCTGGTTGTACAAGGAATTCTGCACTCCTTCTGCAAACGTCTGTACCGCACCGACGAAAAGCGCTTTGAGCAAAAAGTAGACGAGTTATCAACTGCAAACATGTCTGGGTCTGGAAGAATGTATGTTTGCCATGCTCATGCTTGTCTAGCATGACTCTCAAATCTGCCATGCCTGTTACCCAAGAGCCCCCCTTTTCTGTCATGCAGAAACGCAGTTTGTCATGCAGAATAGGCAACACCTAGAAGCTCAAAAACTTGTCACGCTGGGCCAGCTCTTGCGGCCTCCTCGTGATACGCCACCCAGCATCACAAATTTCCAGACCCGGACATTTTTACATTTGATACGACTAGAAACGGCCCGAGAAGCACCCACAGAAGCAGTTGATCGAGGCCGGTGTGGTTAGTATTTCCCCGTGCAGCTACGCTTCGTCTTAGCTCTTCTTCGAAAGCGCGCATCAGAACTTTTGGGGACGGAATTTGAAGGGTCGTCCACGTGTGATATTTCCGACACTCGTTCCTGGAAACAAGGTGTCAGCCCTCCCATACTTTTTTTACTAAGGGCCGGACTGTCGGGTCATGCTGGATCGTGCTTGCGACAACACAGAGACACTAGAAAGACACCGTTTTACATCTACAACGAATGGCTCCTTTGTGTTGCGATCGTGAGCGAAAACAATAAACGGGATGATTTTGTCACTCGTAATTTGTCAAAAGGAGGTCCTGTGTCAAATGATAAAGCGTAACAAGCAGAGATAAGAAAGCAAAGAGCGACTACCTAGTGAACAGTAAGCATCACTCTTTGTTTCTCAAAACTCCTCATCTCAACTTCTGTTTCGTTGCCATCAGGCTGAACAATCAGGGTCGCGGGTCGCTCTTTCTCTATCAGGGTGAAAAACCAGGGTCGCGAATCGTAGAGAAAATAGAAACAAACTGGTCGTGAATTGGGTTTTTGGCAGAAATCAAATTTTTCTCGGAAATATTAGTCGCGCGCAAAGTTGCTCTTGTTCAGATGAAGTTCGAAGAGACATATGAATGGGGTCAGAACTTCTAGCAGAAGTGCAGTACTTTTTACTTTTTGTCGTCATCAACTACGTTTTTGTCAGTTGTCGCCTCGGGAAGATAGCATTTCATTTTATCTTTCGATACATGCGTTTGGGTAAATTTTTACCGAATATTAAGTTAAACATAGTAGAGCCTACTATTCTGGGTCTTACCGGCGAGAAGATGCAACTTCGATGTTCGGCACTGAAAGAACTTTTGAAACTGGATTAAGTTTGATTCCTCGTTTTAAAGGTGCCGCTCAAACACTCTAAACATTTGCAAATCCTCTACTATCGTTCACGATAGTTCCAGTATCACAAATCCTCGTAATCCACAGCTTGCCGGGCAACCTCCGTTTCCTTCTGAATATCCGGCTTGCCCTCTTTCTCGCTTTCGGAAGAGCTCAAAACATCCTTTGGCGGCGGTAGTAATACCGGCGCCTTGGATCGCGCCTCCTTCACGAGGACCTGTATTGATTTGGTTGAGGTAGCAGATTTGTATTGCAACATCACAGGCAAATGTTCTCGTCTCATGCATGATGCTGTTCGTTACACGGATTTCATTTTTTGAAAAATCAAAACTGGTTATAGTACCGTCGACTGTTGCTGCTGTTCCCGCTGCAAAACTTCTTCCCTTGAAACCAGCGCTGCCTTTTGAAACGAAGAACCTATGAAATGCAAAAATGTCTGGGTCTGGAAGAGTGTAAACTTGTCATGCGGGTTTTCCATGACCCTTGAGGTCTGGAATGCGAGACCTAGCATGACAGAGTCTGTGAGGTCTCTTTCATGCCTATCCTGCATGAGAAACTTCATCCCAGCTTGGTCGAAAGTGGACAGCTTTTGGCACTCATGCAACACAGATTTTTGCATGATTCGGATTTAGCATGACAAGTTGCAATCTTCCAGATCCAGACATTTTTGCAATCCATAGAACCCTGCAGGGCGCCATTCCGTCCCGACGAGGACCCTGGCTGCTGCTGCTCGTGGTCAAAGCTGTACATGGGGTTTGGCTTCAATTCCAAATTTCCGTAGGTCGTCGCGCCGTTCGTCCGCATGGTGGAAAACCCGGCGGGTGGCACTGGCGGCCGGAAATCCGCGTCTTTCCGAGGTTGCAGCATTGGCTGCTGCTGCTGGTGCACCGATGATCCGCTCCCCGCGATGACGAGGGGCGGAGCCGGGGGGATTGCAAACTGCCCACTAGTATTTTTTGCCGCTACCGGACGAAAAGACCCGACGTCGTGGTGACTGCTGCTACTCCTCGGGGTAAGTTGCTCCGCTTGGACGTGTATCAAATGCAAATATGTCTGGGTCTGTAAGGTTGGAAGACTTGTCATGCAGGTTTTCCATGACACGTGAGTTCTGTCATACATGACCCAGCATGACAGATTGTGTCTGACCTCTATCATGCCTCGTCTGCATGAAAAACTCCATGTCAGCTTGGCCAAAAGTGGCCAGCTTTTGGTAATCATGCAACACAGATATTTGCCCCATCCAAAATTAGCATGACAAGTTGCAACCTTCCAGACCCAGACATATTTGCAATGCATAACGTGAAAGGAAGAACTTGAGGACGAACCGCTTCGCGGCCCGTGGTTTTCGTCTTCTTGTAGGGAAAAATCGTTGGCACAGTTCTGAAGCTTTCTCTGCTTTTTCTCCTTCTTTAATTTCTTTTTCATTTTCTTTGCAGCGGTAATATTGTCTTCGTTCTCATCAATCATTTTGTTGTCGTTGCTGTCACGGCTGTTCTCGATTTTGCTTTTCTTCTTTTTCTTCCCCCTGTGGTCTTTCGAACCGTGTAGTTGTTCCTGATCGCTTGGCTCCCCGGGAGGACCCTCGTGAGAATTCACGTGGTCCTCATCTACTTCGTGTTTGCTCTTCTTACTTGCTTTTTTGCTGCTTCTCCCGGCGGGCGACTTGGACTTCTTGCTTTTGCGGGAACTATTTTTACTTCCGCCACTGCGCCGCTTGGGTAATATCAAATGTAAAAATGTCTGGGTCTGGAAGAATGCAACTTGTCATGCTGCATTTGGATTCCAGAAAAATCTGTATTGCATGAGTACCAAAAGAAAAGAAATTTATGCAACGCGGAGAGGGCATTTGTCATGCGGAATAGGCATCAAGAAGCTCCGAAAAAATCTGTGATGCTAGGGCATGCATCACAGACATCAGGGCTCATGCAAAACGTGCATGACAAGTGTCGGAATGTTCCAGACCCAGACATTTTTACAGTTGATAGGTAAGGACGGATGTCGATCTTCCTCATCTTCCTCCATTTCTTCCCGCATGAATTGCAAAGGTACCGTACTAGTAGAAATCGCATGACAAATTCTCTCAGCATGAAAAATGAAATTTGTAATGCGGATTTAAGTCGCTAAGGAGATTTGTAATGCATGACTACGATTACTACGAATACGATACTTTTGCACAGGATATCCCGTGATCGCTTTTTCGCTTTCAACATCATCGCCTCCTTAATCTTTTCCCTCGCCTCTTTCATATTTTTCAGCTCCTGCAACTTCCCAATGGCCGGCGTGCCGCTGGAGGAGGAGGAGGGCTCGTTGTTCTTGTTTCCATCAGCATTTCCCGGACTGAGATAATCCTCGATCGGGCCGCGGTACCGTGCGCCAAGATTTTTTCTCTCAAGCTCCAGGTCATCTTCAACATCACTTTTGACCTTGCCGGCGCTACTGCTGTTCGCAACGCCGTAAAATCGGTCCCTGGTTACTGCCAAAATTCTGCGCGCTTTGTTCTCACCCCACGCCTCTGTTCGCTGCTCCTGCTGCCGCTTTCGGCTGTCCGCGTGGAAGCGCCGCTGGATGTGCTTCTTAAACTCGGCTTCGACCTGATGCCGGTCGGACCGGTCGGGCAGGCAGCTCATGGTAGTATTGTAGTCACTATCAAATGTAAAAATGTCTGGGTCTGGAAACTTGTGATGCTGGGTGGCGTATCATGAGGAAGCCATAAGTGCTGGCTCAGCATGACAAGTTTCTGAGCATCTAGGTGTTGCCTATTCTGCATGACAAACTGCGTTTTTGCATGATAGGAAAGTGGGGCTCTTGGGTAACCTGCATGGCAGATTTAAGAGTCATGCCAGAGAAGCATGACAAATCGCGCATTCTTCCAGACCCAGACATTTTTACATTTGATAGTCGCGCGGCTTCTGCGGTTTAGTACCGTAGTTGCTTGGGTTCGTCGTCTATCAAATGTAAAAATGTCTGGGTCTGGAAGAATGCAACTTGTAATGCTGTCTGCGGATTCTAAAAATATCTGTGTTGCATGAGCAGCAAGAGGAGTCAGTTCTTGGCACGCGCAGAGGGAATTTCTCATGCGTAATTAGCATCAAGAAGCTCTCAAAAAATCTGTGATGCTAGCACCAGCATCACAGACCTCACGGGTCATGCAAAATGTGCATGACAAGTCCCGACTCTTCCAGACCCAGACATTTTTGCATTTGATATCATCTCTAGTTGCGGTGTCCTCGTTCGGTCCCGATCGCGGCGGGCGTCCGGGGCGTGACCACGATCCCGGCCGCGGGAAGCGTCGGAAGCACTAGTTCCACGCCTGAGCAGTTGTAGTAGTGTGTAGATGTTGCAGGAGTTTTGACTAATACTAATATTTGAACTAGTACATCTACTTCTACCGCCATTGAGTAGGTTACAGAAATTTCAATATGGTTGTGCGCGATCGACGAATTAAGGCTTCTTTCATCCAACCAGCCATGAACTACCTGCGCTTCTTGTATACAAGAACCCTCGCTGGACAATAAAGCACGATTTGGATTCTCTTTTTCATCGCGAAGGAAGGAAGAGAGCATTTTTAAGTTCTCTAGTACCGTCGCTCCCGATCGTACTGGTGGTCGCGCCCCCGTTGCTGATTTCTGCCCGCCGGATGAACTGCTTCTCCGCGGTCGTAAAAATTATCCCGGTTCTTGTCTCGCCTCACACCCGGGCGGTCGCTGTCAAAGGGCCCCCGCTCGTAGTACGACGACCCTCGGTCGCTGTTGTTCCGCGCTGCTGGTGGTACCACTGCCCGGCGTCCTGCCCCGCGGGAATGGTCCCGCCGAGGACCACGGGAGTGCTTTTTCCTGTCCCTCGAATGCTCTGCGCGGCGGCTAGGAGGTCCTCCTCTGGTTCCAGGAGGTAGTTTTTGTGGCATTCTGTTATTCGTCTGACCTCTGCGTCGAAGATCATCTTCGTGAGGAAAATTACTGGTCGAAGCAGAAGATGGTTTCATGCCCGCAGACTTGGGAAATAAAGCTTCTTTATTCTCCATCTGTTTATATGTTTTGTACGAGTGTCAGTGTCGTGATGATGTTTTAAACGTTTCAATCGACTGGGGTCTTGTGTAATTATGCTTGTAGAGCGAATTTTTACAGTAGTGGTTCCTGTAGAAGTTGCTGTACCATAACTGCAGCTAGGTAGAAGAAAAAACTCGAAAAGCACTTCTACGTGTAGTCTGTCATGTAAAACTTCCAGAAAAAAAAAACAAAATCACGATTATTTGTGAAGCCCCACCATGTACCTTATTCTCCGAGGAGGAGACCGCGGGTGGCGCACTGGGGTCAAACATCTCAGCCCCGGTACTATTATTTTCCTCCACGGGCGGAGGTGGCGGCGGTGGCGGGACGTAGGAGTCTCTCGACGTCGCGGAGTAGGAAAGCGGCCCAGCTGCACTCTTTGGCATCGCTCCCGCCTTGGGACTGGCGCTTTTGAATAAAAGTTGGACGTCCCGGTTGTCGTTTTTCTCGATCACCTCCTGCAGGGTGTCCTGCTCCTGGGGCAGAGCCAGGTCGCCTTTCTTCAGCCAGTACGACATCTGGCACTCCTCCGGGAGGTCGGGGTCGATAGGGAGAGCGCGGTCGGGTTCTTCGTCGGGCTTTTTCTCTACTATGAATCGCAAAAATGTCCGGGTCTGGAAGGATCTGAACTTGTGATGCGCATTCTAGAACACAGAAAAATCTCTCATGCATAGGTAGCAAAAGCTGCCCGCTTTCTGTCACCAAAATGGGGGATTTCTCATGCGGGTTCAGCATTGCGGAAGCTTTTCGAAACCTGTGATGCTAGAGCTTCCATGCCAGACCTGCTGTGTCATGCAAAAACAGCATGACTCTTCCAGACCCAGACATTTTTACATTTGATATCTACTACTGCCTCGCTAATCTCCATGTCCTGCGAGAGTTCGTGATTGTCCCCGTCGTCGTCCTATCCAATGCAAATATGTCTAGGTCTGGAAGATTATAGGACTTCTCATGCAGGTTCAACATGACGCATCAGGTCTGCAATGCGGGATCTAGCATGACAGATTCTGTGAGATCTCTACCATGCCTCTCCTGCATGAGAAACTCACTCCCAACTTGGTCAAAAATGGACAGCTTTTGGTAATCATGCAACACAAATATTTACATGATCCAGATTTAGCATGAAAAGCTGCATCCTCCCAGACCCGGACATATTTGCAGTGCATACGCCCTCCTCCGGGGGTGGGGGAGGGATCGGCGAAATGTCTTGGAAATGATCCTGTGACAGTCTATGGCCCGCGTCCAGTGCAGCACTGGTGTTGGTGTCGTAGGGAAGATGTTGTTGAGAAAAAGGGGCGCCGGCGTTTGGGTTTCTTTGGGAAGTAGGAACTACATTGTTGCTGTCGTACTGATTAGGCTGCTGTTGCTGGAAGTTGTTCATCGCTGCTTGTTGAGATGTTGGACCTCCAAAGTGTTTGCCAATTGCTCCTGCACGATCTCCGACAGAATGAAATGAGCCACCGGAAGAGGGGTTGATGTTCATGTTGCCGGTGTTACTATTAAACTGCGCCAAGTCGTAGTTCCGATTTTGTTGGGAGGTGAACATATTGGGGTTCATCGGAGGAGCTCCGGCACTGGTATTTGATACCCCTTGCTGGGACGACGTCGACCCAGCGCTCCCGGGAGGCACGTACTTTCGCAACCACGGAGGATTCCGGAAGGTCCTATGCGGCGTTTTCCACTCTTGCCAGAGGTTTCTTTCCGCGGTTTCTCGCCGTTGGGGCGGTATCATGGCCTCTACCTCCTCACGCGGGGTTTGGCATTTACTGCAGTGTATGAACTGCAAAAATGTCTGGGTCTGGAAACTTGTGATGCTAAAATGTGCATGATGAAAACACTTCCGAATGCAGTCCGGCATGACAACTTCCCAAAACGCTTTCTCATAGGCAATCCGCATGAGAAACTGCGTTTTTGCATGACAAAAGAGGCTGCGACTTTTGTTAGTTATGCAATACAGATTTTCTAGGTATGGAAAGCTAGCATTACAAGTTCCAAGCTTCCAGACCCAGACATTTTTACAATCCATACAGTGGGTGCCGTGCCAGTGGTCGGGGTGAATGGTGTGGTAGACAATGATATCAAATGTAAAAATGTCTGGGTCTGGAAGAATGCAACTTGTGATGCTGAATTTGGATTCCAAAAAAATCTGTATTGCATGAGTAGCAAAGGGAACGCAATTTTTGCTACGCGGAGAGGGCATTTGTCATGCGGAATAGGCATCGCGAAGCCCTCAAAAAATCTGTGGTGCTAGGGCATGCATCACAGACATCATGGCCAATACAAAACATGCATGACAAGTCTCAGAATCTTCCAGACCCAGACATTTTTACATTTGATAAATGTAGTTGCAGTTTCCGCACCACCAGTAACTCGGCTTCGAGACACTTCCGTCGGTGCCGCCAACCGCAGTGATGCCCGGAGGACCTGCACCTCCTCCTTGCTTGTTGCCCATAAGCTGTTTCAGCAACTGCGACTGCTGTGCAGCTATCTGGTCCATTAACGATTTCTGCTGCGCGGCCATTTGTACTTGTGTCGCGGCGCCACTGCCCCCTGGCAGGACCATGTTGTTTGGCATATTACCGTTCGGAATATTGAAACCACTGCCCTTAGTACTACTGCTGCTAGTACTTCCACCCATCTGCATCGTTCCGGCTAGGTTAGGCATTAACGTAGCTGTACCAAATGGCAGCAAATTTGATGTTGGCAGCAGCGGTGGTATCATACCACCGCCATGCTGGTGGAGCTGCTGCCCGCCGGAGGTTACCGCCGCGCCAGGGAGGTTGGTCGCTGCTCTCACTCCTGAGACCAGTGGCGCGACCAGGTTGCCAACATTCGAGGGCGTTCCTATCGGAAGCTGCAAGGGTTTTAGTGTCGGTGGGCCCGCCCCGACGTTTATTTGCTGCAAAGTGGATTGATCGTCAACGGGTGCTACTGGCTGCTCGGCAGCTGCTTCCTCTGGCGGTGGCGTCTCGATGCCCTTCTTCCTCTTTTTTGCGCGCAGTCTGTCCGCCTTCTCCTGCGCGATCACGGCCCGGGCGTCTTCGTCGGAGATATTGTCTTCCGAAAGCTCCACATCTTTCGTCGCGCGCTGCACGAAAGTCCGCCACTGCTTCGGCATGTCCGGGGCCAGTTCGTCCAATTCGTTGTCACTGGAGCTGCTACTTGCGTTCGAAGAGGACGTCCCGGTGCCGGTGTTCTTATTGTTTACAACACCTCCTCCCGCATGGTGGTCTACTCCTGGAACATCAAGTTTATCACTCTTCCCACCTTCTTCACCCCCCTCCGCCCACTCCCCTTCCCCGACCATTTTCACGGGACTGTCGTTCCAATCCTGATTCTTCGACCCCGTTTTGCTAGTGCTTCCCCTCTCCCGCGACCTGGACTTGTTTGATGTTCCTGCGCCTGCTTCGATATTAGCCGCTCGTAGTAGTTTCCTCTCTCTCTTCGCCTGCCGTTTCCGCTCCTTCGCCGCGGCTTTTTCCTCCCTTTCTCGTTCCTTTTTCTGGCGGGCCTTCTCTTCGCGCTCCTGGCGCTGTTTCTCTGCACGTTCATTCAGCTCATCTAGCTCCTGTTGAAGCCGTATCTCCTCCTTTTTCCGCTCCGTCGCTGCCCTCAATCTCGCGAGGTTTCGCTGCTGCTCCTCCTCCACCGTGTCAAAGTGTGACTTCTTAGGTGCAGCTCCTGCTGCGACATCCGCACTACTCCCGGTTATATGCGCACTGGGAAGGCCGCGCACACTCCCGGTGTTGTCCACGTGGGCCGCGGCGCCGGAAGATGTATCAATTGCAAATATAATGTCGTGTCTGGATCCACCGCTGGAAGATTTTTGTCATGCAGATTTTAGTACTCCATGACGACCCATGTTGGCAGGTCTGGGCTGTAGCTTCCATAGCATGACAGATTCAGTGAGATCTTTCTCATGCCTAATATCCTGCACGAGAAAAAACCTCTACTTCGCAACATATGGTCAAAAGTGGACGACTTTAAATTTGGCAATCATGTTGCAACACAGTAGTTTTTCACAGTGTAGTAGACTTCGCATCACAAGTTTCAATGGTCCAGACCCAGACATATTTGCAAGGCATAAGATGACCTTCGGCCGTGCACCTTCGTGGAGATTCGTTTCCAGACGTCGTCGGGGTATCCTGTGCAAAAGTATCGCACTCGTAGTAATCGCAGTCATGCATTACAAATCTCAATCGCAAGGCAAAACAGCATGACAAACTCCCTTTGTCATGCTGAGCTAATTTGTATTGCAATTGCTACTAGTACGATACCTTTGCAGTTCATACGGGAACGACGCTGGTAATGTCCACCTTGTTCGGCGTAGCCGCCTTTACCGCGTCCACGATCTTGCGACTGTCGAACATAAACCTGAATAAAGGTTTTGATAAGTAGATGGAGAAAAATCGAACACATCGAACGGACCCCGTCCTTGGTGCAGGCGTCGACCAAAACAAAAAGACGTGCAAAAAACAGAAGTCATCTACTGCAATCTCCTCCGTACCAGACGTTTCCCAGCCAGTCTTTGGCTTTCGTGATTGCGTACTGATGCTGATCCGGATCGGGGTTAAAGTGGATCGCGTACAGGATGTAAGTTGCCACGTGCGAAGAGATTTGCTGGGCCAGCACTTTGGCCTTGTCTCGGTCTTCCTTTACTCGCTGTGTTTAATAGTGGTGGGAATTGCATACATAAACTATAATCTCACATGGAAAACGTCATTTCTCAATCAATCGAAATCTGAATCTCAATCTTGCATACGACCCAGAGAAACTACTTATTACTACGAATCATGAAACCAATCTTCACAAAACAGCATCCAAATCCGCTTTAAAATAGTTCCAATACCCTCCGGATCAGCATGTCGACGGAATGGATCAAGGGCCGCAAATTTTGGAACATTCCCTCGTTTTCCTGCGGCGGCGTGCTGGAAGGGTTTAAGGCCATGCGCTTCGTCAAACGGTCGATTTCGGCGCGCATGGGCTTGACCACTTCTTTCAGCCACTTGTCCACTTTTTTCGCGTTCGGCACCACGTCCTCCTCCCAAATGTCCGCGATCACCTCGATTTGCGCGGAGTAAATGCGGCGGAACTCGTATCCAGGAAAAAAACGGTGTAAGTGTAACTCTGTAATGCAGAACATGCAAGAGAGTTGCGCCTGTCATGCCAGACAGCCATGAAGCCCTCTTTCCATGTGTGTTTTCCCTTACAAGCCACGCATGACAGGTTTTCTCTATCATGTAGAGCAAATCTGTAATGCTGTCGGGCAAAGAAAGTTACACTAAGACAGTTTTTTTCTTGCATAACTCGTCTCCGTCGGCCGAGGGCTTCAGCACCAGCCGACACGCCTTCTCCAACTCGACCACGATGTCTCTGGGTATCAAATGCAAATACGTCGGGGTCTGGATGGATGCAACTTGTCATGCTAAGTCTGAATAACATGTAAAAATCTGTGTTGCATGATTGCCAAACACTGTCCACTTTTGACCTAATCGAGAGGCAGTTTCTCATGCAGAATAGGCATGATGGAACTCTCACAGAATCTGTCATGCTATGTCCTACATGCCAGACCTCATGGGTCATGGAAAACCTGCATGACAAACCTGGCACTCTTCCAGACCCAGACATATTTGCATTTGATACTGGGTTCGGCTTTTACCTCGAGGACCAAAGGTTGCTGCTCCTCCTCGTCTATCCTGTGCAAAACTATCGTACTCGTAGTAATTGCATTCATGCATTACAAATTTTTTTCTTAGGGTAAATCCGCATGACAAGTTTTTATTTCTCATGCTAGGGAAATTTATAATGCATTTACATATACGAGTACGATACTTTTGCACAGGATATCGTCCCAGTTTTCATCCTGTTTCTTCTCGTCGTGGTCCACGACAGCTGCCAAAGCAGTGGTTTTTTCTTCTGCAGCTTGGTCATTTTGGTCTTGTCTGTTGTTCCACTCTGAATCTTGGTCGACGTTATAACTCTTGTCGTCCCAATTTTTGCCGCTACTACTGCTGCCTTTATTCCAGGCGTGGTCGTCATCTCGTCCCTTGTAGTTGTTTCTCCTGCTCCTCCTGCGACTATCACTTCTATCCCGCTTGGAAGTTGTGACTATATCTTCGTCCTTGTCGTCCTGGTCGTAATTGCTACCGTAGTTCGTGCCTCCACGGCGGATGCTTCTGTCCCCTCGAGTGTTGTTTTTTCCGCGGTTTTTAGTGTAGTTGTCTCTTCTACCGCGGCTGTTGCTGCGCCGGCCGGGACGGTCGCGGTTTCTATTCTTATTCGTCCCTTTTTGATGTTGTTGTTCATCGCCTTTCGTCCTGTCGTCCTGCCGATTATACCCGCTGCGGTCGTTTCGGACTGGGGAAGGGGACTTATTTCCTCTGTACTTTTCGTTCTTCACATGAATCCACTTGTCGTTCTTCTTATCAAACACAGGAAGGAATTCTTGGTCTTCTATTTTCGACGCAGGTTGCTTATCAGTAGTTGCCACTACATCTTGCTCCTCGACAAACGTGGAGAACGACGTCTTGGTTTGGATCTGTGTGCTTGGCGGCGCCGTTTTTTTCGGCTTGCTGCTCAGCAGATTTTTTAGCTTACTGTCCGCAGCGCTTTCGCCCGTCGTGGTTTTTGATGTTGTTCCTTTATCAACCGAGGAGGATTTCTTGCCTTTGATGTCTTTATTTCCGGATTCTTTCTTTCCCTCTTTGTGGTCTTTCGAAGATTTGTTGTAGTTGCCACCTTTGTCTTTGTTCCAATCTCCGCCTTTATCTTTCATCCCAGCCTTATTTTTTCCATGATCCTTATCGCCCTTTTGGTCAACAGCACTGGACTTCTTGTTCGTCCCTTTGCCAGTACTACCTTTGTCGCCATCTTTGTCGTAGTTCCAACCTTTATTATCTTTGTCGCTACCCTTATAACTACTTTTCATCCCTTTGTCGGACCCTTTGAGCGGACCCTTTCCAGCACGACCCTTGTCATCATCACTACTCTCAGCACCTTTATTCCCCTTTTTACCGCCTCCTTTCTGAAACCCCTTTGATTTTCCGCCGTCGCTGTCGGAGTCGTCTTTTCCCTTCTTCCCCCCGCCTTTCTTCCCACTCCGGTCGGAATCGGAGTCTGGCGGAGGTGGTCCACCTTTGCCGTCATCTTGTTTCCCTTTGCCTTTTGCTGCTTTACTTCCGAGGATTTTTCCCTTCAACTCTTTGAGCCAGTCCGCCTCCTTGCCCTTGTCCTTCCCAAGAGCACCATCTCCGCGGAGCAGTCCTGTGGTCTCAGGGCTAGGGCTGCCGTCCGACTTGGGAACTTTTTTGCCGTCGTCGTCCGACATCGTCGGCAGGACCGGTAGAAATGGTTCGTCGGGAGAACCACTCGGAAGGAGCGCTCATGAAGTGTTCAAGATTCGACTTATTTTGTTCTTCGAAATTACCTGCTACTTGCTGTACGGATTTTTGTGTCGTGCGAAATCAACTTTTATCCTAAAAAGCCGATGGGAGACAAATGTTGATGGTAAAAGATGATTTACAACTACTGTCTGCGGAAATCATAAACTCAGGGTACTCCGTGAAGACCACTTCAGGAACTTCTTTAGCTAACTCTTTCTAAAAACAGCCTGAATGAATCAAGGCCGGAAATAAAGGTCGCTGAAAAGAAAGGATCATCAGAAAGAGCTACTTACATCCCATCGATGGAGAAGCTGGAGCTCCGTGGAAGCAGGAATCCAAACTAACTTCTTGCCAGAATCAGAAATTTTGTCTTCAAATCACGCCGGTACGGGTACTAAGAACGGAATTGTAGAAATGGCGTCAAGAAGATGATCTGCAGCAGCTTTCTTGCAAAAAGGACTGTGCACTACTAACCTGGAACATGAACTCTGGCTTGTTCATTTTCAAATTCTCCAGCCAAAGATAGGTCTGAAACGCGCCAGCGCAACGGCCGGATATTATACTGGAAAGATGTTGTGACCTTGAAAAGAACCTCGTGCATCTTCTGAAAAAACTGATTATAAAAATTGGCTCTCATCCATTTCGGTTGCTGATGAACACGGCGACGAGAGGAGGACAAAAGCACGCGCCTAGAAAAAACGCTCGTCGAACTGCCAAAGTTATACTCATTTCAAATTAACTCTGACGCGAGCATGATATTTTTTTCTGTTGTTGTCGCTGATGAGGCGGGAAGCCCGTTCGTATTAACCACTCAATATTACGACCCCTAGCGGCTCAAAAGTAAGCGAGACCAATCGTCTTCTGATGTCGCCGTCAAGAATTCACTCAGCGGGTGGGCGTCGGGTCGGCGTCGTGCTAGTCCTAGTGATAAACAAATCTGTACTATAAGAACTCCAAATCTGTACTATAATTTCATCAGTCATGCCGCCTTGCAGTCGAATATCGTCACGTCCCTTGTAATCAAATATCAAATGCAAATATGTCTGGGCCTGGAAGAGTCATGCTGCTTGTGCATGACACAGAAGGTCTGGCATGGAAGCCCTAGCATTACAGGTTTCGAGAAGCTTCCGCAATGCCGAATCCGCATGACAAATGCCCCATTTTGGTGAGAGAAAGTCGGCAGCTTTTGCTGCCTCTGCATGACGGATTTTTATGTGTTGTGAAATGCGCGTGGTCACAAGTTTGCTTTCTTCCAGACCCAGACATATTTGCAATGCATATCAAATCCTTTTCGTTCACTTTCTGCAGGCAAAAAACCATCTCCTCCGCGGAATTCAGGTCCCCCCGCTGTCGGAGCTGCGGAAACGACACCTCGCTGTAGCTCCACTCGCGTAAGATAGAACCTGGCTCCAGAATGCGGTCTTGTTGCATCACAGAGTGCTGTTGTTCAACCTCCTTCGCCGGAGACGAGCAGCTGGTGTCGACGGTATAATTTGGACTTTGCTCAACAAGAACTTCCGACTCGTTCTTTTCACCGAGTTGTCCACCTGTCGAAGACTTCCGCACAACTCCTTCCGGCATCATGAGCCGGATCCCCCGGTTCCATTTATTCCCCGTTTCCTTGTTCATGAAGCACAAATTGCCGAAATACCTCGTCTATCAAATGCAAAAATGTCTGGGTCTGGAAGGCGGCAACTTGTCATGGTAAATCTGAAGCATGCAAAAATCTGTGTTGCATGAGAGCCAAAAGCTGCCCACTTTTGACCAAGTTGGAAGGGAGTTTCTCATGCAGGATAGGCATGGCAGAGACCTCGCAGATTCTGTCATGCTAAGTCCCGCATTCCAGACCCCATGCATCTGCATTCCAGAGGTCATGGAAAATCTGCATGACAAGTTTACACTTTTCCAGACCCAGACATTTTTGCAATCCATATCGTCTCCACCTTCCGAGCCAGCACGTTGTCCACCCGGATCTCGTTTTGCAGTAATAGAAAAAAAAAGTGCTTGTGCACCCGGATCTTCAAAGAGAAAGCCGCACTCCCCTCGTCGTCCAATTCGTCTTCGTAAAAGGTAATCGCGGTGAAAAACTCGATCGGGTTATTTTGCTGCTGGGTCAGTAACGCCATGGGCAGGAGAGACTGGTTCGCGGAAAATTGGGGGAGGGACTCGTCGGTTTCGTAGGTGTTTGTTGTGGTTGGGCTGTCGGAGTCTTTCGTAGAATTTAAATTCATCACTGTAGGGCAATAGGTGGAAGAGAAAGTCCAGTCGGTGTCTGTCTCGATCTGTTTCGCCATGGTCAAATCCCGGCTGGACCCCCACTTCTCGGCGTGCTGGCAAACGACCTTGGTGGAAAGCAAATGGCTGGACTCCGCGACAACTTTTAACTCAGGAACACCAGCTGTCTTTGTTGTTTCTGTTTTGCTGCCAGTGCTCTCCTGTTTCTGTCTCAAATCCATACGGGTTCCGCGTAAGGCGTCGCGCGTGTTGATGTCCAGAACTAGGTTGTCGGCAGCATCGTAAACCTGGAAGTTGTGGTGATTGATATGTAGAGTCATAAGTATGATTGAAAACAAAAGTCATCATGAGCCGATTTCCCCAGCGAAGAACTACGCGTGCAGAAATTTTCAAAATTGGATTTTCATGTTCTGCAGATAAACACCACCAACATCAGGATGAATTAGAATTTCCTATACCTGCAAAAACGTGTCGAATATCATGCAGGGGTGGGGCCAGATTCCCGCGTCGTTCGCGATAGTCTCCGCCACCTGCGATTCCAGCATGGGGGACTGGACCGCGCGGAACCGCCAGCCGCTCTCCGCATGGCGAAAATCTTCGTCGATGGTGTTTTTGGGGGGCGGAACGGGGCCCGCGTGCGTGGGAAGGTTGGAGGCGGGGACAACCATTTCTGCTCGAGCGGGTAACGTGGAGCTAGAAGAAATGTAAAGGCTAACAACTTTGAATCACCTTCTTCGTGCAAAAATTCGCTGACATCGACGTACTCTATTTACACTGGGCGAAACTTCTGAGTTCGCCCGGCGGTATTAGCGTCAATAAAGCGGCGCGTATCTTCATCACATCCTGAAGATCTTTGTGTGAATGAAGAAGCAGAGCGATTAACAAAAAATTTTGCAGATGGGCACTGGGGTCTGCGTCTCGCTAAAAATCATGTTTCGAACCATAATTTCGTCCAGCATTGAACAGATAGATCTTCAAGCAGTAGCGGAAAAAAAGGTACGGATGAATCACTACACTGCACCGCGGAATTGGGTCACTAGATGAACTTGGTTCCGGCCCGCGAGGCGCTTTCGAATATTTTCCAGAACACAGACGCATGCTCAATGATGTTAATGGCGTAGAAGTTCTCTGTCTTTTCCTCGGCTGGATCTGTATCTTCGTTTACTGCTTTTTCTTTTTCTGACTTCTCAAATTTACGTAAAAAAGCCATTTTCAAGGTGGTCGAGCGACACAACAATAAAACCTTCATCGTTTACTTTTTTCGCAATGCTTCGTAGAACAGTTTCAACTTCATTCGGAATTGGGCGTAGGATTCGGTTTCGTCTCGGATGCCAATGGTCTTCAGCCAAGGCGCTAGGGATCTTTTTTTCTCGTCCCAGCGGGTGTCGAAGAGGATCAAGGAGCCGTAGTCGTTTTTGTGCCGGATACACCGCCCCAAGGCCTGGTTGACCGCGCGAAAGCACTCTTGCTCGTACCACTGGTTGCCCGAAATCATCAACGGCGGGAGATGATCCTCGGACTCAGTATTGTTTTCTTCAGCTGCAGCAGGAGCTCCTTCATCAGCAACTATTACAGCTGCAGAGGGGTGCACTACTAGCGTTCTTTTTCTACCAGTGTTCTTCCTCCCAGGTGGATTCTTTGACGACGACGAGGATGCGACAGGAGCAGGTTTAAGATTTTTCGCCACCGTCACGGGCCTTGTTGGTCTCGTCGATTTCTGGTCGTTGTATCTCTGTTTGTATTTTACCTCCGAAGCCTCTTTACTCGGGTAGGGCAAGCCGATCAGAATCACCGCCCGCGCGTTGTCGTCGTTGAAGCTGATTCCCTCGGAGCACTTGGCCCGCATCACGCCAAACAGCAGCGCCGCCCCCCTTTCCTGGATCGCGCGTTGGTACTCCTGCGTCAGCGTCTTGGCGTTGGATTCTTTCGTCTCGAACGAAACGTGCTTCTTGATGTCTTCCAGTACGGACAGAAGCGATTTCCCCCCGTACGTGTCAAAGCGGTTCATGTTCTCCGGCCCGATTGCATTGCGGAACTGCTGCTGCATTGCTATCCTTGCCCGCTCTTTTTCCGGCTGGGTTCTGTAGTTTTCTTGCAAGATTCTCTCCACCGTTGCACGCAGTGAGCTCCGCCTCGCATCGCTCCACAGGTCGAAACAGGCTTTGCACAGCGAGTACGTGGAGAAGAAGACCAACACGCCCGCGGGAAGCTGCAGCAGCAGCACGACCAGGCTCCACCCCAATTCCAGCAGGTGGTCTTCTCGGGGGTCTCTCTTGTTCGGCTTGTAAAGAATCTTCCGCGTGCCGTTGTAGGGCCGGCCCGTGAGCACCATCTTGGACAACTTCTGCACGAGCAGCTGTTCGTGCGTCACCACGTGGTTCGCGGCCAGGGGATTGTAGAGGCCGCGGTTGTAATTGGACCGCAGCTGCCGGTCGCAGAACGCCTTGCCTAGCTCGCTCGTCACGCCCTCCAACGGCGTCATGGTGCCCGACGCGAGGATGATGGAGTGCGCTTGGGTCGCGATCTCGTCAAACACCGCCTCCGCGTGCAGCAGATGAATTTTCAGTACACCCGCGTACCGCTCCGTCACGTGCTGCTTGGCGGTATCCGGAAAAAAACCGCCCTTGCGCGTCGCGCAGAACTCGACGGCGTAGTGGCCGCGCCAGGTCAGAAACCGCTCCAGCTGCTCCGCGCGCTGGCTCAGGTCCCGAAACGTCTCGAAAACCGGGTAAAAGTCCGGCCACAGCAGTTTCTTCCGGCGGTCGAGGTCCGGGTCGAACTTCAACTGGTACCACTTCTTGTCGACGTCGCACTGGAATTCCTGGTTGTTACGGTACCCGATGATGTTCTTCATGCCGTAGTAGTTGAACTCAGACTGCAGCATCTCGATATTGATCCACTCCAGGTACTGCCGCAACTTCAAGACCGGGAACAGATGCTCCGCAAGCTCCGCCTGCAGCTCCGCCTCCGCAGAGTCGACGAGGATCTTCTTCTTCTTCTGGTGATGTGGGTTCTTGGTGTTATAATCCACCTTCAATTTCTTCGCATCGGGCGCAGCGCAACTCCTATCATCGTCATCGTCCGACGAGGAGTCGTGGATGCTGTCGTGCTCCAGGTAGTTGTCTTGGTAAGAAGATGAATCGGTCGGCTTCCTTGCTCCTGCGAGTTGTCTTTGTCCCTTTTTCATCGCGCTTGATTTTTCGCGAAGAAAGTCGAGAATGCCAGCTGTTCTTGCACTCTTCATCTGCGATGCAGCAGCACCTTCTGTGTTGAACACTGCATGCTGTTGCGGAACTGACGGGCCTGCAGCTGCGCTGGGTGGCGGTGGTTGACAAGGCAGCAGTCCTTGTCCAGGACCAGCTGGACCAGGAACTGAGTGCGAAGGCGGAGGTCGATAAAACTGTGACGTTTGGACATTAACCTGCGAGGTTGTGGGTACAAACCGCTGTGACGCTGCACCGCCGGGGAAGCTTACCTGCGAGGCCGCTGATGTACCAAACTGAGACGCGGGCGTCCTCGCCGTGGCCGCAGCAGACGAAGGTCTGCCTTGAAAATGGAACTGCGAAACCGGCTCGAACTGAGACGCACCAACACCATGGGGCGGACGATCGCTTGCTTTGCCAAAGCGGTCAGTCATTTTGTTCCCGAACCCATAGGCAAATGACCCAGCAAAGCTCGACGCCGGTGTCGAGGAAACACTTGAATTGAAAGACACATTGGTTTCCGCAGCAGTACCCATGATCGGAACAGCACCCGCACCCACCTGTGTTTGCATTGGAATTCTTTGTTGGTCACCAGAATCGCGCTGCGCAGCAAAAGGGTCGTGGAACATCGAGTGAGGATTGCCCAAGAGGTTCTCCCTCCGTGACGTAGTTCCAAATGCACCTCCAAACGTCGTCTCAGGACGTGGCGTCGGCAAGATGTCCTTCAAACCCAGCTTTCGGATGAAAGAGATCGGATCCTGGGGCGTCATGTAGTCCCCCAGCGACTTAGTATCCCCGATGTGGTCCGTAGAAACGTTGGACGCGTTTTCGTGCTGCAGCAATTCCCCCCTGCTTTCGGCCTTCCACTTCATGAGCTTGGTATGCACGTGGTCGAAAAACTTCAGGACGTAGGCCAGGTAGTCGCGGAACTTCTCTTCTTTTTCGACTTCTTCCACCGTCAAGTTGCACAGGCAAACGTTGGGGTACCGGCTCATGTGCCTGCACTTCGGAATCGCTTGCACACGCCGCTTTCCCGTCACGGGACACTGATACCACTTCAAATTCGCGAGTCTTTGTTGACGCTGCGCTTCCGTGTCGTCATTGCATACCAAAAAATTATCTCGCCCACTGTTATCAACTTGTAGCAAATCTTCCTCCTCCCCGTCTTCGCCCTCACTCGGCGCGCCGTCGCTGCTATCATCTGACGTGGGCTCCTGCTGCTCGTTGGGCTGCTGCACTTGTGCGGCACCACGATTATTATTCGCTGGGCCGTGGTCTTGTCGCTCCTTCGGTTTTGGTTTTTCCCGCGAAAACCAGCGGAATTCCAGCATGTGGTAGTGCAGGGTGAAAAGGGGGCTGCGCGTGGCCACTTCGTCGTTGCGGAAGTCGAGCCACTGCTCTGAAAAGTTCACGCTTCCCGCGTCTCTGCACGTTCCCTCGATGTTGTGCGCCTCATCGACGACGATGATCGAATCTTTCAGAACCAGCTTTGTCGGCGCTCGCACGTTTGGGTCCGTCAGGTACTGGTACGGGCAGATGACAATCTGCGCGGTGCCTTGCAAATACCTGTTCAGGTAGTAGCTGCAGACCGCGTAGTCTTCTGGGGCTGGTGGGCGCGGGCCAACTTCTGGTCGTGCGGGGAAAAAACCAAATGGGTGGTTCCGCCGGTCAAAAACTTGGCGCTGTTGAGCGAGAATGCCGGGATTAAATTGAAATTGACTCGTTGATGCTGCAGGACCAGCAGCTACAATCGCTTGGTTACCATTTTTTCCACGAGAACCAGTGGCGAAGCGACTACTGCGGTGACCAACATTTTTATCTTCCTCCTCCTCCGCGTCCTCCTCTAGGTCCAAATCGGGGCTTTCGTTCGGGGTGAACGACGGTGCCACCGGTTTGCTCCTACTCGTCGGAGACGCGCGCGAATAATTCGCGAGAGCCAACTTTTTGCCGTCCTCGATGTCCCTGATGTAGAAGTCCGACGTGTCGCCTGGCGGCGGCCGCACGTCTTTGTAGTGTTCCTTCCAAAACCTCGCACTGTTCACCCGCTCTTCGCAGTGGCAGATCAGCTTCTTGCTGGCGTCGCGCTCGGTCTGCTGCGTCGCCGTCGGAGTCGACGTCGGTACCGCAGCGACCTGCGACGCCCCTTGGTCGTCGTTTAGCCGTTCATCTCTGTTGAGTGCGGGATCCTTTTCCTTTCGCGCATTTCGTCGCGCGACCACGCATTTCGTCTGCAGGTTACCTTGGCCCTTTGCGTCGAGGACCTGCTGGTTGACACAACTGAAATCGCGTCGGCCAAGGCACACTTGCGTGGGTCGGTAGCAGCTCTTCGCCAGCTCCCGCGGAATCTGGTTCACCTGCCCGAGCGTCCGCGTGCAGTAGATGATCTGGGGCGCCCGGCGGCTCTTGTTGTTGCGCGCAATCTGCCGCTGCGCCTCCAGGGCCGCGCAGAGCAACGCCGCCGTCTTTCCGGTGCCCGTGGGGGACTCCAGGACGCACGATTTGCCTTGCAGGCACGCTTCCAGGATCGCAGTCATCACTTGCTTCTGCGGCTCGAGAATCTCGGGGTGGTGAAACAAAACCTCGAACGGCGCGTAGGATTCGCTTTCCGGGTCGTACGGTAGCGTCGTCTTGCAGTTCTGCATCGCGAGGTCCTCTGTTGCCAGCAACCGCAGCCAGCGACGTTCTTTCGCCTGGTCGCCATTATTATAACCGCCCATGCTTAATACTACTTCGCTCGGATCTTGATCTGCCGCACTGACTACCGCGTGCTGTTGCTGCTGGCCCTCAAAATCGTCAAACAACACGATCGCCGACTGCTCTACACGGAGATCTTTCACCGGTGTCTTCAAGCGGTTCGTGCTTTTTCGTGGTTCTCTACTTTCCGCGCTCACCGCAACTAGCGCCGAGCTGCCTTCACGACCGGTGGAGTTCTCGTCTCTGTTGAGTAGACTTGTTCTACGCGGCGGCCCTTGATTGCTGTTGTTGTTCCGAACCTCCTCGGGCGAAAAGACTGACCTCCGGGAGGCCTCGCTGCGCGCACTCAAGAAATCTTCAATGTTCTCGTCGGCCGCGGGGCCATTCGCTAGTGGCAATGGAGACTGCTGATTGGTTGCGTTCACTGCCTGCAAAATGCGGTGGTCCTCCACCTGCGCGGACAAACTGGATCGCGAACTGGCACTGGCCCGTCGGCGTTCCCACGCCTGCTCAGCATCCGGGAGCGGGTCGTCATCTCCCGGCTCGGTGTCGCTGTCTCCGTTTCGCAACTTCGCGTCGAAATCGTGGATTTCCGCGACAAACGCGTCGCAGGGCGGCTTCGGCCGTTTCCTGCCGAAGATTTCCGCCATGGCGCCCGACATTTGCTCCCACCAAGATTCCTGGTCCAGCGGCTTCTTCCTGCGCGGCCGCCTGTGATGAACTTCCTCCTGCTGGCTCTTGGCGCAGCTCGAGGCAGCACTCTCGCTGGGGCCGTCGTAGGGTACGATGGCATCCTCATCGCATGCCGCTCTGACGGGCGTAAGACTGCGGCGGACGGGCGTGAGGCCGGAAGCGGGTCCTGAATGTTCATGATCTTCGCGTAGTGTACCAACAGGCTCTGCTTCCGGCTCCGGAGCTGTGGGCTTTGGAGAGGTGCTGGCCCTGGGCCTGGCAGTGGCATGTAATCCAGAAGAAGCATGTTCCATAAGTCTTTTCAGTGTGGAACCTTTGTAGTTGAAGTGGGGCTATGTCAATCTAGTACTCATTTTCTTTCCTACGTCATGCAGTCTTGCTGCCTGTGCCTGCCTGATGTGACACCGTTAAACAACCACATTCTTTTATTCAAATCAAACGAAATATATTGAAAATGGGCCGACAGCTACGATTGCGTTTGCGTTAGGTGAGTGCTTATAACGGCGCTCTCGATGTTCGTGTGTCCAAGCGAAGATTGCGAGCCAGAACCGACAGCAAGCTGCGCTCCTGAGTAAGTACCTGTACGACCCGCACAAAACAGACCTGAATTCAAGTTCTTGAACAGCACGGCCGCAAAGAAAGGCCCTCCTATTTTCCATGTGATTTTGCCTCGGCATTTGCAGATTTGAAAATCGAAACCAATTTCATCAATCGGAAACGTCAGCACAAACTTGTAACTGTAGGTCGTGTCGTGCTTCATCATCATACAGTTGGAACCTCATCGAAACATATCATGTGGCCGCACTTGTTCTTGGTTGCACTGTCTTTATTCCGCCCCTGTCGGCGGACCCTGCTCCGCAAAAGCTTCCTCTTCCGCTGTCCCGGTTTCCGTCGCTTCCGCGGCTGCATCGCCCAACCCGCCCGTCGCTTCGTTCAACATGTCGTCGTCGCAACTGCTGCCCAGATTGCTCCCGTGGCACAGCACCTTCAGGGTCCCGGCGCCGCCCGTGCCCTCCTCCTGGTCCTCCTTTGTAGTGTTGAATGTTTGCTCGAACGCGATTTCCTTCCAGTGAATCTTCTTTTTCTTCGTGACCGGGTGTCCGCCTTTATCCAAAGGCTCCTGGGCCGCAGGAGTGGTGGTCGCCGTTACCGCCCCGGAATTACTTTCCGCTGGCGGCCACACCTGTTTTACTTTGTCAGACACGGACTGACAGGGCGCGCAGCTGGTGATTTCATTTGCGTCCCCACTCACTCCGTCATCCGCGCAGTCCGCACAGGCCCTCCAAGCTTCCGGCAACTCGGTTTCGGGCTTATCTCTCCGGACGCCGAAAAACACGTGCGTGGTCTGTTCCGGGTTGGAATTCACCGTTTGGTCGATCGTGAAGACGTAGGTCGGCTTCTTCACCGTTTCCTGCTCTTTCTCCGCTAATTCCATCTGCTTTTCCTCCTCCGCCTCCGCTGCTTTCTCGATTTTCGTCGGTTTCGAAAACGCAAACATTTCCTCCGACAAATCCTTCTCCGCGTTTTCGGTGTGTTCCTTATCCACCCCCGGGAGCGCAATCGACGTGTCCGCCGGGGTCGTTTTCGCCACCGCGGCTCCAGCCGCTTTGGAACCCGGGGTTTCCGGGAGTTGCTCATCCACGGTGGTGTTCTGGCCCTTCTTATCAAATGCAAAAATGTCTGGGTCTGGGAGATTCTGAGACTTGTCATGCACGTTTTGCATGGGCCATGATGTCCTCTGTGATGCATGCCGTAGCATCACAGGGTTTTCGAGGGGTTCTTGATGCCTGTTTCGCATGACAGATGCCCTATCCGCGTAGCAAAAATTACATTCCCTTTGCTAGTACTCATGCAATACAATTTTTTTTGGAATCCAAATGCAGCATCACAAGTTGGGTTCTTCCAGACCCAGACATTTTTGCATTTGATACTTCTCCCCACTCTCATCCGCACTCTGCTTGCTCGCTTTCACCTGCTCGTGGATCGCGGCTTGCCCGCTCGCTGCGTCAATATTGCCGAGCTTATACTTCTTCCCCGTCGTGCGGTCCACTACAAACTCGTAACCCTGAGACGGAGGAAAAAAGGAGCGAAGGTCGAACTTCGGCTTGTACTGAAATCCGTCTTTCGCCGGTAAAAAGCTCGGATACGGCTCCACGTAACGCCGGGCGGTGCGGAAAAAAGGTTTGTTGTTATTTTCGACTTCCTTGTCATCTTTCTCGTCCTGCTTGTGGTGGTCCTCGATAGTTGCACTAGCAGTGCTGGAGGAAGAAGTTTTGTCCTCTGCGCTTGCGTTCTTGTCCGTTGAGGATGCGGGCTCTTGAGCACCACTGGCCGGTTCATCCTGCCTCCCCTCCGTTGTCGTCGCAGCTGCACCAACATCTCCGGAAGAGGATTTTTGCCCTCCGGTTCCCCGCCCGGCCTTCCCAGCCACGGATGCTGCTGCTGCTGCTGGTCCAGGCTCTTCTCGCAAGTAAAAGGACTTGAAGTTCCGCTTGGCGTCGCACTCGGCGACTGCGGCGAAGCAGTCCCGCTCTTTCAACGACGCTTTTAGGTCGTCGAGCACCTCCTGTTGGTCGGAGGTTCTACTTCCGGGTAGTTGTTCTGCAGTTTCTTCCTCGGTAGGCAGCTTTTTCTTCTCACCACCCCCCGCAACTACTGCAGCTTCACCCTCCGCGACTCCACCCTCCTCCCCCGTTCGCGGCCGATCCTGGCCGAAGCACATCTGGTGGGCGGACATGAATTTCTCGCGGTCCGTTTTCTGCCAGGATTCCATGTTACAGTACCCGAAAACCCTAGTGTCGTTTTCGTGTCCGGCGGCGAGGTTCAACACCGTTTTCCGGAAGTGTTTCGCAGCTTCGGTTTTCTCCCGCACCTCCTCCTCCGTAGTCGTCGTGGACTCCTCGTCGTCCAGCATCTTACCGCCGGCTGGACTCGTCGTGATCGCGCCCTTCGAAGTCACTTCATCCCTGATTTCCATGACGCTTCCATACCGCTTACTCGGGGGACACTTGCCCGGGTCGAGGCGGGGAATGAGGTAGAGTTCCGGACTCCGTCGCGTGTTGACGCCGTCGTTGCCCTTCTTCCCGAAGCAGCCGACCTCGGCGAGGAAGCCCGGGCGGGGAAGGTCCTTGGTTTTGCTGGCGCCGGTGAGCTTCGGAAAAGTTTTTCCGAAGTACTTCAGAAAGAACGCACGGTCGAGCTCGTCGGGCTTTGGTAATTTTCCCGTGGCAATAGAGAAATCCGGGGGCCAGGAGGAGAGCGTGGAGGCTGCTCCGTCGAGTGATGATAAGGAGGCTGCGAGGGGCATGGTTGATTTTGGATCGCGGGGTGTCGTGTGGGGTGGTGCGGCAGCGATAGTGAGTGTTTTTATCTTCAGGAGCAGCGAAAGCTTTGTTTACGGTGATAGCCAGACTCACTGCAGCTATCAACGCGCACGCACAGCGGTGCAAGGAGAAATTTCCTGATTGCTATTGATGAATTGAAGCACAGCTCGATGCCAATGCAGTCCATGTAGTTGTAGATAGAAATGCAAATGATAAATATATTGCGCTAAACGAGCCGACGAAGCGGATGTGGATCACGGCTCTGCAGCATTTCAAGATGAACATCTTCGATAGGCCCAAGTGCCAAACAGAGCAGGAACTCCGCAAGGCCTGCGCCGGCAACTGCCGGTATTCCGCGAATGAGATTTGTCAAAGGGCACGCCCACGAGAAAAGCCTGCTCAGTTTCCCGCGAAGGCAACCGACGACCCGCAGACGAGCTGTGTCTCGGGCGACGGTTAAGGCCGCACTCATGCCCGGGCGGGTCGGCCCGGCCAGGTTTAATGCGGCGGAAGATTGGGGCTGCGCGCCCTGCTTTCTGCGTCCGCGCAGTGCCGCGCCATGTCTTTGGCTGGCAAGCTGCGCCAAAGTGGCCGGCAGCGCGGCCGCGATGGGGGGATACGGGGGCGAACGGGCGCGCGGGGGGCAGAAAAGAACGGGCAAGCGGGCGAACGCCCGGGCCCATGGGCGTTTACGCACGGGGCCAGCGGGGCGCAGGGAGGGCGCTAGGCCGCCCGGCACGCTTTTCAGGCGGGGGCCGCAGAAGCCGCGGAAGGGGGGCGCGCGCGCCCGCCCCTTTCAAATCCGCGGCGCTTCGCGTGCCCCGGCTAACTTGCACGCAAGGCAATTGGCAGGCGAGCGCGAAGAAGCACGTCGGACAACTGTGGCCCCGATCTCCCCAGGCATATACGCACTCGATGACCGCTCCGCCTTTTTCACCAGCGTGGCGGCGTAGTCGCGGCCCCTGGCCTGGACTTTCGGGCGCGCCATGCCTCGCAAGGGCGCGCGCTCCGCTGCGGGCCAGTACGGCCCGGGCCCCCGCGCGGTCGGACGGAGCACACCACCCGGCGGGCCAGAACCTGCGCGGCACAAACATCGCGCCCGGCCGGCAGGCCCATACGCCTGGCGGGCCGCTGCGCGACACGCCCCGCCAACCCGCGGCCCCTCTTCCAGAAAAATCCCCCGCACCTCTGGCGGCGGTCTGTGTGTGCCGCTGTCCTCTGGCCGCGGACGTAGCCGGCCGGGGCAATAAGACGGGAGCCCCTGCATTGCTGCAAGTCGGCCACCGTGGCTGTCTTAGAAGTCAAACAGCCGGCCAGTCTGTCCCACGGCACTTGCCCCGCGAGCGTGCCTGCCGGGATTCTTTCTCCCACCGTGCGGCGGGCTTGGGGCTCCACGCGCTGCAGTGTGCGCACCTCCGCAGCCCCTTGGCGCTGCGCTTGTAAGTTGTGCGGGCCACAGACTGCGCCGCGACTTGGTCCCCGCGGCGCGCGGATGCAGAATTCGCCCAAGTCCTCGCCCTCGTCTGAGTCGTCAGGCCGCGCACTAGGCGAAGTGCGGCATACCTCGAGCACATGGGGCCCGCCCGGAGGCCCGGCGCACCATTCCGGCGCCCTCGCCTTTGCGTGGCCCCGAAGCCTGCGCACTTCCCTGCTAATTCCAACAGGAGCAGCGCGCTGGGGCGTCCCCCTGCGGCCGGTGGGGCTAGCCCGCGCGCCCTCTCCCCTCGCGCTCAAACGCAGGCAAACGCCTGACCTGGGTCAGTCACCCAGAGCCCGAAACACGCGCCGGCGGATGCCGGTCGTTGCGCTAAGTCCTGGCGCTGGCACGGTCTTCCTTTGCCTTCATACGTGTGGGACCGGAACAGCAAGCACGCACTCCGAACGGGTACAGAGAACTACCGAAAGAACACTTTCGAATCGATAGCGAAGCTGCTGGCTTATCATCCTTAGTACGGGCTTACTCTGCGTCTGCCCACGACAAAGAGCGAGAACTCTAGTTCGAATTTGCATTTCAGTTGCTCGACATCTATTTCGCTAGGTACAACTCACGAAACTCAATCATCCGACAACCAACTCCATTTCTCTGTTCCTCATCAGTGTATCGAAATGCTTTTGCACCTGCTCCAAATCGTGTAAATCGACCATCAAACCTCTCTCAATCTCCACCTTCTTCTGTTCAATCATCTGGCGCTGCTCGACGGCGCGCCCGGTTAACCTCGTCTCGACAACGGACAGCTTCGTCAACTCCGCCTGAATCTGGTTTCTTTCGAGCACGAGACTTTGCAGCTTCTGGTCCGCAATGATCTTCTTCTTGGATAAGCACAACGGCAAGTCCTGCGGTCTTGGTGGATTTTCGTTTACTTTAACTGCTGCCGCAGAACTAGCACCTGTTTCCGCCATTTTTACGTCCCGGACTACTTCCTCCTCCCGGTCCGGTTCCACCAAAGAAGATGAACTGCGCTCCGACACCATTTCCACATCTCGAAGATCTTCTACTTCCGGTTCCTCGCTATTAACACCCTCTACTAAAGAATTCCGCTCCACCGTCCCCGTCTCCTCGACACTACTACTGCTTCCCAGTAGAAAATAATCCTCCTCGTCCGAAATGTGACGGCAGCTGTTCTGTATGCATTGCAAATATGTCTGGGTCTGGATGAAGATTGCCAGGTTTGTTATGCTAGCCGGGCATGACTCTGAAATCTGTATTGCGTGGCCGCAAAGAGCTCCTCTTGCCTGTCATGCAGAGACGCAGTTTCTCATGCGAAGTACGCAACTCAGAACCATGGAAAAACTTGTCATGCTTGGCGGCGCATTACAGTGCGCTCCCTATTCCCTTCCTTGCATCACAAGTTCCCAGACCCAGACATATTTGCAATGCATATCCTGGGCTGAATCGCGGCTGGAGTAACTGGATTCCCGGCTTTGGTTTTTCGACCGGAAGAAGCCGTGAAATAAAGCATCATCGCCACTGCAACTGGAACTGGAGGATGAAAGCTCTTTCTCAAGCAATTTGGCGGCGCCGCCGCCGTTGGGGTTGTAATTATCACCGCTGCTGGCCATGATATTCTTCTTGTCGGTATAATTTTCTTCTTGCAGCTCCACGTCGTCATCTTCTTGATCTCCAGCTGCCCGGCCGTCATTTTCTTCGCCGGAATGTTCCTCAGACGAGCAAGAAGAAGACGAAGCCGGCTCCAGTAGAGCTATATCCGCTGCATCTTCTCGCATTTCCGCGCCAACAGGCGAGGAACTGGTGCCGCTGTCCGCGAGTAGATGAACAAGGCTACTCCTAGCCGTTTTGATGGTTCTACTTTTGGTCATCCGTGTAGTTTCATCGTCGTTTGACTTGCTCGCACCGTTGCTGCTAGACGAGGTGGAGGACACGACCACTGCGACGTTGAGATCTACTGGTGATGTTAAAACATGTTTATTCCGAGTTGTTTCCATCATCTCCGCTTCGGCAACCGCACCATTGGTCCGCGATATTAACTTGTGTTGAAAATCTTCACGAGCACTACCTTCTTCGTCTACTTCCAGTTGTCCCTCCCCACAGTTCTTCCCTCCGAAAATCTCCACTTCCAGATCTTCAAAAAGTTTCTGCTTCTCCTCCACGAGCGCTGCTAGTTCCTTCTCCCGCTGCACCAATTTTTCCGCGATCGTCCGAATGGTCAAGCGGTCAAAATCCCCCAAATGATCCTCGGCAGGCAGCTGCAGCACCGCCTGCGTTGCGGAGAGAAGGGCGTCGTCCGTAGGGCAGATTTTCCGGATCAAACTCACGACGCGGTCGACCTTGCAGAGTTGTGTGTGTTTACTTCAGTTTGAAAATAATAAACGCGAGTAGAAATCATCAACGCTGTAGTCTAAAACTGTACATAAAATCTGTATCGAAAAGATAGACAGACCAAGCATCATGACAAGTCCGAGCCAACCTTCTGCTCTCTGGGCACCGCGTTGCTCCCCGCTTCCTTTAACGTTTCGTACAAACTCGTGCACGCCTTAGAAACCTCCTGGTTTGCCCGCGTCAGAAAGTTTCCAAACCACGTTTTACTATTCGGCAGCTGTGAAGAAGACGGCGCTGCTGGTTCTTGATGTGACGGAAGTTCTGTTATTTCTCGTCCCGCACCAGTTGCACTATCACCGCCCATAGCACCAGAATTGGCAGCGCCGGGCTCTACTGCTTCACCGTTCGGGCCTCCAACTCCGGAGCTACTTGCAGTTCCACTTCCGGTGAGCTGCACACCTCCCCGCTCTTTCTTCTCCTCGGCAGGTGGTACTTCTTCTAGAAGACCAAGTTGTAAAAAATCTTTCCCACGCAAAAACAGACTGCAGAAGTCGTGTTTGTAAACGTTTTGCACTTCCTCCAAATCTAATTCCAGCTCGATAATTTCGTCGTCTAGTTCCATCTTTTCTCTTTCCTTCTCCTCTATCGAAGTTTTTAAATCCAGGTACAACTCTTCCTGGTTTTTACACTCCTCGTCCTTCCCTAGCAAGTCCGTTTGTAGGTTGGAGACTTTATCGCGAACTTCGAGCAATTCGTAGCTCTGCGCCGCGAATTCCTCCAGCCGCAGGACCTCCTTCTCCTTGGTCTGGTGTTCAAAATATTCGGAGGATCGATTTCTCATGCATACCCGAATACAGCAAATCAGCAAAAAGAAAAACCTTTGCATTGTAATTTGCCATGCGAAAAGAACTGCATAATGATTCGTTCGTGTCATGCAGACATATGAAGTAAAAAGAAAAATACGTAATACACTATACCTTGATCTGCTTCCTGAGTTCCTTTACCCCGTCCTCCAACGCCTCCTCGATTTGCCTGCCAAACCGATCCAGCTGCCGGTCCGTCGATTTTTATCAGCTGCAAAAATGTCTGGGTCTGGAAGGTTACCAGGTTTGTCATGCATATTTCGCATGACTCAGGATGTCTGTAATGCATGATCTACCATCACATATCTTTAGAGGCCTTCCTGATGCCTATCCCGCATGACAAATGCCCTCCCCGCGTAGCACAAACTGGGCTCCTCTTGCTGGTCATGCAATAAAGATTTTTTTAGAATCCAAAGTTAGCATCACAAGTTCTAACCTTCCAGACCTAGACATATTTGCAATGCATAACTTGCACAGCGCGTCGAGAAATTTCAAAAATATCGTTTTCGGCCCGAAAATCGGAAATCGGTCTCCTAATAAAGCTGCGCGGACGATGTCTTGCTGCTCCCGGCCGAGAAGGGAAAACCGGGGGAGTTTCAGTTGATTTTGCGAACTTGTAAAATACACATCGGAAACGCGGACCAGGGAGGTCGTAGTAGTACTAGAACAAACCGCATCGAATTTTTTCAAACCTTCCGGCCCTTCTGTCGAGAAACCAACAGCAGGCGGTGCAGAGGTGGAACTCGAAGAGGACAGCAGTGTGGTTCGGACCCTTGCACTTTTTTCATCTCGTCCCGTCGTCGTGTTTATTTCGTTTATTCCTTTAACAGCTGCAAACGTAGCGGTGGAGCTCCTTCCACTTGCCGGCCGCTTTAAGGACGTGGAGATGAATCGCGGTGTTTTATGTCCGCCACTGGTGCGGGCCGGGACTTTGTTTTGGAAAGGTTCCACAGCAAGGACATCCATATCCATATCCTCATCTTCATCCAATAAATCCTCCTTCGCCTTAAACCGCTCGTCTCCGCCTTCCCCCCGACCGCCCTCGACGTCGGTATCCGCGTGGTAGTTGGTATCTTTCACCGGAATCAGAATCTCGCGGATATTGTTGCCAGGTTCTTGTTGCTCCATGCCCTCGTGGTCCAGAACCACCTCATCCTCCAATGGCGTGCTTCGCAGGTGCAAACTCACTTCGCTGTCATTCCGTTCTTTCTCTGCGAAGCTGATTCTTGCGAGCAAGGTTCGCTCTTCCGCCGTGGAGGGGGGCCTGAGGGAGTTTTTCGTCTTGGAAAAATAAAAAAAAATGTTCTGCATGAGCATGACAAAACTCAGTCACGGTATGAAATAAACACCACGACCTTGCTCAACGAAAAACATCAATACGTCGGCGACGGGGAGGATTTGCGTGGTTTTTGGGAGGGCGGAAGCATTTTGGTCACCATCACAAACTTCGGTGCCTCCACCTCATCCACCTCGATTTGCGAAGCGGCGAGGCCCAGGAAGGTTCTTTCATTTTCGTTTCTGCAGCCTTCGTCGACTTCCATATCCGCGTCAGTAACTTTGCGTCGTCGTCGTGTTGTATCCGACGAGGTCGTGCAGGACTCATCGTAATGCTCGCCGAAAGGAGAGTCTTGTGACGACGCAGTTGCAGCTCCAAAGATCGGCTCCGGCATCAAATTGAAGTCTTGACAATCCTGCGAAGATCTTCCGTTGTTCATCCCGTTGCTGGCTTGGGAATTCGAACGACCATTGATCTCCGTCTCACCATCATCGCCTTCCAGCGACGCAGCTGCAAACAAGGCTTCCGGTCCGGTTTCTTCGGCCGCCGCGGCCCCTTCCTCTGGGGCCACCTTCCGCCGCTTGCCGATAGTGCCGGCATTCATTTCCATCATTTTTTTGCAGATTTTGAATGCGGTTTATCTGACGCGTGACGACACATGGAATAATTATTACACCACACACATCCCGATCACAGAACAGTTAACCTTGCGCTCCACTTGCTGACCAACTTATTTTGGTGACAACACAATTTTGCATTCACTCGACACCATTTTTTTCCTCTCCGATGTGCATGGAGGTTTTTGCCCTTTACACTCTTATTTCACGCGAAGATGTTGAGCCCCCACACGCATAATTGTTCCCAGCTACCGCTAATTGTAAACCGAAAACTTTTCAACTGCGGACACGAGAAGCCTCGTGCTTCAGTCATCTTTTTGTGCCTTGGTTTATTATACTCTTAATTGTACTATCACCACGCCGTGTATGCACTGCAAGAATATCGTACTCGTGGTAATCGTAATCCTAATCGCATTCATGCATTACAGATCCCTATTCCAAGCTAGACCAGCAAGACAAAGTCCATTTGTCATGCTAAGCGAATTAGAATTTGCAATGCGATTTCAATTACTACTAGTACGATACTTTTGCACCTCATACCGTGGTGTCTCTTGCTTTCTTCCTATGCGCTGTAAAGTCAAACGCCTGCACATTAGAGGATGTCGTCGGAACTACCTGATGGGCCGCAGCAGTAGCAGTTGCTCCACTGCTATAATTGGTGCCCGAAGTAGCCTGCATCATTGCGTAGCCCGTCGTGGCGACTTTGTTCATCTGCACACCGCCGTTCCCCCCTGCAGACGAAGCTGTTCCGGCAACAACAGGAGGTCCTCCACCTCTTGGCGTAGTTATCGTGGTCGTAGTACTACAACCACGCGACGACAACGACCCCCCGGCGATCGTCTGTCGCTGCGCGCGGATTTTGTGCGACACAAAATCAAACTGGGTACTATTGCTCTGCGCAAGAACCGCGGTTTGAGGTGGGAGTCGTTCGCGAGCGGTCTGTGCACCACTTCTACTTGAGGTCGTTGATGATTCAGCAGCACGACCAGCAGTATTAACCTGCGTCGACGTCGTGAGACCGGTTGGCGCTCCTGCTTGAGGAAGAGCAGGTTGTTGTGGCACTATCAACTGCAAAAGTGTCTGGGTCTGGAAGATTTCCACGCTTGTCATGCAGGGTTTCCATGACCCATGAGGTCTGGTATGTAGGACATAGCATGACAGATTCTGTGAGACTGAGAGTTCTATCATGCCTATCCTGCATGAGAAACTGCCTCTCGATTAGGTCAAAAGTGGCCAGCTTTTGGTAATCATGCAACGCAGATTTTTGAATGATTCAGATTTAGCATCACAAGTTAGATTCCTCCAGACCCAGACATTTTTGCATTTGATAGGCACGCTCGTCGAGCAACTGGTACTACAAGTGTCTTTCGACAATCTCCGGCTTCTGTTATGAACTGCAAAAGTATCGCACTCGTTCGTAGAAATGCATCACAAATTTCCTCCGCATGAGAAATAAAATTCGCAATGCAGATTTACCTTTTTCGTTGCGTTCCTTCCATCTGTTATCCTATGCGCCAAACCAACCCGAGCAACCCGTTGGACGGCGCCATTGGGGCTGGGTCGAGCGGGTCGAACCCTCGCTCCCGCAGCAGGGAACGACCCACTCCACCACCAACACGTCTGTCCGGACGGACCGGCACGACGTGAGTGGCTACTCGGGAGGATGGGTGGGACAAAAATAGCTGCGTCTAACAGCTCAAAACGCAATCCAAACACCGCGAACGGGAGGCACCCTCCCGCCCCTCTCGCAGGGGAAGGGAGTCCAGTACCTCCAGGCATTAGCTTCTAGGGATCTGCCAGCCCATGAACAAAGGCGACCGGAGGAACTCCTTCCAGTCACTCCACGAAAAGAATCTACCAGGGTAGATGTGTCAACAAAAAGATTCGTAATGCATTATTGCAATACGAGTACGATACTTTTGCACAGGATATCTGTAGAAGCTCCTCGTTGCAGTGGAAGTGGTAGTACCACAGGATCTTCCCGCGCCGCCGTCAGGTACTAGGTTTAGGTTTTCATACGGTAGAGCCGCGGTTGTAATATCATCTGTAGAGAAATTATTATCTTCCACATCGTTTAATATTATCCGCGCGCCGGAAGTGCTTCGCGGACTCGCAGGGAGTTCGGAGACGTTGTCAACATCCTGTAGGGAATTCGCGACGCTAAGAGTCCGCTGCGGTGCTGTCGCCTCAGAGGTTGTGTCGATGTCATTCTTGTGAGTGCCTATTATGTTACCGGTCGCCGTCGTGCAACTCCTGGCGCTTCTTGGGGAAAATAGACTTTCTGTGGCACAACTGGACGGCGGGCCAAGTAGAACTCCTTCGGGACAAAAATCTGCTTTCGCTTCTTCGTCGCTCCAGAGAGGGTTTGCTGACACGGTCGTGGTCTTAGGATCGTCCTGCTGCAAGTAGAAGCTACTTTTGGGGCTTCCTTCGTTTTTACAACAGTTGTCAACCTCGTTTTCCCCTCCATTTCCAACTCCGATGCAGCTGCTCCTGCGGCGCCCAAATAAAGGGAAAGGTTTGCAACCCGGAGGTGGTGCAAGGTAAAGTCCCAATCCATCCGGCCCCTGCAGGGTCTCGCGGCCGTCGAGAGTGCTGGTAATCGACGCGTGCTGGGTAGCAGCCGTCGTTCGAGCGCTGGGGGAGAGGGACTTGGAACAAATTGCTGTGCGGTCGTGCGGTCGCCGTGTCGTGTTGCAGGAGTTAACTACATCCTCGTCTGAATTATTGAAAGTAGAGCTCCGTGCTAAACATTTACTCCTTTTTGTACTGGTTGCATAGCGTGAGACCGAAGTGTACAACTCACAGGATGCTGATCTCGTCGTGCGGCGACTTGTACTAGAGCCTCCTGTGAGCGTCCTGCGAAGTAGATCCAACTGCCCCGCCTCGTCGTCATCCGGGGTGAGGCGATGGTCTACTTTGCCGGTCAATGCCGTATCAGAAACCGATGGGAAAGCCCTCGTGACGACGGTATTGCTGTCGTGTGCGACAAGAAAAGTAGTACGACGCGCAGAGTCCTCCTCGTCGCTGCAGGCCCTCCGCCTTCTACTTCTTCCATCGACGTGGTCCTCTGGCGGATAAACGTCCTCGTCACGACACGAACTAGAGCTCGAGCTACTACTGCTCCTTGTTCCACCCACACCGTCTTGTATAACAACCGGGCTCTTGCTATCGCAAAGCTGCTGCTGTTCAGAGCTGGAACTATCGGCGAGCTTAGTTGCACCATCGCTGTTGTGAAAAAAACCGGCACATGAAGCACTCCGATCCTTCCTAGCACAACTACTTCTAGCGGACGGCAGCGCGGCGCGCAACGGCGAAACGACGAGAATCGGGTCGTCGGTGAGGAAGGTCGTTGAGTTTCGCGCGCGTAGATGAAAATTGTCGGAAGATGACGAAGATGCGTCTTCGTTCGACACCCCACCTGAACAAGGTACGACAATCTCCTCCCGACTCGCCGTTCGCGACGTTGTTGTAGCCCGGAGGTCGGGGAAGGTGTAGAGAAAGTTATGGTCGTCAGAATCCAACAGATCTTCGGACGAGGAAGTAGTTTCCACAATGCTCGCGTCGTCCTCTATCAAAATATTGTCGTCGTCGTGCGAAAAAAACCGTGAGCGCACGTCGAAATCCAGACTGTGATCTCGTGATGTGAACGGAGGGTAGTTGCTGTTGTTTTTCAGGCTGATGGCCTCGTGGTCCTCGCAGATGAGGTCTACTACGTTGCTCTTGACAAGAGATCCTCGTGCACCGGCGGGAGCTGCGTCGGCTCGTACGCTTCGTCCGTCATGTAGTTCATCGTCTTCCTCGTCCAAAAGCACAATATTGTCCGTTCTGTCGCCGGCAGAGGTGCAAGAACTTCTTCCATAAAGATCTACTTCCCGGGGAGTCTTCACGACGAGCGGCGTGACATTATTGTTTTTGTTCCCATTCGATGTTCCGTGATACACAAGTGAAGAGGACCGTGGTACTTGGTGACCTTCTTGTTGCAAAAAGGCTCCATTTTTGCGGTGTTCATGGTCATCTCCTCCCCGCTGTTTATCTTCCGCCCAAGCGAGGCGTAATTCTTCCTCGACTATCAAATGCAAAAATGTCTGGGTCTGGGAGAATGCAGATTTGTCATGCATATTTTCGATGCCCCATGAGGTCTGCAATGCAGAACCTAGCATGACAGATCCTGCGAAGTCTCCATCATGCCTATCCTGCATGAGAAACTCCCGCTCATATTGGTCAAAAAAGAACAACTTTTGGGGATCACGCAACACAGATTTTTGTGTGACCCACAGGACGCATTACAAGTTACAACCTTCCAGACCCAGACACTTTTGCATTTGATATCGACCTGCCGCATCCGCGCCTCTAGCTGCGCCGCGGAGGCGGAGTTCACTATGGATTGCAAAAATGTCTGGGTCTGATAGAATCCAAAATTTGTTATGCTGTTTTTGCATGGCACAGAATGTCTGTCATGGAAGCCCTAGCATCACAGATTTTTAGAGGCCTTCCTGATGCCTATTCCGCATGACAAATGCCCTCCACGCGTAGCACAAACCGGACTCCTCTTGCTGGTCATGCAATACAGAATTTTTTGGAGTCCAAAGTTAGCATGACAAGTTCCAACCTTCCAGACCCAGACATTTTTGCAATCCATATTCACAGGTGTGCTGCCATCACCTCCGTGCTGCTGTCCCTGATTCAGCTGGTGCAGCGGCCATTGCCAGAGGAAATTATCGCCAGAAAAAACTGTTTCACTGTGAACTTGTAATGCAGAAAGTGTACCGCAGATGTATTTGTCTTGCTACACATGCAAGACAATGCATTTTTAGGCGTGTTTTTCCTTGGGTGGCTCGCATGGTAAACTTCCTTTGCGATGTGGAGCAAACTTGTGATGCAAAACTTGCAAAATCATCACAGTGAAACAGTTTTTTCGTGGGATAGAAATTGCTGTCACTCCAATCCAAATCGGAGGAAAGGTCGGTTTCCACGATGCTCGAGCTCGAACGAGAGCTTCTCCTTGATCCCCGACTTTTTCTTGAGTGGGAGGACAATGATAAAGAGTGCTGATCTACTACTTCACCGTCATGTAGAAGTTCTTGTGATTCTTGTCGCTCTCTCAGAGGTGGAGTGCTGCTTCGCGAAAGCGAGGACAAGGCCAGCTTCGGCACATGTACCTCTTGATTTAGGATCCTCGTCGGAGATAATTTCTGACAGCTGCCGTCGCTACTATCTTCCGCGAAGGGGTTTCGGATTTTGGCGACGAGTTCCTCCTGATGTCGTCCGGGGGAGGAACTAGATGAGTTACTTGAAGTATCAACTGCAAAAATGTCTGGGTCTGGAAACTTGTGATGCTGGGTGGCGTATCATGAGGAGGCCACAAGTGCTGGCTCAGCGTGACAAGTTTCTGAGCTTCTAGGCGTTGCCTATTCTGAATGACAAACTGCGTTTCTGCATGACAGAAACATGGGTCTCTTGGGTAATGTGCATGACAGATTTAAGAGTCATGCAAAATGTGCATGGCAGACCTTGCATCCTTCCAGACCCAGACATTTTTGCATTTGATATGAAGAAGAAGAGGACGATGTTGCCCGTTTATTGGCAACTAAAAACCGCTTCTCCTGCAGAAACGTTACGGCTGGAAGTTGTTGTACAAGACCAGGGTTCATCTTGTCTGCGTGCGGGGGAGACGAGTTTGCTCTAGCTTCCTGTCCTCGGAAAAGACAAGCAGGCACCGATGTAGTAGTTCCACGACGCTGGCTGCTCCGACGGTTGGGCGTTGTTGCCCCGACACCAGATGGTCGTCGTGGACGCAGCGCGAGGATGGTGGTCGTGAACCTGCGAGCCGGTCGCGATCGTGCCTGGTGTTGTTCGTCATCCCCTTGTTCTCTGTTGCTTGTCCTAAGAACATCACCATCGTCGTCCCTTCTATAGCGGCCTCTTCTGCAGCGCGCGTCATCTGCACCAGCTGCCTTCTCGCTATCTGGCTGGCTTGCTTTTATGTCCCTCTTGTGATGTCGCAGCTGGTTCTCGATGAACAAGCCGTGATCATCTCCGATGTTGACCGAATCTGGCGTATTCGGCAAGGGGTCAAAGGAGGAGGGGGACAGCTGCACGGATTCATTGTGCTCATCACTCTCCGGCGGCGACGACCGTCGAGAGCCCGCTTTAGAAGACGAGGAAAACAGCAAGCGACGCGCGACTTGCGAGTAGGAAGTAGAACTTTGCCCACCACCGCTGGTTTGTTCCGAGAGAAGGAGTTCTTGGTTTCTGCTGCTCTCTCGTGACAATAAAGCCCGTCGAGGACTGTGGACTAAGGAGTGCAATGGTCCTAGTCGACGTGTGTCGAAACCAGTGCGTTTCTTTATCCTGCTTCCCCGGGCGAGCAAACGAGGACGCTGCAGCAGTTTCAGAACCAGATCGAACCTGCCCATGTTGTAGCGCGTCGGCTTCTGGTCGTCACGCTTCTTCCGCGTTTTTGTTTTTCTCTTCCTGAGGAGGTCCTGGAACAATCTTCGTTTTAGACGACAAAGAAGTTCTACTCGGTGTAGAAGTAGTTGCGTGGTGCAAGGTCTACTTGATCTTCGCACGCGTTGTGCAAGAGGACGGGAAAACAGCGCCTTTGCCGCAGCGTCGTAAAAAGCGTCTTTCTTCCTCCTCTTTTTCACTGTCGACGGTGTGGATCTTGAACTTTTGGCGCTGACAAACTCCAAGAGCGGCGACAGGGGATCTGACCCGCAGCTGGCGGTGTTCACCGTGCTTGAGTAGTGTCCGGGAAGAGCTTGGCTCTTCTCACGCCGGTGCGGAGGGGTTTTGTTGGGATCATCTTCAAGAGCCGCGCCAACGAAAGCGCTCTGGGTTGTTGTTCCGGGACAACTCGGTCTACTGGCGCTAGAAGTTGTACCGGATGAGGACGTCGGGCTTGAAGAACTTGAAGATGATGAACCCGATAGAAGAAGATGCTTCTCGCGGTCATTTTCGCTGTCGTTTTCATCTTCCTCGTCGTGGCTGCTATGATCGTCGTCGCTCTTTGTTTTTACATCATCCGACAGTACGGACTCTCGTCCACCGGAGTTCACGATTATTTGTTCCTCTTCGTCCTCGGAACAGGCGTCGAAATAGCTGAATGTAGTTGAGGATGTGGCTGTTCCAAATTTATCATTCCGATCTCCCGGCACGACACAAGAAGAACCTTCCCCCGCTGGTCGTGCAGCCCCAGTCGTCCAAAGCGCCGGCAGCCAGGTCTTCCCCTGCTGCCACACCCAGTCGCGGACAACGCCAGTGGGCGCGCGCATCAGCTCCAGAAAGCGGTCCACCTGGAAAAAAGCAGCTCCCGTTGATGTCGTGGTGGAGCAATCTTCATCTCCACAGCTGGGATCACTGTGGCCGTGGTCATCATCTGCAGGTGGACCCCCGTCTGAATCCTTTTCAGGTGCTGGTGGTGGCTCGGTGTGCTGCCCGGTGGGAGGAAACACCTCCGACGTGTCTTGCCGATCAACAGAGGAGCTCGTTGCAGGCGAGCAGCCCTCGTCATCTACTACTTTAGACGGTGCACCATCTCCAGTTTCTGTAGCAGGTCTAGTAGTTCTTGGGCGGAGGTGCTTGTCGTCAGATGTTGCCTCGGGTCTGTGTTCTTCTCCGTTGTTGTCAAGATGTTGATCCTGTATAACGATTTGAAATTCGACGTCGGTTGCTGGCATGGGGGAAATTCAAAGTGGATGCATTTCATGTTCATCACTGTAGTTCTCATCGCAAAATAAACAAAACCACTAGCTACGTAACATTGTACGTTATCAACTGTCTCCTCGGAAGATGCAGGTCGTTCCAAATCTGGAGGTATAATGGCATCCTCTGCAGTCGCCGTGTCTACTGTGCATGATTCATCACCACAGGTATAATCCGCTTCCGCTGCAACTGTCGTATCACCACTGGCAGGAGCGCCTGCGTTTTCTGCAGTGCCAACATCCGCTTCCACTTCTTTCGGCTCCCGACCGATTATTGCCACTTCTTGTTCCCCCACCGCAACTACAGGGTCAACATCACCTGCCGGAACTGACCAAGAGGAAGAAGAGAAAGTAGAAGACGCTGCTCCAGAAGCCGCCATCTGCCTCGCGGTTCTTTCCCCCTTCTCCTCACGACGGAGGTGACGACCTAGTAGGTTCGAACTGTTTCCTTTTACCAATAAATCCGCTGCACTTGATGTTCCAGTTCCCGTTCCGGCTCTTGAATTACTATATTTCGCCCCCCGCACTTTGAACTTCGCGAAACAGCTCGCTCCCGTGCCGCGCACCGCCGGCGCCTTGAAAGTTTTACTGGTAGATGTTCTGCTTGTGGAATGTAAACTCCCTAGTACGAAATCATTGTTCTCTTCAAGATGCGCCGGCGTTCTTTGCAGCTTGGTACTATAAAAGTCGGGCGGAACCACCCGCGGACTGCTGCCAATCCACGACACGCGAGGTTCTTGTTTCTGGGGAGGTGCAGCTAGAAGTGGCGGGAATGGAGGGTCGTGGAAAGCGGCTGCGGTTCTCGTGCTGGCAGAAGACGTTGATGGTCCTCTTGGGGTAGTTGCGCTGCCAAACTTGTTTTTCCCGCCAGCGATCGAACTAAACGATCGCGGTGTACTGGAAAATGACACAGGCGGTTTATTCGGTCTTGGGGAAGTAGTACTACCGGAGGCTTTCTTTTCGGCGGAGGACAAATAGGTGCGGATCTTGATCGTTGGAATCACATCCATGGTCGTCGTGGAATCAGCATTTGATCATGCTGCGAGTCGATTTATTTTTCCAACGGAGGTGGTTTTTTACCTTCACAGCAAAACGGCGAGACACGTCCTCACCGATCCTGCGCATCTTGTCTTGTCTTACGTTTTAATATTTCTAGTGGAAACTCATGTGGTGCATCTAGATTTACTGAAGAGGAATTCATCTAGAACTTCGTGCAGCTTTTTCTTTGCGGTTATGACGTTCGTTGGTCAGATGAAGCGACGGGGACAGTTCAATATCCATTTCATTTGTAGTTGCCATGCAGTAGATCCACCATCTTTATATCGTCAGTGACACCGGTTGGTAACTTCCGGAATAGACTTCACAATTGATGCTCTTGTCGCGGCGAACACAGTTATCAAATATTTGAAGAAAATCCCACTGCTAGGACTCACAGGGCTCCGGTGACGCAATGGCGGTTTGTGTGTGCACTTGAGAGAAATCTATTTCTATTAATTTCAACATGCGCTCGAGAAGAAGATGAAATGCTAAAACCGCCGGATGTTGAGAAGTTATTTTTATTCTCTAGTACAACTGAAGCCTCTTGCGGTGTTCTTTCCACTGAATGAAATTAGCAATAGGAAAATATCTCGCAGAGCAGGAACTACCACCAGCAGCCTCATCGGTTTCAATCGAAGCTGAGTTCCACTTTTCGGCCCGATTTCTGCTTCAGCTTGTATAGTTTCACGCTTTCCAAATACCCCTTTTTCTCGGACTATCAAATGCAAATATGTCTGGGTCTGGAAGGATGCAAGGTTTGTCATGCACATTTTGCATGATTCCTGACGTCTGCGATGCATGCCCTAGCATCACTGATTTTGCGAGGGCTTCCTGATGCCTATACCGCATGAGAAATGCCCTCTCGCCATGGCAAAAACTGGACCTCTTTGGCTGTTCATGCAATATAGATTTTTGTAGCATGCAAATGCAGCATCACAAATTGCATCCTTCCAGACCCAGACATATTTGCAATGCATACGGACACGTTCTTCGCCATTCGGTTGTACGAAATCTCCTTCTTATCCAACAAAATCTCGGTGTGTATCATTTGTAAAAACGACCCCACGACCCCAGAGTCCACTTGGGAAGCCTGCAACACAAATCCAACAGTTTTAGGAGTCACGCATGACAAGTTTCTCTCTCTATTGTAGTGCAGGTTAGCAAGCACACCCGACTCAGAAATTCATCTCCTCATCCTGTTTACAGCATCACAAATGCCAAAACACGATGAAAAACGCCTTTCATGGGGATGCGCATGACACGCACTCCTGTAATTGTACATATGCATGACAACTTTGGGGTGGAGCGTTTTCGTTCAGCATAGTCGGCTCCTCTTTTGCCAGCAAATGGAGTAGAAACTGCTGTTTCTTCTCGCTATCCGAGCCCGGCTTGAAGCGAAACCAGTCTTCGTACCTGTATTGTATTTGATCCGATTCAAAAATGTATGTGGTAGAAAGCAGGCCTGACAAAAATCTCAATCTTTACCAAAAATCCACAAAGATATTTCCTTTTCCCTTCGTTTCTCACCTGACGTGCTTTACGTTCCACCCGAGATGGGTGAGCACCTTGTGCTGCAGCTTCCGCAGCCGGATGTATTTGTTGGTGCCGAAGTAGAAGGCTGGTTGCCGATCCAAGAGGATGCAGTCTCGCTTTTCCGTCTGCGCGTCCAGCGATTCCAAGCCGATATCGAGCCAAAACGGCCCCCAGCGGAACGCGTTCCGGTGGTTCTGCTCCAGTTGCGACAGGTGTTTCGAAACGTTCCAGTGAAACGCGTCGGGGGACTTGACGAAGCAGGGAATGTGCCGCATCGAAAGTTTCACGTAAAACTGCTTCACCTCGGAGCCTATGCATTGCAAAAGCATCATACTAGTAGAAATCGCATTACAAATTTCCTCAGCATGAGAAATGGAATTTATAATGCTGATTGACCTTAGGAAAAAGATTTGTAATGCATAACTGCAATTACTACGAGTACGATACTTTTGCACAGGATAGAGTCCAGATTCACCCACACGTGCGGGTACAGCGTCCGACAAACCACCGCGGATTCGAAGGCCTTCAATAGGTGGTGGGGCCGGGCGGTGATGTGGATTTTCCGAAAGCGCGTCAGTGTGTATTTGATCAGTTCGTCGGAGATATCACACAGAAAAAAGCTGGCAGGGCATATTTGTACTGCAAAAATAAATACACAAAAAGATCTGCATGGCATATCCGAAACAGCATGCTATGGGGCCACCCATGACAAGTTTTTCTGTGCATTCATTTTTGCATCACAAATATGCCCTGCCAGCTTTTTTCTCTGGGATAGGAGAAAAAAGCACCGATCAAGCAGGGATTCACCGCGTCACGGAACTCCTGCGCAGTGTATCCTGAGTAAAAACGTCCCCACCCCAGAGTTGTCATGCAAATCTGCATGCCAAAAAAGTCTCCCATGCGGAGCCCCATGAGAGCCATTCTCTAGTCGTGTTTTGGATTTTGTGATGCTAGAATCAGCGCGACGCGCTAGATCTGTGATGCTTCGGAACTAGCTAAAAAACAGGATTACACTAAAGGGCGGACAGACTTGTCATGCGAAAAAACCAAAGCAGGTTGGTTTGTCTAGCACATTTCCCATCTTGACTCTGGTGTGGGGACATTTTTAATCAGGATACAGTGCAGGCGTCGAGTTTGCTGTGGCAAACGGTGAATAACCGTTTCTTCAGAGTCGCGCCGGCAGACGAAGACGTAGTTCCTGAAGAGAAACTATCCGTGACGAAAGTGGGAACGGCCGCGGAAAACAGTTTCGTTGCACTGGACGCCAAGTCGTTTACTAGCGACGAGGAAGTAGCTGCAGATTCGGATGTACTAGTACCGTCTCTGCTGCAACTACTCTGTGGGAAGACGTCCAGTTATTGAAAGGAAAAACTCCCCCTCCCCATATTGAAAAGGTATGTTTCCGAAAATCTGTGTTGCTGATTTGAGGCCACAAATCGCGTTTGTCTTGCAAGAAGACAACGGCAGAAGCATCCGCCCCATTATGGAAGCGATTTGGCATGCTGTTGGGCCTAAAGGGGAGCCGTTTGCCATGCTGAACAACTCGACCCATACGCCCCTATCTAGCCTGGGGATCTGGCCGCAGCGCCCTCCTGCAATACAAAGCTGATTTGTGTACACAAATCCAGCAACAGAAGTCTCCGCTTCAATATGGGGAGAGGGGATTTTTCCCTTTGATACCAGTGCGGCCGCCGCGTTGATGATTTTCACGAAGTCCGCCGGTCGTATATCCTGAGTAAAAACGTCCCCACCCCAGGGTTGTCATGCAAATCTGCATGCTGAAAATGTTTGTCATGCGGAGTCCCATGCGAAGCATTTCTCCGTCGCGTTTTGGAGTTTGTGATGCTCAAATCAGCATGATACGCCAGATCTGTGATGCTGCTGGAGCTAGCTACACAGGATTACACTACGGGGCCAAGTTTGTCATGCGAAACAACCAAAGCTGGTTGATTTGTCTAGCACATTTCCCATCTTGACTCTGGTGTGGGGATGTTTTTACATAGGATATCGTATATCGTCCAGTTTGTCGAGCACCACCCGTATCGCCGCTTGCTGTAACGGCACGTCTCGATAGTTCAACCGCTTGCAGCACCAGAAGAGCGACATGAGCTGGTAACTCCCGAGGTTGGGAAGCATCGGGGCGGAGGGAGGTGAACTCGAACCTCGCCCTGATACTACGGTTCCACTCCCGCCGAACAAGAGCGTCCTGCGCATGGTTTCGAAGAAGGTTTTGCTCAGGTACCCTGCTTTGCCAACCGACCAAAGTAGGTAGCCCCAGTCGACCGGGTCGAAGGGCTGCTGTGTGACGGAAACCGGGGGGGAACCGGACGAAGCGCTGGAGGAGGACGACGAGGATGAGGTGCTGTTGTTGACCGTGAGAAGTGCTGCATCAGCGCCATTCCCTCCAGCATTGCTTCTCCCACTCCCTGCAGTCGACAATAAAGCATCCGTAGTTCTTGTTCCCCCATTCGCGATTTCCACCAGGCGCTTTACAAAGCCGTCCCAGAGCTTGATGTCGTGCTTTCTGTGCTGCGCGGCCTTGTGCACACACGCGGTCAGGTATTTCGCGTCCATCAACTGCGGGTCGGAAGTGATGACCTATGAACTGCAAAAGTATCGTACTCGTATAAAAAATGCATTACAAATTTCCTCAGCATGAGAAATTCACCTTAAGAAAAAGATTTGTAATGCAAGACTTGCATTGATACGAGTACGATACTTTTGCAGTAGATATGACCACCGGGAGTGCGATGTTGTATTTCCGCACCCGTTATCAAATGCAAATATGTGTAGGTCTGGAAGAATGCAAGTTTGTCATGCTTGTCTGACATGACTTTTAAATTTGACATGCACGAGCAGGAAAAGGGCCTACTGCCTGTGATGCAAAATAAACGCAGTTTGTCATGCGAAAAACGAAACACACAGCAGCGCAAAAACTTGTCATGCTGGGCTGCATATTGCAGTGTCTTCCCACCATTCGTAGATTTGCATCACAACGTTCCAGAACACCATATTTGCAATGCATACCCGTTTCTGGCTCCAGGCCCGAAATCGCTTGTTGTATTTAGTGATACCTTTTCTCTTCAGCCTCGCTTCCGCCCGCACCGCCCGGACCGCCATCTGCTCGAAGGGCCGCGCGGTGTGCCCGGTGTTCCGGTAGTTCGGCAGGGAAAGGCGAAAGAGACCACGGCATGACGTACTGGCGGGCGGCATGATCAAATATTTTATTTATTTCCCGTAGTGGCCTAGTTCTTGGTTTGTTGTAACGGACAGTTGATGTTCATATGCACACGTCAAAATCTGTTTGTTGCTTCGTTCATAGCAACATTTTTTTTGGCCCCCGCAGATCGATTGTCACAACGAAAACAACAGCACCTGCGCAGAGAAATAGATGGTGGTCTGGAGAGTTCATTTGTACGAAACGCAAACAAAATTATACCACACGACGCACGTAATCGGAACGATGAGTTTTCTTGTGCGACCGACGACACAACTGGAACACCAATGGACGTTCTTTCAACGTGTCAGGAAAGGGAAACGGCGCGCAGACTTCGGTTTCATTCTTTTCGATAATACTTCCAACGTATGTACAGCGTTTAAAAGGTCCAATTTTTAATGGCTATACGTGACGTCAGAGAGAGAGAAGTAGTACCCTTCAGAACCATAAAGCTAAGCTAGTCTCAAATTCAAATTCAATCTCAATGACGCTTGCATCACCATCAAGTTTTGGTAGTAGTAGGTACAGGTGTAAAAAGTTGCATCAACATAGAAACACTTCGTTCTGGCTCTCAAGACAAGGATCAATTTTTTGGGACATAAAAAGAAAATTCGTTTGGATAAAATTGTTGTTAAGTTTTCAAAAGGCAGTCAAAAGTTTGTAACTCGAAGCTGAAATAATGGTTTGTTCTCGGAGGTGTTTGACTGGTTCATTGTGCAACTAAAAAACTAAATTTTCTTCTCGACATCCGCCCCCTCCCTGCGCACTGGAGTTCTTGTGTCGGAAGATGAAACTTCTGTGATTTGGTTGTATAATCCGTAAAACTAAAATAGTCGGCCGCTGTGAGAAATTGGCTCGGTGATGAAAATGAATTGTTGCAATGTATAAAATATGCTGTCAGCTGAAACAACTGCTGCTTATTTTTGCGTACTTACTGTCAGATTATTCAGAAACTACTACAAGTTATCATCATTATACAACAGAAGATACAGAAACTCGAAAAGTTTCTCAATGTCAATACTTACTTGCGAATAATAAACATAAACTGCACTTTGATCAGCATCGCCACGTAACAATCCTTGATTACAGTGATTATAATGGTCCTCAGACAAATCCTCAATGTCGTCCTTAATCTCGTTTCTCCAGAAGTAGACTAACTCAGACCACTTAGACCTTTTTCGAAACCAACTGGAGCTGAATTTTATGCATTGCAAAAGTATCGCACTCGTATAAATGCATTACAAATTTCCTCAGCATGCGAAATAAAATTTGTAATGCAGATTTGCCTTGGAAACAAGATTTGTAATGCAAAACTTGCATTTGTACGAGTACGATACTTTTGCACAGGATAAATTTTTCGGGTTTCCGCAACCTCGGCCATGTTGTCGTCACTGCTCCTACTCATGTCGGTTATGCACTGCAAATGTGTCTGGGCCTGGAAAAATGAAGAGTTTGTCATGCATATTTTGTATGACCCATCATACCTTTAGTGTATGGCCTAGCATCACAGGTTTTTAGAGGGCCTCCTGATGGTGCCTACTCCGCATGAGAAACAAATCCCCTCCCCGCGTAGCGCAAACCGGGCTCCTCTTGCTGGTCATGCAATACAGATTGTTTTTGAATCCAGAGACAGCATCACAAACTGCAACCCTCCAGACCCAGACATATTTGCATTCCATATCGGTTTCGTCGGTCCCAAAATCCATGAACGTGGTCGAGCCGCGCGCCCTCTTCCTCGAGCTCACGGTGCTGCGCGGATGGGCCTGCTCAGGCATGCCCGCAATGTGCGTCGTGGAAATTTCATCTTCGCTAGAAGAGGAGGAGGAGGAGCTGGAGGCTTCCTTTCCGTCGGCGGGCGTTTGTTTTACCTGCACGACGGCAGGGGTTCGTTTTACCTTCACAACGTGCCGCTTGATCTTGACCGGCTCGGCCTTGGCGGCGCGCGGCGCCGGCGTTGCGACCCGCGGCTTCTCGTCGGCCGGGCAGCAGCACCGTCTGATGCAGCGCCACAGGTAGCACAACACACACCCGCCCACGATGAGCAGGCCCAGGGTGATATCCTGAGTAAAAACGTCCCCACACCAGAGTCAAGGTGGGGAATCTGCTACACACATCAGCCAGCTCTGGTTGGTTCGCATGACAAGTTTGTCCTCGTACCGTGATCCTGTTTAGGTAGTTCAGCAGCATCAGCGACCTATCTTATCATGCTCATCATAGCATCACAAATCCCAAAACACGACTAGAAAATGCTTCTCATGGGGCTCCGCATGAGAAACTCTTTTGGCGTGCTGATTTGCATGACAACTCTGGGGTGGGGACGTTCTTACTCGGAATAGCTGACACCGATGACAAGGTAGATGTCCGCCCGGCTGCACTCGCCGTTGACGATGTTGGTCACCGCATTTTTGGTGGCGTCCTTCAGCGCCGACGCGTTCTCTTTCAGCGAATCCTTGGCCTCGCTCAAGCCCTTCGCGGCGGCGTCGATTGTTTTGTCCAGATTCTCCCCGGTAAGAGCTTCACCCAAATCGCCCAGCGTATCCCCTAAGTTGTCCAACACTGTCTTGTCGTCTTCCTCCTCCTTCACGACATAAATCGGCGGCGCGGGAACGTAGGGCAAAACACCCGGTACCGTCGCGTTCAGCACTTTTTCCTTCGGCGGCACCGTGTGCGACCCTAAATTCGGTCCGAGCGGGCTCAGGGCCAGCTCGGCCTCGCCGCCGACTTCAATCTCTTTATCCACCAGCTCGACGTTCTCCACCATCTCAATGCCCGCGGGACACATGCCGCGGCTGTCCGGCTCGGCGCGCACTCCTGATGTGGCGTTTAGGACCTCCCGGCAGATCACCGTTATTTCTGTAGTTATAGGTTGACTGCTCGTCGGGGGCTCCGCCGTGGTGAGGGGTTCGCCCTCCATGGCGGTCGCCGCGGGTTGTTCTTCTTGTTGCTCCTCGTCCACCACGACTACTATGGTGCCCGGTTCGCAGTCCAACGCGGTGGAACCGGAGCACGCGACGGCGCAGGAGGAATCGCAGGGGAGGCACTCGCCGATGGACTCCTCAAAAAACGTGCGCTGGGGGCACTGCGCCGCGTGCGTGACCGGCACGATGGCCTCGCCGCGGACGCACAGCTGCAGCCCGAGCTTTTTCTCGTACGACTATCAACTGCAAACATGTCTGGGTCTGGACGAATGTGTCATGCATCTTTTCGACCACACAAATGGTCTCTATTGCACGCAACAGCATTACCGGTTTTGCGCAAGCCTGTTGATGCCAATCCTGCATGAGAGATTCCGCATAATTTGCGCACGAAGGAATGGGCAGAATTCAATGGCGCTCATGCAATACAAATTTTTGCCTATTCCAGAATCCGCATCACAAGTTGCATCTCTCGAGATCCAGACCCAGACATATTTGCAATGCATAACGACTTCGTTTCGACCACCCCGCTCACCCGCACCTGCCGCTCGTACCACTCCGCGTGCGGGCGGACGGCTTCCACCGCTTTTTTCTGCGCCTCGTCGCTGAAGTGGTTGGCCTGCCCGTTCACGAGAAGCGTCCCCGTGACCACCGGGTTGGTGTACAGTCGGTGCTATTCTGGGCTAAAACGTCCTCACCCCATATTTGCCATGCAAATCTGCAACCCTCAAATGTTTGTGATGCAGAGTCCCATGAGGAGCATTCTGTAATGCTGTCTGGCAGTTTGTCATGCTAGGATCAGCATAAGGGGATCGATTTGTGATGCAGCTCCAATAGCTAATAAACGCGATGACACTGCGAGTCCAAACTTGTCATGCGCGACAGCCAAAAGATGCTGGCACTGTGTAGCAAAATTCCCTTCTTGCCTCTGGGTTAGGACGTTTTTACATACGATAGGTGCGACAGCTTGTTCTCCACCGTGTAATCCAGCCAGGTCGTTGGCATGGCCGTGCACGTTTTTTTCACGGTCGGTTCCTGTCCCGCCGCGCCCGCAGTCGTCGTTTCCCTGCAGCACTTCAGCGCCACACAGCTGCTCATATCGTCGTCCCCCGTGCGCCGGAGCGTCTCGCGCGTCCAGCCGTCCCTGCTCTCCGGAGCTCCTTCCGCCGTGGCTTGTGCATCTTCGGGCAACTCAATTTGTGTATCCGAGATGGGGTAGACCGCCGTCACCTTGCCCCGCTGCAGTTGCTGCTCGCTCACGTGCTGGCACTGTGCGTTCTTGCTGATCTGGCACTTCTTCGCGTAGCAGGTGCTACCCGTGCCGTCCGCCGCCTTGCAGGGCGTGCCCCAGGGCTTTCCCTTGTCCGCCGGGCAAATGCCGCTTTCGCCCGTGCAGGTCTCAGGCAGGTCACAACCCGCGTCCACCGCCGTCCGGCACACGAAGTCGCTCTTTCGAAACTGGCAGGTGGCCGGGTCGCAGCACGCGTCGGGCCCGCTGCACACCGCGGTGGGCTGCAGCTTGCAGGTGGCGCAGTCGCAACACGGGCTGTTTGCCTGCGCCGTTTCGCCGCAGTCGCACTCCTCCCCGTACTCCACGCCACCGTTGCCGCACTTCGAGGCCTCGACCGACTGCAGCGCGCCCGGCCAACGAGAGTGATTCATAGGAAATCTTCTTCTCATCCCCATGTACACGTACAAATGCGTAGTTTTCTGAATGTGTGGATTTTTTCGTTTTCATCCCCAGCACCCCGATTCAGCATTACAAGTTGCATGCTCTATAGTTTGCCAAATAATTTGTGATGCATCTTGTTGTACATATTTTCATGTGGAACGACGAGCAGTAGATTTGTATTATGCGTAACACCGGCCGGAATAGCACATGCCGTCGCGGTGGTCGAAGGGGCTGGTGCGGTGCCAGCACGGCGTGCCGTCCGGGACCGACATCTGCTGGCCGTGCATGGTTATGCATTGCAAAAGTATCGCACTCGTACAAATGCATTTAACAAATTTCCTCAGCATGAGAAATGAAATTTGTAATGCGGATTTACCTTCAGAAAAAAATTTGTAATGCGTGATTGCAATTACTACGAGTACGATACTTTTGCAAAGGATAATGGTAAACCCGGACTGGCAATCAAGGTCCGTTGCGCCAATCGTGTGGCACACCGCGACGGAGCACTGGTCGTTAAACCGGTGGCAGTGCGCGGACTCTAGGTCCACCGCTTTGACCACAGCTCCTCCACCGGTGGCCCGTGTCGGAGTCTTGGCCAGGTCCCGCAGGCTGTTCACGGTGACGCCGCACGTGTACTCCATCGACATACAGCTGCCGTCCAGGCACTTGCCCGGTTTGGTAAAGTTCGCTTTCTCCACCACACTAAGGTCCGTGAACGCCCGGAAGCCCTGCGTGCAGGACTTGCCGCTGTAGGCGAACAAATCTCGGGGGCACGACCCCGACGTCCCGTCGCAGAACTCGGGCAGGTCGCACTCCGCGTGCCGCGGCGCCCGGCACATGTGGTTGTCCTCCTTTGGCCGGAAAAAGCACTGGTGGCAGCACTCGTGTGTGCGGTCGGAGCACTCGAAATTGTCCTGCAGAAATTTGCACGTCGCCCCGTTGCAGCACACGTCCTTCGAGGTGATGGCTCCCTCGAAGCCGCCGCCGGCGAAGCTGCAATCGCTGCTGCCACAGTCGCAGTCCTCCCCTTCCTCCACAATGCCGTTGCCGCACTGGGGGTCTCCCGCCACGAACTCCGGCACGTTTTCTAGGCACTGCCCATTGTTCTCGTAGTGGTCTGCGAAGTAGCCGGCAATGTAGTCCTTGGAGCATTCCGAAAACACTTTGTGCGTGACGACGGTGTCGGTGTTAAACATTTTTGTGGTCTGCACCAGCTCCCCGACCTGCCCCCCAATGGCTTCCATAATGAACCCCGACTGCGGGCAGAAGGGCCCGGTTGCCGCTTGCTGCTCTCCAGACGTCCCTAGCAAGAAGCCGCCGTCAGCTTCTTCTTCAGGAGGCGTGTTGAAGATTGTTGTTCCATTTGTTGATGTTCCAGGATCCGCGGGCGACGGCACCTCCGGGGGTGACGTTGCACTCTTATCCACCGCGTCGGACGAAAAAAGAAAACCGCCGGGGGCGGAGGAGGGCGGGGCCGGGTGCGTACTACTAGAATGCGCGCGGTCCTGTTGCAAACTACTCCCCTGCACGGCCACCACGGCGTTGCGGAACCCGGGATCTACTTCGGCCTCTTGCGAATACCGTCCCGCCTCCAGCTCGGGCTCATGTCCCTCAGTCTCGAAAACGGACTTCGGAGGCTCATAGACGATAACCTCTTCGTCGTCGCTGCCCTCTTGCGCTTGCACGGCTTGAAGATGCGACGAGCCGTGGCTATGTCCAGCTTCATGTTCCTTGAAGTGCTCTGCGACACTGCTCTCGGAGGTTTCCCCGGCGGGTGCCGCCGCGTCGGTGCCCTGTCCGTCGTCATGGTTCATGTTGAAGTTGTGCCCCAGTTCGTATTATCCTCTGCAAAAATCGTGTGTTGCAGTCGTACTCGTAATTGCAGTAATATCATAATGACTGATTCAATATTCTCCTGCTCCGAGTCTGCTTGCTCCGCATGGCAATATGAGCCCATTTCTTGTTTCTCAAAAAAATTGTCATGCAATATACTACTGAGTAAGTACGATGCTATAAATCATTTCCAAGTTCATACGTGCGCGACGATCTGCGCGCACCGCACAACATACTTCCCATCCGCGGTGCCCCAGTTGGGGTCGGGTGAGGTCGCGCTCAGTTCGCTGGGACTCGAGTCCCGGTAGGGGCCGTGGCAAGCGTTGATGGAACCGGAGTCGTGCACATTGCACATCGACCCCACGTTGGCCAGCCCGACGGTTACGCTGTCGAAGTCGCGGCCCGAAAGCAAGACCCGGTTGTCCGACGGCTTTAGATTGCCCGCCGTTTGTTCCGCGTGGGCCCACTCGTAAAACTTTCGGAGCAGGGTGTTGCTGCTGATCTCGAGCACCACCGTGCCGTCGTCCTTCGTCCGGTTGCTGTATGTATCAAATGCAAAAATGTCTGGGTCTGGAAGAATGCGCGATTTGTCATGCTGCTTTTCCATGACCCATGAGGTCTGGAATGCAGGACCTAGCGTGACAGATTCTGTGCGATCTCTCTCATGCCTATCCTGCATGAGAAACTCCCTCCCGACTTGGGCAAAACTGGACGACTTTTGGTAATCATGCAACACAGATTTTTACATGCTTCAGATTTAGCATGACAAGTTGCATTCTTCCAGACCCAGACATTTTTACATTTGATAGTATGCGCCCACCAGCCCGTCCTCGTAGGGGTCCCTGTCCGCGAAGGTCATAATCCCGACCATCACCACGCGGATGTCGTGGGGAAAGTTGTTGTGCCCGTGTGCGTAGATGGCGTGCGCCACGTTCATGACCGCAGTGGCGTCCGCGGCCTGAGCAGCCCGGTCGCCGTTAAACTGCTGCAACCGCGACGCGTCATTCACAACCAGAACTTCGACGAATTTCGTGCTCGTCGCTTGCTGTTCATCAGCTTCCTTCGAAACCTTCTTGAGCAACTTCGTTTTTTTCAGAACCCTTGCACCGATCTGACTCAACGTTTTTTCCCCTTCGCGGCTGGCCACAGCGTGTGCGTGTGCGTGTTCACTTTTCATCCTAGCGTTCTTGTGCAAGAGACTCACACTCGCACGCCACGTCGCCGCCATTTGAAGAAACGAGTGGGGAAGCTCCAGCGCGGCCTCAACGTCGTCGGCCGAAGCCGCGTCGAAAGTACCTTGCCTATGCTCGTAGGACATTTCGATTTGGTGCGGCAGGTTGTGGAGCGCAGACTCGAAATCTCGGCGTAACTGGTCGTCGTCTTGACGGGCGGATGCCGCTAGCTGGGGATCGTCGACGTCTTTCAATGCCCCGGTACTGCCATAGGCACCAAGGCGGGGACTAGAGGTGGTCAACAAATTCTTTTTCGCCGAACGCTCTTGTTCCTGTCCTGAAGGTCGCCGCGGCACGACGGTGAAGACGCGCTCGAAGAGATGCGGTGCGGCCGGCGTGCTGGTTTTTTTCGACGACGTCTTACTTGGCAAGTCGGAATGTTCTTCTTTACTATGGCTTGCTGCAGCAGATGGCTCCTCCGCCTCCACCTGCAGGATGCGAATCAGCAGGGTGACCCCGCGGTCTCCGGGACACCAGTGGCCCCCGACCGTGCCGACGTTTGTCGCGGTGTCCAGAATCGACTTTATCACGCTGCCAACAGGACTACTGTCCTCTTCTACGGTGGTCACTGCGTCGCTCATCTGCTCGGTGAGGTGCAGAACATTTGCTTTAATATTATCCCCCTCGCTACCTCTAAGGCCTGAAAGAACATCAGCAGGCTCGCCAGTAGAAGCTGGCCCGGCGCCAAGAACGGGCAACTCCCACACCTCGCCGTGCAGGTAGCGGCAGGACGCGGTTTTCGTGGAGGGATCGTGCAACGAATACCGCTCGAGAACGGTGTTGTTGCCGCTGAGAACCACGTGCTCAGCGTCGCGCGAAATAAACTGCCGGTTTTCCCGCAGGCGAAGCAAGTATCTCGGCCGGGACGAGGTAGTTTTCCTTGTCGTGGCGCCGCTGTCAAGTATTCCGGAAATATTAACTGGTGCCGGCGGTTCGACGATACCTTTCCTAGCACCTGTACTCCTTTCGGCTTCATCATCTTTTCTAGTTTTATCACCGGACGACAATATCTTCGTCGAGTCGGCGCCCGCCGGGTTTAGGTCTTCGACGAACACGTCCCATACCTGATTGAATTTCTTATTCTTGCTGTTCCTCTCTGGAGAAGACGAAGTTTGTGGATCTAGTTCGACTTTCCTCTGCTCTTCTGCGTCATCCGGGTGAAGAGGAGATGGGTCTGCGCGAGGTCGGATCTCTTCTGAAGTAGAATCTTCTCCTGATTGTTGTTGCCCTGATGGCTTACTGCCGTTGTTACCGCGGGGAGTCCGGCGGCTTAATCTGAGTGCATACGACAAAAGCCCCGCCAAGTGGATCAGGAAGGGCAGAAGGGCGGCGACAGCGAGCCGTTCCAGGTGGGGTCGCTGACGTGAGTATTTCAACATATTTGACCTTGACTGCTTCCTTGTTCTACTTAGTTTTAAAAAATCAAACCAACCCCTTCTACATTCCCCAAGAGAAGGTCTAGACTCTAAATGACCGGATTGATCAGACTGACGATCGGCTTTGAAACTGGACCTACAAGAAAATCCACTGACTGAAGTTGCTCTAGGAGGACTAGTGGTGATTGTCATTGCCGATTCCGTCAGAAAGTGATGTATCGCGAAGAATGCCTGGCTCAGTGGAGCCGTCATGTGACCAACGTGTCAACACCTGCGTTTTTCATTTTCCCCATACGATACTAGAAAAGATGCACCCGTAACGACAAACACATATCAGCGCAAACGATACGAAGTTAAAACGATAACGAATAAGCACCCCGTAGTTAAGGCATGGTATGCGCCACAGTTGCAGACGAACCCTTTTCACGAAGCTGCAAGCGGCTGCAGTTCATCTCTTCTTGGCCTCTCGAATCACGACTGCAATGAATACTTAAAACTCCCATTTGGGCGCCACAAAGATATAGGAAGACGTTTACGTATAGGAACGAACAGGCGAAAAATGTAAATCTCTGCAACGGAAACTTCACTTGATCTCGGCCTCTTGCGAATGAAGTCCAAAACAGAACAAATGAGGCTCGAACTTTCAGCTGCAGCCTGCTTATCCGATCCAAAGCAGAGAACATATTTTTCGCCCTTTCTTACACCTTGCAGGCGGAATCAGAATCAACGGTCCGAGACAAGTGCGATGCCGAATGATCTTACAGAGTGATAAACACAAAATCCTCATCCTCGGCCGTGTTCTGCTGGGCGATTGGAAAACCATTGGGACAAGAGCTAGGCCGCTCATTGCACAACACCATCCACGTCGCAGCGAGCTGCATCTTGTTCGTGCTGATCATGTGTAATTCTGATGATCAATATCTTCCGGATTCTACACCTCACACCATCCGTGTTTTCCAATTTTGATGGAACCTCTTGTATTCATCGTGCGTGGCAGATTCCAGGCGATATTGCAGAAAATTGTGAAAAAAAGCAGGTGTCGATTTTTTGTTCAGGGCTGAAAAATTAGTTGTTTGGGTCATCCTCAGCGACAGCACCAATCTCGCTTCCGTTGTCATCTATATCCAGAGACGAGTCTCCGGTAATGGGTTGGAAATGGTCACTGTCGGTTTGTCTTCGGTCCGATCCAGACGCTGGACCGCTAAGCGGATCACTTGCTGCCGAATATGCATCCTCGTCACCAGCAGGAGCAATCATGGAGAGGAATTTCTCGTCCTCAGTGGCGTCATCGCTGATCTTCCTTTTAAGGTTTGCAAACTTCTCCTCAAGCTCTTGCAGCTCCCTCCGCCGGGCGTTCAAATGTGCACCTCCTCTGCCCCTTCGGCCGGCCATTACAGGTTGAAGTCGTGCTTGTAGTTCCTCTTTTTCTTGCAGCTGTTCTGCTTCACACTTTGCTTTCATTTCCTCGGAGACATCTTTTATCGCTTCCACCGCTTCGGCCTTGGTGCTTCGGGCTGCTGCCAAGGCCTTGACAGCGTCCAGATGGCGCTCTTCATGGTCGAAAAAGTCCATCTTTCCGCGAATGTGTGGGTTTGCGAGATCTGCACGAAGCATTTCGAAATAGTGTCCTGCCGAACGACACAAACCTTCACTCGCCACTACCGAACTTCCGAATACTCCCGCAAGGTCTGCAGCAAGTTGCCTGCTTTCAGCTGTCGGGCCGGCATTTGGTGCCCCCTGTGGCGCTGCCGCGGTAAGTCGTGGGTCGCTTGTCGTTGTATCGTCCGCCTGAAACGATCTCTGCCGCTGCAAAGTCGCTTTCTCTATCCTCCGTGCCGCATCCGGTGTTGGTGTGTAGGCGTCTTCTATATTGAGGTGGCGACAGTGGTTGCTTATCAGAGTTCTATTTTTGCACCGTAGGCCCGGAAAAGTAGAAATCCACTTGGTGAGAGACTGGAGATCAAAATCATGAAGATGGACTGCGGCGACTGAATTGCCCACCTCATCCTTGTGCGACGGCAGCTCACCTTTCGGTCCACAAGCGACTCGCACAGGAACTACGTCGTCGAGAACAGCTTCTGCCGGGCCTTGGTTTTCCGTGTCAGCTTCTGCCGGTGTGGTCTCGCCTCCCGCGCGTGGTTCTTGAGAATCCGACTCTGACGCGGCTGGGTTTTGTGCTTTCTGCTTTCGCCGCTTCTTCCACATGTAGAAACATTCGTGGACCTCGTCGTCTTTGACAACGAGCTTCTGGTTTAGTTGCCTTCGAGAAGCGACATGAAATAAACTCCAATTGCGCAAGTTCTTCCTGATGTAGTTCAAAAGATGAAGACGACGATGTCGAGGAAGGTGAAGTGTGTACATCTCCGTCCCTTCTCGGCTTCCGAAGATTATTCCCTTCTTCATTTCCGGGTCGAAAACTTTATTCATTGCTGCCGCGATTACCCTTGCGCCCGAGGTTGAGGCCAGCGATTTAGCGGCGGAACCCGGAGGGCCGACCCGGTTGCGACTCGCCGTTCCGAGATTCGGTGCTGCAATAAAGTCGTCCAACCGTGTTACCGCATCAACTGCTAGTTTTTTCAACTTCAACGTTGGCGCGACGTCTGCAAACCACTCAAAATAATTGCCAGGCGGAGTTCCGAAAACAAGGTCCACGTTTCCGGGCACGTCAAATGCGTCCGCCTCTGCAATGTCGCTATCCCCGTGGGAAGTATTATAAAACACTCCACAGCGCGGATCTTCCGCCGGAAGGTCTTCGAGATCATCGGCACTCCAGTCCAAGATGTTCTTTGACCAAGCTGCGTCAGCGTCGTCCAAGGCCTTCTGAACTTGATCGTCATCGGCGTTTTGGTCTGCATCAATTGCATTCAAGATGGCCTCGTCTTCTGGCACTGCAGTTTGTACTACATGCTCGTCGACATCGGCCTGGTTTTCATCGGTGCCGGGAAAAGAACTGGAGGTTTTACGATGCAGCGACGGCGTCAAGAGGCTGGTCCCGTGCGAATTCGCGACTGGTTTGTGCGCGACTGGTTGCGCCACGTGTTTCGTTGCAGTCGTCGCCCCGGAGCTCATCTCTCCGACGCCGACAAGTTTGCTCTTCCTGCTCTGCCCGGACTCGGCCAATCGAATGTCGCCAGACAAAGATGAGACGAACTGCCTTCTCACTGCAGGTGAACTTTGACTTGGAGCTTTGGCGAAAGTCGGGGTTGAACCGACGTGGCTCTGCTCGCCTGTGTCGTTACGACTGCCTAACAACTTGTTGTCAACCCCCCCGACGTGGGGACCTGTTCCAGCAGAAGAAGCGTCTTGACCACGGAGAAAAGGTCTCGGCAGCCTTTTGTTCGCGCCCACGGTTATTGCGGAGCCGGACTGGTCCTCTTTTCCGGGATCAGTTAAAACGCGGCCACCACCAGAGCCATGTCCTTGTCCAACGTGTTCCATTAGCAACTTGCTCTTGCCGGAAGAGGCTGCCGTCGTGCTCGAAGGACTTAAGAAATCCTGCGCAGACCGAGGCGGAACTGATGTGAGTCCGACACTATTGGAAACGACTTTTCGGTTGTTGTAGTAGTTGATTGGCCCCGTACTACTAGAGCTACTGGAGTTCCCCGTGATGGGCCGCTGCGACTGCACCTCCTCGTTGATGAAAGCAGAACTTCTCGAACTTCTAAACACGGAGGGACTTGGCTTCACGGAGGTTCTCGAAGCGACCGAGAGATCGTCCAGCTGAGGGATCTTGAAGACGCTTTGCTCCACTTGTCCGCCAGCTGTGTTGGATTGGAATTTGGAAAGCCAAAATTATGTTATAAACAGGCAATGATGCGAAAGCGAAAGCGAATACCAACTGTCATGCGTTGAGAGTGAATTGACTTCAAGCGAGGACAACCAAATCATACTGCGGATGCTCCTTCTCCCAGCCCGCCACAACCCAACGTCGGCCACGGACACGTCTCCACCGACCCGCACTGCATCACCCATAACTGCCAAAGACCGTTTTTCCCCGTACCGGTTCGGGTCATTCATGTCGTGAAAGTTCTCGATACTGCGAAGTGAAGGCTCTCGTGAATGTATGGACACCCCCGTCTTCCGCTGCGAGGCCACAATACCATGCTCATGCGCGATAACCGGCGTACCTGTGAGTGGGATTTTCGTCGAACAACTTTTAGCTGTGACTACAAGTAATTCAAACTCGCAGATTAGCAAACGAAAGAAGTGGGCCTGAAAATTTGAATTCCAAAGCTACGAACGGGCTGATCAAAATACTTTATCAATTACCTGGTATGCGGCCGAGACCATTCCCGGATGCACGTTGGCGGTTGCCTGCAATCGGGTGCTTGTCGCTTAGAGGCAGGGCGTTATCGCCGGCGTTGCCGGCAGGGACGTTGTGCGCTCCTGTTTCAATCAAATAAAGCACATACGGTGAAATCTGTAATGCATTTCTTCACGCGAAGCTCAATATGTTGGGAAAGCAAATTCAGTACTTATGCAACACATATCCTGCAAAGAAGTACTTTCCAGAGCAGAGCCGCTCGCTTTGACACGCGTTTGGACGTCGGCTTCCATCCTGGGAACGTGCTGCGGCGAGCTGAACCCACTTGGACCTTCCTTTCCGCCTGCGTGTGTGTTGTGCTTGCGTTTCTTTGCTAAACGCAGCGCGTAAATCATTTAGCAGCACACGTCGTCGCTCATGCAACACAGTCACAGCCTTGCCATGGCAGCCAAACTTCAAGCAAAAAAAAATGAACCTTGCGCGCCTCTGCGTATTGTCGGCATCGCGTCGCCGAGTGGTCCGTTGCCGTACCCCCCCCCCCCGAGTTTGGGGAGATGCGCTGTATTGGGTGGCAGCTTCGTCCCGTACAGCTTCTGGTCCAGGTCGTAAAAATGCTCCGGACTACGCAGCGTCTGCATGCGCCGGGATTTTTGCCGCGCGACTACAGCGTCAACCTGTATGTAGTCACAATTGAAGCTGCTCGATAATTTTGCGTTTTCAGGCCACGACGTTGCATCTTCGCCGGGAATCAAAAAGCATCCAGCAGTGGGCCTTCGTCTTTGCAACGAACACATTATGATCACAAAATCTACCTGACTCCAGTCGTCAAGCGAAGAATTATTTCCCGGTGCCGCATCTACCCCGAGCGAACTTCCTTTTCTCGCGAGAAACGAAGTCAATAGAGTCAGCACGCTCGACGGATCGTCGCCTCCCGCCGTTGGATGGAATAAAATGCCCATGGTGAGAAGACAACACGGGCTGCACAGCGAAGAAGATGGCGCGGAAAAAATAGTTTGCGTTCTTGGAACTGCGTTATCGGATCCTTCGCCACCGGTGGTGTAGTACAAGGCCGGGCTTATTTCTGGTGTACAGGGCCGGGGCAAGAAAAACTAGGTGACGACGTGGTCAGCACTTGGTGCTGATGCACCACTCGTCATTTTATGTGAACTATGATATATGAGTTCAAATTGGAATTCATTTTATTTTTCTAGAGATGGAAGCTGAGTTGTTGGATTTCTATTGTCATGATCTCATGTAGCACTTAGGCTTTTCATTCGATTTCCGCAGTAAGAGGGGTTCAGAAGTACACGAAAATTCAACGCGAAGGAAAAATTGAAGTTGCAAGCATTTGCATACAGAAATCGTTCGACATCGGCAGTAGGTGGCCGAACTGCGGTGACGAAAAGTGCAACCGATGGCTATACGACCCTAAAACAATACAGAGTCCATCATAGTCTCTCACAAATTCTAGCAACAACTCTCGCGTTCTCTCAACTCAAGTTCCCTCGCCGCGGAGCCACGGTCCCCGAGGGCAACCCCGGTTTGCGGCCCCCCGCGGGGCGCCCAAAATCTGGCCACCTGAAGTCCCCGAAACACGACGCCACGACCCGCGAGGGCAGCCCCGGTTTGCGGCCCCCCGCGGGGCGCCCAAAATCTGGCCACCTGAAGTCCCCGAAACACGACGCCACGGCCCGCGAGGGCAGCCCCGGTTTGCGGCCGGCCGCGGCGGGCCCAAAATCGGGCCACCTGAAGTCCCCTAAGCAGAACTCCCTGCATAGCAAAACTGCACTGCACACCGGGCAAATTATTAGTTTGACCTTGTAGGCATGGAAAGAGGAAGACTGGTGTTGCACCGCTTGTTCGCTCATGACTCTCCACAACCACACTCTTTGGAGGCTTTCTAGCAATTGGCACCGCGTCAGTTGCCTGTTCTCCGCAACTCTCCCCGACTTCGTTTCAGGTTGCATGACGAGCAGACGAGAACGATCCACATGAATCAGAGCCGCAGCGACTGAACGGAACACACATATCCACATCACTCCTGTGCGAACAATGCATACAAGTCTACCAGACGGCGACAACTCTCATCTCATCGACAAACACAAAGCCAAAGTAAGTGCCTTGGCTTCAGTCACTCTCACCAAACACAATGCCGCTTGCTTCAAACATTGATCAGAGCACGCGTTAGGCAACAATTTCAAGCGTACCCATAAGGAGAACAAGCTCGGCTTGTTTGCTACTCATGTAGGTACTTGCAGTAGAACGCTTTGCCTTTGCATCACACCAGCTCTCTCTTCAGAATTAAATCTGGCTTCCGTTGTTCCTCGAGCAAATCATCTCACTGTTGCACCCCCATCATGACCGCCCAGTACTGCTGCCCCAGCGCTTCCGCCCCCTGCACCCACGCGCGCATCTGCTCCAGCTTCCGCTCGCCGTGCTGGCGCAGCTGTCGCGCGATTTCCCGCAGCGACACCTTCAGCTTTTTCGCCACTTGCTTGTAGTTGGTGGCTCCGACGGTGGAGGACAAGTTGCTGAGTTGCTCCGCGGTCGGGGTCACGAAGGGCTCCGCCAGCTGCGCGGCCTGCGCCCGCACGGCGTCCGCCTCCGCAAAGTACTTTTCCGCGCTGCCGGTCAGCTCCCGGGCCCGCCGGGGAAAGTCGGCGACGTCCTGCTGCAGGGAGTGGTCGTCCGGCCGGTTCTGTTGCATATGGAATGCAAAAGTGTCTGGGTCTGGAAGAGGAGAAGTTTGTCATGCACATTTTCCATGATCCATGATGTCTCCGATGTATGCCATAGCATCACAGATTTTTTGAGCGCCTATCGATGCGCATCCTGCATGACAAATGCCCTCTCCGCGTAGCCAAATTTGACTCCTCTTGCTGCTCATGCAATACAGCTTTTTTTAGCATCCAAATGCAGCATCACAAGTTTGGCTCTTCCAGACCCAGACATATTTGCAATCCGTATTGCACGCGCAAATGCAGGTTGGCCGACAAGCGTCCGAGCAGGTCGTGCTGGTCGCTGAGACGGGCAAAAAACGTCGGAAAGGAGCCCGCATGTTGTTGATCTCGTGGTCCCAATTGCTTCTCCAGTCTCCGTATCAAATGCAAAAGTGTCTGAGTCTGGAAAGTTGGAACCTGTAATGCTGGTTTTGCATTCCTGCGAAACCTGTGTTGCATGACCAACAAAAGTCGCAGCCCCTCCCGTCGTACAAAAACGCAGTTTCTCATGCGGGGCGCGTATGAGAAAGCGTTCTGCAAACTTGTCATGCTTTCCCGCATAAGGAAGTGTTTTCATCATGCACGTTTTAGCATCACAAATTTCCAGACCCAGATGACATATTTGCAATGCATACTCCGGACTTGCTCCACGGCACCTTCCGCGAGGCTTTTCGCCTCTCGTCTTGCTCTTTCCAGGGTCTCGATCTGCTGCAGGAGAAGCAGCGGAGGGAGCAGCACGTGGTACTCCGAGTCCGCGGTCGCATGGTCGTCTCCTACCAAATTGGGATCATGCGCAGAGCCGCAGTCGTATTCTAGTTGTCCCCGCTGCTTGTTTCGAGCCTCATTGCCTCCTTCATGATTCTCCCCTGCAAGTATAATTCCGTTTCGAATTTCCTCTTCCTCCGAGGGTTCTTGATCGTGTTCGTTTTCCCTTTGGTCGTCGTTGTTATCGGCAGTATCGTCCTTTTTGTCATCCCAGGCGACAAATTGCGAAGAAGAAAAACTGAAAAATTGCTGTCCGCTACTGGAGCTGCTTGCCGAACTTGTGGGCATGCCAGGTTTTCTGGAGGAGGAGGATCCCTGTTCGAATTTTTTTGCCTCGGTACTTAGACATGTATGCTCCTTCAGAAGTAGATACATTTTGTTACGGCAAGTTTGTTCGAAAAGGAAAAGAAGTTGCTCGTAAAAATATCTACTTCACGTACAAACACCCAAAGAGAGCGCTAATATAGCGCACACCGTACCAGTACCGTCGTTTTCCTACTGCCACTGGTTCCTGTACCCCCCGTTCTGCTCGTGGTCTGAAACGACTGCAGGTCCGATGCGCACCGGACGTGCTGCTCTTCCAAGGGTAGCCACACCTGCCCGAAATTGGTCACGTGGCTGCCAGTGTTTCTGCTCTCCTGCTTTACCTCCGCCTGACCGCCGGTCCGCTGCCCCGTTTCCTCCTCCTCCTCGTTTTCAAAAAGGATCCCGATGGTCCGCAACACGTCGCTCTGGTCGGCGATTTTCTTCTGGAAAAAGACGCGGCTGAGCGCGGCGCGCAACGCGTTGATGCGGTTGAGTTTCGACAGGTGAAAGTTCATGTAGTGCGAGTGCCCGAGAAGTTTCAGGTACAGAAGCCGTTTCCGGTCCAAGTCCACCAGCACCTCCACCTTCTCCGGACCGCACTGCCGGGGCCGCAGGAACGCGAGCAGCAGCAGTTGCGAGTTCGCGGGCAGTATCAAATGCAAATATGTGCAAGGTTTGTCATGCTTGTCTGGCATGACTGAAAAGTCTGTGATGCGTGTCCAAGAAGAGACCCTTTTGCTTGTCATGCAAAAACGATGTTTGTCATGCGGAAAACGCAACACTAACAAGCCCCGTAAATATTTTTCATGCTTGGCTATGCATTACAGACCATTCAGTATTCACAGCTCAGCATTACAAGTTTCCAGACCCAGACATATTTGCAACGCATAGGCAGCACCGTGAGGCCCTCGAGCGTCGTTTTCCCGAACTCGGACTGCGACGAAGCGGAGTCTATCAAATGCAAAAATGTCTGGGTCTGGAATGTTGCCGGGTTTGTCATGCATATTTTGCATGACCCAGGATGTCTGTTATGCATGACCTAGCATCACAGATTTTTCGAGGGCTTCCTGATGCCTATTCCGCATGACAAATGCCCTTCCCGCTAGCACAAACTAGACTCCTGCTCTTGCTGATCATGCAATGCAGATATTTTTTCAGTCCAAAGTTAGCATCACAAGCTCCAACCTTCCAGACCCAGACATATTTGCACTTGATAGAGTACACGCCCACGCGCTCGTACTTCGCGAGCAGCTTTTCCTTCGTCACCTGCAGGGAGGTTGCCGCGGACGGTGCGGCACCAGTTATTCTATTGGGTTTTTGGTTCAGATTGTCCTGGTGGTGTTGCGTCAACAACAGCCGCTCCCGCAAGCGCGCAACCATCTTCGCGCCCGGTGCGTTCACGACGAACCCGATTGGGTTGCGCCAACTCCCCACCGCCTCGTGTCCGCTCTTGACCGCCCAGTGCAGTTGAAAGGGGTGCTGCGGGACGCGGAGGTCTGTGCGGTTGGCGTCCTGCATCATCGTGTTTACGGCCTGCATATCCTGTGCAAAAGTATCGTACTCGTATTCCAATCATGCATTATAAATCCGCATTACAAATTTTCTTTCTCATGCTGAGAAAATTTGTAATGCATTTATACGAGTACGATACTTTTGCAGTTCATACTGCATCGCCTGCTGAAACGTTTTTCTCCCTGGCTGATGCTTCCCACCCTGTTGCGCCGCAGCGGCGGCGGCCTTATTGGTTCCCTTTTTGTTGACACTTGGAGTTGTTCCCTTCTTGTTTCCCGCAGTTCCTCTCCCGAAAAAGTCACTGAAACCGCCCTTGCCACCGTCCCCCGCCCGGTCGAACCGCGTGCCGCCGGCCAGGCTCCAGGGAATGACCTGACGGCCGTTCCCCGTCTGGTAGAGTAGGTGCAGGGTCTGGAACTTCAGCGGGCGGCAGAGTTTCAGCTTCTCCCGCTGGTAGGAAATCTGGTCGCTTTGGGAGGCCAGAATCTGGGCGATGTTGTTCTTCGTCAGCGGAATGCCGACCGCGTGCATTATGGGAGTGTCAGGATCGAAACCGACAGAGCTGAAGCAATCTGTCATGCGTAAAATGCAAGGCACGAAGCGACTGTCTTGCAGGGATTGCACGTGAGGCCGATTGGAAGCCCGTTTGGGATTTGGGATGGAGCTGCTAAAGTAGCATGACAAAGGATGGCGCCTTCTTTCGCTAAACAGCATGACAACCTAGATTTCGATGGCGCCAAAATTTGTCATGCGCCGCTTGAAAATTTGGGTTCCAAGTGGTATCGATTTTATACATCACAAATTTTTCAACTTTGTCAATTTCGATTCTGACACCCCCATATGCATCTGGTACAGCTTTGACCGCCAGTACCGCAGCTCCAGCAAAGCGCGCCGCCGGGCCTCGACACTGCCGATCCGGGCGATGTTGAAATGCTTCACGATCGGACCTTCAATTGACGAGAGTTCTTCTTCTGCGGTTTTATTTTTCGCCGCACTTGTCGCACTTTCACCACCACCAACATCACGTTTGAGGATGGGGTTTTTCATTTTCTTCCGCCGGTCGCTGTAGTTTGTCATCACACTTTCCCCAGCCGGGTGAATGCGCAACTCCCAGCGCTGCTGCGCAGTGAACTTCTTGAGCTTTGAGGAAGTGCTCTGTGCGCACAGGTTGAAAATCGGGTCTGAGTTGATGATAACCTCCTCCTGTGTGTTGTCCTCTAGAGGGTCGTTTTGCCCACTATAACCCGTCCCAAAAAGCCCTCCCGCAGTCGCGCCGGTCACAGGGTCCAGCAGTTCCACCTCCTCGTCGTCCACGATGGTGACGCGCGGATTTTTTTCGCTTTTCCCCCGCTGCTGCTGCAACAGCTCCAGTCGCGGGTCCGGGGGCGCGGCGAAGACGAGCTCCATGCGCGGGAATGAGGAGGGTTGTGCAGATGAAGCACCTTTTGAAATACGCCCTTGTCGTTGTGTACTATGCCTGTCATGATCATTTCGCTCGCCATTTGAGAGATCCTCCTCCTCCAGTGTTTCCACTTTTTCAAGAGCCACTTCCACCTTGAAAGAATCATTCGCATGAAGACGAGCACCTCGCTGCGCAGTGCTGAGGCCGCCGGTTGCTCGGAGTTTGTCCTCGTCCGGATGAAAATCCTGTATTTCTCCTTCGCTGTCGTCAGCCGCTTCATCTTTCCCACGTACACCACGCTGTTTTGATGATGATAGAACCTCCGTAGTTTCTCCAGAAATACAGGTTTCCTCCCTAATTCTTTCGATCATCGCGTCCAGTTCGGGCGGCCGCTCGATTACGCCCGCGGTTACAGGACCTTCGTCCCCCGACTCGTCCTCTTCCTGGTCGTTTTTCTCACTACCGCCGTGCGCGGCGGAATACGCCGCCCAGTTTATGCCGACAGCGGCACCACTTCCGGATGAGGCAAAGGGTAATGTTTTTGACGCCGGATCTTCAGTGGTACCACCTCCCGCTGGCTCATCGACCAGGTCGGACAGGAAATCTGCGAACGCCGCGTCCATGGAGGCGGCCGGGGGGTTTCTTGTTGGGCCCTCGTCTTTTGGATCAGTTTCACCTACGTTTTTCACCTCCTCGACATCTTCCAGAAACGAAGCGAAGGCATCTTCTAGACTGGCAGCAACGGCGGTCGTGGAAGCTGCAACAACTGGTTCTTGCGCATCATGTTGTGAAGATTTTTCCGGAACACGTGCTGGCCCCGTGGCAGGTCGTGGGGAACAAGCAGCTTGTCCTTCTTCTTCCGGACCACTGCCTCGAGTATCCTTGTCCTCGCCTGTGAGGCGGCCGTCGGGGCGCTGCTGCGTGTCCGGTACTACTGCTTTCGTCGCCCGTGTCTTTGCTGGTGGTTCCTGCGAAACAAGAACTTCAGATCCAAAACCTTCTTGTTGATGTGGTACAGGTCTTTCTTGTACAGAGAATGTTGTGAAGTTGCTTTTTCTTCGTTTCTTCTCCTTCTCCCTGGTAAGTAATACTTCCGACGTGGCGTGGTCCTCAAGAAGTGTAGCTTCTGCTACCACGACTTCCGGTTGCAGCTCAGGTTGCCTGTGACGAGGATCTCGCTTTTGTCGCTTCTCTCCTGCCGCATTCTCATCACCGCGCAGGCCATCACCTCTCCCCCGACTGTGCCTGCTCTGGCCGCGGCTCCGACTGCTCCGACTGCGTCGACGTTTTTTACTCCTGGCTGCAGGTGGACTTCTGCTGTCGCTTATCTCATTTCGTCCACGGCCGCGCTTAGTCGTGGTTTTTGTGGGAACAAGATCTACAACTTCGTGCTGTACTTTCCTTTCCCGGCGTTTCTTCTTCTCCAGGCTTCTACTACTTTTACTTTTGTCCTTTTCGTGGTTTTGCTCGTCACCATAAGCTTTTCTTCTCCCCACTTGTACCCCATCCCCGTCGCTGTCGCTTTCCTCCCGCTGCCGCACGCGATCGTCGTGCTCGGACTCTGCCGCGGACTCCTGCAGCTCCTCCTCTAGGACACTCAAAATCTGGTCGTCCTGCTTCTGCTGCTCGAGCAACACGTCCTCGTCGCCGCTGCTGTCGTCCGAATCTTGAACAGCAACTTCGCTGGTTTTTCGTCCCGTCGTTTGGTGCTTTTCATCGTTTTCCGCCCCAACAGCGCCAGCCTTCGCACCCTTGCTGTGGAACACCGCGAGCCCGTCGTTGGTTTCCTCAAACACGGCAATCTGACGGCACTCGTTGTTGAAGGCCTTCGCGAGAGACCGCTGCAACAGCGACGCCTGGCTCTTCACGCCCCAACTCAAATCGGGCAGCATGCAGCAGACGCGAAAGGGGTTCGGGAGGTCCTTCAGGCCAAGCATGGCCTGCATGTGGATGTTGTCCAGCTTCAACTTGCCGTGACAGATTTGCGGCGAGCAGCTGGCCACAATGGCGGCGCGCAGAATGAACATGTCCCGCACGAATATGTCCTCCACGCCGCTCTTCCCCGCGATGATCTCCTCATTGAACAAAGTAGAAGAAGACCTTGTTCCCCCGGCGGGGACCGGAACACCACCACCACTGCCGGGATGATGAAGACGTGGCTCATCTCCACCAACAGGACTCGCTGAAGACCTCGCGTAGGCCGGGCAGCCGAGACGGAAGAGCAGCCGCTGCAGTTGCAGCATGGGGCCTGCGTCGACGAAGTGCAACACTCGCTCCGCCACATCGATCACCTGAATCGCCAACAGGGTCAACCGCTTCGGCACGATTGCGTTGGTCCGCGCAAACACCGCGGAGTGCCGGATGAACGCGTAGCGCTGCGCGGCGGAATTCTTCATGTTTGGTGGTCCGCGGGTCCTCCCCGTCTTGCGGGGCTTCGTGGTCGTTTGCAGCGCCGTCTCAGGAGGTCTTTGGTGCTCCGGAACTCCTGCCGTTGTGTTGTTGTAGAAGTGGTTACTTTCGTCCCCGCCCACCCCCTCTTCTTCTCCGCCGCCGGGATTGCGCAACCCCTTGAGCCAGGCGACGAACAGGTTCCGCAGCATCAACGGCTCCGACTGCTGGTCTTTGTCGAACTTTTTTCGGCACTCGTAGCTGCGGCTGAGCGCCTGGTAAAAGGTGTGCGGGTCGCGCAGGACGAACTGCGAGGGCAGCGTAAACGGGTCGTTGGCCGCCAGCGCGTATCAACTGCAAAAGTGTCTGGGTCTGGAAGGCTGCAACTTGTAATGCTAGCTCTCCATACCTAGGACATCTGTATTGCATAGCCAACAAAAGTCACAGCCTCTTTTGCACACGCAGAAACGCAGTTTCTGATGCGGATTCCCTATGAGAAAGCGTTCTCAAAAGTTGTCATGCTGTGTTGCATTCGAAACTGGTTCCATCATCCACATTTTAGCATCACAAGTTTCCAGACCCAGACACTTTTGCAATCCATAGCGCGCAGGCCATCACGACGCAGTCCGCGACGCACCCAAAGCAGGCCCCGAAGAAGATGAGCCGCACCTGGCGCAGGTCCAGCGGGAGCTGGATGGCCAGCTGGCCCAGCAGCGTGATGTCCGCGAAATCGCTCGTCCCGGTGAGGTATCAAATGCAAATATGTCTGGGTCTGGAAACTTGTAATGCTGCGTCGGGAATAGTGGATGCTCTGTAATGCACAGCCAAGCATGAGAAATCTCTGCGCTTCTTTGTGCTGCGTTTTTCGCATGACAAACTGCGTTTTTGCATGACAGGCAAAAGGGTCTCTTCTTGGACACGCATCACAAACTTTTTGGTCATGCCAGACCAGCATGACAAATCTCGTAATCTCCCAGACCCAGACATATTTGCAATCCATATGAGGGCCCCCACGTCCGCCAACTTCGCCACGGCGGTCTCCAGGCGGTCCGTGCCCGGCGGCTGCACGGTCATTTTCAGCAGGTTCCGCGGCGGCAGCGAGCCGATCCGCGGCATGCGCTCGCGGATCTTCGTGCTCAGCTGCTTCACCTGGAGGTACAGGCGCTCTATGCATTGCAAAAGCATCGTACTAGTATAAATTGCATCACAAATTTTGGCAAGAAGGAAAGTGGAATTTGTAATGCTCTTTGCCTTAGAAGAATAACATTTGTCATGCATCTTTGCAATTAGTACGAGTATACGATACTTTTGCACAAGATACGCTCCAGCGGTGCGTTCTCGATCTCGGCCCGGTCGAACGGGGCCATGATGTGCTGGTAGAACCTATCCTGTGGAAAAACGTCCCCATACCAGAGTCAAGTTGGTAAATTTGCAACACAAATCTCCAAGTTTTGGGAGTATATGCATGACAAGTTTGGCCTCGTAGTGTAATCCTGTTTAGCTACTTAGTGCAGCAGCATCACAGATCTACCATATCATGCTGGTTGGAGCATGACAAATTCCTAAACACGACTAGCAAATGCCCCTCATGGGGCTCCGCATGAGAAATGTTTTCAGCGTGCAGATTTGCATGACAGCTCTGGGGTGGGGACGTTTTTACAAATGATACAGCCGGCGCGGATACAGGCGGATCGCGATTCCCGTGAACACCCGCCCGCACCGGCCAGACCGCTGCGACGCCGAGGCGTGCGAGATCCAGCTGGTCACCAGGCTGGCGGACTCGCGCGTCTTGTCGTACCCCAGCTGCCGCTTCAGGCCGAAATCGAGCACGACGCGCACCTTCGGCAGCGTCAGCGACGACTCCGCGATGCTGTATGAACTGAGAAAGTATCGCACTTGTATAAATGCATTACAAATTTCCTCAGCATGAGAAATAAAATTTGTATATGCTGATTTACATTAAGGAAAAAATTTGCAATGCATGATTGCAATTACTACGAGTACGATACTTTTGCACTGGATATGGTGCTGGCGAGGTAAATGTGGACGGTGTCCCGCTCCGGGTTGGACAGCGCGCCGTGCTGCTCCTCAATCGGAATCGTGCTGTGCAGCGCGAACAGCTCGTAGTGCAGCATTTTTTTCTTTCCGTATTGATTCGCATGATCCTCGAACTCCGTCCGCAGCGCTTCGTACAAATCGGTGATTTCCCCGATCCCCGGCAAAAACACCAAAATGGACTCGCCACCAACGCCGAGACAGTGGATCAAGTCCGCCACCAGGGTATTGAAATTTTCCGGGATCTTCGGCGGCAGTGTCGCACTGCTGGTGGCGCTGCTGGTACTACCCCCGGCCCCCCCGTCGGCCATGCGCAGAAACTCGTCCGCGGCCGTCTCGCGCTGGTCCGCCACGAAGGTCTGATTTTGCACCTTGTTGCCCGCTCGCCGCATCGCGGTGTCGATCTGCTTCTGGTACCGCTCCAGAGTTTGCTGCAGAAGGTCCACGCTGCCGGCCGACAAGCATCTTCCCGTCTGCGCCCGCAACAAATCCGCGCCAGTCGTCGCGCAAGGGCGGGCGCCGCTTTGGTGTTGTTGGTTCTTCATAGCCGGGTGGGAGGAAAACGGAAACAAGTCGTCCAGGTACAGAATATCCACATTAAACCGCTTTGCGCCGACGAAGATATGAACTGCAACTGCAAAAGTATCGTACTCGTATAAATGCATTACAAATTTCCTTAGCATGAGAAATAAAATTTGTAATGCGGATTCACATTTAAAGAAAGATTTGTAATGCATGATTGCAATACGAGTACGATACTTTTGCACAGGATAGAAGATCGGCGGCGGCAACGTGTTCGCGAAGCCCCCGACGCTGCCCTATGAGGGTGCACAACTCCCCCTCCCCCTCATTTGTATTGCATGAACAGCAACACAAACACCGCCACACCTGGAGCCTGTGCATGACAAGTTCATGCGCCTACTGTAGTACTTACTGTTTGGGCTTCGGGAATCTGTCATGCAAACAGTGCCACCGGGAAGCACTTGGATTTGGGGCTTTACATGACAAATGAGGGGGAGGGGGAGTTGTGCACTGTCATATGCCCCCGGTGTCGAAGTAGTTGGCGAACAGGTTCCCTTGCATCGTGGCTGACATTGTCCTGTGCAAAAGTATCGAAACCGTACAAATGCAAGTCTTGCATTGCAAATCTTGTTTCCAAGGCAAATCTGCATTAGAAATTTCTCATGCTGAGGAAATTTGTAATGCATTTATACAAGTACGATACTTTTGCAATGCATAGACATCAGGATGAGCTTGAAGTCGGCCATCTTGTACTGTCGCTGCAGCTTCAGCACCAAGGTGAGCAGGTCGGAATCCACCGACCGCTCGTGAATTTCGTCCAGGATCACGTGCGAAAACCGGCGGATCTGCAGCGGGTCATTCACCAGCAACTGCAGCAGGTACCCCGTGGTCACAAACAAAAGCTTTGTCGTTTCGTCCACCTTGCTCTCGCCGCTGATCTTGTAGCCGACAAGGGGCGACGAGGGTTTGCAGCTTCTGTGTCCAGCTGTACTAGAAGCTGAACTTCTGTGACCACTGCCGCCCTCCTCGCTCTCCCCGATCGACATCATCGTCCCCACGCCCATTTCCTCTGCCACCCGCTTCGCGAGCGTGATGCAAGCCAGCCGGCGCGGCTGCGTGATGATGATTTTCTTGTTGCTGTTTTGCTGCGCGGGAGTGCGGCAGAAGTGGTAGACGTATTGGGGAATACGGGAGCTCTTGCCGCAGCCCGTTTCGCCCTGCACGCAGACCGTGTTGAATCGCCGCACCTGGGACACAATTTTCGCCGCCGACTTGTCGATCGGGAGCTCCTCGCGCTCCGGCCCGGGGAGCGGGCCGAGGGGTGCTTCCACCGCTGCCTCAGACGACCCGCCGGGTGTCGTATTAAACTCACCACCGCGACTGAATGTTGTACTACTAGTACCCTGCTGCTGCGCACCACCACCCGCGGTTCCTGGATAGTAGGAGGACGACGACGAGGGCTGGCGCACCCCCGCGATTCTGATGTCGTTGGGGTTAATATTATCCTCTGCAAGAGCTTGTGCAGCTGTGTTGTAGCCAGTGTCTGGCTGTGGATCCACTCCGGGTTGCAGCACGCCGATGCTTTCCAAGTACTCGCGTTCGTACCTTTTTCGCTCCGCCTCCTCGTCCGGAACCTGCAACTGCCGACCGACCATCATCTGGATCGCCTTCCCGCCCGGTCGCGGGCCGCGCGAGTTCGTGTAGTGGGGCTTGCCAAAACTATTCTTCGCCGTCCTCGGCCGATAAGTCGTACTGGTGTGCTGGCTGGTGCTAGTACCCTTCGCAGGACCTGCAGCTACTCCCTGGTGTATTTGCTGCTGCTGCTGCTGCTGCCACGGGGAGGGCAGAAATTGGGCGGCCGCTTGCATGCTCATCGTGGTTGCAGTGCCCATCGTCGACCCGAATAAGGGTGTGTTTGCAGCAGTACCAGATGGTAGTCCACCTGTACCTGCAGCTGCTCCCAAACTTCCGCCTTGCACGTTATGCTGCTGCTGCGCCCGGAGCTGCTGTGCCTGAGCCTGCAGCTGCATCTGCTGCTGTTGCAGCTGCATTTGCTGCTGCAACAAAAACATCTGCTGCTGCTGCAGATCCATGATCTACTCCGACTTCTGATCCCGTTTTGCGTGGTTTTATTTGCCGCTCCGGAATTAGCGCTGCGGAGGTCGTGTTCCTGCAAAACTAGTACAACGGGCAGCTAGCATGATATTATTTCTACCGCCTCGGAGCATGATCCTGCCCTGGTCTTTCGGGTCCTCTCTGCTTCCCCCGCACCATAAAGCGCGCCTGCGGCGCTTCGCCGTCTGGACAGATTCGAGCGGCAGTCGGACGTCGATAAGTAGAAGGTCATATTCAATTTATAAGGGTTGGTAGTATAGATTCGATAGAAGGGGGCTTACCTGATTGTATCAACATTCAGATTTAGATTTACCCGAGAACACTCAGACCACAAAGAGAAGAATACCCTTTTCCAACAAAGGTAAGCAGGAGAAGAGAGTGGGGCATCATGCGGAACTTAACTACGGGTGAGCAGGTTCTGTAAGTACACCTCGGCGAAAACATGGATGCAGATGATCTACAAAAATTCTTCATCTTTGGTACTGAAATATCGGAAGTAAACGCAAAATGGCCTCCGTTAGAAGTAGGAGCAAAAATGTTCTCTCCTCGCAAAATTCAAATTATTCGCGCACGCGCACCATGGTAAAGTACTTGAAATAAAGAAAAAACTTTTTGCCTTCTCGGATCCCCACCTCTCTCGCAAAATTTGCGGATCAGGATCAAGCGCGGTCAGAACGCAACTTGAAAACGTGGTCGATGAGACCTCGATCGTGATGAGACCTCGATCGTTCATCTTCAAGGGGATCAGAGGGATATCGAACTGGGGTCGTCCCGTAACTTACAGAAAATTCTCACCGTGAGACCAGAACGAGGACCGCAGAAACGGAAGAACTACACGATGCAAGAGCAGACACGAATGTATTCATTCGACGCAGTCATTCCGCCGTTAATTCTTTTGAACAAAAATGAAAATCCAGCCAATCCAAACGCCTCTTCGGGCAGCAGCTTCTTTACTTGATCAGTCATCTACTGCCAAAGCAGACCTTGTCGCCTGGCAAACTCAGCGCTTTCAGAGCAGGTCGTCGTTCACAATTTCGGCTGCGCAGTGGCATCCTGCGAGTGGAGTTCAATGATACTAGTACCATGCTTAACTACGTGTGCAAACCCCTTGACAGCGCCCTGCTTCCACAGACTCCTGCGCGGTCTGTCGTTCTATTCGCTCCACCAAGATCTTCGGTGGACGCTCATGCTGTTGCACACTACAGTGAGGACGCATGAATTTTTTCCACCCTGCCTTGGTGCCGGCCCCCTTCGAATGCGGTGGAGAGAAAGCGCAAAACCATCTCTTTCGCCACCTCGTCGCCCAGCGTGGCTTGGCCCAAGCAGAGCACGTTGGCGCCGTTGTGCAGGCGGCAAAATTTCGCAGTGTAATCGTCGTGGCACACTGCAGCACGGATTTGCTTGTGCCCCTTTAAAGTCAAAGTCGCTAAACATTAATCAAGGTACATGCTCCTGCTGAACGCTTTTCATGCAAACAGAAGAACCATTTCTGATGCTATACCCTGTGTGCCTGCAAAAAAAACTCACACTGCAACAAAAATGCGTAAAGTACTGTGAAAGTAGAACAAGAAATTCTTATTGCAACTACACTACCTTCTGATTCAATCCGCAGGAGGATTCCAGGCCGGTTTGACAGACGAAGACGCCTAACGCCTCTGCTTGCCCGGGGCTGGCAAGCTTCTCCGCACCACCCGCAGCGACTTCCAAAGCAGCTATAAAGGCTTCGTGAGTGGTTGGCGCAGGAGCACTAGTACTAGCGGTACTACCGCCGTCCGGGCTTATCACGACAACGCCGTCTGGGAGGGAGAGCTTCGCGAGTTTTGCCGCCAACTCCGAACCATCGGCGTTGTACCCGATGAGCAACTTCATTGTCGATGGAACAGGATAACGAGTATGTGCTCTGTAGTTACTTACTCAAGTAAAACACATCCGTCATCAACCGATAAATTGTACTGGCATGGCACTAAAACTCGGCGCAGAAGGCTTCTACTAGTACAATTTACTTCTCCAAGACTATTCTACAAATCTGCGCACTGCGGTCGAGGTAGCAATCCAGGCAATTCAATGTCAAAAACAAACGCCCGCTCGAGAATAACGGAGAGAAAAACGAACGCTTCGCCGAAATAAAAATCAAACTGCGCTGAGTGACCCGAAATTTTCCTTATGCGAGATGAGCCCTGCGGAGGAAAACCTACACGTACAGGAGACGTTGATGACGCGCGTCTTGATGATCGCGCGTCCTGATGATCCTGTGGCTTTGCCGTGCGTGACTAGATCTCATTGAAACAATATCGATATTTTACGCAAGTCATTCATATAGCATTTGATCATGTTGACAGTGCACTTGAGCTTTTACACACGACTACAACGAGGACGGAGAAACCCGACAGAAGATCTTCGGTCCTCGACAAGCTCTTGTTTCGGTTTTGCGCTGTGAGCCGTCGGTCAGGCGCCGTCTCAGAACGGGGTATAAGAAGAACACAGGTGGAACACAAACAATCGGAGTACTGAAATTCAAATTATTGCTGAATAATTTCTCGGAAATAAATTTCCATCTGCCTCAAATTCAAACCAAGATGCAACAGCATAGCACAGCAATATCTCGACGTCCCGAGCAGGATGAATCAATGTAACCATAGCCATTCGGAAAAACAGTCTATTTCCTGGTAGTACCACTATCGGTCGATGCTAGAACTGAGGAATGCTTCCATAATTCTAACATCAACTACTCGATTTCTAGAAAAGTCTACGAGTTTATTCCGGAGTTATGACGATAATATGGCATCATGAACCTACTGTAGGACGCGGCTCTTTGCGAATGCTACGCAGCACCCTAGTTGACTGGTTTGAAAACGCGAAACGAAAAATCTTGACAGCCCGAAAAAAAATCGGTGCACATTCAAACCACGCTTTTGTTTGGTTCTTTTTCCTTTCATTGTGGCAAATCAATCTAGTAGTAGAAACATGGTTGTGCTCCTTGGCACAACGCTGTCCTGTCAGAAATGCGACTCATCAACACAGAAGAACTGGTTGGCAGACGTCTTCACTTCTTCTAGGTACTTATTCCCTCTACTATTTTTCGACAAATACATTTGGTCAATGCTTTGTATCATGCTTACTTTTTTGAAAAACATCATGCTGTTGCGACTTTTCTTTGTTTAACACTAGCACCACTTCAAACAAGCCTAATTCATGCGATGAAGACAATGGTCCTCGTCCTCGCTAGAAATAAAAGCAAGTCGTTGCGGACCTTCTCTTTTACTACACACGACACTGTTTCTCTTTTACAACTACTACACATACCCATACAACCGGAACGCCTCCGTGTCCGTGAGTGGCCGGAGGTTCCGGGCCGTCACCCAAAATTCCCTGCCGACAAACTCCTCCTGCCGCCAGTATCAAAATGAAAAATCCCCCCTCCCCACATCAAAACGAAATTTCTGATGCCGGATTTGCGTACACAAATCCGATTTGTGTTGCAGCACAGGACTGCAGGCCCATATCATGCCAATGCGGAGAGGTTTTGGCCTAGGCGCTTAGCATGAGGAACGTCCATGCTGTAGGCCCAACAGCATTACAAACCGCCTGCATAAGGGGGCGGAGCCTCTGCCGTTGCTTTCTTGCAAGACAGATAATATTTGTGGTCACAAATCAGCATCACAAATTCTCTTAGGCGTTGCGTTTCGATATGGGGAGGAAGAATTTTTCCCTTTGATAGCCAAGCCGACAAGATTTGTACGCGAAACACCGGTATGCACTGCAAAAGTATCGCACTCGTACTAATTGCAGTTATGCATTACAAATCTCTTTTTCAAGCTAAATCAGCATGACAAATTCCATTTGTCGTGCTGAGCTAATTTGTATTGCAATACTACGAGTACGATACTTTTGCAGTGCATAACCGGGTCCTCCGGCACACCATCCCCGTGGATCCGCAGCTTCCCGGCGACAAAGGGGGCGAGACGCGCACTTGGGTATTGGATGTCCTGAATCTCGCCCAGCAGCCCGTCCGCCCGCAAAGGCGTGAGCAGATCGCGGCGTTCTTGCCGCATGATCCGCTTCTGCGTGCGCCGACGCTAGCGCGACAGCAGCTGGGGCTGCGTGATAGTATCACCTGTGCATTATGAATTCATTGAATTCATTCGGGTTGGCAAAGTTTCTCGGCGTTCACAACTAACTAAAAATGTTATCGAGCTGTTGAGAAGGAAGATAAGAAACAGGATATTACAACTAGTAGCCGGCGTTTAATATTCAGTGCGCGGAGGAAGTACTTACCACAACTTTGTTCTCGCAGGTGGGAAAACGCGGCCACAGGCTCCGGCTCAAGTTCCTCCAACAAAAACGCCTTCAGGTTGCTCACCAGCCGCACCTTGCCGAACCACTCCAGTGTAAGAGCGGGGTCCTTCGGCCAGGGCACGCCGGACCGGAAGAACGGATTTTCGCGCAGCACCAGCTGCAGTCCCCGTTCCGCCGCTGCGGCCAACGGAATCCGCTCGTACGGAACGGTAAAAACGACCTGGGTGTCTTCAAGAACGCGGTGGATGGTACTAGTATCCTGCGGCTCGTTTAACCCAACGTGGTTTTTCACAATGCCGTCGAGAACCAGGCGGGGCAACGTCGGAAACTGCTGCTCGTTGCAGCAGCTCCCGACGAGGACCCCCGTCTAGAAGAAGTTGTCTGTTCCCGGCGCCCGCCCTCCCAACAACTTCATCTAGTACAGGCGGCGGACGAGTATAACTAGACCCCAGTAGATGAAACGCGGCAGACGCGTTGCACCTCCGGAAACTTTCAGGACACACCCGCCGCAACTTTTCTACCAATTCAGCAACTTCGACGAAACCCTCGGTCGCGGTGGAGAAGCTGCTCACGGGGATGGGCTTCTCCCCACAGCGTGCGCCCGACAACAGGGTGACCGTAATGGCGTCAGAGGCAGGGGAAGTACGTGTCTGCTGTGAAGATGCGGCGAAAGACGCGTCGCAGCCACGCGTGAAGATCTGCCCGGCCGCAATCAGCATGCGGGGCAACGCCATTATGGCAGAACGACGTTGATGGCGCCGCTGGTGGGCGACTTCTGCTACTGGGCGAGATAGCGACATTGGTTCGTTTTTATAGGGCCTTTTTTTGAAAATTTTATGTCAATAGGACAGAATGAACGAGTGATTAAGTTAGTTGGAACTTAGTTTTTAGTCCGAGAAAATGAGTTTTCACCTATGGTGAGACTTTCAACGGATGGTGTTCTTGTGTTTTCTGATATAATTCTTGATGAGTGATACGTTGTCTACTTACCGTGGTGGTGCTGAAAACGATACTATGTTAAAGATTTTTACCAAAACTGAAACTAGACCGACAGGCGGACAGAGCTTCAAACTACACGAGAGGAGAGGACACTGTAGACTAGAGCGTGCTAAGCAAAACAACCTGTCGTCACCCATCGCAAACAAAAAGTACTTTATGCCGGTTCGACATATTGAGGGCATGAAATAAAGGTGTACTTCTCGGCAGCACTTCCTTCACTTATCATTCTACCGCGGATTTGATTTGATTTGAAGAGGACTCCGCTCCTTCGTAAGGGTTGCGGGATAATTGGGATAAAGAGCGCAGCTCGAGCTTCTACCTTTCTATGATCAGCCGATGCCTATGAAGATCGCATCGAATTGGTTCCGCTCCCGGACAACACTTTTTTTCGGAGCGGTGCACTATATCAAAAATCCTTTTTTTCTGAAAGGTTGTTCCTCGATTTGATTCATCAGAAACCTCCACCCACCAGACCCGCAGATCAACATCGACCTTCGCCTTCCTCAGCTACTTGCCACCTCCGAAAGGGTCATCCAGAACTGATCTCGAGAAGGACCACAACAACATCGCTCGTCGGGGATCAACTGAACTTTCACTTAATGATCCACTTGCAAACACCCTTCATGCCCGAAGAACAACATACGAGGAAGCAGGACTTCAAGCTCGGCTTGATGTTCCTCTTCCTACGCTTTAAAAAACATAAAACGCGTTCATCAAACATCTTCCCACAGTTCTTGCTCCTGTTACACTGCTTGCGTAAAGATCTTTCATCATTTGCATACGTGTAGTGTCAACACAATTATCGTCCGCACCGGTAAGATCGGTAGTTTTCTGCGCAATACGAAATAAGCAAATAATCCTCGGTGCTGCTCTGCCTGCACCAGCAGAACTTCTTACACCCGTCCCACCCCCATCACATCTCCCTCCTCTTCATCCGACACACAGCCGAAATCGCTGTCCTCGTCGAAAAACCGGTTGCGCAGCTGTTCGTTGCCTTTATCAAATGCCAAAATGTCTGGGTCTGGAAGATTCTGAGACTTGTGATGCACGTTTTGCATGAGCCATGATGTCTGTGATGCATGCCCTAGCATCACAGATTTTGTGAGGGCATCTTGATGCCTATTCCGCATGACAGATGCCCTCTTCCCGTAGCAAAAATCAAATTCCTTTTGCAGCTGATGCAACACAAATTTCTTAGACATCCAAGCGCAGCATCACAAGTTGCATTTTTCCAGACCCAGATCGATATTTGCAGTTCATAGCCCTGCTCCGCGTGCAGTTTTTCCCCGAGCTCCGTCGCGTTTTTCTCGAATTGCTTGAAATCCGTTAATACATCGAAGCATCCCGTCCCGACGGTCGGCAATTTCCCCGTAATAATGCTCGCGGACGCGGACGCTAACGAATCCGTGTTGTGCTCGAGGGCGGCCTTGGCGGCGAAGGTGAGACTGGTTTCGTAGGTCATCTGCAGAAAAGGCGAGGAGATGTCCTGCATGCCGCGGCGGCTGAACGCCCGGTAGCTGCCCTGGCTGGTCATGTAGTCGGCGATCAGGTACAGATGCCGCCAGTTCACCTCGATGCCGTAGTGCCCGAACACGTTCCGGATCTCCCGCACGATCGCGTTCCGCGCCGCCTCCGCGCCGTACAGGTCCATAGTAGTCCCGATGCAGTTCGTGTTCAACCGGTTCCAGTCCAGCTCCCCGGTAGACAGCTCGTCGGGCAGCTGCCACAAGGCGGTCAGGTTGATGCCCTCCGTCTCGATAGTCACCTCGTCGTCCTTTTGCAACACGTTCACCTTCTTGATCCCCTTCGCACGCTCGTCCTGCGCATACCGCTCCTGTTTTTCATTTGGATGTTACTTCGCATAAGCAAATTCAAATTATATTATTGCGAGCCATTTGTATTTGGCTTGCTCTTCATGGTAGGTAGAATGGAAGGAAGCAAGAGACGAATTTCAGTTTTATCTTCATGTTTTCACAGAAGGAATCGATGAAGGCATAAGTGTTCTTGTACACATAATCGAAATTCTACTCCTACAACTCATCGGATCGTCATTGCGTACAACTACAACTAAATGCTCCTCATTTCCTAAATACATACCTGTGACAGTTTCTTGATGATCTCAGATAGGAGCATCTTGCAGGGGCACTTTTGCGCGGAGACGTCCATGCGGAAGGCCCAGGTCGCTCGGTTGGTTTCCGGGAAGTGAAACCACTCGGGCGTGGTGAACTTTACTTTCCCCAGTTCCTCCAGCGTTTCGTTATCGGCTTCCGCGTCGTTCAGAAACCTCTCCACCGGCGTCAAGGTGCCTTGATTTTCCATGTCCTCATCCAAGTCTAAATCCACTTCCAGCAAATCTTGCTGCTTTTTCATCTTTTTCTTCTTCTTTTTAGTAGTATCATCGTCGCTAGTACCCTCTTCGCTGTCGTCCGTAGAAACAATCATAGCCCCCACATTTTGCTGGTTCCGCAACAGTTTTTGCGCTTTCTTCTTCAACAATGCCTCGGCCTGCTTGTCGTCAATCGTGTTTTTCTTCTGCTGTTTCCGCTGCTTGTGGTCTCGATTCGCATTCTCCATCTCGCTGTCCGAGGACGCGGAGAGCGATTCGCTGTCGGAAGAATCATCTGAGACATTATTCCCAGCACCACGACCAGTTTTGGTAGAAGCTTTCTTTCCCGCTAATGCCGTTTTACCTTCTTTACCATGCTTCTTCTTTTTACTTTTCTCATCCGCCAGTAAGTCGTCCTCCTCGTCCTTTACCTGTTTCAACTCCTCGCTCTCGCTCTCGGAACTTTCCTCGGACCCGGAGTCTGAGCCGTCGTCCTCGCTGTCGTCCTTTTTTCCCAAACCCCGGGCGTGCTTCTTGGTTTTCTGCTTCTTGCCCTTCTTGTGATTTGACGAGTCATTATTTTCCATGTCATTCCCCTCTCCTTCCTGCTCGTCACCTCTTTCGTTCCCTTTCTTATTATTCTTTCCTCTGCTTTCATTCTTTCCACCCTCCTCATCCCCGCTTTCGTCGTCCCCGCCGCCACCGCCGCCCATCGGCGCCCGCAGCTTCTCGTCGTTGACGGCTTTGCGCTTCGACGTGGCTGTTTCCTTGTTTCGATTCTTCTCGGCGGCGCGCACGTACTTGTCCACCTCGTTCTTGAACTGCCCGAGGAAGGAGTAGTAGCCTTCTTGCAAAAACTGGTTCAACTTTTCCGTCGTGTTCAGGTGGGGAAACTTCTTCTGCACGTCGGCTAGGGACACGAAGTCCAGCTCCACAATGTAGGTGCGGACAAAGTTCCCGCCCAGCTGTATCCTCAGCAAAACCGTCCCCACCCCATAGTCAAGATGGGCAATCTGCTACACAAATCTACAAGTCTTGGCTGTCGCGCATGACAAGTCTGGGGTCGTATTGTAGTAGTGCTCTTTAGCTAGTGAAACAGCATCACAAATCGAAGATCTTATCCTTATTCGAGCATGACAAATCCCAAAACAGCATTACAGAATGCTTTCGATGGGTCTGCGCATGAGAAACATTTTAGGCATGCAGATTTGCATGACAACTCTGGGGTGGAGACGTTTTTACTCAGGATAAGCTGCCGGCCCTTCTCCGTGACCCGGTACTCCGTGATCAGTTCGTGGAGGTGCGTATGAAATGCAAATATCCCTGGATGTCTGGAAACTTGTACTGCTGAGTTGGGAATAGTGAATGCTCTGTAATACACAGCCAAGCATGAGAAATTATATCTGCGCTTCTTTCTGTTCTTGCGTTTTTCGCATGACAAACTGCGTTTTTGCATGGCAGGCAAAAGGGTCTCTTCTTGGACACGCATCACAAACTTTTTGGTCATGCCAGACAAGCATGACAAATCTCGCAATCTTCCAGACCCAGACATTTTTGCATTTCATAGTGCGTGCGCCCGTACCGCAGCGCCACGGACTCCGCGAAGTACAGTTTGTCGTCCAAGGTGGTCGACCCGTTCTGGTCCGCGAGCACCTTGATTTTGCACAGCGGCGTCATGATGTTGCGACTCGCGGTCTGCACAATCTCGCGCAACCGCGGGATACCTAGGGTCACGTTCGCGCCACCGTGGCCCGCCAAGTGGAAGGTGTTCAACGTCATCTGCGTGGATGGCTCGCCCATGCCCTGCGCGGCCAAGACCCCGACGGCCTCGCCCTCGTCGGCCAGGCAGTTTTGGTACTTGAGCATGCAGAAGTTGATGAAATCGGTTTCCTCACTTTCGTCCTTCCATTCCTGTTTCTTCACAAAATCGAGCAGCAAATCGTGGAACCGCTCGCTGACCGCACCCAGATGCTGCTTCGGGTTCAACAACGCCTGTGGGGGGTCGAATTTGTCGTACGGCTTCCAGTGCTTCGTCTGCTGCAACTGTCTGCGCAGCTGCGTCAGCCTCTTGAACACGGAACTCAACTTCGGCTCCAAAGCGGAAAAATTTCCGGTCGCGGAGTTCTCTACCCCGACACCTTCCCAGTCGTGCAGCGGGTTGCTGTAGGAAGACATGAAGGATTCCAATTCCTCCACCGCTTTCTTCGTGTCGAACTTGTCTATTAACCCGCCCGCCTTTTCCGGTTGTCCGGATTTCACTGCGAAGGGCTTTAGTTCGGATTTTCGCACCAGGTCGCGCACTTGAAAATACCTCTTCGCCGTGGTCATATCGAGAATCCCCTTTGACTGTAGAAGCTGCATGCGGTTTCTCGTTCGCAATCGCGCCTGGTGGTCGCTGCACATGTTTTCCCGCAGCTGCGTGAACTTTTCCAGGTAGTTATCAAAAGGAAAAACCCCCCCTCCCCATATCGAAACGAAATTTCTGATGCTGGATTTGCGCACACAAATCAGTCTGTCTTGCTGGAGAGGACTGCAGGCATATACTAAGCCTGGGTCGAGAGGTTTTGACGTAGGGGACTAGCATGACAGACGTCGGCCCTGTAAGCCCAACAGCATCACAAACCGCCGGCATAATGCGGCGGACTCTAAGGCTTTGCCTTCTTGCAAGACAGACAGGATTTGTGACCTCAAATCTGCATCACAAATTTTCAGACGAATGCGTTTTCAATATGGGGAGGGGGGATTTTTCCTCTCAATAGTAGTTGGACTTCGTAACGTCGATACCGTCTTCTATCCTGA